CCTTATTTAGAACTTAGCTGTCTCTCGACCGATTTACTCTAAGTTTTAACACGAGTCTTGTCGAATGCTTACTACGGACCTCGCCTACTCGGAATATACTAAATATATACCTCGCTRTCGCTAGCCTATTCGCCGAGAAGGTGGATTAGTATTAAACATTACTAATCTATAATATATATAGAATTTAGTATATAACCCTCCTTTATTACTAACGTTACTATTAATATCAAATTTTAAAGTAAATCCGTTAAGGAACAGGTATATTATAAGTAAGATACGTCCTCCTAATAGTAAAAAAGACTAAAGTCCTTTTTATAGTAAAAAGAATATTCCTAAAAAAGGAACAAAAAGAAGATTRAACACTAAGGGAATTGAACCCCTRATCTCGTAATGGAAACGAGACTACTAGGCTTCTCCGGCAACTAGAACCCCTGTAATGTCCGAAGTTTTAAACCAGGCCTCTACCTAGCATTTCCTCAATCCTAACACGCCCTAACCACTAGGCCAAATGTCCAGATGTAATAAATATCTAAGATTTTAGGTTGTGATTATACGGATAGGCCGGAGTTAAAGCGAGCTGCATTCTACGTGGCCTTTACTGGCCGCGTTCCCCTAGTATCATTCACCCGCTTCCACTCTCAGCATTGGTGGAATGCGATACGATGAGCGTTCGTGTTGAAAAGCAAGCTCTCTACTCAAAGCCGACGGCTATCAATGCCATCTCTGGCATGAAAAGCGAGTCTGAACGCAGTGATGATGACGGCACAGATGTATCATCGAGACATTGGTTGCAGAGCATTCTAGGACATATGTATATATTCGTAGCAGATGATCCCTGGCCGGTCGCAAAGACAGCCATGTAGTGGACCGGCCATGGCCTCCGTACACAATCGCCATAGAACGTCCATAGGGAGGCTTCAAGCACATATACTGTGCCAACAGCGCAACATTGTATACAAAGTTGACCGAAAACAGAAAAAGCAAAACACTCGTCGTATAATTAAACAAGTTTAGAGATACCACTAATGCAGGGAAATTCGTGGAGTTCCGGGAAATCGGTGGCAGGCCCGACAGTTCGGCACATATCTCCTTTGTGTCTCCATGGTCCTTCGCATTCATGGTGTGACTGAGCCAACATGATATAAAGTACTCCACTTGCTATCTTTGTGCGTCGTGCAAGCCAGCAATGTCTGCTTCCCGATTTGCAGCCAACAAGTCGCGCGTCTTTCGTGCATGACTGGGTGGCTCTCTGATGGTACCGACTGTCTCAACATTAGGCATGGGACTTTCGTTGATACAATAGAATCCTGGCTCATGCAGACATGGACTCGTGCAGATCCTGGGTGGCCGAGATGTGTAGCATCTCACCTGGTGTCGCCAAGTTCTGATATGCCGACTCATCTAGGTATCTCGTGTATTGCTCCATTCGGATCAAGGTACCTTCTCGCCTAGATTTGCAAGGGCATTCTTCAAGGCGGAGGATGCACCAGAAAGGAGAAGAGAAGACAGTCATTAGTGGATGCGTGTAGAGTGGAAATGTGACAAGCCTCAGCTCCACAAACTTTGGAAAGCAGGCGGGGCGCTAGATGTATGTCAGATCCATGTTGCTACCTGAGTCTGATTGTATCAGTGTGCAAGGCACGTAGACCAAGACCGTCGAGCTGTACATATCTGGCATCGGTGTGAATCAGGTTGTCCTGCTTTAGTCTAGGGTATTCGTACCTGTCGTTGGAGCCAATGCTGTCAATATTTCAAATGATTGCATGACGAGATGATAATGATGTCGTGTTTTCTTTTCTCGGGCTCTCCCCACCGGAATGGGCTCCGTTCCTGGTTTTTACATCTGGGCAATCTTGGAAGGAGATCGGCCTGGAATTTAGCCCGCCTTGTGTCGTCATTCCCATTCTGGTTCCTCGCAGATCTTGTTCGTCTGGTGCTGACGTGGGAAATTGTACAACAACAACGCTTTATTTCCTACGGCCTCCGATGGCGACACGGCGGACGACCAAGGTCGAAGTACCTATTCCACCACCTTCCACGTCCAATGCCAGCTCCGTGAAGTCCAACCAAGCCGACATGGCGCTCGGCGCGGGTTCCGGCYCGCCCTTTCTGCCCACGGCTCTCGAGGCGACGCTGCTCGCCATCTATCCCATCACCCTCGTCTTCGGCTCACTGTTCAGCACGCTGCATCCCAACACGCGCTTCGCCACATACCTCCCGGACTCGCAGTCATACGACCCGCGCAACGCGCCCAGCTACTTTGCTAAGAAGAGCAATGTCTTCAACGTGTGGTTCGTTAAGATTGGCTGGTTCTGGACGACTTTGGCCTTTTTGCTCTTGATCTTCTCTCACTCTTCGCTGGGACCGCCGCTTTCGCTTCGCCTCACCAAACGACGCGTGCAAGCCATGGTGCGCTACACGTCCATCACGCTGATATGGATCTTCGTCACTCAGTGGTTCTTCGGGCCTGCCATTATCGATCGCAGCTTCAGATGGACGGGTGGACAATGCGAGATCATCAAGGGCAAGACAGCAGAGGACCGTGCCGAGAAGGCAGAGATGGGTGACTTTCGCGAGGTCTTCACTCACGCTGCATGCAAGGCAACGGGTGGCACTTGGCGAGGTGGACATGACATAAGCGGACATGTGTTCTTATTGATCCTGAGTAGCGCCATGTTGTGGCTCGAGTTGCTGCCTGCGGTTCTGCGGAACGAGGGATTGCGGGAGGCTCGACGCATTCGCACGCACCATGGCTTGAACAGGAGTGCGGCAGTCGAGTCTGGGGATAGAGAACAGGAAGCGAAAGACTTGGGAGTGGGGATCACGGTCTCACTTGCAGTGGCCGTGTTCAGCTGGTGGATGCTTTTGATGACTGCAGCATACTTTCACACTTGGGTTGAGAAGTTGACAGGTCTACTGGTGGCTTTTGGCTCCATCTACTTGGTCTACTTCCTACCAAGAGCCGTGCCTTTGTTGCGACAGGTCTTGGGCATGCCCGGAGTTTGAACATCTGCACGAGATTGGCGGCGATGCGCTACACTATAGCACGCAACGAGCGGGTATTTCTTTGCACCAAACGCCGCAATGAATCGAGATTTCGTATATGGAGATATGACGCTGAAGATCTTGTGAGGGCTCTCGTATCATTGGAGATCAGATCCATCCGAATCCTTGTTCAAAATCGTTCGGGCAGCGAGGAGCACCTGGCAGKGATTGACGACCAAATCACAGTACAGTAGCCAGGTCATCGCGAAAATCTTTGGGTATGCTTAGGCTGTCTTCAACAACTACCGAGATATGGCGCTGGAACGTGTCACGAGACAGGGCTCGCGGCACATCAGTGACATAGTAAGAATTGTTTGGTATCGTGCAATCGCCAGTTCTTTGATGATCCAGAAGCCTTGAGGCTTGAGCTATTGACCCTTGTACCTTATTCGCATGATCGGCACATCGAAGCGAGCCAATAGGCCGTGTTTCACCCGCAGCTCTAAATGTAATAACGCCCAGGATCCCTGGCACTGCCACGCCGGCCGGTCGAGAGCTGACTGATTATATTAGGCCATGGTTCTTCCCACGCGTGGCCGGAATTCCTCTCAAGGCAATCCACCACCTGGTAGATATGGTTTTGGCGAGACGAATGCGCTCGCTTGAATGGACACGAAAGCCACGGGCGATTGGGGACTTTGAGAGGTCCATGCGAGAAAATGTCGACTGGACCACATCGCCTTTAGGCCCAATCGAACAATGGCCGTCAAATTTGCGGCAGATTGTGCTGGCCTCAATGGCTGACACGGATGCCTCTGCCGTTGTCTACGGACCAGTGAACCACACGGCTATTGTGTACAACGAGGCATTTGCGGAATTGATTGGGAAGACTCATCCAAAACTGCAAGGGGGCCTCGTTAAAGACTCGTTGGTCGACATCTGTCCGGATTTTGATGCTACCTGGGAGCGACAAACAGAGCACGGCCAGCTAGAGATTTTGGAGAATCAGCGAGTTAGGCAGGATCGGCTGGGCTTCGTCGAGGAACGGGTATACCGATGGAAACTGCTTCCTTTAATCGACGAAGACGGATCCGTGGCCGGGAGCTTGGTAACCGTACTTGAGGAGAACAAGGCACCACCCCGCCGGGAACGAAGCATATCAGCCGTGCGAGGGCTTGGGAATGTGGTCAAGACGGCGATTGATAGAACTGCAACGCAGACGGCAGCCAACATCCTGCGGCTTGACGAGCACTTTTCAGGTCGATCTTGTAATTGTGCGAAACTGTGGGAAWTGCAGATGAAGGAGGAGCGGTTTGAGAGGTTTGGCGATCATGCTCCGGTCGGCATCATCTCTCTCGTGGACCACAGTGGGTTCTCCATCGACACGGCGAATCTTGCGTACTGGGACATCATGGCGCAACCACCAGATACGAAGTCCTTTCTTGACTATATTCACCCTGAAGATACTGACAAGGTTCGACAACATCTCGAATTTGGATCGTTCCGACAGGGCTCGTTCTCTTTTCAGTGTCGGCTGAAGAAATGGGCTGCGCGGGCTGCGATTAGCCCTTCTGAAGCTGTGCCCGAAGCATCGCCCGCCTGGATTTTAGTCTCTGCTTATAAAGATCCGGAGGAAGGGAGTTTCACAAGGTGCTGGATCATTGACATCACATCTCACAAGAGTGCAGAAACCTTTCTGCGAAAACGCATGGATGAGGCTTTGGAGTTGAAGCAGCAGAAGGAGAGATTCATCGATCAGATTTTTCACGAGATCAGAAACCCACTTTCTGCAATGGTGCATTGCACCGGTAAGTCAATGCTGAGGACCGACACAAAGGAGCAGATCTGCCAGAAATCCGACTCCTCATCGCTTCTCTACCATTACGCTGATTATCCTGTGTAGACGACATCATCTCAAACGCTCGCCAGAGTTGTGACAAGTCATCCGGAGACGTAATCGAAGCCGCTCAAACAATTGCCTTCTGCACGCATCAGTAAGTTGTCATCAACGCCAGACAGCGTGGAGACCACACACCCCGGCCGTACACTGATATTATAACGACAGCATCAAGACAATCGCCGACGACGTGATACAAATGAGCAAGCTCGATTCGCGCCTTGTAGAAATAAACCCTACGAGCATCAGACCTCGAGAGGTCGTCGAGCAGGCCATTGCAATCTTCCAATCAGAGCGGAAAGCCGGTAGTATCGAGCTGGATTTCAAAGAAGACCCTTCGATCGAAGCATTCGGAATCGACTGGCTTCTACTGGACTCTGTCAGATATCTCCAGATTCTTTTCAACATGGTCACCAACGCTATTAAGGTTGTGAAGAATCGTCCGACCCGCAAGATTGAGGTCAAGCTAAGTGCTGCGTCGAACAACGAGACAGCAGTCGATAGCGTACGATTCGCCAAACCACGTCACCCTGGTGGAACTGGAAATGTAAAGTTCGGTGAGCAGTACAAAGATGTGGAGTCTGTATTTCTGGTCACAACTGTTGAGGATACTGGCCCTGGCCTCACCGAGGATGAGCTTTCCAGTCTGTTTGAACGGTTCGCCCAAGCGAGTCCGAAAACCGAGAGCAAGTACGGCGGAAGCGGTTTGGGACTGTTCATATCTCGAGATTTGACGGAGCTCCAAGGAGGGCGTATTGGAGTGGCGTCTGAAGCAGGCGTAGGATCCAAATTCGTTTTTTCAGTGGAGTCGAAGCGTTGTGAACCGCCCAAGACAAAGTCAGATCCGCCGCCAATACGCATACCCGCGAGGCTTCAGGCAATCGACAATGACTACTCACCCGTCTTGAGTCGTCCGCCTGAGCTTCCGAACGGACAGGAAGCTACGCGTTCGTGTGCAGACCAGAAGGAGAAGGCAGGTCCACGAAGAGTTCTGTATGTTGTGTCCTATGCCCTGCCTTCTCGCCCGACAAACTAACAAAGCTGCAGTGTCGTCGAAGATAACTTGATCAACCAAAAGGTTCTCGCAAACCAATTGAGGAAGCGTGGTTACGAAGTAAGTGTGGCATTACACGGCGAGGAAGCGTTGAAACAGCTTCACATGAACTTCCCCACAAGCGATCCTTTGTCGATACCACGCAAAGCCGTGGGAAGTCGATCATTCGATGTGGTTCTACTCGACATCGAGATGCCCGTCATGGACGGCATCACCTGCGTTCAGCGAATCCGAGCTTTCGAGGCTGCTCGACCCAACCGGCGTCGTCTGAACGTTATCGCCGTTACCGCGAACGCTCGAGGCGAGCATGAGACAGCTGCTCTGGCTGCGGGAATGGACTCGATCACTACCAAGCCTTATAAGATTGAGAGCCTCGTACAGCAGATGGAGAAAGCTTGCAGCCCAGCGGCTGGATGAAGAGATCGACTCCACGCCTACAGAGTAGGGTGTTAGACCTCAGCCCCTCGCCCTGAGAATGCGAAGATTTGAAAACTGCCTCTGGTCGACCTGATCGACATTCCTATCGACAATTATGGATCGACGGGAGGAAGCCTGGTCTTCGGTTGTTGGATCGCATGAATTCCCTCCCTGACCTGTGGTCTGCACATCACAGTATCAAGTCGGCCTTTGTTGACATGACGTTGATCGTTGACTACGAACGACTACCCTCAAGGTCACGGAATATCGAGGGAAGCTCCTGTCTTCTGTGTGATCGAAGAACCCACGCCACCAGTCGAAAGCGGTCGGCAAGACCGTGATATCGAGCTGAAAAAGGAGCCGCTGAGCTCAATAGTATACATCATGCTTCGCTAGAACGCAGCAGGCTAATGGTATCAGACCAACCTAAATCTATAAACCCGTAATCCCTTTCTAACTGATCTTTCCAATTCGTCTTCTCCCGATATCGATCTTGCCTTGCACTCTGTCGACGTCCTCTTCCACCAGCCCCAGCATTTCATTTTGGATAGCCAGTTCCTCGTTGATCATGATACCCATGTCTTTGAGTTTAGCCACGGTCTTTCCCAAGGAGAGCACATCTTCATCCTGTTCTTGCATGACTTGTTTCTGCAACTGCAATACACCAGCGTTGTCCAGTTCCCTCGTGCGTTCCGTCTCCTTTGCAGGTCCACCAAGCACTCGGCCACTGGGTTTTGCAGCCGACGTTCCTCTCCATAAAGCTTCTTTGTCGCCCGAGGTAGCAGTAGCACTGGTGTTCATACTACTTGAGGTGCTGGCGGTCTTGGTAGCCATACTCCGCAGCACTCCTTCCAGCCCTTCCACTTCCTTCTTCGCGGCGCCAATCAAATCGCGTCTCCGTCTCAGCTCACCATCTCCCAGTTTTTTACTGCTACCCCATCCAGCGTCGTCTCCCTTGCTAGYAGTGGTAATACTCTTCAATCCATCATCAAGCTGTGCTATCGAAGTTGCAGCTCGCACAAGACTAGCCTTGGCTTCTGCAGATAGTGTGTGCTGAGCTTGAGCCGTTGTCGCCGCTTCCCGCTGTTTCAACTGCTGTCGTGCCGTCTGAATCTGTGACTTCAAGTCTCGATGGACATCGAGCCACTGATTCGGATCTATAATGGCGCTTGAGCTCCCTGGCCGCCTGCCGTTGGTCGTTGTAGTGGTCGCACCACCACTAGGCAGGTTGAGGAAGCTCCTCCAAGCACTGCTACTCCGCCATCGAGCATCATCTGATGCGATTATGCTGTGAAGATACCTCTCCAGACCTTGTCGCCTTTCTTCGGTGAGAGCTGGGTTGTTGACTGTTCGTCGCAACCACGATTTAGCTGGGAGCTGTACGGGAGGAGCCTCGGAACATTGTGATGTCAGAGTCTCGTTCAGCTGAACAAAGTCGTTGTAGCGTTTCTTGATCTCGTGCTTGCGCAGTGGTAGCTGGAGGACAATTGTGTACTGTGTATATGGTTTGCCATCTAGTGGTGTGGCTGTCGACGCTGACGGGATCGAGATTTGCAGTGCAGGCGACATACTTTGGGTGTGTTGACAGTAGTCTCGCAGTTTGACAAGTCTGCGATTGTTCTGCGGTGCTCCTGCCTAGCTTGGTGGGAAGTAGAGAGTGAACTTCACGAAGCGTCGCACGTGAAGCTCCTGTTCCCGGAATCGTCATCCCGGAATCGATCCCGCAGTCACAAGCGGCGCTACGGAGTAGATCCGCTAGATTCAAAAGCCAGGTACCAGATCCAACAATTTTACGCAGAAACATCCACCTGCTGCCTTGACGTCTGATACACGGAGACTACTAGTAGCAGTCATGCAGTCTGTCCGTCAGATTGAGCGACTCAACCAGACAGAACTCGACAAGGTCATTCCTCCAAACGCATCATGGCACACCGACTACCGCGACACGGCCTACCTCTACATCGGCGGTTTGCCATTTGAGCTGAGCGAAGGAGACATCCTGACTATATTCAGCCAGTATGGGAATCCTGTACACATCAATCTCGTCCGCGATAAGGAAACGGGCAAGAGTCGAGGATTCTGCTTTTTGAAATACGAGGATCAGCGGAGTTGCGATTTGGCGGTTGATAATCTCAGTGGAGCGGGCGTCATGGGTCGTGTGATGAGTGTGGATCATACACGCTATAAGAAGAAGGAAGGCGAGGTCGAGGGTATTGGTGACGAGGAGGAAGAGGTGGCTGATGATACTGACAGGGAGGGAGACGATCGCAGGAAGCGGAGGAGGACAGAAAGTGCCAGCGAGAGTGAGGCGGAGCGGCCGCTGCTACGGGAGGAGGTTGAACTGGCGAAGCTATTGAAGRATCACGACGAGGATGACCCGATGAAGGCATACCTTGTGAAGGAGAAGAAAGCGGAGGTTGCGGAAGCATTGAAAGGACTTGTGAAGCACAAGTCGAAGGACAACAGACGGAGCCGGGACGAAAGAGAGCATCGCCACAGGCATCGTCATCGCTCTCGTAAAGATGGCAACGATGCAAAAGATGATCGGGAGAAAAGGCAAGACGAGCATCGATCTAGGCGAGAAGACGAGGACGATCACAGGAGGCATCGGTCTCATCGGTCAAGGCGGGAGAGATCTCGGACTCCAGACTCGGGACGAGATGGCGAGCAGCGAAGCCAGAAATCGAGGCGCCAAAGATCACGCACGCCTTCTTCCGACAAAGAGGACCGTCGCTCGCAGCACATGTCAAGACGAGGCGACTCTCGAAGTGAAGATGAGCAACCGCACAGACGGCGTGAATCGGAGCAGAAAACGAAACGCTTGAGGGACGACAGGTCGCCATCGAGAGAGCCCTACAGGCGGCCTTAGTATACTGCGATGGTGTGGTCGCAGCAAGTAGCCAACCATGCACCTGAGCATAGTAGTTAGGCGAGGTTCTATCTATGCGCAGACGGCGTAACACATTGACATGCAAGACACGATCTGGAGCCGAGCCGGTAGATGACTACCCGATTGCGGAGTGCTTCGGTCACTCACTATCTGAAGCCGGCGCTTTGAGGACAACCACATGAACACGCGTTAGTTCCCGCGACAAGCAACCAATGACAAGCCATTACAAAGCATTTGCCTCTTTTACGAATGTTGCTACCATGGATTGATTATTGGCCTCTGGCGGGAAATGCGAGAGAGTATCGCAGGCGTGGTGCAAGCAGGTGAATCAAGATTTGTGTCCGTAATGTAGTGACTTAAAGGTCTAAATTCTGTGTGCAGGTGGTGACATAGTTTTATCCGATCAAGGCTGGGGTCTACTTCCAAGTTCCATCAGTTCCTGTCGGGTGTTTGTTGATTTCAGGGTCGTGGTTCAATTTATCACCCCACCATCTCGACAATCTTCACATCAACATTGACATCCCGCATCCACGTGCACCACCATATCGACATTACACCTCACCCATACCGTCATCATGGGAGAGTCAAGGTACGGGCTGCATTCGCGCGGRCAATCGGCGCCGCTTGCTCCGCTCCGCCACGCCTTCCAATCTGCCCTTCTCCCGCGCATCCACTAACACACGTGCGCAGACAGGAACTGCTGGGATGGCTTAATGGCCTCCTCCAGCTCAACCTGACCAAGGTCGAGCAGTGTGGAACCGGGTAGGTGACCATTCAGCATGCAGCTCTCACGCTCCGACAGCTGCTGACGTGCATCCTAGCGCTGCCCTTTGCCAGATTTACGACAGCATCTTCCTCGATGTTCCTATGAGCCGCGTCAAGTTCAACGTCAACGCCGAATATGCCTACCTCGAAAACTTCAAGATTCTCAGCAACACCTTCCGCAAGCACCATGTCGACCATCCTATTCCCGTCGAGCAGCTAGTCAAGTGCAAGATGCAGGACAACCTGGAGTTCTTGCAGTGGTCGAAGCGATACTGGGACCAGTACTACCCTGGCGGCGACTACGACGCGCTTTCGCGGAGAAAAGGTCTTGGCGCAGGTGCAGCTCCGGCATTGCCACCAACCAAGAGGRCACCAGCAGGATCGGCGGCGGCTAGGAGACCGGCGGCTGCGGCGTCTGCGCCTCGGACCAGCAGTCGTCAGGCTGCACCCGCTAGCGGCGTGTTGCAGGCGAAGAACGCTGAGCTTATGGAGACGGTGCAGGGCCTTGAGCGTGAGCGCGACTTCTACTTCAGCAAGCTGCGGGACATAGAACTTCTCATCCAGCAAGCAATGGACGCCGACCCCGCGCTCGAGGAGGACGAGGGTAGCTTGCTCAAGCAGATTCAGARCATTCTGTACTCGACGGAGGTGCGTATTCTTTGGGGGGAAATTTGGATGGAGGAACGACCAGCTAACATATCATTCCAGGAGGGCTTCGAAATCCCACAGGAGGCGGATGCTGAGGCTGCGGGTGACGAGGAGACGTTTTGATGATACCACGATTTTGCTTGCAAAGTTGATCCATGATACCAAGATATCCCATTGTAGAGATGCGGCGAGGGCCAGGATGAGAAAGCCGTCGCGGGAACATACACCAAGAGCATCATGAATCTCTGCATGGAGCAGCACGAGCAGTCGCACAGGCCGCTGAGCTTCTTAACCATCAGAAGTCCTGCACGGGAATGCTGGACACACAAGTGGTGTCTGCTGGCCCGCACAGGATATCTACCAGATTCAAAATTGGGCCTGATGTACCGATATCTGCCACATGCTCAAGAGTCTCATAGCCTCTCGTCATACATCGTGGACTTGTTACGTGAACATTGTAAATGTCGTTATATTTCATCTCTCACTCTCGGCTGTGATGTACAATACTAGCGATGACTGCTGGTGCCCACCTTGGAAATACCCTCCTCGCTACTAACCTCATGCTTCTCAAATTTCGACAGCTCCGATGGCCCCTTTCTTGCCTTCTTCACCTCGCCAACAATCATCGCTGCAATGTAAGCAGCTCCCATGACGCCCGCGCATACACTGTAGGCAATGACGTATTTCTTCGACACACTCGCAAGCCTCAAGCCCAAGCCGCCGTTGATTATGCCCAAAATAATAGCGACGCGACCGAGGTTGACGTGCAAGTGAGAGACAATGCTGCGACGACCTGTCTTCTTGTACATGCGGTGGTGCAGAATACCACCAAAGGGCTGTGCGAAGAGCAGTACGAAGAGAACAATTCCAATGATTGGGTGGTGGTTCGAAAGGAGGTCCAGATTCCTAGCGATCCAAATTCCCATCCCGAATGCAACCGTGAAGATCAAGTATCCGAGAATCTGGATCGCTGCGTGCACCCACGGGAGGCCCGTGAAGGATGCAAGGCGAATGATGATGCCGCCGATAGGGAAGACTGCGATGAATGCGACTGATGCGATGACACCATGGGCGATGATGAGCTTGCTAGAAACGGAGGATCCGCCACCACTGGAGGATCCGGTACCCATGGATGTACCAGCCGATGCTGGGGTTGTGGCTGCCGCTGGAGTTGTGAAGGGATTCACGTCTTGTCCTCCCCTGGCGCTGGCAAGATCCCAAGTGAAGGGCTGAGCTCCGTCATCGTCGWGTTGGGAAATACTCTCTTCCACGTCGTCGCTGTTGAGCGGTTCTCCGGAGAGATAGCCGTAAATCCAGTTGCTTGCAGCAGTAGACGAGAAGTCCATTTTCCCAGACTCGCCCCAGCTGTTGCAGTTGCTACATTTCACGTTGGCTGTCATCATCCCATTGCTCACTCCCGATCCCTCAAGCACTTCAAGCTGGGCCGCAGAATTGTATCGTGGCATGTTGTATCCAGTTCCCAATCGCGGAGAGACCGTGACGTTCTGTCCGTTGGACGATGTGTACATCACGAACATGTTGGATCCGCGCATCCCGGATCCTTGACCGAGGGCGACCCATGAGTACGTTGTTGGTGCTGAGATTTGAAAGTAGATGTCGCCACTTCCTGAACTAGCTGTGGTATCTGGTACATTCAACTTGTAACACACGTTCGTTGCTGGACAGTTGGAGACAATAGATTGTGCTTGCGCAGCTGAGCCTGGAATGGAGTTAGCTTTGGTTTGTGTTGTTCTCTCGGTGGCAACGCATACCTAGACTCAGCAACGCAGCGCCTGTAAGAGAAGCCTTCATGATAATGACGTTCCCCTATGAACCGAGGTGTTGTTGTAGTGTTAGGTAGGAAGTGGTCAGCGAAAACTCAGCTCCGCTGGTTTGTGTGAAACGGATATATAGTAAAAGTGGACGAGAGTCGATACAAGGGACATCTTATCGATCGCTGCCAGCGATGATGGCACGCGGCCRTCGAGACGGACTAACAACCCCACTAGATCATCGTCGTAGTATCGATCAGCGAAAAGGTTGTCCGAGCACCGCCGAGTCCGGTTGCCAACTTGCCAATGGTGCGTACTTGGTACCCGGAAGGCATTGGGGCCGGGGTACTGTAGCAGTGCGGAGAAGCCAGCGGGCGGCCGTCATTAGCTCTAGGTTTTCCGATTTGGACGAGAATAGTTTCCTATCAGATGGCTCCGTGTGTTGTAGGCTGACCTTCATCATCTTCGTGGCTGTCGGACATGCTGGATCACGCATATGCGGACCACGACAGCTGGTCGAACGAGTCGAAGGTGTTTCATTTGTCGATTCAACGCCTGTACTGAAGCTCGCCTTGGGCTAGTCATGATTGTGATGAGGTCGTCGAAGCGCAAAGCAAAAACGGTTAAAGCGGTAAACGCCTTCACGGTGATGCTGATTCGTCGATCGACCTTGGATCACTGTTAGTGCAAGTGTCATCAAAATGGAGTCATCCGCACCTCGGCTGCACTGTGCATTACGAAAACAAGTGAATCCCGAGTATACCAGCCGGGTGCCATGGTTGGATTCCAGCCCCCGGCAGTGATGATGTGTCTGAACGCGCGGGATCAAAGACGCAAGAAGCTTGGCAGGACATGTTGGTCTAAGACTGGAAGATAGAATCCTTGTTTATCTCTGGGCAAACACTTCGCTGCTTACGCCAAGCAGCTTGCGTTTCAGGATGTATTCGTCGTACATCCGCCGTCGTAGAAGTCCGCAGGGCAACGTGGACAAGATTTKTGTTAGGCCGCGCTACTCCGGATCAGGTCAGCGTGCGTTTAMCTAGACTGATGAATTCTCTCAAAACGAGGATCTGAGCCGCATCAGAGCCCTCTGCAGCATCAAGCAATCGATWCTGGGGATGACAATCTGACAAGCAGCATGAGTTCGAATAAATCAATTTGTTCGATTACTGTAAACATGCTCAATCGACGAGGACGCCACCTCATCGAAAGCCAACGTACAGATTTTGTTTGCCTCCTTCAACATCGAGTGAGATGTTGCGTCGACAGCGTAAGGCTGCAGGGGCTGATGTGGTTGAGTGAGGTCTCTATGACCCACCGAGGGCTGGGAAAGCAGACGCGTCGGTAGCATTGAAGGCACCGCGTGCGCTGCCCCGCTCTGGACGAGCATCGCCGCGGGCACCTCCTCTGGGCTCGCCACGACCACGACCGCCGCGAGATCCACGCTCTCCCCTGAACTCGCCACGTCCGCCGCGCGCGCCGCCACGTCCACCGCGACCTCCTCGGCCACCACGGTCGCCAGAATCCGCTGCTTGGTAGTACTGGCCATCGAGGGTGAGTCGCTCCTTCTTGTCCTGAGCCTCCTTGGCCTTGCGAGCCTTGCCAGCAGCGGCGGCAATAAAGTCTTCCGACTCGCGTGAGAAGGCCTTGCCCTCGGGGAATTGCTGCTTCGAGCCCTCATTGGGCTTGCGGACCGACAGGGTCTGAGAGATAGCCAGCCGCTTCTCGGCCTGCTCGGCGAGGTACTGGTCGTAGGACTTGGTGTTGTCTTCCGGCTCTGCTGCGGCGTCGTCGTTGACAGCTTCTCCAGCTGCACCAGGGCCGTTGGAAAATGCTGGATCGCCAGCGCTGATGTCTGCGGTGARGCCAGGCTCGTTGTTGGCCTCGGCATTGGCAATGGCCTCGCCAGCCTTCTCGTCAGCCCACTCGGCAGTGCCAGTCTCGGCGCCCCAGCCGTGCGCGGCTTGCTTCTCGTGCTCGCTGAGGTGAATGTCAGTCGCCAGAAGTCATTGGGAGATTGTAGCACGAGTCGTACTTGATGCCGGTGTGGCTGTGGCGGTCGTCGCGTGGTGCGCCGCCGCGTCCACCTCGTCCGCGTCCACGACCACGTCCACGTCCCTCGCCACGTCCCTCGCCGCCGCGGTACTCACGCGGCTCTGCGTATATGTCAGCGAAGATCCCAATGGCAATGGCAATGCCAAGGTTCACGCAGTGATAATTCCATACCTCTGTTGCGCGCGGGGCGGTCGCCCTGTTCGCGGTTGTTCACTGCGCCACCTGCACGACACGAGATCAGTCAGTATAATCTTTCTCCAATCCCGATGCACGCGTGTGGGCGCCAATGGCATCATTTGTCCACCCACGCGCGGCCCAACTCGTCACGCACCATCTCTTCCACCACGTCCACCTGCCGATGAGCGGAGGGGGTCGGCCGCTGGTTCGGGGCCAGCATTGCGCTTTCCGGTGCGCTGAACGGGCTTGTCGACGGCCTTGACGGGTGCTGGCGGAGCCCGATCAGGATCTTGGTCCTCGGTGTTGCCTGAGATGAATATCAGCGGGCGTGTTCGCAGCTATTTTGGATGGTGGTAATAGACGGACCCAGCAACTCGTACAGGTTCTTCGATGCAATTGCGGAGGACATGTTGTCTACCTATGCTCCCATGTCCCGAGGAGAAGTGCAATGGGGGTGAAGCAGAAGTTCAAGGTGTCGAGCTTGCGGAAGAGTGTGCGCAAAGCTGCCAAGCCAAACGAGAACGAGATGACATCTGAGAACAGGATTCTAGCAAACAAAATAATGCACGACCTTCAATTCAACTGCCTCACTTTATGTGACGGTGTGAAGCGCTGCTAGGAGACAATCGTGTCACGTAGATTGCATTATAATACATCATCATAATCGTAATAACAATGCCAAACTCTTGCCCTGGTCCTTCCAATACCCAGAACGCTCAATCATGAAATGCTGCTTTTCCTTGCGCCTTCGCTATGCGTGCTCAAATGCCGCAAAGTTCCTATCTGGTCTTTCATCGTAGCYCGCGCATGCAATGGGCGGTGCTGTTTCCGCTGTCGAAATGATATGTTTCACCATTAAAGTGACTTCATACAATGGAGCTAACGTTGCTGGTGCTGGTCGTAGGTGTAAGCATTAGGGTAGTGTCTATGAGATCCGTTAGCCTGAGCTACTCCGTGACTTTAGGATTCGTGAGACTTGCAAATTTGGACCCATGTTAAAAGGGTCAGTATCGAGCATGGCGTCATTCTGGTCCACGTCGAAGTGGCCTTCTGCAGCTGTCGGGTGGCTCGTCGGGTGAATCATCTGGGGCTGATCGTACTGCGTATGCGGTGGTGTCTGCCGCGACTGCGCCGTCGCCATGCCTCCTCTCGCCTGAGGATAAAAGTTGGGATGCTGTTGCCCTTGCGAATGTTCGAACTGCGGCGGATAGGTTCCATGCAGGACGGGCGAGTGAGGTGCACCAAGGTCTTCGACGTCGGGTTCGTCGAGCATCGATCGGGTTTGCTGAGTATCGTACTCCTGGTCTGTACTCACGAAATCAACCTAGGACGAACATAGTTCTGTGGGGGATGGTAGGGGTCAACTTGCCGAGCTGATCAAAATGCTTTTGGAAGGGGCTTGGGTAGAAAGTCGATGCCAACGGCCCTGTGGTAGCCGGGTTGCCGCCTTGCCCGGGATGATTGGCGCTGTGGTGGCTACCAGCCGACGCGCTTGACATGCCGCTGCTGTGGTAGTTCGTTGCAGATCGCTGAGCTTGTCGCTGGGCGCCGACTTGCTGCTGCTGCGCTTGGTACAAAGCCTGGTTAGATTGCTGTTGCGACGGGCGTGTAAAATTCGCAAAGTGCTGTGCCTGCGGCTGAGTGACTGGAACAGGGGCTGGCGAAGGCATCCCTGCTTGGTGTACAGCCATGGGGGATCGCGTGGACACCGCCGAGGGCGAGGATGTGTGTGACGAAGGTGTTGGATGTGCAAGGGGTGAGGATTGCGCATAAGCCATGTCCACACTTGTCTGTCCAGGAGCGAGCTTAGGAAGAAATGGCTGAGTTGCAGATCGTCTGGCCTGCTGTCTATGTAGAGCAGTGCGCTGCAATGGCGGCTGCTGAACATGTGGTAGCCCAACGCCATGGGTCATGAAACCGGGACCCAGCACTGGACTAGCAGACTTCATCTGAAGCTCCGCTTGAACGTCGATGCCTGGGAAAGATCAGTATATGATCTTTGACGTGGGCGGGTACTATTCGAACCCTTCTCCAGCAATATTCGTTCTAAAAGAGAGTTTTTGTACCTCAGCATGAGGCACTCATCGGCCGCCGTACGGTGATTCTGCTGGAGGGTGGCCAGCTGATCTTCATTCTGCTTGATGGTTGCTTCCAACTGCTTGATGTACTCCGTACGCCGTTCACGAAAGGCAGCCTGAGCTTGCCTGTTGCGCTGCTTACGCTCTTCGGATGTAGCATATATCTGGGAGGATTAGTCAATCGAAATGTCAAGGTTATGTTTTGGAAATCGCCAGGTGATTTCTCTGGAAAGGCACCCAATACATAAACAATGGAGATAGCTCCAAAAATTACTAGGCGACGGCGACATCTCCTCGCGCGTTCAGGTTGTGTGRGTGGCAGCGAGTAATTCACTTACCGGCTTGCGTCCACCTTTACGCTTCTGAGGTTGAACCGGTTCGTTGGAGGGCTCCGCGCCGGGTTCTGGTTCGGGTGTTGACTCGATCGAGCTGGGGGTACCCTCCGGTAGGCTTTCGATCTTCGAGGGCGCTGCCATATCGCCGCCAGTGATGCTGCTATCGCCCATCTGCAGGTACGCGGGAACCGAACCCAGTTAGAGTCCCTAAAAGAACACGCTAACGAGTCTCCCCAGGTATCCGGGCCTGGTCGCTGGACTGTGAATAGACGAATTGAGTAATAAAATTCATCCAAAGATAACCTCGCAGCGCGTGTGCGAAAGAAAGATGTAAGAGAAACAACAAGGTGAGGGGTCAGCCGCGCCGGTTGAAAATTTTCCTTCGTGCCGAATCCAACTCCCTCTTCTCCCACCTCCGCAATCGCAGTCACATCTGCTTGGGGAAGGATGGAGAATACTGCAGCGCTGCTAGCCGTGTGCGGTTTGTGCCCCGTCATATGATCAACCCTGGAGCGATCCGCTTCCCTCGCTCGCCGCTCGGTCGCATGGCATCGTAGCAGGCAGTAAGCACGCCTAACCAAGAAGGGAATGTCTAGCCTAGGTTTGAGTTGCGATCTTTGGGACCAGCAGAAGGAAGGTACCTACCTCGAAGTTGCACACGAAGCCGAGAAGGAAACATCTCTCCTTGCCACGGGCATAGATCAGCAGACGAAAGAGCACTGAGGTTCTTCCAGCGTCCTGACTTGATTTCTGCGGCGAGTAGTGGAATGAGATTTATCAAGCAAGTGGACGAAGCATTGATGCCAGAGGCACAATCGAAGCCGCCCAAAAATCAACAGTAAGGCAGTTGGGCAAACATCATGTATCCTTCCTTCTACATCCCTTTGCTGCTCTCTGACCCTTCTCTCAACGCGCTGCATTCTGCTGTTCCTGCTTTGTGGGCGCTTCCATACCAACCTAATGCGTTGACCATGCGCGATCGCAAAAACAAGGCCACTCGAGTGGTAAACCCGCAATGGATGAGCGACCCATACGATATGAGATCTCAAGGCCGTTGCATATACCGCCACCACCTCCACCTCCGCCTCCACCTCTGCCTCTGCCTCCGCCTCCGCCTCCACCAGTCCCGCAAGAGCTCCCGGGTAGTCCGCTCCCATGGACGACAATGGTCTCACGGCCGCTTTCTGATATTCGCGAATTGAGCGAGCCGAGTCTTATGGACCACTTGATCCGCCAACCCAGTGCACGTTTCCACGCTCGCCGGAGTCGATCGAGAGCAAGATCTATGCAGCGGAACGAGCCAACAACACACGCGGCGCCAATGAAGGTGTCGCAGCAAGCGGCGCGATTCCCATCCAGCTGCGTACAGTACGCGCAGGAGAACGGGTCCTCCTCCTACAGTAGCACACCGGAGCAGTCCACTTTCTACAGCATACCACAATCAAGCGTTCCTCAACGATCATCTTCCCAGTCGAACAGCCATCGACAACCTAAAACTCATTCACGGAAACACTCAATTCGTACACAGTTGAAAGCGGAATTGGCGCCTCCTTTCAGCCATGGATTCTCCATCCCAAATCGTGGGAGCAGCAATYCTCCTGTCAAAGAGATTGGCGCACGACTTGATCCCATCACCTCGGACGCGGCGCGTCGAATACCMTCGCAGACTCACGTTCGGAGCCCTCATCCATCAGATATTCTGGAGTTTCCATCATACAAGCATCCACGAATCAGGCTTGAACTTCAAATTTCTGCTCCCCTATTTGTCGGTGGTGGCAGCGTCGAGGGATATGTTCGGGTCACAGTTGACGACAACGAGCGAGTTCGGCATCGACGCTCCCTCAGCATCGGGGCGATCTCCGTGGACCTGCTTGGATTTGAGGAGATGGGACCGAGTCGGAGGTCAACGTTTCTTGCTCTTGGGACTGAGCTCATTGATGGAGGTCATCCCCCACCTTCGACAATGGTACAGCCTGCAAACCCACTCTTCGCAGACGACAGATTCTGGTCCATGGCACCGTCCTGCTCCGCACTTCCTTTCATGATAAGTCTGCCGCTGGACACTGGGCCGCCGCCATTCCACTCCCGACACGCCAGCATTCGATTTCTGCTCTGCGTGACGGCCCTGGTACGGGATGCTGGCAAACACTATCGCGTAAGGACGTCGCAAGACGTCTCAGTACTYCCAACTTACGATCCCGAAAAGGCTCTCACGTCTCTTCCCAGTCCATTAACAGCCGCCGAAGAGATGCACATTCCACGCGGCGGAGGCCACGAGAGTTTGAAGGTCACAGCTGGTCTTCATCGTCAAGTCTGGGTCAGCGGGAGCAGCATTTTTGTCGATGTCCACATTTCGAACAAGTGCAGAAAGCCAGTGAAGAAGCTCGAACTTACGCTGGAACGAAACATCCTGTGCTATAAGCACGCCGCCGCGGCAACCATGGAGAAATCAGCTGGCCAAGCACGTATATTCGAAAGCAATGAACAGAGCATACTTGCACGATCAGCTTGCAAGCCGAATTCAAGTGGCTGGAATGGAGTAGAGCCTCACACCTCAGACACGCGGACGTGCGAGCTCGAACTGCCCCGAGGCCATGGAACGGKGCGCTGTGGAAAATATTTCGAAGTCCGTTACTTTCTCAACGTGTCAGTAGCACTGTCGAGTTCCAAGTTGGTGTCGATACAGCTGCCAATCATCCTGATTCATATGAACTCCTTGGATGTGGTCCCGAACTCGGTGGCTCAAGTAGCTGCAGCAATCGAAGAAAAGCGGGCTCACCGGCAGGCGAGCCGTTCAAGACTTGGAAGACCGGGAGGCTCACATCTCCGGCAACGATCCCTTTCCTCCCCGGCACGTACGCCTGAGCTGGACGTGCATCCTTCGTACGCCCAAGGGCGTGCATTCGCTGCTCCTCGACAACAGTCCCTGGACCGGCAAAGAGAGCATCGAGTGGATATGGAGGTCCTCCGTGACGCTCTGGACTCATCGCCACGCAGGTATCCACCCCCATCTTCGCAAGGAATCACGATCAAAAAGACAACCAGCAATGTCAGTATTGGCGCTCTGGCCTTTACCAACAAGAGCACGGAAAGCCTGGGGATGCTCGGCGCCATGTCTTATCGAACACCTCCCTCGAACCGCAATGCTCGCAACTTTGATTTGGCTGGACATGATGCTGGGAGTATTCGGGATCGGCTGAGGAGGATCGGAAGCCTTGATTCAGTTCGCAGCAAAAAGTCATGCGCTACGTCCCAGCCACAGAACCAGAACATCCGACCGTTCATCCGGCGTTCCTCAAGCCACACTGATATTGCACCACAGACACTTGGACTCACCACAACAACCCGCAAAGTCAGCATTGATGCACCGAGTGAACGCTCTGCAACCGCCATGAGCTTCCGAGACAAGCTTGATAGAAGTCGGTTCGAGTTCAAAGCAGTGCGAAGAAAAGCGAGCGGAAACTTGAAGGAACGTAGCATGAATTGGTGGGACCAAAAGAAGAAAGAGAGGTCGCAAGAGGGGTGGATTTGAGATCTAGTGACCATCGGTTCTCTGCGTTCACTGGCCTTGGGTACCGTTGGTTCAATCTAATATCGGTAGAAGTACTTGATTGTCATGGAAGCTCGGCTGCGACAGCTCACATGTCGTGTGCCACCCAGTGCACGTAAGTCGCAATGTCCTTGGCTATTATAGCATCTGACGCACGACATCCACGCGAATACTGCTGAGAGGGAATCTTAGATCATGTATTTCTCTGCATTGAACGTGGAAAGTCCGTGCATTACGATCATGAATGCCGACCTGGTGGCACGAAGCTCCGCATGCATGGCATTGAACCGTTTTGCATAGTCGACGTGTGTCACATCCATCTACTGCTGAATTGTGCGCCGTTGCTTGTCGTGTTCCTGGCAGCAGCAGCAGCTATGCTCCATAATAAGCTGCAGTAGCATGGCGATGGGGAGCGGGTAACCTTGGCTGCACGTTGCTCGAGTCGCAATGTTCTGCCATGTCATGCAACGCTCCATCCTGCGAATCTTAGTTCTATCTGTAGCGCGAACGACATGACCCTCAGCCGTTGCACATTCAACATCAGATTTGTGACATGTGTATCACACTGGCCGTGGCGCTTTGTGTGACTCTGGATAGTCACAAGTAACCAGGTAACCTAACATTACCTTACCTTGGAGGACAAGACCCCTGCATGCTTGGCCGAGTCAAGATCCACTTCAGAATTCCAGATGCGTCGACAGGGGCGGTACCGTATGCAAGGAAATATTGAATCTTGAAGCAAGCCCCCCTCATCATATCGGCACCTTGGGCCCTTGTCCAGACGAAATGGCCTGTCCCGAAGCATCGTTGTAACAGGGAGGATGGAAAGTAGTGACCCAGCACATCGCCGGTCCGCCTGGCCGCCTCGAATCCAACCTTCTCCTCTCTGTCTCTACCTCGCTCTCTGGCTCCCCTTCCCTGTGCCCTCATTTCCGCGTTTCGACTGCCATTTCCAGAGCGTTGGCCGAGCCAGCGGATCCGTCCAACGCTTCTTCTCGCAGGGCCGATCACGTCGGCGTACACCACCCTCCTCTGTCTGCGCATCAGCCATCCATCGCTGACTTCCTGGACTTCTGCATTCTGGTGTGATAAGGTGATCACCCAAGCGACATTGATAGCAAGCACATCCTGCGACAAAAACGAGGTTGAGCAGATTCAGACGGCGGGGAATTGAGTTCGCCTCTCTGCCATCTTTTGGCTGCGGCCTCTCCCGTCCCAGCTTTCCCAAACGGCCCTCATCCGCGATCCTCAATTCACCTCGTATCCCTCAATCGCACACATGTCGTCGCCGCCTACGCTCAAGCTGGACCTGGAGCATCTCACTCACCGCTGAAAATCATTCCACCAACAACACGCGCTCTCGCCGCCTCAGTCCGGCCTCTGGTCCGGCGTACATTCGCTTTCCACACTGCCTGCTCGAGCTTCTGCGAAGCGTTCCGCTCGTTCGCCCTTTACGCTGCGCGAAGCGCCGTCTTGATCATACGGGCTGCCACGTCGTTTACCAAACCACGAGGATCAAACACCTCGACATTGCTAGCTGGATACGTATATCAAAGACCCAACACTTGGAGCTCTCCCCAAACCTGGCTGGCCCGGATTATAACATTTGGGTTGCAAGATCGCAAAAGAGCCTGGTGCTGAATGGACGGGCTAGCCATGCAACGTCCTCCGGCCAAGCGACGTAAGATATCGAAAGACGGGCAACCAGATCATCGGGAGGACCTCAGGGCATCAGTCGAGCAAGAATCAAAGATCTTTCCCCATGCTGTAGAGCCGCTGGCGGAAGCGGAACTGGCGCGCGCAGCAGTGAGACATATTGGAGGTCCCGGAGTACTACGGCCGCGTCAAGATATAGCCATGTCTACAGCCACCGCTCCAGCTGCCTTGGCTAGCACAAGATTCAGCTCTTCATCCATGGCCAATGCGGCGACAACCGCCGGGGCTGCAACCAGCGAGGCCGCAATCAGCTCTGGCGGAGCCGCACTGTCCGTATTACTGTCCGCGTCGCTATCGCTCCACCTGTCGAACCTTGCCAGTGCCGCCACAGGGGTTCCAGCATCGGTAGCCTCCGGTATTCTCAGTGACGTCTCGGGACTCCTCGCAACGAGCGATGCCTCCTCTCAGCTGAGCGAAAGTTATCCAGGCGAGATGTCCTCAGTTTCAAGCATCAACCCAGGGAATGACACGACTACTAGCGCGCCACCCGTGACAAGTACCAGTGGGATCAACACTACGACGTCAAGTCTGCTTTCTGTGTCGACCTCTACGGGATTCCTCACATCGAGCTTTCCTCGCAACTCGACTACGACAGCATCCCAAACATCCAGCTCAAGCGAAGTCGAGTCTACGTTGCCAACGGAATCTGCTCTGTTTTGGATTGCCACCCTATCCCAAGGAGATGTCACAACATTCCCACAGTCTGCTGCCACTTACACGACCTTCGTGAACGGCAACACCCTGTCCGGATCAGCGGCAAGATCTAGTCCTTCAAGTCTAACCGACTTTGTATCATCCTCAGCTTCCGGTCCGTTGTCTGACCGATCGTCAAGTAGAGGACGGCAAACCACATCAACAATCGCAAGTAGCAATGGTGCAGGCGATAACTCGAGCCAATACCCTATCGTTTCGCAGCCCATACCCACCGACACGGAGTCTGATTCCAACAACAACTCCAGCAGCACTCCGCCGGCAGGGACTATCGCTGGAGGGGTAGTTGGCGGGGCCGCCGGGCTAGCCGTAATCGTGTTGATCGCCATGTTGGCCGTCAGGTGGTATCGAAGGCACTCGATGGCACGGCATCAGGCTCTACCGCAAGGTCCAGGCAGTTCAGCCGATCCAAATGCAGCCTCCCATGGCGGCCCTGGAATGGCTGAGCGCGCCGGATTGGCACCTATAGTCGCTGCCGTCCCAGCACTCTTTAGGCACCAAAGCCGCGCCGGCGGCGGCGATCAGGCGGCGCAACGCGGATTCACACGGGTTTCTGGTCGCAAGCTCCCCTCTGCTTTCGGAGGAGGTGCTGGGGATAGACCGCCTTCCGATGCTCCTGTCGATCGCGACGACGACACTGCGGCTTCAATCTATCGAGACAGCAGTGGCTTTTACGGCGGAGATGGTGCTTCCGGCTCGCCACCATCACCCAGCGGGAGCTTTCCCCTCCCCAGCAACTCGTACGAACAGATGACGCTATCTCCGGGACCTCAGCGAACGCCCAGACTACACTCGGGCGGCCCGTACAACATGTCGCCGGGCGGCAGCGTGGGCTCTTCTTCACCACAGGCTGTTCCAGCACTCACTCGAAGTGATGCACCATTTTTGCTGGACCCCAATCGAAACAGTCGGTTCTCTGAGCGACTGTGAAAACCTTTATTCTGCATCGCGCTGTGCATGTTTACATAATTGCTACATTTATACCCCGCTGCAAGATCATTCRCCTCATTTAACGGGCTTGGTAGTGGCACCCTCCTATTCTTCAGCCGCGCCATAGTTACGACCGATATGGCGCAGCATAGTCACCTGTCGCCACGTTGCAGCTTGGGACACTTTGGGACGACATTTAGATGTGCACACGATGGGAACACGATCTGGCGTTTGTAGTAATGTATTGTACAGATACAAATTTACAACCTCTTCCTTGCTCGTTGTCATTTCGTGTCGTTGCCTGTAATGTCGTGAGCTGAGTACCACGTTCTTGCGTGAGTACTACGTTCTTGCGTGCGGTGCTAGAAGGACCAAGGAGGCCACAGTGCAATGCGCGTGATGATTTTTTCATGTGAACCCGGCAGCGTGAGGATCTAGATGGATCCAGCTCTAATTTGCGTTGATCAAGTCGGGTTTGCTCAATCCTAACGCCGCGCTATGTCTCCATCAGAGCAAACACATTTCAACGACCCTCAATCGCTCTCGCTACCAGGGCCATCTCGTGCAACGTCATCATCGTCGTCGTCCTCCYCCAAAGCGTCCTCGCCAGCCAGTAACTCAAGCTCTGCTTTCTGCAACGCAGCCCTTAGCTCTGTGTGTCGCGGATCCACCAAATCGATCGGCTTCATCTTGGCCTGATTTCGTAWTCTGCACGTATGAATCAGCAAGGCTCCATCCATCCTTGACATCTAGTGCCTTCATATCAACTCACCTCGGATCACAACCTGCATCTACCAGAATATCCACCACAGCCCTTCCGTGCTCCCAATCCACCTTGTCCAACCCATTGCAATATCTCACTGCAACATGTAAACATGTATCGCCGTCTCGCTTCTCCGGCCCATCAATCTCAACCATTTCCTGGTCTAGAATCATGTCTAGGACTTCGTAGGATCCATGTTTGGCTGCTACATGTAGCGCTCCTGAACCCAGCGCATCGGTGGTGTTGTTGAGGAAATCGGCTATGGCTTTGGGATCGGAGTTGAGTGGTTTGGAGGCAAAAACTTCGCCGAGGAGGGCAGTGTTGTTGCGGCGACAGGCTTCTATGAGTTGTTCTTTGGGCGAGGCTCCTTCATCGTCCGCCATGATTGTGGTGGCCTTGGAGGGATTTCCGGGGGCGTTTGTTGGAATTCGCTCTCGAGGATGTTGAATGTCGTAGGTTGGTGTAATTGTACAGCTGACACGAACGCGCGATTTCTATGATGCAAACCAAGCGAGGAACAGCCTTTACTTTTGAAACGCGAGAGTGAGAGCGAGACCAAGGAGTGAAGTGAAGTGTAGGAGCCCCCCGCCAAACGCCAAACCAGACCAGTAAAACGCGAGTCATGCATCGACTTTTCCCTCTCGGGCTTGCCTCGCGCATTTTCACATGCCCGTCCATGAATCTCCAACCCGAACTTCCAACACAACTTCAACGATTCTCGACGTCGAGTCAAGACATCGTTCCCAGATCGAAATCAACCACACAAACATACACACACAATGCTCCTCTGTAAGTGATACCACATCTCTACAACCCATCTGCATGCCACTGATATATAATGCCACCCCAGTCTGCCCTTCATGCAGCAACATGCTCATCATCACAACCGTGCCCGCCGCGCATTGTAGTCCCGAAGACGCAGGCAACCAGGGCAAAAATCGCTTCGAATGCCGCACATGCCCGTACCAAATGGTCCTGGACAGACGGTACTATGAGCGAAAAGCCATGACGCTCAAACCTGTCGAAGACATTCTCGGTGGAGCTGAGAGCTGGAAGAATGTCGACAAGACCGAAGGTGGGATTTTTTTCCCCCAATCTATTTGATGGTTACTTGGACTGCCACGACTAACGTGATGGTTTAGCAAAATGTCCAACAGAGACATGTGATAGCCGCATGGCATACTTCCGACAAGTCCAGATCCGCAGTGCTGATGAGCCGTCGACGAGTTTCTACAAGTGCGTCAAATGCACGAGAGAGTGGCGCGAGAACTGAGTATGCCTGTTCTTGTGCGATACATATCACGATTTCCAGCCGGGGTTTTTCTTTTACGGTAKCTCGGTTGTGCTTTGGGAGATACCCCAGGAGTAATGGTTTGCAAATGCTGATTTCCTATTAATGTTCTCTCTCGCTCTCTCCCTCCCCCACACACACACCCCGCTGTCGAGTTGCTTGCTTCTCTGGGTATGTAACAAGATAAAAAAGCTCATCGAAACGAATGTCCGTCCCGATACCATGCTCCGGCTTACGCCTAAACCCCATCAAGCGCCTGCACACGGTCCGCTATACTGGCCTTCACTTGATAGTGCCGTAGCTTGTGCATTCAGCACAGCAGTCGTGGTTTCCAAATCTCAAATTCAATCTACCGATATGCGAAGTCATCTCGACCTCTCAATTTTTCCATCCCAATATACGCTGCTTGAAGCTATTTCCGGCGTCCGTTTAGGAATTCCGGGCTTAGTTCGCATCGTTTCTTGGTCGTCGATTACCTCCCTTCAGGGACTTCATGCGGCTCAAAAACCCACCGCCGGGAGCAGAGCGCTCATCTTCATTGCTGCTGCGCGTGTTGCCTCTGGTAGGCACATCTGACTCGGATGTGCGGCTCCTGCCCAAGGGAGCCTTTGGGCTACCCTCGCCTCGGCCGTTGGTCGCAGACGGTCTCTCCTGCTCTGCGATCCGGATCTGCGTTCCTTTCTTCTCAAACGCCGGTTCATAGTCGTTCTCGAACGGGTTGACCTCGTTCTCCTTGTTGTATCGTGCACGGGCTAGGCCGCCTGCACTCACGGCTTTGATGTGAGGTGGGCTGTTGCCTTCGCCCGGGCGGTTTGGTCGAGAGCCAGACATGCCCCTAAAGCGCTGGGCGATTGACTTCTTCCTTGATAGGCCGGATCCCGATCCCTCGGCGGCCGGATCCTCCGATACACGACGCTGCAGTGCCGTCTTACTAGCCGGTGCGCCATCAAGGAATGTCGAAGTTCCAAGTCCATAGGTCTCCTCTCCGTGCACAGGCGGTGCGCGCAATGTTGGGTCTACGATCGTCGTATCCACTTTTCTGGTGGCCGCATACTCTGAGAAGCTTTCTTGGCCTCGTCCATGGAATTTGTCGAGATCCAATCTCGAGGACACTGGACCAGAGCCTCCAAGCGCCATGTTTGCGGATCCTGCTGGGAATGCCTCCATTGGAGCTCGTCGGTCCTTTTTGGCGTTGCGGTGTGGGTTACAGGCATCAAAGGGGCCGTCGTGGTGGAAAACTATTCACGGTCAGTTGTGGTCATCAGATCTCATGTACTCCGTCACTTACGTCCTTGTCCGTAGATCCCGGTCACATCCAGTTTGTCGATAATGTCGAGCCCTCTTGGCTTCTTCGATCGGGAGCTGGAACTCTTCTCTCCATTCCGGATCTTCTCTTTTTCCCTCCTATGTCTCTCTTCTCGCCTCTCACGTCGACGACGTTCTGATGATTCAGTGCGCTCTCGCATCTCACCGCGGTCMGCATCTACGCGCGGCCTGCGCTCCCTCTCCATCACGGATGACTCGGAGGCACGGCGCGGCCTGTATTGACGATTCGCGGGATGCTCGGGAGCTCGTGGCGGTCCCCGAACTTGTCGCTCGCGAGGTTCATCCGGTCTCTGCGGCCGTTGTGGTGGCGGAGGCATCCCTGATCGCACCTGAGCGCCATTGAAAGCTCGTGGTACAGCTTCTGTGGATTGTATCAGTCCCGCAAATGCCAAGTTTGCTTCATTTCGACACCACATACCGTTTGTGTTTGGTCTGTCAAGTAACGAGAGGTCTCTCTGTAGGGAAGGAAAGTCAGCAAACAGCTGGCAAAAGTTGTGAAACCGCTCCATGATATGAATTTTCAAAGGAACGGAATGCAGATTGGCAAATATCACAGCTGCGTGTCACACCAGTGAGGGATGGCGCAGCAGATATGCAGGGCAAATCGAGAAGAGGAGCTGCGAATCGAAAATACCTACGAAGATGTCATCAGGGACGGCGGGATTGTTGTTGACAACACTGCCACTGCGCGCGGGAGCGGACGGGAAGTCGGTGTCGTCGAGGAAGGGGTTGCGCGACATTGGGCGCGCTGGTGGTTGCGGTGGAAGCGGGAAGGCGGTGTGGAGGGCGCTGGCACTGTGCGGCGAAGGCGAGACGGCGCGGTTGCGAAAAGGGTTGTTGGAGGAGAGGTTCAGTGACAAGCCAGCCGGCGGGGGTTGGCGATCTGTAGGCGGAGACGGGGAATTAGCTATGCTATCCGTCGTCATGAACAGTACTTGGCGGGCCAATCTGAAACAAGGGAGGACGGATGGTGCTGCCCGGCTGCGATGCGCTTGCATTTACATTGCACACAGGCACGGCACTCATCTCTTCCTCATCGTCGCGCGTGCTCAGCAGCATGTGCAGGTATGGGGAGTGGCCTGAGCATGTGCAGGCATGGGGATTGGAGGGTCGTCATACTGGGTGCTGCCATCTGGAAGGCCATTGTGTCCGGGGTAATGGGATAAGCGAGATCTCGCGAGGCCCGTCGGGGTCGGGGTCGAGGTCGAGGATTGGTGCAGCACAGCAGTGTCTTGTTCGTGTGTTGTGTATGTTGTGGTGCTGGTGCTGCTAGGTGGAGTCGGCTAAGGTATGGGAACGCCGCCTCGTGCTTCAGGCCTCCCGCCGCTGTTTCGGAATGCAGCGCAGCTGCGTATGCTCTCGATATTCCTGCTCTGTGTGGATTGTTGGGGCGAATTGGCTGGGAGGCTGGCACCAAGTATTAAGTCGAGGGGAGGAGGAGAAAATGTGATGGAGACGGGAGGCAAGTCAGGTCACGGTCAGGTCGTCACGGACTCGCGCGCTGCCTGAGTTCCGACACGGGCACCTTCTGGAAATGCGCGTTGGAGGACCCCTCTGACCCCTGTCTAACGGCATCTGTAACTAAAAAAAAAAGGAAAGATTGCTAGGCCAAACTCTTTGTGCGACTGCCTGTGTAGGTATGACTTTCATCTACGCTCATCTGAGACCTCGGCCATTCCCAACTCGTTCGCAGCACGGAATCTTTGGAACCCACGGTACCTACTTTTCTAGCCTTGATCGAACCTTTGCATGTGCTTGAACGCAGACTGCGCGGCCGTCCGTCAATTCTTTGGGCGCGTGCCCTAGCAAATTTCACCCCTCATCTCTCTACCTTATTTTCCCCGAGCCCGGCTATCCGTCTGCGGCGCCCGAATCCGTGCACTGCATTGCGGAGTAAAGTCACGCTTATTAGTCTCGACGAGGGTGGGTCTTTCGAGATCCTCGAGTCTGGACAAACCTGGAACGACGACTTCCGCGGCATCCTTCCGCCACATCACCCACAGTACGAGCCTTCAACCATGGAAGAAGAGGACCAGCGGCTCTCCGACAGCACGGCTCCATCGAGACCCACCATCTACTACGGAGGCCACGACAGGTTCGAGCTCGAACTCGAAGTGAGTCTCCCTCCCGGCGATCATAATGAGCGTTGGCGTGAGGCGGTAGCCTGTCACATGCTACCGTTGCTCGTCGCCAGTAGAAGGATGCATGTCACCTATGGAGCTAGACATAACGTTAGACTTCACATGCCCGTTGAACGGAGCACGTTGCTGCTCGCGAGGGAGCGTTCTTCACTGCTGACAACAGGCAACAGTTCGTTCAAATGCTCTCCAACCCTCTCTACCTTCAACATCTCGCCACGCAAAAGCTACTCGACAACGAGGAGTTCATCGCATACCTCAAGTACCTGCAATACTTCCGCGAGCCCAAATATCTACGACATTTAATGTACTTATGGATCTTTATGACACGCCTCCCCTGCCCTGCTCTGCTGACGGTGTTTATTTTCAGGTACCCGGGTCCGACACTACGGGCCCTCGAACTACTGCAGGAAGAGCGTTTCCGCAAGGATATTCTGATTCCCGAAGTCATGTCTAGGATGGTTGAGGAAGGCTTTCGCGCCAGCACCTCCGCTTGAGTGTATCAATCACCAGCGACATTGCTACTGCCGGGTCACCATGTCTGGCGGATTCATGGGTGCCAAGCTCCACGCACGCAGCAGCTGACGCGGTCACCTTCCAACATTCCTCAAACATTGGCAAGCAAGCAGCTTCGAAAGCGGAGTTGACATGACGAATGTGCGAATCGAGCTCAAAGGTGCGACTGAGGTGGGTTTCCCTTCATTCCCCTGAAACACAGGGTCGAAATTGGCACCCAGCCAAAACGTCAAAGGTATCGCAGCGATGGCGTACCGTACGGGTCGATGAGTGTTTGAGTACTAGGGCAACGTCTCGAGAGACGCACTTGCTGTCTTGCACGAACGGCAGCAAACGGGTCCATCTGCCGTATCTCAATACGCTGAATCCGATGTCTACATCAAGTCCCCGTAATCCAACGTGCGTATCCTGGTTGATAGCAGAATCATCTCCAAATCATCGATCGATGTATATACAACGTCGCGTGAGACCTGGCATCCATTTAAATCTCCTTCATCCGCAACATTCTCGTATCTCCACCACTCCCTTCAATCTCCGTCTCTACCATTTCGATTCCGCTCAAGCTCGGATATCGCTGACTGAAGCTTTCCAACTCATCAATGCCTGTGGGGACGGCGCTAGCTGTTCGGTGAGGTTGAGGTATTTGGTTCTGACGTTGATTACCACTACCAGACATGGGAGGGTAGTCGGGGACACCTTCAAGATCTTTCGCAAGCAGAGCAGCGAGCCCCGATGTCGGCTTTATGGCGGCGGGGCTTTCGATCATGGTTGGAGATTGTGGAGGTGGCCATTGCACAGCGCCACCAGTCCGAAGAGCTTTGGGTTTAGGAGGCGCACTCGGACGAGATACAATCCTTTGCAGGTTGTTCTGTTCCAGTGAAGCCGCTGGAGGCTGTGGAGGTAGGTCAGGAGACGACATAGGCTGTGGCGAGAAGGGTTGCTGGTGTTGTCTTGTTCTTGGGTATGGGTTGTTGGAGGTGCTTGGATCGACCATGGGCTTACGGGCTATCAAAGGAGGTCCGCCACTTTGCATGACTACGTTGGGTCGCGAAGCGGGTCTCGAGTCGGGCCCTTCTCTAGGAGCAGGACTATTAGTGTATCGGCCGTAGCCTTCGGCCGTCTTCTTCGAAGGTGATTGTCGTCCCTCATCAAGCAGAGACTGCACCCGCTTCTGAATGGTGCTTGCTCTGCTTGGTGGAGGCGCCATACCCGGACCCTGAGCTGCTACTCGTGCTCGGTAGTCTGCAGCCGCCTCCGCAACTCTCTTCTCTTCCTGCCCGAGTCGCTGGCGTTCCAGCTCCCGCTGAACCTCTATTGGAAGCTCTTCGGTCTCGTCCTCCATGTCGGAATGTCTGCTTCGTGTCGCCTCAGAGCCAATAATAGGAGACAGCATTTCGGGTTCGTCTTCTGTCGCGCGTGGCTCCGGTGTGATAAGCACGCTTTCGTTTTTAGGGCTGCCCTCGAACCGCTTGAACGCGTCGCCGAAGCGTCCACCGAGCATATTCCTACCAATGGTATTGAGACTCGACCGTTTTTTGTGATGGCCTTTTGTGCTCAACTTCCGATCACTTTCCTCTGAATTGCGCAGATATGCTATGTTGTCGGTGATGGAGCTCTCCTCTGGCGGCGACTGAGAGGGCTGTCTACTGCTGCGGCGAGGTTCGATAGAGGGCCTTCTCCGCAATTGCTCCTGGTCACGTAGATAATCCATGTCAGAGTTGACATACATGCTAGAGGGCCGCGAACGAGTGTTGAGGGACTTTGTTCTCGTAAAGCTGGAGGATTCATCACCGACGTCTTGTGAGGGGCGGTGTCCGTCAAGAGAAGGTCGAGAAGAAATCGAAGCCTGCTCTGCAACCATCGCTGTTTGCGATTTTGAGCGATGAATGTCGAGCAGAGCAGGTCGATGCGTTGGGGGCAAGCTCGGATGTAACAACGATGCGGCAGCTTGACCAGACTCTAATGGTCGTGGCTGACTGGGAGATCGAGCGTGATCAGACACTCTCCAGATTGGCCGATTGTTGAGCTCAGGAAGCTTTGGGGTAGGTGGTGGCGAGGAACCTACAGCTGTTGATCGATAGTTGTTCGTGCCTGGTCGGACGGAAAGTGGCTGTTCCAGGGTCATTGCTGGGTTTGCGGGCGCACTCTGCCTTTCCGGTCTTGGAGCATCGGCTTTTGAGGTGGTGGATGGTGGCGAGAAGACCTCATCGGCTAGAGCGTGAGTGACGCGCTCGCTAAGGTTGCTCTGGGGCTTTGGGCTGGCTTCAGATTTGGGGGAGGTTGAAAATGCAAACTTCTTTCCACCATCCACAGCGATTGAGAAATCATCCAGTGACGGAAAACGCGCAGAGAGCTCGTCTACAGCTCCAGCCCGCACGCTGTAGTTCTTGGAATCCAGAGCGGCAAAAGGGTCACCGTTTGCAGGAGATGGAGTTGCTTTGGGAGCACTGACCGGCTGTACTGAGGTTGGCCGACCTCTTCGCATGGGCGCCACATCTGGAATAGCGTGGACTTGTACTTGAGGCGCCACCTTCTGCAWTCCAACCGGTGCAGAGGATAGGGCGTCGGGCGAAGGCAGGGACTCGTTTCTGCGTGCTTCGGACTGGGTCCTGTTGGCGTAGATATCTTTAATCGGCACTTCAGTACCGCGCATGCTGCAACTCTCCTTAATAACCTGATAGATCGTTGGCCGTCTGGCAGGGTCCTCTTTCAGCATCGAAGCGATGAGCTTCTTCAGCCGATCGGAAAAGGAAGGATAGGCTGGGAACTTGTAGCTCGCATTCAGTATGGCMATTTGTCCAACATCCTCAAAAGGCGTGGTATAGTAGCACAGCTTGTAGAGCAGGACTCCCAGAGCCCAGATGTCCGCCTTCTCGTCGATTGGCTGCTTCCTCCAGACATCGWTCATTTCTGGACTCCGATACTGCATAGTCGTATGTTTCTGCACATCCTCTTCGATAAGTCTGCCCTCTTCCGCCGTCTTCGCCGCCGGCCTCGGGGCTGCCGTGCTGCCAAAATCGCACAGCTTGTATATTGGAGTGCCGCTGCCCGGAGCTTTGGAGATCAGAACATTCTCGACCTTAAGATCTCGGTGAAGGAGGGGAGGTTTAAGATAGTGCATGCAGGCTACCCCTTCGGCCACATCGCCAAATATCTTGAGAATCTCCGGCTCCGTCAAACGGTGCTGCAGTCGGGTGTTCATGAAATCAATCAGACCGCCACCGCTGCAGTACTCCATGAGAAGGAAGACCTCGTATCCGCCGCCTTTCAGCTGGTTGGCATGGCTGTCGTAGTATGTCACGATGCGTGTGTGGCCCTTCAACTTCTTCATCGTTTCCACCTCCGTCCGCATGTTGGACAGGTGCTCCTTATCGGGCACGGCAACCYGCTTGAGCACCGCAATCTCATGCTTGCCGTGCTCCCGTGGGACTCGAACGACGTAGACGTGGGCGAAGCCCCCCTCGGACAGGTACTTCTCAATGTACACCTTGTGGCTGCCCACTGTAACTTTGGTGTTTGGCAAGAAAGTCCCTGGCGGTTGGCTCGACATTGTCTCGTCCAGCAAGCTGTCGCGTCAACGGGAGTGGTGTCGGGGAGGAAGCAGAAACCAGTGCGAACGTAGAAGTCGGATTCGAGTCGGTCGAGGCGATTATTGCTGCACCCACTTCCGAGCTCACGGCATGAGGCAACGGGAAGCGTTTGCGGAATGGGAGGAATATGCAATGTGGTTCAATACATTTGCAATCTCGCTGCCTAAGCAGGTGTCAGTGCAGCGTATCTGTTCACTTCAATGGGCTTACGATGCTAAGATGTCCATGGATGGCTCATTAAGTGCCCGTGTTTAGTCTAGTCTGGCTTCGGACCCTGGTTGCTTCACTCTCCTCCGACTCCGATTTTAGACTCAAACCTACCTCACCAGTACGCCCAGGTATTACACGCTGCACGTTACACATGGTACTGGCACATTTCACGGGAAGATAATTTGAGCACAGTGCTTATCCCAAGTCGAGTGACCTCTGTGATAATCTCCCACAGTCGTCTCGCTACGTAGGTATATGATCGTAAAACTCAATGCGTTAATATGTACACGGTGAGGATTATGTGCACATCGCATCCATCTTCTTAGCGATGCTCATTCGTTACCGCCAAGATACCCTCGACAGCGGCCTCACTGGATAGGCACCCGCGCGATCGTTCTACGAACTCGCGTGCTCCAGCTGCCAATCGTCCAGTTCTGCGACAATCTCGGGCAGCATCGCTTCGACGTCTTCTTCTCGCACTCCCAGCGCGCCGGTGATGAGGCGTTTGTACTCGCTCTGCTTATCTCCCACGCCTGCGACCGAAAGATGCTGCACAATCGTCCGGAACAAGTTCTTGCGCTGCTGCACCAAATCGCGAAGCTCTCGAACCATGATCATTTTCTGGTTGGCTGTTTCTGCATCCTCCGTGTCGTCCAGATCAAGGTCGTTCGGTGATGATACCTGCAGCGCTTGCTCCTCTTGGCTTAACAACTCTGTCAATGCGTGGTCTTGTTCGTCCTCCGTCAAGCCTTCACACTCGGCCATCAACTGCTCCAGCTCTGCCAAAAGCTCATCATCACCAGCCTCGCCGACCACGCTCTGCTCAATTTCCTTCAAACGCAGCTCCTCCGCCTGGCGTTTTAACAGGTCAATCTCCTGGCGGCGCATGGCAGCAACSCGCTCCGCTTCTGCGAGTTCGGCGTCCTTCTCAGCGATTTCTGCATCGATACTGTTTGCCAAATCCTTCGCCTTGTTCAACAGGACAGGCGTAATTGATGACATCAGCGCAACTGCAGCTTCGGATCGGTGGCCAACGGCAGAGACACCATCCAGAATCTGCGGCTCGCCATTGTGCGACTGAGATAGCATGGGATCAATTGGTAGGCCGCCGCTGGCTCCGCCGTGGTGCGGCTGCACCGCGCCTCCCCCAGCAACGAGACCAAGGCTGCCATCATTTTGGTACGGCGAAGATGACATTTGCCGGTTGCTCATCTGTGAGCGTTCTTGTCGACGATGATTCAGTTGTACAATCAATTGATCTGCGGTCTCGCCAACCATGTTCTGAATGTCGACTGCAGCATTTCTGCCAATCAGGCTCCGTACGCACTTCCTTGCTCCGTTGCGCGCAGCGATTGTGATCGCGGTGTCGCCACTGTGATCCTGTGTGTTGAGCACGCGCTCGATGCCGTCCGGTCCCAGCACTGCAGACATTTGATCCAAAATGCAGTCGAGGTAATATCGGGCACATTGATATTTGCTTTTCCGCTCGGTTGTGTTGGCAATATGATGGAAAACAGTACTGCCAAACCATTCTTGCATCTGCACGGTCCGAATGAGAAGTCCTGCCAGCTTCTGCATGTTCTGACGGTCGAAATTGTTAGTGAACACCACTGCTCGCATGAGTGGCGTCTCGCCGTTCTTGGCCTGCACATCAATGCTAGCGCCGCGCCTGATGAGGTCCTTGACAACTTCGATATCGCCCATGGCGGCTGCCCAGTGCAACGCTGTGTGACCTTTGTCATCAATAGGTCTGTTCAGATCTGCCGTTGCAGGCGGATGCGGCGCAGAAGGAAGAGAATCGTGAGGGCTGTCCTGTAGCATGAAGTAGTCGAGTAATTCGTCGGCCCACATCTGGTGTTCCTTGTCGGCGTGCGACATGGTTTCTTCGATGCGGCGCCGCTTGCGAGATCCGGTGTAGTGCGCATCCTGGTTTTCGAATTCGTCAAAGGCTGATTCGGACGCGATCGTGACATTATCAGGCGTATCGGCATCAATCATGCTTGTATCGACATTGTCGTACTCCGGTGCGTGTGCGTAGACTGCGCGCGTCTTAGTCCCATTGGCAGCTGATTGATTAGCGGCTTTCTTACCAGGTTGACGGCGAGCCTGCGCAGGCGCACGAGGCTGGCGGGGCTTGGATGAAGCGGCTGTCGCGTGCTTGGGCGCTGGCGGTGGGCTTCTGTCGCCAGGAACATAATCGAACATGGCTTGGAGTTTTGCCAACACGCCATTCTTCTCCGCCAGAGCACGACCATCAGGCAGTGGGATCCAGGTGCCTTGATATTTGCCATAACCGCCTTGCACCTTCTCGTGCACACCTTTCTGGACTTCACGCTCCAATATTCGGGTGCGTGCGGGCTTGTCATATTGGGCAACCTATGCGACACAGTAAGTACAAATAGTTTGAGAGATAGATTCCAACTTACCTTCAATATGTGAGTCGCATTTATCCAGTCGTCGGACCTCCTGCGCATCACATGGTTGCCCTCCACATTGCACTCATACACCGGGACCTGCAAGGACTGTCAGCGATGCACACCGAGAGGTCGCAAAGGGAGTACGGACATTACTATATGTCGCGCTGTAGATCTTGTCGCCCATCATGGAGAATGACGGCGCTGGCGGCGATAAAATGAAATCTTGAGTTGCGATGTCGAACGGAGAAGAAGTGAGGTGCGCGGTTTGACGCGACAGCCCGCGCCGCGATGATCGACGAGATCTTGCCGGGATTAGTACTAGCGAGACTTTTCCGTGTTCCTCCACCTCCACCAACCTTCGGGCAGCAACGGTTCACAGCTCTGAATTCTCCCCCATCTCCCAACTCTCGGTGTCCCAAGGCAATCAATATGTCTGGAAATGGTCTCGTCGACCACTCACCTCAGCAGCCGTCCCCTGCGGCTCCCATACCCRCAGCGTCAAATCTGGTGCTGATCGACAACTATGACTCTTTCACCTGGAATGTCTACCAATACCTTGTTCTCGAGGGAGCCAAAGTGACCGTGTTCCGGAATGACGAGATCACTCTTGAGAAGCTCATTGAATCCAGACCGACTCAACTTGTCATAAGCCCAGGCCCAGGCCATCCAGAGACTGACTCTGGCGTCAGCAAAGCTGCCATTGAGCACTTCAGCGGTAAGATTCCTGTTTTGGGCGTCTGCATGGGCGAGCAATGTATCTATTCCGTATTTGGGGGCACCGTCGATCGAACTGGGGAGATTCTTCATGGCAAGACCTCGCCACTGCGCCACGATGGCAAGGGTGTATACGCAGGACTCATACAAGATCTTCCTGTGACGAGATACCACTCCCTCGCAGGAACTCACCCTACGTTACCCGATTGCCTGGAAATTTCGTCTTGGATTGCTTCGGGCCCTGATGGTGGTAAGGGTGTCATCATGGGCGTGCGGCACAAGGAGCTTCTGGTTGAAGGTGTACAGTTTCATCCTGAGAGCATCTTGACTGCGGAGGGCAGAGTGATGATTAAAAACTTCCTACACATGCAAGGTGGTACTTGGGAGGAGAACTCCCGGTTGCAGAAGCAGGCCGCGCCGGCAGCGGCAAATGGCGCTCCTGCAAACAGCAGCGCGGTCGCCACTAATGGCGAGAAGAAAGGCAACATTCTCGAGCGTATCTACGCGCATCGCAAACTTGCAGTCGCGGCGCAGAAACAGGTTCCTTCGCAGCGGCCGGAGGATCTTCAGGCTGCCTTTGATCTTGATTTGTCGCCTGCGCTCATTTCCTTTCCTGATCGGCTCAGGCAAACACCCTTCAAGCTTTCGCTCATGGCTGAAATCAAGCGAGCTTCGCCTTCAAAAGGAGTCATCTCATTATCAACGTGTGCACCCGCGCAGGCACGAACCTATGCCATGGCCGGAGCAAGTGTCATCTCCGTTCTCACAGAACCCGAGTGGTTCAAAGGAAGCATCGAAGATCTAAGGAGCGTACGCCAAGCATTGGACGGTATGCCAAATCGACCGGCTTTGCTACGCAAAGAATTTGTGTTTGAAGAGTACCAGATTCTAGAGGCTAGACTCTCTGGTGCGGATACCGTCCTGCTGATCGTCAAGATGCTTGATCTCGAAACCTTAACAAGACTATACAAGTACTCGCAGTCCCTTGGTATGGAACCATTGGTCGAGGTCAACAATGTGGAAGAAATGGAGATTGCCGTGAAGCTGGGATCCAAGGTCATTGGTGTCAACAACCGTAACCWGACGAGCTTTGAGGTGGACATGGAGACGACCACCAGACTAATGAGCATTGTTCCAAAGGGGACAGTCCTCTGCGCACTCAGTGGTATCGCTGGACCAAAGGACGTTCTGCCGTACCAACAGAATGGCGTCGGTGCTGTGCTTGTTGGTGAAGCTTTGATGCGTGCACAGGACACGACCAAGTTCATTACAGAGCTCCTGGGTGGTAGTGAAGAGGCCATCAAGGCTAAGCCACAAAAGAAGCTGCTTGTCAAGATCTGTGGCACAAGAAGTGCAGAGGCCGCCAAAGCAGCGATAGAGAGTGGCGCCGATCTGATTGGAATCATTCTCGTCGAGGGTAGGAAGAGATGTGTTACCACCGAGACAGCTCTTCAAATCGGAGAAGTTGTACGCAGCAGCTCAAAGAAGACAGAGCCTGCGACCGACGCATCTGCAGTGGCAAGTGGCAAAGCTTCAAGCTACTTTGCGCACACAGCAGCGCACCATATCCAACATCCGAAGCGTGCATTGCTTGTGGGAGTGTTCCTTGATCAGCCACTGGAATACGTGCTGGAGCAGCAGAGGACATTGAGTCTTGACATTGTTCAGCTTCATGGTTCTGAGCCACTGGAGTGGGCCACGTTGATCCCCGTACCTGTGATACGCTCATTCAAGCCCGACCACGCAGGACTTGCGACACGAGGCTTGCATTCCATGCCCTTGCTTGATTCGGGCTCAGGTAGTGGCAAACAACTTGATGTCGCGAGCGTCAAGAGCCTTCTGCAGGCAGATGACGGTCTTCGCGTCGTCCTTGCGGGAGGTCTCAGCCCGGAGAACGTTTCACAGGCAGTCAATGCGCTGGGTGATAACAAGGCTCAGCTCGCAGGGGTTGATGTCAGCAGTGGCGTGGAAGTAGAAGGAGAGCAAGACTTGCAGAAAATTCGTGATTTCGTTCAAGCAGCCAAAGGCATAGAGCTTTGATGGTATTAAATGAGAACAAGAAAAGTCGAAAACGGCTGCTGACTTTACATCCTGAGGATCTTTGGCTAATGTCACATGCTAGTCTTGGCAACTCCCAGTCGATTCACCGTCAATTTGAGGAATACTTTAGTCTGATTTCAGGCTGCCGCGACCTTTTCTCACGTGAAATGATGTTCGGAGAGTGAAGTGCGTCGCCGTTTGCATACTGCAAATGGCTGCTCAAATATCTACCTCCATCTTCTACCTCCTACCTCTACCTCTACCACATGTCTTGCACTCTCTTACCCCCAACATCCACACTTTTCGACAAGCCCCACAAAAGACTTAAAGTATCCAATACCGTTGGTAGTAGCCTCATTAGGCCGCAACCACTGCTGTGCTTTCTTATTCTCCTTGACTTTGGGCACCAAGCTGCAGTCGACAGACTGAGGGTCACTTCGGTGGTGTAGCACCATTCAATCCGCGACATCACTCAGTATCGACGTCACTTGCAACAAACATTCAAACTGCCCACAACCTCTCTCGAGATACTGCTCATCTACCGCGCTGTCTCGACTGGCCGACCAGCAAACAAGCGGGGTCATTGCACACTGACGCGGAGGTCGGGCCCAAGACAACTAGCAAAGACAGTTCGCTTCCGAGCAAGACTGCAGTGAAGTCAATCACTTTCACAAGTCACATCTGCCGATTCGATCAGGTCATCAACCTCGACTGAAGACTTCTCACCTTGACCAATCAACCACCAACCAAAAACCAGCTGAACAGCACATCCTTCAAAATGGCACCGGGCTCTCTCAAGGATTGCCACATTGTGGTCCTCAAGGGAAATAAGTTCCGCGGAGACTACACGATGCCAAATCTCAAGAAGTGGATCGAGAGTGGCGGCGGTCATGTGGAATTCAAAGAGGTGCTTACTGAGCGAACCACTCACGTCGTCATGGATGAAGATACCTGGTTGGATCAAGGTCCATTCATTCAGGAGATCCTCAAAGCGGAGATCAAGGGCTCCTCCGAGCAAGCGGGCCGAGAGATTCACATCGTCAGCTTCGACTGGCTGCAAGAATGTCTTGACAATCGTGTGAAGAGACGCGAGAGCCTTTACAGATGGAAGAAACTGGCCGGCGGCGTTCTCAAGAATTCGGGTCGTTCTCCAAAGGAGCCTGGTAATACCCAGGGAGACATGTTGGCCACATTGATGACCGAAACAGATCGTTTCATGAATGCTGGATTGAAGAAAACGGTTGAGAAGCGCAAGAGAGTTGACGCTGAGGAACGCGAGAATGAACTCGAGATGGAGGCGCAACAGTTCATCATTCACCGCAAGAAGATGAGCATCCCCGAGCAGGCGGCAGTCTTCAAGCGGGGAGCCAAGAGAGCTCGTAACGACATCCTTTCTGGTGCGGTGGCCCCCTTCATCCTCCATGGACCACATGCTAATGTTTTATAGACAATCACCACATCTTCATTGACAACACAGGCTTCCCACTTGATGTCACAATAACCAAGGTCGACATCATCAACAATGTCAACCAGCGTTGCGTCCTCACAGTACGTTTCATCTCCTGTCTTTTGCGATTATAGATATGAATTGATTTCTCTCCTGGTTTCCAGGAGACTAACACTTACATCTCAGTTACAGATCTATGAGTCAAACACCGTGCCAAGCTCCTACGCTTTCCACTGCGGTTTCGTTGGCACGGCCACCCTTCCACGCAACAATATCATCGCAGCCATCGGCAGCAACTTCCCCACCGCTTTCCGGGCCTTCAAGAAGACCTTCAAGCAGTACACGAAGGTTGAATGGGACGACCGACTTCTGGAGGTTCAGCAGCGTGAAGCTAAAGCTAAGGCTAAGCGGGACGAGGGAGCGGAGATTCCGTTCGACGAGCTTCCATTCGAATACTACCCGCCGACCTATGGTCCACTCGGCGAACTTCCGCTCGCCCAGACTGAGGCCATGGATGCACTGGTGAAGTCTATGGATGCCGACAAGAAGGATGCACTGGTGCAATCTTTGGAGGCTGAGAAGGAATCTCGACCCTTGAGCGTGGAGGACGATGACGAGAGGAAGATGAGCGGCGGCGAGGGTCCGGGAAATGTCTCTCCAGGATTCATTGAGTTCATGTCTTCTTCAGCAAAGGAGTCGGGCTTCCCTCCCGACGACCAGCTGAACGGTTCACCTTTCGCATACCCTTTTGCGATGGGCGGTAGAAAAGACGATGCTATCGTGGTGGAGGACGATGACGATGACGAAGACGAAGACACGAACCCTAAGGCCGCATTCGCTCCAACGAGCAACAATGATACGGTCACACCTCTCAACACCATCTACGGCGCAGGAAGCACTCCTGCTGAGCGGGACGATGTCTCCACCCAGCAAGTTGGAACACAATCTTACCAGCAGACCTACGAGTTTGACGACGAGCTTGGTCTCACGCAGTCAACTGGATTCTCCGAGCTGGCCGTCGGATCATCGCAGATTCCAAGTCAGCCACCATATGTGGCGCAGACCCAAGCTTTCGGTCAGACTCAGCTCGCGGAGTCTGCATTGGCCTGGCTCCTGGAGGATGAGCAGACTCAGGCCGGTGGAAATGGTGCAGCTGGAGGGTCTTGACAACCGTAAATCTGAAGCAATCACCATCATCGATGATGCGGAGAAGGGAGTCGATGGTTCCAAGCCAGAAACTCGGGTCGAGGATGGAAGCAGCAATACGCCTGTCAATTTGGACATGGAACTCTTGTGAGCTGCTGGCTTCACGCCTCAAGAAGAATTGATTTCGATTGTGCTCTACAAGCTCGAGCGGACGGCTGCAGCTTTCTTCCAAAAGGGCGAAAGCAGCAAATGCCGGAATACCATCAGAAATGCGAAAACTTAGGGCAATTTGTACCCGCGAAAGCTTCTTGGTTGATGGCTCCTTTAAACCTCAAGTACAATGAGATCGGAGCAAGGAAGGCTACGATTTTAGCTTTGTAGCATATCAAGTCAAATTGAAAACGAATCGACTGACCCATTCCCAATTTTCATGCCTTTGTGAGATCCGACGAAGTCTTCTCCGAAGGAATCGGGGCAGCACTCATATCAACGCCATTCAGAGCCTCACTTTGTATATTGGCATGTCGCGAGGTTCTAGCGTGCTCTACCCTGGCATATTCCTGCGGTGTCAGCCGCCAAGTCTGCTCTGTTGCATGATGACAGCGTTGTATACGCAAAGTCCTTGGTCCACGTCCATGCTGACTGCCTGAAAAGGGGAGCCGTCGGGCGTCTCTTGCCCTAGACCTCATGTTGGATGTCATACGGAGCGGAGTCTTCCTCCATGAGGGGTGATCTCGAGGTGGCATTAGCTGGTTGTTTACATCGGATCTCACGTGGCGACTGTTTCCTTCTCCACTACTTAGGGAGACGAAGCTCTGTAAAAGGCAGCATATAAGCAGGCTACCCTTCAAGCCCAGAAGGACAGAGTAGATCCACTCCCTTCGGAAACAGAATGCGTTTCGCCATTCCCTCGCTCCTCGCCTTGACGGGCCTGCTCTCAAGCGTGTCGAACGCAGACTCCGTCCCTTTCGAACGCCTTGACAAGAACAATTCTCTTCTCCTCATCCTCGACCTTCAGGTCGGCCTGTACAGTCTTGCGCGCGACTTTGACGCCACACTGTATTACAACGCAATGCTGGCGCACTCGGCATTGGGCAGTCTCTTTGTGAGTTGTCGACGGCGTCAATGAAGGTTTTCTTATAAGTTCTAGGATCTTCCAGTCATCATGACAACATCAGCGCAGGAGGGTCCAAACGGTCCACTTCCCAGGGCGATTCTCGAAATGTACCCCAACGCTCCTCTGATCCAGCGTCAAGGTGAGGTGGATGCGTGGGACAATGCGGAGTTTCGTGCAGCAGTAGAAGCAACGGGAAAGAAACAAATCATTGTAGCAGGGATTGTCACGGATGTCTGTACGTACACAGACTCCCGGCTTCATCGCTCCGCCATATTCCCCCTCCTGACCACTCCTCACAGGCACGACGTTCCTCGCGCTCTCCCTCCGCAGCGCAGGCTACAGTGTCTGGGCCAACGTCGAGGCATCAGGCACAACAACGCCTTTCATCCGGGATGTCAGCAATGATCGAATGGCGAGGGCCGGTGTGCAGCTTGTGAGCCTGTTTAGTATCGTGTGCGACTTGATGCGGGATTGGAGGAACACGCCGGGTTCTCCCGAGGTGATGCCATGGTTGGCCAAGTGGTATCCTGTCTATGGCATATTGGCGCAGGCGCACGGAGAAGCGATCTTGAATGGAACTATTGTGCCTGGGGAAGACGTAATTCTGGGCGTGTGAGACTGAAGAAATGTTAGGCAATGTACGTAGAGCTTAAATCGGGCCGGATGAATCGTACCGTTGCCTCGAACCTTCCTCCTTCATCGCCTCCATGATTAATCTTCTACCGGCKGGGCAGGTCCACACGGCAAAACCATTTTTTCCATACAGCGCATTCGCACCTTCTCCATCGGCTGGCCCATGCCAATGGCCATGTAGTGCAACAGCGGCTGATGACCCTGGAAGCTGGCGTACGAGTCACGCTGGATGTTGGACGTCCACTCGTGCTTGGTGGTGTCGGCGTGTCCAGTGCCCACGTATCTAACAGAAGGAAGGAAGGGTCAGCAAATCTGTGTATATCTATATACCCAGACGGAGGGGATGGTCGGCAGAGGTGATGCAGTGCCATGTCCGCAGGCCTTTTGATTTATTTTATGATAACACTCACTTTGCTTGGAGCTGCTCGAGCTGCTGCTGCGTACGGAGTTTGTCGGCCATTTGGTCTGGGGTTGGGAATTTGTGCGATGTGATGTCTTGATGTAATTATTGACGGACGAGGAGGACTAGATTGGAAATGATCAATATTTGCAAGTCTGTACATTTAGGCCACTGACCAAACACGCCTTCAAACGCGTGACCCGCACCACGACGCGACGCCGTCTTCGGCTTACTTTCACGCCTGGAATGACATCGACCCAACATCACTCGCAATGCCACGAAGGCGTCGTTCCGAGTCTGAAGAGGAATCCCACGAACCTGCAGCTCATCGTCGACGTACACATCATGCCGCCTCCGACAACGACGACGATCATGACGATGAGGACGAGTCGGGTGCCAACATCACCGACATGTCTAAGAAGCTGGTCCGCTTAGCATTGGCATACGAGTACCAGCGCCGAACCATTCGTCGTGCTGAAATCACCGAGAAGGTGCTGGGGAGCAATAATGCCCGGAAGTTCAAGGATGTGTGGAATCAAGCGCAGGGCAGTCTCCGAGATGTTTTTGGCGTTGAGATGGTGGAATTGCCCGTGAAGGAGAAGATCACGCTACAGCAACGGAGAGGTAGTCACATCTCTTTCGAAGCTTCACACTTCTTGAACTGACAGTGATGATAGATGCACAGAAAAAAGGCACTACTAACACATCAACATCCTCGGGATGGATTGTCATATCCATCCTTCCCAACAAATACAAGCATCCAGACATCCTACCACCGCCTTCAGCGCCAACGATGACTGAGGAATCTATATACACAGCAATCTACACGATGTTGATTTCATTGATATCCCTGTCTGGTGGCTCACTTCCAGATGCAAAAATGGAGCGCTATATCTCCAAGCTGGGCATGTCGGAWACGTCCCCACTTGGCGACAACGAGAAGACGGAATTTCTGTTTAAGCGCTTGATCAAAGACAATTACATCGTCAGGAGTAAGGAGAGTACGGGTACGGGAGAGGACGATGTGCAGTGGTTGGTCGGCCCGCGGGGAAAGGTTGAAGTGGGGGAAGAGGGCGTTCGCGGATTGACAAAGGCTGTGTGGGGGGATCTGTCTGAGAAGGATGACGAGGAGATGGATAGGAAGATTATGCGGAGTCTGGGTGTTGGGGAGAGAATGGCTGCTGTTGTGAGCAAAGATGCAATTGGCGGTGCAGCGGAAAAAGAAAGGAGGAAGCCTGGAAGGCGGAAGCGGCAAAGTCGAGACGAGGGTGACGACGACGAAGGAATCGAGATGGAGGATGGCGACGATGAGTAGTGTGTAACTTCGACCGATACCTCTTCCTCTGCTTGCTGGTATCTCCTTCAGGTCAGCTAAGGACGGAGCRACGGCGGAGACGGACTGACGAAAGACATGGACGATATCCAAGCTCAAAAGCTGAAATTTGTGTACACCACAAACTTTCACATTCTCTGATGAGGCAGATTTTGGCAAGCAACCCGTTCGATAAACAGACGGGGCCAGCGATGCAAACATAGCCAATTATCTTGACCTATTGCGGCTGCATGTGCTTGCTCACTCAGTGCATGGTGGCAAAAATGAACATGCTAAAATATGAAGCCGACTCACTGCTGTCCACATTCTCGACGGATCTCGTAGCAATAGACCCGCGCGATCGATTGATTGAACGATGAGCTCGAGGAAGCATTACATGTGATTAGTCAAAAGGCATTTGCCGCCTTCACTTCAACGTCACTGTCACTAGCGCAGATCACAGCGACATCGCAAACGAAACTTTAAGCACGACTACCTCGCCTCCTCACATCTCACGCAATCCAGAACGACACCGACCTCACACAATCCACAATCACACCATTCGACCTGTCTCTATTCCAAACACACACGCAGAGGCTTTTCTCACACGAATTCAATACGGCTGGGCTTGTACGTTGTGTCAAGGTCATCCGATCTCCGACGTTACAAGCCTGCGTCTGGTGGGGTCAAAATGATTGCAATTCCGAAGCCAGAGGACTATGGCGTATCCCATCAAAATGGGTTCCTGCCCTCCATTGCTCCAATTGAGAGACTCTCAGATTCCTACTACGAGCCGTGGGAGCACATTGTGAAGAATCTCCAGGGGTTGATTCTCAGCAAAAGATTGAGGGGAGTCGTGGAAAACCTGCCTGTACTGTCAACAAACCGTCTTTCTGGAGAGGCGCAATGGCAACGTGCATACAGCGCACTCGCATTCATCACACATGCCTACATTTGGGGAGATGACAAACCCGCAGCAAGGATCCCACCTCCGATTACCATACCTTTTATGGCGACCTGCGATCATCTTGAGCTTCCTCCAGTCGCTACATACGCCGGATTGGTCTTGTGGAATTGGAAGCCGATATTTCACTCAGAGTCGGCCGATACCTTGGCCAATCTCGACATGATCGACACCTTCACAGGATCTCTGGACGAAAAATGGTTCTACCTGATCAGCGTTGCAGTCGAAGCACGAGGAGGAGCCATTGTTCCGCTCATGCTTCGAGCAATTGAAGCAGCAAACCAAAACGACCGAGCTGCTGTGACCGCCTGCCTTCGATCGTTTGCAGAGCGATTGGACGAGCTAGGCTCAACCCTATCTCGCATGTATGAGAACTGTGACCCTCACGTCTTCTACAACCGCCTTCGACCGTTCTTGGCGGGCAGCAAGAATATGGCAGACGCAGGGCTGCCCAACGGAGTCATTTTCGACAATGGCGGTTCAATCAACAAGCAGAGATATGTCAAACTCAGCGGCGGCAGCAATGCACAGTCCAGCATCATCCAATTTTTTGACATTGTTTTGGGTGTTCAGCACCGTCAGACTGGTGTTACAAAGGATGTAAATGCGAACAGCGAGGAAAAGACTGGCCCCAAGCCGGCTGACAATTTCATCTACGAGATGCGCAAGTACATGCCTGGACCGCATGCTCGCTTCCTTGAGCAAGTTTCGCACGTGTCCAACATTCGGAGCTTTGTGCAGGCGAACAGCCACGATCGCGCATTGAGCATAGCATTTGATGCGTGCCTTGCGATGCTCAGTGCCTTCCGCGATACTCACATACAGATAGTGAGCCGGTACATCATCATCAAGAGCCGTGAGGCCAAGAAGGAGGAATCCTTGAAGCCGGGCAATGAGAAGAAACCGAACAAGGTCAATCTGGCTCACCGAACGAAAACAGCGGGATCGAACGAGAAGAAGAATCTCAAAGGTACGGGGGGAACATCCCTGATCCCATTCCTACGGCAAGCTCGGGACGAGACGGGCGAGCAAGCCATTGACATATGGACGCGCAACCTGCTTAATAAGAAGCGAGGCGCCGCGTTGGAAAAGCCAAGCGAGAGCACTGTCAAACAAGGCCTTGCTGGTGTCTGGCAGGTAGACAATGGCGGTTTATGCTACTGGTAGAACTGATGCCGCGAGGCAAAAACGATTGACGAGTGTGAAGTGACGATGGCCACATGTATAAATGACTCCAATGCAAAATCAATCAAAAGACCCTTGGAAATCCTGTAAGCCACGGAGTGTAATTCTGTGGTCGGCGACCCACCCGCCGGGTCACAACGTACGATTCGAGTGCGAAGGAACATTGAGATCGTATGATGRCAGGCAGGTGCCGCCAACTCACGGGCTTCAAACATCTGTACGGGCACAGCCGCCATGCGATGAAGCACAAAGGAAGTGTACTGCCAGTCGAGCCGAAATCTGAAAAACGTGGTGTCGTCGTCTAACATCACGGCAGCTCGAGTTGCCGGCTGTGTTCCTTTGATCAAATTCACAAGTGTCAAGCCCTACGGATACCGCCCCGCTTAAAACTAGCTCCCGCGGCCGAGCTCCGGGACATAATCAGACCATCTCGAAGACCCCGTCCGTCACACAGCGACTGCGCCTGCTTTTGCTACCGCTCCGTGTAGAAAACGAAGACGTCGCCCTATTCACCTCTGCCGGCAATAGACTGTATACAGACGACGTCCATGCTCCACCAGTCGCGCTGAGTGCTTATCGGGCCTTGTTTCCGCCCTGCATACGATTGCAACTCAGATATGGACGCGTCTTGGCAGGGAGGRGGGGGAGGGCTGTCGCAGCAGACGCCGCCCTTTGTGTCGCAATTCAACGGGGGACCAAACCACGAGGACTGGGAGGACTGGCTGCGATGGGACCCGGCTGCGGAGGCGAACTTTCCTGACGATGGCACCTTCAACTCGGGTTCGTCGAAGAATGATTCGCCGCTGCAAGCCCCGTCGTCCTATGAGACATATGGGCAGCACGACGAGCCCCTTGTACAACCGCTCATCGTCGACGACGAAGCCTTTGGATTTGGCACTAGTGCAGGCCTCAGCAACGATTCATTCCTCTTTGACGGTATCGGCGGTGTGGACGCCGGCTTCGACTTCGACCTCGCAAATTCGCTCAATGACTTGCCTGCAAACTTGCCCAAACTCGACACAAATGCTGCCACATGGCCATTGCCGTCCAATGATGTACCAGAGCTCAGTGGCACCTTGTCGACCCTCTCCAACGATCAGAAACACACCTTCACTCCCGCAGCATCGTTGGCTGCAACCACGCCGAGTCTACACCACAGTCCAGCGTCTACATCCCATGCGCGGCGTAGCATATCCTCCACCTCTCCGGACCCGCCGAAGAAGCGTGGAGGGCGTAAGAGAAAGGCGGAGGTCGAGGCTGAGTCCAATATAGAGAATGTCGAGCATGGGGGGTCTCAGGATGGCGACGAGCCGCCAATGAAGAAGACATCCCACAACGTGATTGAGAAGAGATACCGCAACAATCTCAACGACAAGATAGTCGAGCTACGGAATAGCGTACCCAGTCTTCGCGCCAAGGGAGCTCCAAAGGGCGGTAAAGGTACGGAGGACTTGGATGGCCTGACTCCAGCTCACAAGCTCAACAAGGCGACGGTGATGGCAAAAGCAACAGAGTACATCAAACACCTCGAAACTAGGAACCAGACCATGGCGGACGAAATGGCTGCACTCAAGGCCCAGCTGGCACGGGTAGAGGCGGCTATTGGTYAATCTCGTGACAGACAACCCAGCATGGGCAACGGTAGCAGCCCAACGGCTGGAAGTCCCCGCTCGAGAGAGACATCATCTGCAGGATCACCGTCTTTCCTAAATGTAGGCCAGGACCAGTCTAGATTCGGGCAACCTGCAGTGCAGCAGCAGTACATGCAGCAACAGACTCCAGCAACGTATGCTAGGCCTCCAAATCCTCCTGTCGATGCTCAAAACCAGCCACAGCATGGAAACGGGCGAGGCGGCTCAGGCTTCGTGAACAAGGTTATGCTCGTCACGATGGCTGGCATCATGGCATTGGAAGGGTACAACGAGCACGGTGATTCTGGAGATCCATCTGCTTTTCAACTCTTCTCGGTTCCAACAGCACTCCTCAAGCGCTCTCTTGGAGGCCCGTCCACATCTTCCGAGGCACTTTCACAAAAAGCTACAATCTCCTTGTTGAAGATGTTCTTGGTCGTTGGTGCGTTCATTTACCTACTCGCCCCTCTGCTCTCGTTCTCGCCTCGGCGGAAGCACAAGGCACATGCATCTGTACAGCTCCCTCAAGCTCCTTCCCTGGCCTCGCCGGTCGAAGTCCGAAGGAAAGCTTGGCTTACCGCCATCCAAACTGTATGGGTGCCCAAGCATTTCCTACATGAAGTCGTTGCTGTTGGTTTCAAGATGTTCCAATTGAGCGTGCGGAGGTTGATCGGGTCTGAAGCGTTCACCACAATCACTGGCACTACCAAAGAAGAGGAAGCCGCACGTATAAAAGCCTGGGATATTGCGATCGATGCTCAGCTTGCCGGAGGCGACGCTCAAGTCAGCTACTACCGACTCCTCTTGACATTGATGGAGAGTGGTACGCTCCCAGACTCACCAGCGAGATTGATGCAAAAGGCGGTACACTTCCGCGTCTTCTTCTGGGAAGTTGCAAATGCCGGATACGGGAACCTGATTGGCTTCAAGCAGTTTACCGAAAAGGTTGGCAGAATATATTGGGCATCAGCCAGGAGACTACAGAAGGAGCTTGTTCACGCCAAATCACAAGGGAGGCCCGCCGATGAAGATGAGTTGGAGTTGCTGCCCGACCACCTTGCGCGTCTTGGAGAGCTGGACTGCGACGAGGTTCTGACTGACGAAATGATTCAACGTGCTTGGAACCTTGCATGGAACAAGCCTAGTGCGAATGGGACCATCGCGAATGCAGCACGAGACAGCGTGGTGGAGGATCATGCTATTCGCTCTCCATTGGATGCCGTTGCCGCGTGGTATACCAACACCGCCATCGACGACACACTGGCTGATGCGTTGAGTGATAACGTGTCGACATTTGACACGGAGTATTACATCGGTTTAGCACTCAGCGTTGCGCCCCCTGCATCCAGCACTCACGTGCGAGCGCTGGTGGCCAAAGCTGTGTTGTCCAAGACCAACCGCGACGCCAACGTTATTGTCGCTTTGGATGCTCTGCCTGTGGTATCGCCAACGAGCGGCATGAACCTTGTCAATCACGCGCCTGCATCTCCAGATGTCTGCACTGCGCTGACTTTGGCGAAAATGATTTCCCTCTGCTCTCCATCATCGCCTCGGGCCGCTCGCCTGCGTGCTTTCGATGCGCTGAATGGCTTGCAACTGGCGCCGGCTCACTTCACACTGCTCACAGCTGTAGCCGCATACCGCCTGCTCAGGATCATGTCTTCAAGGAAAGATGTACCGAAAACGACAGAGCATGGCATAGAAGAATTCGCGGGAAGTTTGCGCGTCTGGGTCGGCACGTCGTCAGGCAAGAGCAGCGGGTTGGGTCTTGAAGGGCGGAGAAAGATTGTCCGGCTATGTCTCAACATTGCGAAGCAACTAGGCGGGTGGGGCGAGAAGGACAGTGGGTATGTCTCCAACTCGTCGAGTCAACGGGGCAGCCAGAAGGGCAGTTTAAGTCCGTAGAGGATTGCATTGGGCTTCGGGATAGATTTAGACGTGCCTACTTATTTATGTAGTAGTGTATGAATGCGAAGCGGAACGCTTTGATGAATGAAATTGATCCGACAGGCTCGAAGGACGGGAGAGATGAAGATTGTCGACTCCCTATACAACAGATATACCATTATGCTCGCAGTCAACTTGCTATGACCATCAAAGTGAAGAGTTTCGAGGTCAGCGCTTGGTGTGTGGAATGTCTGGTGCTGTACCTTAATCTTCACATGCCACATGCCACCTAATGACGTGCATCGACGTTCGAGCCTCTGGTCGTCCTCACGCGCCCACCAGTCACTCATACCTTACACTTCCACGTCCTGACACCACCACACGGCCTTGTGGTCCATGACTGTCTCGGCTGATAACTCTGGCCCACGGCCTCTACCATCAAAATGGACGACCGGAACGTCATTGCCAACCGTGACGAAGCAATACCGGTCCTTCGCATACCATCCCGCGACGACGACAACGACGACATCTCATCCGCCGTAAGCGACAGCGAAGTCAAGATACGCAAACGTGAGAAATTCCTGAACAAAGCGGGCCATGTCGGCAATATGTTCAAGGACAAGGTGGACGAGTTCAGCACGCCGGAAGCTCGCCAGACTCTCCAAGATCGCATGTTCGCCAGTATTCTGTCGCAGATTATCCCGCCTGAGGAAATGGGTGAGGGCGAACACGACGCGTTCAAATCTGCAAAGCCAGATCGAAGGAGCAAGAAATATGTGGACAGGTACGGGATTGCCTGGATGTGCCCATGAATGTCTCGCTGACATGCTGATCCAGGCCAGAATTTGGTCCTCGACTGATGACATACAACTTCCGCCGCTTCAACTCGAGGATTGGAATTGTGTTTGTCATGCAGAATCGCTTGATCCGTCTATTCACGTGGCAGACTCCCACCGCGACTCTTTCCTTCCTGGCCATACACTCCCTCCTCTGCCTCAAACCCCATCTTCTACCCCTCGTACCACTCGTTGGCCTTCTTTTCAGCATCATGATACCTTCCTTCCTCGCCCGGCACCCGGCACCAGCTAATGACCCGATGATGGAGCCGAGCTTTCAAGGACCACCCTCAGCTCCCGCCAGTCGAGTCAAACCGGCGGCTGAAATGAGCCATGACTTCTGGCGGAACATGAGAGATCTACAGAACTGCATGGAAGACTTCTCACGCATCCACGATGCTGGTAATGAGTACATTACGCCGTATACCAACTTCAGCGACGAGGCGTTGAGCTCCTCGCTCTACTTTATACTATTCGCTCTCAGCTGCGCGGCATTCCTGGCGAGTCAGCTAGTACCCTGGCGAGCCATTGCACTCATAGGTGGCTGGGTAATCACAGTCTCTGGTCACCCGCAAGCTCAAAAGACCATCACATCTACTCGAAATATGAGCCAGTTGCGTCAGACGCTCGAAGCTTTTCAAATGACGTTTCGGAACTGGGTCGAGACGGATGTTGTGTTGGATGAGCCCTCGGAGCAACGTCAGGTTGAGGTGTTCGRGTTGCAGCGCTTCCACTCCCCGAGTGATACTTGGGAGCGCTGGCTCTTCTCTCCCAGCCCTTACGACCCTTTGAGTCCCGCCCGCATCGGAGATGATCGGCCGAAAGGTACTCAATTCTTCGAAGATGTACAGCCTCCGCGAGGCTGGATTTGGAAGCAGAAAAAGTGGACGCTTGATCTGCTCAGCCGGGAATGGGTAGAGGAGCGTTTGATTACAGGTGTCGAGATCGAGACCGAGGGCGAACGATGGGTGTATGACCTCAGACCGGATGAGCTAGAGGAGCTACTCGACAATCCCTTGCGTGTGGGCAAGAACAARAAACGAGTCAAAAGCATCCCTATGAGTGGTTGGGAGGAAGGGAATGGGAATGGCTTTGATGAGCGCGGCGAATGGCGGCGCAGGCGGTGGACTAGACTCGTTGAGAGGCAGCCGGACCGTAATACCGACAAGCAGACATGAAGACTTCTTGGTCAACATGAGCCTGGCGCCCACCAGAAGCCTGACATTTACCAAAGCGAGGCTGACACCGTCACGGCGCATCTGATTTGAATCAGATGTCGAGAGACCCGCGATTTAGCATTTCTCGGCCAATGCAACGCCACAGTATACATGTGCCAGCACAGAGCATTACTCCGCTCCCTGATCTCGCGAGTAAGGGACACGTCAAACGCATCACGCGTGTGAAGGGCTGCGGGACACAATTATTGCAATCGAGTATCCACACTAGGCTGGATGGATGCGACTGGCATRCGCGATGGTGGCGAGTTGGGAAGTGAGCTTATTCCGGATCAAGGCTGGAGGGAACCACGCCAGCGTCAACTTGGTACTTCTTCTCATACCAAGCCGGTTCTCAGCGGGGCGCCATTTTGATGCTAGAATGGTTGAAACGGGCCATTTCGTTGCATAGTCGATCTTGCCAGATGCTCGTGAGATGCATCTAGCCACCAGTGCATCATCCGCGGAGTTTTGACGCCTTGAGACACCTCTTACAACCGGGTAGAACCCTGAAGCAACCTCCAGCCGCATGGKTCTTATCGTACATTCCCAATTTTCTGCACGATCTTACTAGCCGCATATCGCGCGAACACCCGTGGGGCACAGATCATATTGCAGTCGCCTCATGCTCATAGTGGTGCTTGCCTGTCCATTTTATGCTGATGGACGATTCGCGTTTCCTGTTCATGGTAGCCGCGTGCTTGAAAAGGAACTGTTCTTGGATACCTAGAATAGGTAGATTGTAGCGTGAAGCTCTTGAACCTACAGGCCCTGTCCCACTACAAAATCAAGTGCCATTCGTCCTCGATGTTCGAAACTACTTCCTAACTAAACGCTCACCATACTCCAAGGACTGACTGATGTAACTGCTCTAGGCTTTGTCTCAAACTCATACAGACATAAAGTCTCACTGGACATTGACCACACGTATACACTGAGCGGCAGGTGGCGATATCTACGGTGATGAGGCGAAGGCCGAGCGTGAGTTGCTTTGCTGAGCATGAATCGAATGGCCGATCGCTGACTGACTTGAATCCTCAGACTACGGCTATGTCAAGCGAGGTCTCAAATCCCGTCACATTCAATTCATAGCTCTCGGGGGGACCATTGGCACAGGCTTGTTCCTTGGTATTGGTGAGTCTCTCTCGTTCACGTATTTAAGCAGGGCGAACCGACACCCTTTGCGTGCTCTACTCAATGATGAGTTGGCTGCAGTCGAACTCTGACTGGACCTGCTCATCACATTTGAATACGATGGCACGCTAGTCTCGAGCAAAATTGGGAAAAGTTGTACTCATATGTTGCAGGCAAAGCGCTTTCAAATGGCGGTCCTCTATCGTTACTTCTCGGCTACACAATTGTGGTGAGTCTTGAGATCTGGCGGGCTTTCCCCAATAGCACTCAAACTATGAGACTCTATCACCATCTTCGATCTTATCTCATGATTTGGTGTTTCCCCTGATTAAAGCTTCACTGGCGAGCGGATTTCTAGCTTGTACCGAGAATGACCCCTAGCCCCTTCTCGATCTCCTGGACAACCGTCGATTGCAAACTGACCAACCCGTAGGGCCTCTTCATCTATGCTATGATGAACTGCCTTGGAGAGATGGCTACGTGGTTACCGTTGCCGGGTGCTATCCCTCAATACTGTGCTCGCTATGTCGACCCAGCAATGGGTTTTGCCGTTGGTGGGTCCTCCCGACGAACGCATATAAGAACTACAAGCACTGACATCTTCCAGGCTGGAACAATTGGATCAGTTCAGCTCTGACTCTCTGTGCAGAGATCTCTGCCGCTGCTGTCGTCATTGGCTTCTGGAACGATACCATCAATCAAGCCGTGTGGACATCGATCATCATCGTTATCATCATCGCTTTGAACATCTTCGCAGTGTCAATCTACGGAGAGGCCGAGTTCATCTTCGCAAGCGTGAAGATCATTACGATCCTTGGTCTCCTAGTGCTGGCTTTCATAATCGCGGAGGGCGGTGTCCCAGACCAAGGTCGTCTTGGATTCAGGTACTGGAAAGAGCCCTATGCGGCCATGAAGTCTTACCCCAACGTTGGCAAGGCTGGTACTGATGTGGCACGATTTGCTGGGTTCTTTGCAACGCTCGCAAATGCTGCATTCTCATACGGAGGTGTAGAAATGGTCGCTGTCGCAGCTGGAGAAGCTGAGAATCCGCGCAAGAATCTCCCCAAGGCCGTTCGCAGGGTTTTCTGGAGGATCCTCTTCTTCTACGTGCTCGGTTCGTTGGCTATTGGGGTTACTGTGCCCGGCAACTCTGACGCTCTGTTAAATGGTGGTTCCGGCACCAAATCCTCCCCCTGGGTAATTGCAATCGTCCAAGCTGGAATTCCCGTGCTCCCATCCATCATCAACGCCGTCATCCTGACATCCGCCACCTCGTCTGGTAACGCTTTTTTGTACACTGGCTCTCGATACCTCTTCGCTCTTGCGCAGAATAGACAGGCTCCTCAGTTCCTCCTCAAGTGCTCAAAAGCTGGAGTTCCAATCTGGTGTGTCCTGATCACCGCCTCGATTTCTCTCCTTACCTACATGACCGTCTCGACAGGGGCTGCTGCCGTCTTCGATTGGTTCCAAACTCTCACCACCATCAGCTCCCTCTTCACTTGGATGTCCATCTGCATCGCCTACATCCGTTTCAAAGCTGCATTGGACGCGCAAAGTGTAGATCGCAACACACTGGTCTTCAAAAGCAAGTTCCAGCCGTACTGTGCTTGGGGTGCCCTCATCTTTTTTGCCATCATTACTAGCTTTAACGGTTTTGCCGTTTTCACGAAGAATACCGGTCCTCATGGCGGCTCGAACTGGAACATCCGGGACTTTGTAACCGCTTACGTTGTGGTTCCCATATATTTCGCTTTCTACCTCTTCTGGAAGGTATTCAAGCGCACCAGGTTTGTCCAGGCATCTGAAGCGGATATTTGGACCGGTAAGGCGGCGCTGGATGCCGAGTACTGGCCAGAGCAGATACCTAAGAATTGGGTCGAGAAGGTGTGGTTCTGGATTTGCTGAGCAAATGGTTACGTAGGTATAAGGTATGAACGCTGGGATGATGTTGCTACGACACAATCGAACATGACAACATACCACTTTTCAGTGTCCTCTAGTTGGAACTATTGAAGGACAGCGGCTCGGGCAGTGAAAGAGCAATTCGATCGTTGGAAAAGCTGTTCAAAGCATCCGCTGACTTCCTGAAGACCCTCCCAATCTCATTTTTTTACGCCCCTTACAACCCACAGCGGATCGCTTCTTCTTCCCTCGCTGACCTCCACAATTTCCACCTCTTTCCACCCTGCGAACACCAAATAATCACCAACCATCTCTAACCTCTCCTTCTCGCTGAGCATCAACCACCTCCTCACAACCTTCGTCGGAAAGCATCGATTGCTGATAGCTAAATGCACACTGCCGCCATCCCTCATCTTCTCTCTCAAACTTCGCAATACTTCTACAGGCTTCGTCAAGTAATCTATGCTAACAACACAAGTCGCCGCATCCACCTGCCCTTCGATCACTCCATCAAGCTCCGGCTCTGAATTCAAATCACGCAGAATACGTCCACCTGAGAGATGAGGGTTGCGATCCAGCTCGGCGGCGTTCATGCCCATTCCTATGACTTCCAGTCTGCCAGCTTCGAYGGCTGTGATTGTTGAGGGAGGAAAGTGGGAGATCCACGAACTGCAAAAGTCCAGTATCCGACCCGATTGGGGAAGAGTGGAGGCATAGTAAGTTTGCAAAGATGCTATTGCGGGAGCATCGATGTGAGTTACGAAGCGGGGACTGCTGTAGAAGCCGCTGTCTGGGGAAGAGTCCTGTCGAAGGAAGTCGGAAGGTGAGTATGGCCAGGGACGTGTTGGGGGATTGTATGGGACTGTGGTGTACGAAGAGGCTGACATTGCGGATGCAAGAATCTTGGATGGTGTTCCTGTCGTTGTTGGCGTCGTCCTTTTGGTAAGCAGGTTGAGGATAGTGTTGATATGGTTGGGCTTTGGCATCGGGTTTCAGTTTCGTCAATACTTTGTATTCTGGTACGTTTGGKGAAAGGTAGAAAACTATCTAGTCAGACTTGATCGATCGTTGTGTTGGCATGGCATGGCACTTCACGCAGGATAAGGTAAGTACGACAGGTGTATTCATGACGTCAGACATTGTTGGTAGATGGATGCCCGGGTGGTAAGTAGATGTATTACACTTGGTGATGTTGAAGCTGATTGTGGAAAGCTTTTGATGCCGTGTGACTTAGCCGCTATTGGGTATCCGGTTGATGTGTACAATGGAGATGTGTTCACGGCAGACGCCCTTGCCTCATACAGATGAGAGACTCGGATGATAGCCGATTGTCTCACGCACGCTTCCGGCGTTGTTGTCGTTGTCCTATTGCGGCTTGCACTCTTTGGTTTTATACGCTTCCATAGAAAGTCACAGATTGCGTTCGTGTCCACTCGAGTTGCTATATGAGAAGCTGTGCATCTGTAGCTTGCTGCATAGGTAGGTAGCTGGGACGTCACTGACTCGGCTTAGTCATCAAGCTGTTCACTCACTTCTCACTCTAACCGACCTCTGCTGATCTCCCAGTCTCTCCACACAGCGATTCTCGATGGAGCAGACAGTTCCAAGGCAGCTGGTCTTCCCGCATGGAAGCTCCGAGTCCTCGCAGGCTTGGTCTGTGCAAAATGCTAGCCCCAATCGAACGACACCCCCTGCTGTACACAGCCTGGCCTAAGAAGACCCTGGAAGCACTCAACAACGTCAAGAAGTTAACGCAAACAAGAACCACATGAGCAGAGAGGCATTCGAACTCTCGCGGGGAAAGTTGATGAGAATACTCAACTGATTGTAAACAGTCGAAGCATAACGGAAACTGCCAGGGAGCTCGATCATCGCAGGGTTAGGGTTGGGGTAGGACACGCAAAGGTTACCCTCCTCTTACCAGTCAGCCATTGAACAAAACTGATGGACTGTGCATTCTGTTGAGGCTACGGTGTAGCAAGGCGGTATGTGTGGCAGTTCTGACGGCGAGCATCCTTACCACTCGTGGGAAACTAAAACGAGAACTCCGCCATGCCATACCGAGCTGCTCACAAAGTCACCCAAGGTCGACGGTATGTCATCCTGTACTTCCATTTGGTCCCGTGGGTCATATGAACGTCAAATCTCTATCAACGACTCCAAGTCGTGAGATGAACCGCTGGCACAAGCTTCGCCTTGACACAGGTGGGCTTGAAGACGTTGAAGAGTTTTGGAAGTTGGACCCAAGATGCACATCCAATATCCAATCTGATCACGACAACAGAATGGGCTCGAATGATAATGACGAAAGTAACATCTCAATGCGCGATCCATGATGGTCTCTTCCGTAAGCCTGTGTCAGTGTGATGAGCATAGTTTGATTTGTTTGCACCCAAATACAACCCTGCGGGTCTGGCCAGACACAGTGGTGAAGTCCAAGAATATTTGTCCCAGGACTGGCACTCACAAGTCTCACCGTCACACGAAGAGGAAGATACATTCCCAGTTCCAACGCGTCAGGGGAGTGATGGGGTCTGCAGCCCATCGAAAGCGTACTCCTGCGTCTTCTACGATCGACTTTTCGCTCGATGATGCACCGCACCACCGGAGAGGCCGGAACGATCAAGACTTGGATCGAAGGAATGCTTGGTCAGATCAGATTGAGTAAGCACGGTGAGGGAGCGCCTCCCATCTATTTCTGCTACCAACGCCTGTTCCTCGCTGCGTCCGGCTGTGTAGACGTCGCGGTGAGCAACGTTTGACAGGAGGGCACGAGCGGTGTGCAGATCACGAATCGTGAACACAGCCTTGGAGTCGGGACTCCGGGACGTTCGGGGATGGGCTTTGGTGGTGTTTAGCAACGACCAGGGAGGAGCAGGGGATTGAGATTGATCCAATGGATCCAATAAGTTACAAGGGCTGGGTATCTTCCGAAAGGATGAAAATGGCAGCGTCCAGCCCATGATAATATCTCGCCGAAAGCGACCAGTCTTTGGTACAGTTGACTTCTAGCTAACTTATATACCTCCCTCGATGCTCGATGCTCGACGACGACGATGATGATGATGATGGTTTGAGACAGAGCTTGTTACCGCCAAGCCGGCCAACCAAACGGCAATAACAAAAATAAAGTATGGAGGAGGATGAGCTTGGCTTGTTAGTCCCGACCCTCGGCCATAGCCATAGCCTCGCAGCGCTCCCAGACAATTCACACACGGCTGTCCGCGGATTGCTGCAAACATGGCGACTACGGCTCGACAGTGACAACTACAGCGCGTTCATCACTTCCGGCACCATGGAGGCTTTGCACGGCGTCGATGTCTCGTGGATACACAAGCCGAAAGGTACGGAAGGAAAGCCCCCCCCCGACGGAGCTGCATGACCTCATATGCGACAAAACATGCGATCAWGTGAATGTCTGGACAACACGGAAGAACGACACTGACAGCAATCCAGAGCACGAGCATCGCAAGACAAATTCGACTTCAAGTCCGAGTCAGCCGCGCGATGTCACAAAGTCAAGATCCAACGAGGCTGCCCCACCATCGCCCATATCAACAGCAAGTCCGCAGACGCCCATCACGAACAATAGCAATAGCAGACACTCGCACTTTCCCGGCTCAGTGACACCCGCTTCCCTCTCTGCGGCGACGCGAGATCCCGCCACCGCTCAACCCGCCCCACCGACCCCGCCCGCGTCGGTCAACGCCGGGAGACAACAGCATTCGTCCAGACGGCCGGGCCTGCTCTCACGTGTCAGTTCGGAGAGGGTTACTGGTGACGGAAAGAGCATGCCCCGGCGAAGCTCGTGGATCTCCAACATCTCCAACAAGTTCTCCTCCACACCTGAAGCCCAGACGCCCCACAGCCTTCCCTCGCCCACTGCACCGGGAGCTAGCATTGCTCCCAGACCGGGCCAGTCTCGAGAAGACGAGGAGGAACTTCCTTCGGCATCTCCATYGAAAGGATCGTCGTTCTTCTCTAGCCTGACGAGGAAACTGTCGTCAGGACAGACTGCTAGCACACCACGGGTTAGCGGCAAAGGCGGCGTTTGTCAGCGTAGGGTGCTCAACGTTGACCCCAACAGACCGAGATGTTTGGTACCCGAACTTGACCCCGCGAGGCTGCGAAAAGTCTCCTTTTGCGTGGATGTGGAGATTGCTGGCGGGCCAAGATATAGGGACGATGAGGACGACGATCCAGAGCGCAAGCAGAAGAAGAGGGATGTCAGATTGAAGGAACGAGGAGAGGGTGAAGCTCTAAAGCATCCCGAGGTGCAAAATGAGGAGAAATATGCGCAGGACGAGGCTGCCCTGAACAGCAAGACCGAACCTTTGCCGATTCCCAACGGGAAGCATAACGCTGGTGACGCTTCAGGAAGTCGTGAACGAGACGAAAGCATCAGTCCACCTATTGGGAGCATCGATGCGTCGCCCAGTATTGACAGGAAGAAGGAAAAGAAGAAGCGGTCCGAAGAGGAACGCAAGGAACGCAAAGAAAAGCGTCGAAGACGGGCAGAAGAAAATGGATCGATACCCGTGGAGCTTTCCATGGATATGGATGCCTCTTCTCCAGAGACTGTGTCATCTTTTCTGCCAGGTAGACCTCACGCATCCAGCCGTGCTGTCGACGTGAATCGACCTACCACAGACCCGGTCCGGATTTATCGACGATGCTGTCAACTGCGGGAGACACCTATCCTTAAACGAATTACCGAGCAGTTGATGTCGCCGACTTGTTGCGTTCCCCTGGAACCTGGCGTTGTACATTGTCTCGACTTGACGGGCTCGCGATTGCAATTGGCGGACATGGTCACTCTTGGAGATTGGCTGGCAGTTGTGCCAGTCAAGAAATTGTTGCTCGAAGATGCAGATCTTAGCGACGAGGGACTGCGCTGCATTCTCGCAGGACTTCTCGCCGCCAAAAGACCGGAGCCCACCAAGCGAAGGAGCACATCTCCTCGGCATAGAATGGCTGCCCAACCCAGGCTTCGTACAGAAAGGAGTGGGATTGTAGAGAAACTGCACCTCAAGAACAACCCACGAATAACTCGCATTGGCTGGAAACACATTAGCTTATTCCTTTATGCTTGCAAGTCCATCAAGGCCATTGATTTGTCCATGATCCAATTCCCGGCCACACTACCGCCAAGCGCACACTCCAACCAAGCCAAGGTCTCAACAAATGGTCCCAAGGTACCCAACCAGGAGACCGACGCCGCGGAGACGTTCCTGAAATGCCTAAGCCAGCGATCAGGTGGCAACCATCTCGAAGAGCTGATCATGTCGGAGTGTGGCATGACGGCGCCGCAGATTCGCAAGATCGTTGATGGTGCCATCATGTGCGGCGTGAGTAGACTCGGGTTCGCCGGCAACCAACTCGATGACCAAGGGCTTGAATCTGCTTTGCTATTTCTGAGATCTGGAGTCTGCGGCGCCCTGGACATTGGTGGTAACGATYTCAAGAACAAACTTGGACTGGTAGCCGACGCACTGGAGTGCAGAACTGGCGACGAGCCTTTGTGGGGGTTGAGCCTGGCGGGCTGCAATCTCGACACCGAATCTGTGAAGCCGTTGTTCCCAGCTTTGGTCAAGTTGCCCAACCTCCGCTTCATCGATCTAAGTCACAACCCGGATCTCTGCGGTAGGGACAATGGAACCATCTCGTTACTGCGTCGCTACATCGGTCAGATGAGGTGCCTCAAGCGTATTCATCTCGCTGATGTTGGCATGAGTGCAAAGCAAGCCATTGCACTCGCAGATGTCCTGTCCGAAGGACCCCAGCTAGCCCACATCAGCATCCTGGAAAATGCCCAGCTCAGCGCCCTCGCAAGTGCCAAGGATGAGGAATCACAGGAGGAAGCGTGTGCGCTGTACGCGAGTTACATGGCCGCTGTCAGAGTCTCCAACACACTGATCTGCATAGACATTGATGTGAGTGAACAAATTCTGTAGCGCTGGGAAAGATATACACTGACAAGTACAGGTTCCGAGCCCTGACAATTCAGAAATCGTCAAGGCTCTGGCAAAACAGGTCGTGGCGTACTCTTTGAGGAACATGGAACATTTCGCCCTTGCAGAAGTCACTGGAGGCACCTTAGCAAACGCTACTGCAGACGCCGCGGCATCTCTCACGGCTGCACATGGCGGGGAGCAACACCTAAAGGAGATTGCGTACCCTGATGTGCTGATGCACCTTGTTGGCCACATTGAGGGCGAGACGGAGAGTCAAGACAACGACGACACGGCTCCAGATGATGACTACATCGTGGGCGGAACCGGCGTTGTCAAGGCCCTCCAATACGTTCTTGGTGAAAAGGCGGACGATGTGAGGCGTGGCAGCATGTCTCACGCAGCTTCCAATGGTAGCTGGACACCTCGGGAAAGACCTGGATCGTCTGCAGGGGTGGACGAAGAACAGCGAGGCAAAGCAAAGAAGATGAGCAAGAATCTTCTGGATTCCGCACGCAAGATTCGTGCACGACTTCAACCCGCTCTCCACAAGGTGGCCACTGCGGGCGACGAGCTGGCATATCGTCGCCTCAACTTCCTCGACGAAACGCTGCAAAGCATGATTCAACGTTTCGAGGAGGAATACCCGGAAACGAGATTGATTCCTTCATCCCCCGTACCAGCTTCCCTGGCCTCCTCGGGCGCAGAACATCCGGCTGCTCTTCATTCAACCAACACGCGAAGCGCCAGGTCAGACGACGAAGACGAATTTGATGAGGGCGTACGACCTGCCTTCTCCCGCCACAACAGCGATGTCTCGCTTGCATCTCGCGCCCTGTCGATGGAGGAAGGACATCTCCATCGTCTGGGTCAGCGGATGCGCCRGTCGGTAGTCGATTCTCCAGTTGCTGCCGTCGAAGACACCCATTCGGCAAAGATGGAGGAGGAAGCACGAATGGCGGCGTTGAAGGAAAAGATTGAGGGCATCAGTGGACCTGAGTTGAAGACGCTGGTCGAGCACGATGGCTGGGACCACGCGCTTGGGCAGATAGGAGCCAATCTGAACGATTTGCGGACACTGCAGGAGGAGGACCCGCTGGCTTGGGAACAGTTCAAGGATTCGCAGCTCAAGGCTCGGATGAACCTCTCGCAGGATACCGATACCGAGACGGCCAAGTGATGGATATAACGTGGGGGTGTAAACTAAACATTTGTATATATTGATATGAAATAATGAGACCATGTTTGTGAGACGAGACACCCGACCTAACACACCATTCATAATGTGCACACAAGGTGGAGAGGAAGTGATAGAGAAATGGGAGGACAGCATTGGTCATTCACGCATTCCAAAACTACATTGTCCGCTTTTGCCGTCTCCGCGCTTTCCACGCCATAAGTATCATAGAGGTTGTGAGACCGTGAAGGACCGACCAACGCCGAGCTGAAGAGTATGCCCCAATCAAGCAAGAAGAGCCTGGATCTTCTTCTGCACATTCTCTTGGCGTTGAGCGTGCGTGAGTTTCTTCTGCTTGAACTTGAGCGACTCTGCCTTCCAGTAGTCCTTGCTCTTCTTCTCGCCAGCGTTCTCATCCTTCTTGAATGGGTCCTCACGGATCTGCTTGTGCGCGTCCTGGTAGAGCTCCTCAAGACCGTCGGCCTCAATCTCGTCGTCGGTGTAGCCGCTGAACTGGGACTTGTAGCGCTCCTCATCGTCGTCGGCGAGAGTCTCCATGTACTCGGCAACGTGGCCGCCGAAGATGTACTTGCGGAGAGTCTCGGCGTCGAGCTCCTTGGTCTCCATGTCGTAACCGGGGAAACGCTTCTCGGAGTGAGGGATGTAGAGACCACCGTCGGATGCACCCTTCATAGCGCCGAAGACACGGGCACCGGTGCTGGTGCGCGTAAGACCAACATCGAGGTACGCCTTGAATGGGCGGCGGGTCTCGCCATCGACTTCGGTGGGCTCGGTAACGGTGAACTCGCCGTCAGCCTCCTCCACACCCTCGAATGCCTCGTCAAGCTTGAGCTTGCTGAGCGTGCGGCGGGCAAGCAGAAGACCGGTGCAGTATGCGGCGGCCCAGTTGGTGAGACCGTGGTTGATACCGTAGCGCTTCAGCTCGTGAGCGTAGGCAGCGCAGAAGACCTTGTCGCCGGTGAGCTCGGAGGTAACGATCTGGCAGATGATGTCCTTGTTGGTGAATCGGACGACCAGGCGGTACTTCGGGGCGTTGTACTTGTTCTGCGAGTGGGAGTTGCTGTTAGAGGTGGGGGTTCCTTTCATATCAGCCCTTCTTCACTGGAGACTTGCCTTGGCCTGGGAGATGAGACGCTTGCGCGCATAGTAGTCGGTCTTGCCGGCACGGCGGCGGGCATACTTCACCTGGTAGCGGCTGAAGTACGCGCTGTTCTTGACGAGCTTGGTCTGTGATGGTTGTCAGCGGGCTGGGCAGCGGCGGGGATGTGCTAGAGGACTTACGAAAGGCATCGTGACCCGTTACTCGATTGATGCGAGTACTACATATTCCAGAGTCAGCAAGCTTCAGACCCCAATCCGAAGCATCTTGCAGCGACTCTTCATCGCGGCGAGCGCGGTTGGGGAGGGGTGCACTCACGAGATGTGTGATGGTGTGGACGTGGTGGTCAAGTTTGAAGATCAGAAATTGAGGTTGGTGTTGCCAAGAGTTTCTTCGCGAAGAAAGGCGATTTTAATGCATATGGGTGACATGTGCAACTACCTTACAACTCACCTTGCAGCAACAATGGAAGGAGCATCACGCTCTTTCATCTGACATTCCTGCGAGATCACAGGAGTGAAGCTGCTTTCACACAGGCCTCGGAAGACTCGCGGTGTTTCCGCCAGCTCACCCGTCCTGCTGCGTCCGCGGCCATCTCTTTCGCTCCTCTTGCTCAGGCTCTCACATTCTGACGGAATCACGGGGTTTTCCAATATTCTGCGTGGGCTCCGTCTCTTACCATCGCTCCGAGACGCATCCGTCGCACGCTGCGCATACAACCGTTGGAATTTGGCCAACCTCTCTCCGTTGTGTCAACCACCCCCACCCATTGCACATCAGCACCTCACCGCACTCCACAGTACACGTCAGCGCACTTTACTTCTCAATGGGACCGGCCTCAGCTGCTGTGAAACAGCTCTACCCCAGCCTGCGATTTTCGTTCGAAAAGCATCCCTAGAACCCTTCTGTGACCAAATCAAGCGGTCGTGGCTCGGGCACCCTTTCAGCAAGTCGGAAAGCAGCCCGGGTCATCCTGCAACTCCTCTCCATCCAAGACAGTTTGATACGCTATGGCCTCACTAGCTCTCCGGGGCGGTAGCACCACGGTAGACTTTTCCACGATTGATCAAGCTCGTCAGACTGATTCACATTTCTCCAATCTGATTCTTGAAACACTTGCCAACTGGTTGGGTCCGATTTACCCTTGACCAGTCCGGGTGTTGTCTCAAAGAATTCCTCCATTTTGCCAAAATACGGTGACTCGTTGACCGCCGTTGATCCGTCTTCAACATTTCGGAATCCGCGCCCGTTGGTGGTTCGCAGCAGAGCGGTTTGGTTCATGCCGTGCAATGAGCGCAGATCATGACTTCGCGTCTCCATCTTGTATCGACTTTGCTTGCTGACCATTGGTAGGAAGTGGTTCACAGTGGTTCACGATGGCCGTTGGTATTGGTCTTGAGCAACGGTTAGTGTGGTTCATGAGAAGTTTGTACATTCCGTGAACTTGTCACGTCAATGCCCAACCTGCTCGTACGGCACCAATATCCATGGAGTCGCCGTCCTTGGATTGTCCTTCGTTACCCTCTTCTACAAATTCGCACCATCCTATGCAGGCATTCACTGCGCACCGAGGCATCTTTCACAGTCTTACCTTTTAAAATCGTCCAATATGGCTCGCGCCGACTCATCTCCCAAAGTACGTTCAGCCAGCCGAAGTCAACACGCTTGATGGCGTTGTGCTAATTTTTTAGGCCATCGTCAAGGCTGCCATCCGAAGCAGATGCCATGTCATTGCAAAGCGCTATCCACATCAACGTTTGGAGAGACTGCATGGCAGCAACGTGAAGTGGCTTGTGCTATCCGAGGAGCTATTCGACGAAGTTTGTTCCGAGTGTAGGTACACTCCACGCCATCATTGCGTTCGCGGGCTAACGATTGTCTCGCTAGTCACAATTCAGAAGCTGGACATGGATCGTGCAGAGAAACGGGCACTATTCGATGCAGACTGGGTGCCTCAAGTCACATATGAACTCATCACCAGTGAGTGCCCCAACGGCGGCAAATTTGTCGAATTCGTAGCTGATGCCTATGCAGAGCCTTCGCGGCCTCGCCGCAGACGTTCGCAGCAGGAGATGGCAAATGCAGCTGCGCGTACGATCGATAAGGCTCCGCCGTCTATGCCATGCGAGATGACTTGGGAACCAACCAATGCACGCCGAACGTCGGCCCCGGAAGTATCGCCCACAGACAGCACATACTCAAGCAGGTCTTTCCCGGAATCTTTCGACCGCTCCTCGAGATACTGGTCGTCCATCGACAGTTCTGAAGCCGAGTCCGCAGCTGCGGGATATGTTGGACGCCATGACTCTGTCACCTCGACCCTATCTGCAGTATCAGAAGAGTCGACGCCAAAGCCGTCCTCGTCTATTGCGCCGCGCGATAATACTGCAGTTTCGCAGCCGCAATGGTTTGAAACTGTCTTGAATTAGGCAATCTTGCACGATCCCGGCATGACATTCCACGGAGCCTGCACCGCGCAATGAGCCAGCATGTCGTTGCGTTGCATGGCTGCAAGTTGGTCTGACAGCCACGAGTCCACTACGCTACACGCTACGCCTCCACCTGAACGTTCGATGTGATCGCCACGATACTATGGTTCACCGCTTTCAAGGACTGACCATCTCCCAAGATGGTCATGGAACAGGAAATTCGTCCCAGTGACGTTGCGCTTCGTGGGGTGTTAGGGGGTGTTAAGGGATCTTGCTCTCTTTGATTTATTAGTTATGCGTTCAAGCGCGGTCTGCTGGATCTACCAGAATAGTACACAATACAATGTACATTGAATATCAAGTGGCAAATTTGTTGATTTTGGTCGCTTCTGCAAACCCCGCATTGCCCGCTGCGCAGCGTGAAACGTGAGCTGTCGGTTGGCAACGCATCCCGCCTTGCCATGATGATCAAGGAGGAATTGCACCCTGAGAGCCCAGGTAGGGTCTTGCGGCTGTTATTCGCCTCCTCCGCCAGGGAACGCCAATTGTTGTGGTTGTCGGAGGCAACGTGGGATGCGCATCGGTCTGCTGACATCGGGCGGTGGGCAGGATCCTCGGTCTTGAGGGCACATGCGGCGTGTACATGGCTGGGATGAAAGATCCTCCGAAATCGAAGCTTCGGTCGAGCCAGTGAGGATCGCGCTGGGCCGGGCTCCGTCATGACGACGGATGGCGCCGCGGCATGGTGACATGAAAGGATGGACGGCGCATGAGGCTGCATACCGCAACGGCTGAGTTCGGAGATGAGTGTACAGTGGTTGCTATAATCTCCCACTTCTCCCCGCCCACTCGAGCTGCTGCAGTCTGTCCGTTTTGACAGAAAAGCCTCGTTGCGCCAGAGATTGTCCATTATTGTTATCAGAGAAGTTCCTAGAACCTCGAAAGCAGACCCACTCACGCGAGGGTTTCAAAATTTAATTATTGTCCGGCCGTGACGCTTTGAAATATCATCGATCACGCACTTCCGCTCCATCATCGCATCGCCTCCACAGTATCCAACTCCAGCTAGGACTTTCGTATTCCCAAGTATCAGTCGGCGTCCGAAAGAATCCACCATCCATCTGCACCGTCCGCCCAAGACGGAGCCAAGAGACCCACATTTGCATATCTAGTGGAACCGCGACTCTTTCACCGTTTTGACAAACAAATCCTCAGGCCGCTTGATCCGCCACGGCGTCCATCCCATTGAAGACAGACCATCGTTACTCCATCAGGAACAGTCCTTGCATCTCGAATTCCAGATTGGTCTCTTCCTCTCGAGCTATGCCATCGCCACGATCCTCGCCTGCAATGCGTCCAGCATCTCCACTATCTTGTAAGGCCACCAACTTTGAGAACCTTCAGCCTTCATCGCAAAGGAACATGCATTCCTGGACGGGTAGCAATCACCGCCGGCCCCAAGGACACACCCTTCATCTGCCATCGCTACCTCGTTTCCATCCGGCCAACTTCCCCTCAGCACACAACAGCACGCAGTCCACCCCGGACGGTGCATCATCGACATCTTCACCACAGCCCCCAATGTCTCCAAGGTCCCATCAGCGAATGTACAACGACGTGCAGAAGCAGCTCTACTTCAATCAAAGAGAGAACCTCTCCGCTCGCGTTACCTCCTCTGATCAAGTTGCCAAGCCTATCAGTCCTCGTCTTCATCCTCTTGGGAGCCCCGGACCAGTGACACCGCTCGAGCTAGGAGGGGATGAAGGCTACCTCGTAGGAGGTGCCCGTAGCGTGGCAAATAGCACCACAACGTCGGAGGAACTCGTGGAAACCTTGATCCGGCAAGAAGCCAGAAGGCATCGAACTTTGAGTCCGAAGAGAGGCACATGACCTATGTACGGAATGCGATGGCCTGTTCCGTAAAGAAGCATGATTTTAACGACTTACGCAAAATGGCATGAAAGATGGAGTGGAAAGTCAGGACTGCGAGGCCTGGGCACGAATGTTGGGACCGACTACTGCTCTGCGACTAGAGCCGGAGGACTGCATATCACAGCAGCTTGCTTGACTCTGCGATGGAAGGACAGATGACCGCAAGGCATGAGGCATTCCTTGTCAGGATTCTTTAGACCCAAGCAGGCCAGTGAAAGTCGCCACATGTTAGTTTAGGGAATTCCATTCTAACAATTTGAACTTGCATCCGAAACCCTACCTATTTATTCATCACTCTTATAGCTGCTGTAAGGCTTGGTCTGTTCTGACAAAATTAGCGAAGCACCCAGCTTGGCACCAGAACGGTATGACTGCTTGTGGAATGGTAGCACTTCCTTCGTTCGTCCTCAGTGAATTCCATGGCTCTATATTTGGCGTGTGGTGTGGTGTTGTTTCTGCCGCGAGATCCGCCAACGATCATGCATAAGGTAGTGCTGAGCRAGGCGGTAGAAAAGTGGTCGCTCACTGCTCCAGACACGTTCCAGATACGATCACATTGCATCGCTTTGATCATTGAAGTCATGTATGGCTAAAAGATTGAAGCAGAAGGGTAACTCCAGTGTAAATACCTAGCCCTAGGGGCCGGGATTAGAATAATGATTACGTGAGATGATGCCTTTACAACCGCTGCGCTTTTTCAACCAACTTTTGGTTCCACGACACACGACAAATATCCCTGCGATGGGTCCGCAAATCATCCAGCACCCTCTTACCCGTGCAGATGGCTCAACGGCATTCTCGAGCGAACTCTACACTGTACTTGCCGGCGTCAATGGCCCTGTGGAAGTGCAACGTCGAGACGAGCTTCCAGAAGAAGCAGCCATCGAAGTGAACCTGCGGCCGGCCTCGGGAGTGGGAGGACCAAGAGAGCGCTGGTTGGAAAACGTGTTGCAGTCTGCGCTGAAAAGCATTCTACTTGTACACATGCACCCCCGGACGCTCATTCAAGTTACGCTTCAGATCACCAAAGAGCCGGCGGTGAAGTTTCAAAGAACGACTTCCGACATTGCCATGCTACCGACTCTCCTCAATGCCGCATTCAGCGCTCTCGTTGATGGTGCTCTTCCACTGGCATCCACCATCAGTACGTTTCTCGCTGTTGTTGCAGAAGATGGCACCGTCGTCTTGAGCCCTCAAGAAGAGCAGATCATCGGAAGCAAGAGCATTCACGCGATGGCGTTTGATCACCATGGTGCCCAGATATTGGATGAGTCATCGGGCGAGTTCACCACGGGCATATGGGGAACAGTCTTTGAGACCACGAAACAAGCCTGTGCTGCGGCCATTTCACGGACGGGCGACGAAGCAATGTCTAATGCGGATGTGGAGGAAGTAACATGGCTGCGGCAGAAATTGGAGCAAGAGGCAAGGCTTGCAGATGCGTGGCGGGAGTCGACATGAGAATGGTTCAGACCCCGCACAAGGGTTTATACAGTGATGCGGATGTGCATAAGGTACCATCGCATGGAGTCCCCAAGGTCGAGCCAATCTGCTCTACGGCACAGGATCGGCTGAAAGAGGAAGCAGCAGCCGCAACGGGCTTTCGCTTGGGTTGCAGAGACCGCCATGATGGCTCTTGCCCCACGTTCGTGCCGCAGCTACCTTAGTACGGGAAGCATAGTAGGTGCCACAAGGTGAAGCCGAATGGATGCYGGAAGGAACGTTTAAGACGAGGAGCAGGGAGATGTATGGATCAAGCTCTTGATCATAGCGTCTCTGCAAAGGCACCCGATCATGCCGAAAGTAGATCCCTCTGTCTCCAACATCTGGCGCGCATATTACCTGCTTSATCATCAAGCTGAATGTACGCCGTCGTCAAGATCGGAGTCATCGCCAAAGACCGATTGTCCCATTTTGATGTCAATGGGGCATTGATTAGTTGGCAGGTACGGAAATAAAACTGGAAGGCGCGACCGTGACCCTTCATGTTCCTCCTTCCCATTCCTACACCCCAATCTCCAGATTCTCTCTTCATTACCTCCACTGGATTCTCTTGCCACGACAAGCATTTTCTCCAATCTCTCGCCGGCCGATTTCGAACATGGTCGGCTCCGGCAGGACCAACGCGTCCATACAAGCCTATCTCACCCCGATAGCTTCGCCAGTGAAGCCCAGCCCGACACCAACCACAACAGCACCCCTTGGCGATGGTTTCACGGTAGAAGAAGTGTACGAAGCACTTCGTCCTCGGCCTGCCGAAGCATGGCAGCCTGCCGAGGACTACGTGGACTGCGAAATCAGTGACCTCTATGCCGGACCTCGTGCCGTAAGCTTCATGGGTAGAGTCGCAAACATCTACGACTCCGCGAACACGCCGAAGACGCCTCGCTCTGCGAAAGGCTGCATCAAGCTGTGCGTCAAGGATAGTCGCAGCGCAATCACGGTACAATGCTCTGCTCTGCACAGCTTCGACGTGTTGCTAACATCTAAAGGTCCGTCTCTGGTACGCAAGTCAAGTTCCTCGGATTCACCTTGGCAATGCCGTCTCTATATGGACCAACCATAGTAGGTATCATCCAAAAATCCCAATTGACATGCGGTAGCTGAGCTTTCTTCCAGTCAGCAATGGGGAGAGTGATGCATTGTCGAGTGCGAGCGCACCGCTGTTCGCTTCCATGTTTCCAGAGCGTGACCGGAACTGCCACATCATGATTCACGAGAATAGCGACGACGGTCGGTATCGAACACCATTGGGCTACACTGAAGGCGTCCCCTTGGACGGACTCATGACTCTCCAGAACTTCATCGATGGCGGGTATGATGTTACCGATGCGAAGATTCTGGTTGTCGTCAAATCAATTGGATCGAAAAAGAAGAGTACGCCACTTCGCTCCATGTCGGCTTGTCCTGTCTGGCACTCGCTGACACTACTGTGCAGTCACTCGGAAAGACGAGTCGGTAACAGAGAGTATCAACGTCCAGGTTCACGATGACACGGCAGAAGCCACGCTCGGCCTTTGGGGCACCGCAGCTTTTTCCCCGTGCGGATTCAGTGTTGCAAAAGACGCCGGCCGTGCAGAAACAGAAGGGTGGCCTGCACGGCAAAGCTGGCGGGCTGGAGAAACGGTGCTCCTCATCCAAGCGCCAGGCTGGAAGATAGGACGAACGGTAAAGTTTGAACTTGATGCGGTGACGGATATGGCGCTGATTAGTGAAGACGTATCTCAACATGACCGCCGCAACCGTTGTTGACCTTGATCCCCACATCCCCGACGCAGACTGGCTTCGAAGCTGGTCTAGAAGACAAACCGTCAGAGAGGCCATCAATCCTCCCTTCCCAGCCGACGTGTTTGACCCACACCKGGCGAAAACAGGCCCAGTACGCTGCCTGTTTACCATTGCGGAGCTGGACGAGTTTGCACGATGTGCCCCGGGCGAAACTTTTCAAGGGTACCTCAGTCTACTGATCTTGGAGTTTAGACTACTGGACTGCTACAGACGCAACATGTTGCTGTCAGGGGAATGCTGCAGCATCCCGATATATGCCAATGCCACGCAAGCGAAATGCAAAGGTTGTGACAAGGAAATCCCGCTACGATTGAGTCCTCGCATTGTCGGTCAAGTCATTGATGAGACGGCGGTCATTGCCACCGGAAAGCTGCTCTTCTCCGACGATGCGTGGCGGGATCTGCTGGGTCGAGGGCCAGAGGACATTCTGAGGCTCGGCTACGATGAAGTCAAATACCTCTCCGATCGACTACTTTTCAGCAGAATCACGGTGCTATTTGGGTGGACTGGAGACGAGAGCAAGGCAGGGGGGAGGATCTGTGTCTTTGGAATCCGCAGCTGAGGATGTGTCGTGATGGCAGTTTGCTGTGTGTATGCCTTTACTCCTTAGACGAGCCTGGCTGAATGTAAAGAAGTCGACCTGAGTGCTTTGCTGTTGTGATTGTGTACTGTGCTTCGCGAGAATGTTACCAAGGATCGCGGTAGAATGAACGATCGATACGTGTGTAGGATGTATAAGTCTTGCGAGTGGGACATGACGGATGTATGTGTTCACGATCGGCTCGGCTTCCTGCGTCTTTCGAAGCTAAGGTGCCGGCATAAACAACAAAGCCTTCACAGCAACGCGCCAACGCCCCACTCCACCGCACCCATTACTACTTCTACGCGATACACCCTCGGATCACGCGATCGCGCGACAAAACTTCCCGCTGTGAGAATACCGCATGTATGCGACAATCTCGTGCCGATCGCACTTGGAAGTACGCGACATTGCCTCGCGCCTTCCACTGACGACGCGAACACGACTGCGAATCACCCGCGCGACATCGACTCAAAAAGCATGTCAATTGTGCTGACACGCTTATCGCTGGAACAAGTTGGCATGAACGGAGGCGGTGCGCAGAAGCGGCGTAGTGCGCGCCTGTCGCAAGAAGGGGACGGGGAGAATGAACCAGCTACGAAGAAGATCAAGTCCAACGGCAAAACGGCGAATGCAGTGACGGCAAAGCAGCAGGATGGGGAGAGCAAAGTGGCAGGCAGGAAGAAGAAATCACTCTACGAAGAAGAAGTCGACGATTTCGCGTTTTCCAAGAAAAGGAAGAATAAGGATTCCAAGCAACCCACAGTCCGGAACTCGATTGATGAGCCACCAGTGGCGGCTGCTGCGCCTGCTCCTATCACAGCTCCGAGCAATGCATTGGCCCATCCACCAGTGCTGGAGCCAATGCCGGCCCCAAAACCCGGATCGAGGAAGACAAGGAAGAGGTTGCCGGAGAGCCCAGAGCGTGAGGTCTCGGGCAACACAGTACGCCGTAGTAAGCGTCTATCAACCGAAAAGGATCCCGAGAACTACGCCTCACCACAACGGTCAGCTCATGCGCAGTCGCACGCAAACGTGGACCGGTCACCAAGCCCCGCACGAGTTGTCCCGTTGAATGTGGAAAAGACGCGGGCGCAGCGTGCCGAGGAGCAAGCAGACGATGGAAAAATAATGACCATCTCGCTCGCGTTCGCTGACACTCCGGTCATTCGACGAAATAGAGAGATGAGAAAGGCCAGCAAAGATAGCCATAGGCGCAGCAGTGCTGGCATGAGAGGGAAAAGGGCGAGCAGCGTGATTGATGAAGGCCGAGGGCATGGTGAGTTCATCAATTCCTACCCCAAAGTGATCTCTAACGTGATGCCCTCGCACTCAGAGGCGTCTGATATCTCGATGTATGCAATTGCGGCGCAGTCGACGGATTCGACGGAGCATGGCAGGATCCATTCGACCTTGGTCGAAAATGGCTCGCCAAGGCACGACTTTGCGGATGGCCATGTTCGACTGTTTTCGAAGGAAGTTTTTGCTGATCAATCCGTCTCCAATCTAGCGTTGCCTCACTCAGAAGTTCCTGCACCAGAATTCTTCAAGCATATTTCTGCAGATCTTACAGAGCCGCGCCGAATGCGCTGCTTGCTCGGTTGGTGCGGGACAAGATGTCTGCCTGCCAAACCAGATGCCCCGAAGACAAGTTCACCGGCCGCAAGCTTGGAGTTTCAGGCGTTACAAGCAGGTGAGTCAGTTCGATGAATGAAGGGGGGCTTTCAGCCACTGACAGCCCAATAGCTCGTGTTATACAAGAAGAATTGTCTCTAGAGTTGGTATCAAACGGCACACTGAGCGACTGGTTTTCGAGGGATGAGATCACCGCGCCTCGAATTCCCATACGGAAGAAAGCCAATCCAAGGAATATTGCGAATGCAATCAAGGCCAAAGAATTAGAGAGAGAACTCGAAAGGTAGCTACTATGCCACGGTTGAAGTTTGCAGCACATGGCTAATGGAGTTTGAACAGACTCAAGACGCAACGAGCCGAGTGGGACGAAGTCGTACAATCAACGTCCTCAATGTCAATATCAGACGGCACMCAAAAGCTACCCGAAGCTGGCGACATTTCTCCTCTTCAGCCCGAGCTTCTAAGTAGCCGGCAAAGGGCCATATTCGAAGGACTAGATCCAACGGCCAACAATTCCGAGACCGACCCACAGAGGATTCAACAGAGGCTGCGGATAATCTCAGACGATCTCGAGTTTGCGGTCGATATGTTCGCTCACGGCGTGCACGCCTTGAGCACGACCCGCGAGACTGCTGAGCGTGCTGCTGAGAAGTCGCTGACAGACGCAGCGCATGCACTTGAGGAGCGAGAAAAGCAACGCGCAGCCAGTGGGAATGATCTCGACCAGATGAACTCGCTCAGGGKATTGGCGAGGGTCTTGAATTCACAGCAGAAACGAAGATGAATGATGGGAAGTGAACATCAGCCCTAACTTTCAGCTTCTTCACGACCAATGATACCTTTGACGTTTGTGCCTGACCCGCTCGCTCTCAAAACCCTTTGTAGGAAGATCATCAGGTCTCGTAACAGGAAACATAATCTGCAGAGATTCGTGGGCCCCAAAACGCCAGATGTTGTGCAAATCTGTCGCGGACGGCCCAGAACGATACACCACGTGTCAAACGATTACAACATATTCTCGAGCTCACGGCTCTCACGAAATCGGCTGTCTCACAGCTTATTGTCCCCAACGCTTGTCGCTTCGCYCCAAAGACATCATCTTGACCTTGCTCGAGGTGGCAAAATGATGTAGACAATCAACCAGGCTTTGGAAAGGCCGAGCATCTGCACGGTCTCTGGTCCATTGAGTGTGTTGAGAAATGTTGAAAACTCATCTTTGAAGGTGTGTATACAGTATACCTCACTTTTCGTACAGTCCGACTCCTGTGGGAGATTCCGATCTGCTCTTTGCCGACAACGTTGGACCGAACCATGGCACGTGTTATCTATTTTCAGATATTCCGATTCCACGCCTCCAGTACCTACTCACGGGAGCATTGCATACGCGTAAAAGCGCGGCTTAGCATTTCTTGTTGCTGTTGCGACAGTTCGCGGCCAAGAAACAATGTCCGATCACGAGCCATTTGTAGAGACGATGCTCGTCATGCCAGACCGCCTATGATTGGTGCTTGAACTGCGATATCACGAAAAGGTGGTAGGGAGCAACGAGTGATCCGTGAGCAATCTCCGCGAAAGAAGCTCCTTTTGCGTCAACGAATGACACGATCCACTACGATCAAGCACCAACCGCTTTCCGATGCGGACCCGTTCAGTTCCCGTAGTGGCCGCCGCGCTGCGCCAGATGCGGCAAATACACGGTCCGCATCCTCGAAGCATGCGCAAAGGCTCTTTAGCAAGAATGGTACGGCGTGCTCCGGACGGAACAATGGAGAAAGGGTGGAAGTTGTAAAACATGTAGATGATTCATAAAACCCCGCCGAAAGTCATGAACTACCTCATGTTTCGGGTTACTTCATCCTTCGATCGGTCAAGGCAATGTGGAGGTTGAACAAACTCACGCCGCACGCACCTCCCCTTGCTCTCACACGCATTGTCCAGCTTCATTTCGCACAAGCGCGGGACCACTCAACGGCCATCGCTAGACAAGCCGTCACCACCGAGCTGCGGAAGCGCTGTACCCTGATGAACATCAATCTTTTAGCCTGGCTACCTTAATCTTCCTTTCCTCATGTTCGCTATGGACTTGCTGCTCTCAACCTAACACTTTTGGACCTCTGAGACGGTGTTGTGCAGCTGTGCAGGTGAGAGAACTGCCAATTGCCCGACACTCGCTTTGTATAGGCAAGCGACCACGAATCTGGAACGGGATCTCGGATGATTGGATGCCGCGGATGATACATGGACGGAATCCGACGAGGCATGCTACGATTATACACAGAAAGGACTGTCGAGGTTGAATTACATTCCAAACATGGCGYTAGCTGCAGCACTCTCAGCAACTGGCACGCGGCCGGCCAGCTTTCTCCCAACAATTACATGCTCAAGTTGTGCCGCCGAGATCGAAATCGCAGCTATGGGCGAGCACATTTGCGCATCAACCGTTGCAGAACCCACTGAGCGAAGGAGTCGTGCTAGCAGTATGAGCAACCCATTCAGGCTGAGAAAGTATGGCGCAGCTGATGAGAGCGCGAGTGCATCCTCGGCCCCGTCAGAGACCGCTGGTGTGCACAGTGGATCCACGAGACCGCCACGGATTGCGCTGCCCAAGATCAACTCAGATGCCGCGAATCGAGCATTTCTAGCACCCAGGAAGACTGGACCCCGAACTCCGATAACACCAGCAGTCAGTGGTCATTCTGGGAGCAGTGATGAGAGGCCTCGATTGTCCAGGAGCACAACAACCCCGATGCCACGACTGCACGACCCGCGGCCTCCCAGTCCAGAACTGACGGCGAATCTGGATTCTGCGTTTCCTCGTTTCCCAACGCAAGCGGCTGTCAGTGGTCGGTCAACCCCAAGCAATGGACGTGTGACTCCCATTGGAAGTGATCGTGCGCCATCCCGCGCCCAAACTCTGGAACCGGAGTCACTGAATATGGGGCCGAAAAGTCCAGGATTGGTATCACAGAGATTCGAAACATTAAAGACTGGACCATTCACCGCGCGACGGCAGGGTACTGGGGATTCAAAGGAGGACTCCGCCGGTGTTGGTCATAAGAACCCAAGCCAAGTTGCGACAGAAGAACAACGCGCTCCATCTCCCACAGATCCCAGAGTAATCGAGACCCAAGAAGCGGAGAGAAAGGACCCTCCGCCTCGGCCAGCGCGATTGTCTTACGATCAGCTCTCCCCAGTTCTTCTGGAGCGTTTCAGCGCAGAGCCCGATAATATGTTTCCGCTTCCACCACAATCGCGGCAAGGCGCCGACAGGGATGGTTCATCTCTCGCGCTACTAGACCAATCACATGACTACAGCTCATCCCATACTCTGTCAACTGCGCGCGAAGAAAGTGTGCTGAGGCTCCCAGAGAGGAAAGCCTCACTGTCCACCGCCGACACGCCGCCGACCTCGACAAGTCCTCCATCTGGCACAGTGCTCCCGAAACGAAGCTCGAGTCGAGTAGGCACACGAATGGATTACCGGATGCAGAATGCACCACCAGTTCCACGCCCTGTTCAGCAGCATCGAAACTACAGCYCTCACACCCATTCAGAGAGCGGTTCCTCCACCATGTCGAGTGCAAACACGTATAGCAGCGGGCACAGTCCAATCAGCAGCGCAGCAAGCAGTCTCGACCATTTTAGTCCGCTGAGCATGGCCGCAACCAGCCACGAAGAGCTTGAGCAGATGCGACCAGTAGGTCTGAGTGTCCGTGGTCCACAAGAACCCGGATTACGCGCTGAATTGCCTCCCCATCGGTCCCCGCCCAGGAAGTTCAGAAGACCCTCTGTTGATACCTCGCAGAAGGTTGACAAAAAGTTCGCATCCCCTCTTGAATCGCCAATGKATCCCGCGCTACGGCTAGGCGCGCCATACGAACCTTGGGAGCCAGTCACGCCAGACTCTGCAACGAGTGGCATTCGCGCCAATCATCAATTTATATCGTCGACGGACTTACCCATACCCAACCCCACCATCCCTTCGCTACCAGCATATGCCACAAGTCCGAGAAGTGCATCTCCTTTAAGCCCACGAGCTGTCGACGACCAGCAGCGTCCATCACGGCCGACTCCCGTAAAGCCCGCGTGTAGAGGCTGCGGATTGGTCATCGAGGGAAAGTCGGTCAAAGCAGCAGATGGGCGTCTGACCGGGCGTTGGCATAAGTCTTGTTTTGTTTGCAGAACCTGCGAACAACCGTTCGCAACAGCGGAGTTCTACGTGATTAATGACAATGCCTACTGCGAGCATCATTACCACGAAAAAAACGGTTCCCTATGTAACGGATGTCATCGTGGTATTGAAGGCCAATACCTCGAGACAACAAGCACCACGCGGTGGGGGAACAGTGAGAAGAAGTTTCACCCTCGCTGCTTTACCTGTTCCACGTGCCATGAGGTACTCTCCGAGGACTACTTCGAATTGGGCGGCAAAGTCCTCTGTGAACGTCACGCAATGGCGGTGATGAGACAACAACAACTACGCATGGGCCCTCGAATGGATAAGAGGAACATATACGCGGAGCGACGGACCACCAGGCTCATCAATCCTATGAGGGCGTAGAACGGGGATTTCTTGGTTCACAGGTGACATCTTGCGAGATGCATCAACAGGCACGTTCGCTCATCCACTTGATTTCATCTTTGTCGCGACTCAGCGCTGAAAGTGCCATGGCTGGCAGACCCTTTGAACTTTGGGGTTCAGAGTACCTAGATTTTCACTTGATACCCTGTTTTACATGTTTGAGATACCCAGGAGGTTGGCTCAAAGGAGCACATCTTCTTAATGTATATAAGGACCACAAACGAGCAATCTGACGAAGTAGTCGCATTCATTCTTTCTCCACGAGCAGAAGCAGATTGCTACCGAGCCCGCAATGCGTTCAAGCATGTAGGTATTCTCGACAAGCTATGAGCTCTCACCCATTTATGAACAACCCTTTCTTTGGGCGTWTCCCCAAAGGGCAGTCTACGAGTATGGACCGACTGAACTTGATTGTTCAGTCTCCAGAAGGTTTAACTCAAGTCAAAGGCCTCCAGGGCTATACCGACGCGGCTTTTAGACTTTCTGACGCAAGCACCCCGGCTGCGACTGCTGGGGTGCACGAGAACCGGAGGAACCACTTGCCCGGGGCAGAGGTGAGCAACTAGGATGGGCGCACAGAAGCAATGACGGATCGTGCCACCCGCGTTGGAACTGGTCGCATTCTGAAATGCAGAAGAAGCAGCGAGAGTGTATGGAGGAAGGTTTTTGTATGGCTTGCACACGGGTCGTCTGATCCACTTCATATCAAGCCCTCTGCAGGTCATATCTGATGATGGAAACCTGGAAGGCAAAGGCATGCAAAGGCAAAGGAGCCCAGGATGCCATCGAAGCGACTGGCAGTGATCAACACAATGAGGATGTGCTATTGAATAGGAGATCAGAATGTGTCGTTGAAGGCGCTGCTCTCCAAGCGAACGCACTCATCCGGCCGACCTGGCTTGGTGAGTGCGGCGATTATTGTGGTTGTGTGAAACGGCATGGAGAGGACAAGGCGGTTTTGTAGTCGCACCGATCCCAGCAGAGCGGCAGTCTCTCGGGTCTGCTAAAAGCAGCAATGTCTCAGACAGACTCGATCAAGGTGGCCCACCGCTGCCGTGCGAGGCGTTGGACTCGACACAGCGTGTGCGTTCGCCATGGCAGCGGCCAGCATGGCAAGCGTCCATCAAAAATCCGGTAGAGGCAGATATTTTTACATATTTTCCTCCCAAAAATACGTTTGAAGAGAGAACAATGGGTGCACAGCGGCGATGTTTCGCAAGTGGATTGCCCGGCTAAACGCCACCAGCTCGTCAAGCAAATCACCGGGGCTGGGTTCGCGGCACAGAAACGGTATGGCCCACTTACAGGTCGCCAGCAAGCAGGCAAGCAGGGTTCGCACCAGGCGCCCCTTCCGTCCTCTGCGACTGCAATAATTATTACCACTGAGACTGCCAGTAAAAGGTGCACCTGTTGTTTTCTCTTGCCTGAGCCCGGCGTTCTTTCCCGCGCTGTCGCCACCACTCGGTGAAATCACTGTCGCGCACCGCCCCTCCGTGTGCAGCCCTCTCCGCTCAGTCAGCTGCTCGTCTTCAAACCAATCCATCGCCTACCCTCGTCCTCGTCCTGCACTGTTCGGTGCATTGGCTGGAGCCGTTTAGGTTGTCGGCGGCGTCGATCTACTCCACAGCTTCCGAAGTTATTCGCCGCCTTGGATTCCGGAGCCAATCCGAACTCCCTGCGCCGCGAAACCAACACACCTCACCTCTCCCGCCCGCTGGCCAACCACCGGCATAGCTTTCAGCATCGCTGCCGCTGCGTTCGAGTGCCGCCCGGCGACCACCACGATAACCCGTCGCCCGCCCTGTGACGCCTCCCCGGCCGACCTCACTCGCTCCGACCATCGCGCCATCGATACTACCACCACCTCCACCGGCGGCTCACCCACCTCGCGCCACTCCGCCGCAGTACTGCGCCGCGGGAAGTGAGGCAATCACACTCGCGTCGGCCGACCCTCTGACCCTGGCCTTACACAGCACTGGTGAGTTATGCATGCGCTGGGTCTGACCGCTCCCCACTTTCACAAGGACGATGTGCAGGCTATGCGACCATGGCCAGCAGCGCTGCATGATCTTCATCGCGAACTGACCAATCTGCACGTTGTATAACTCAATCACTGCGACGACGTGTACCTGCATGAGGATCACATGTTGGAAGTTGGGCCGGTGGCTGGCAATCGCGCACCTCACGTGGGACGTGTCACTCTCTAGCATTGACTAACGCCCTTTACAGCGACTGCCTTTTGCCTCTACACGCACCTCCGGATCCCGACTCAAGCCCCACGCGGCCTCTTCTCGACCAACCTAATCAACAGCAGCGCTCTGCGTTGCGCATTCAGTCGCAAAGATGGGTTGCGGGCAGAGTTCCGAGTCCAAAGAGGGCAAGCAGCGAAATGAGGAAATCGAGAACCAGCTGAAGAGGGACAAGATGAATCTGCGCAATGAGATCAAGATGCTGCTGCTCGGTGCTGGAGAATCGGGGAAGTCGACCATTCTGAAGCAGATGAAGCTCATTCATGAGGGAGGATATTCGCGAGACGAACGTGAGAGCTTTCGGGAGATCATATTCTCCAACACGGTGCAATCCATGCGTGTGATTCTCGAAGCCATGGAAAGCTTAGAGCTACCTCTGGACGACCAACGCGCAGAATATCACGTGCAGACAATCTTCATGCAGCCCGCGCAGATCGAAGGCGACGTGTTGCCTCCAGAAGTCGGCCAGGCCATCAAGACCTTGTGGGCAGACGCCGGCGTCCAAGCCGCTTTCCAGAGAAGTCGGGAGTACCAGCTCAATGACAGCGCCAAGTACTACTTCGACAGCGTCGATACCATCGCATCGCCTACCTACATCCCATCCGACGCCGACGTATTGCGCTCGCGTGTAAAGACCACTGGAATCACGGAAACGACCTTCATCATCGGTGACCTCACGTACCGTATGTTCGACGTCGGCGGTCAGCGCTCGGAGYGGAAAAAGTGGATACACTGTTTCGAGAATGTGACGACAATACTCTTCCTGGTTGCCATCTYAGAGTACGATCAGTTACTATTCGAAGACGAGACAGTCAATCGAATGCAGGAAGCACTCACCCTGTTCGATTCCATCTGCAACAGTCGTTGGTTCACCAAGACCAGCATCATCCTGTTCCTGAACAAGATCGACCGATTCAAGGAGAAGCTCCCGGTGTCACCAATGAAGAACTACTTCCCCGACTACGAAGGCGGCCAGGACTATGGCGCAGCATGCGATTATATCCTAAATCGATTCGTCTCGTAAGTAGACCAATGCTGTCCAGGTATTTGCATCACTGACACATCACAGGCTCAACCAGCATCCCACCAAGCAAATATACACCCACTTCACTTGCGCAACGGATACCATGCAGATAAGATTCGTCATGGCTGCAGTGAATGACATTATCATTCAGGAGAACTTGCGCATGTGTGGTCTTATTTAGGTGGTCGCCGTGCGCTCCTTTTCTTGGCGCCAGGATCGGTGTAGCATATGGGCGCGTGATCGCGACAGCACACTGAGGTGTTGATTGATTCTTTCTTTGCCAGCCCCGGATTTGGGCAAAAGCGAGAAAGTGACGATATGGATAGCATGACCACACGACCCACCCTGGCTGGACCCCCCTTCCATCAGATATTCTGCGATGTGGGTGCGGTTGCTTTTTTGCAAGGCGTTTAAGATTACCCTAGTTTCTCTTTTATGGTATTCAGATCGGAGATGGCTATAGCTTACTGCCGTAGGCCGTCTCTTCTTCAGACTTCCATGTATGTCGTGGTGTCGACGCTGTGAAAGTACAATTGGCGCTGTGATTTTTAGGCCCCAGGTTCTGAACCTGCTCTCGACACGCGCGTCTCCTTCACTTTAATCAACACTCACCTCCACAGACGTAGAACAACAAAAGCGTCGAAATGTATTCCAAGCTCTAGTGAGTACAAGTCGGTCTGGGTTCGATCACGATGCCTACACGGCATGAGAAAATCAGTACGTGTGACGGATGCTCGAATGGAGGTGATGATTCCGCGCAAAATATTCTTCACGCTCTCCTATACTAATGCTATCCGCTTTCCTACGCTAAGTTCGCGAGACTGAGTCCCGCCCACGACCGTTTTCAGGTTGCAGATTGGAATACACTCCGCGGAAAACATGCCCTTCCCAATTTAAGTCGTCATCTCCTGCTACGTGCTCGACGACAGGAAACGGAGCAATCGAACGCCCTGGGCGTGAGAAGTAGACCCTTCAAAGGAGCGAGGTTTTCGTAATCGGCCGTGAGAAATATGCACAAGACAGCTCTAGCTAGATACCGCACAGCGGAATGTGTTGGAGCTGTCTTTCCTAACGAATGTTCGATGCTCCTCCCATTGCAGATCCAARCCTGGGTGACCGCATATTATCAGCATGATCAATGGAATCCATGTCCTGCCTAAAATGCCAGTGTCTTGCGCTTCTCAGCATGAGAGAGCACGCCCAACATCATCTTCTTGCGATCGTCGCCATAGGCAGATGGAGTTGCAGGAGTCGGAGGCTGTTTCCAGTCCTCGTCGCTGCTAGATGCAGAGCTTAGGGCGAAGTACCCATCTGTTGAAGTAGGGCTTCCACGCTTCTCCTTCATTTCCGAACCGATCGGACTCATCTTTCTGCTGCCACAGCTTGCAAGGGACAACCTATCTTCGCCTGCTTCGCTGGTGGAGAAGTTGCACTCGCGCTCACTCACTGGGCTTCCGCCGGACGAATGAGAAACACCTCGGCGGGTTGTACCGGCACGCATGAGGCTGTCAAGTGCGCGGCGGCGCTGACGAGTCGCAAAATTCTTGCTTCCCTCGTGTTGGCTGGTGGGCGCTGTGGTGAGCTCTTCGAGAGGCGGTGGGCCCCTTGGTTGCCGAACAGGGTGCTCGCCAGCGCGGGCAGCTCCTGGGCCGAATGTGCCAGTCATGGGAGTTGGTGGGAACACTGCACGCTGAGATCCGAATACGGCGGTGGATGATGTCTTTGGACCGTCTGCAACCTTTCCAAATGGGTCAATGGCCAAGGACGATGCCTTCTTGTGGCCACGGCGGAACGCAGTTGCCGAAGGTGGCGGAAGAGGCTCAACATGCTCGAGCGCAGATGGTGGAGTCTGTGATTTCTTCGGCGGCGTGAAAGAGCGCGAGTTCGACGGAGTCAATCTCTCCGCGGGTGGAAGCGAAGCCGCATTGTAGTTCTGAGTAGGCGATTCGTAGCGGGCTGGAGAGAAATGGTTCCCAGAGCTCTGCTGGATAGGAGACACGATCTGCTGACTTTGTTGCATGTTCTGGTCAAAGGCATATGAGTAGCCTTGAATGGCAGGATTGTAGACAAGGTAGACACCTGGCTGACCTGGAACCTCGATGGGAGCCGGCACTTGCTGTTGCTGCTGACCGTAGAAGTTTTGCGGTGCCGAAGAAGTCAGAGGGAGCTGGTTCTGGTGGAATGAACCGCGCTGCATGTTCCCATTAAGGCCCATGTTGCCGGTTGCCGCAGTAATGTTGGCGAGCTGTTGTTGAAGCTGTTGCTGACGCTGGGCTAGGAACAAGCTGGTGACATGCATCTGCTGAAGTACGCTCGGATCCATCTCCTCGGCCTGCTCGTAGACTGGGGGAGGAGCGAGAACCTGCTCGGGCAGAGCGTACATTTGCCGCGCCGCATGCATTGCATGTTGATTTGGGAAATCGAACGTGGAGCCCGTAGCGGTTTGGGGGACGGCCTGGCCACGGCCTCCATAGCTCTGGTCTGACCACGGCGATGCGGAGGGTCCAGAGATGGAGTGATGGGTTTGATGATAAGGAGCGGAAGCCGGAACTCCTGGAGTTTTTGGCTGGGTGCGCAGACCTGCAAGCAGGTGCGAGCGACTGGTGCGAGGCGTCGGATTGTCGACCTGATTCTCGTTGATCGGAGCGACCTTGGGCGGAAGCGCAACGCTCAATCTCTTAGAGTTGATTCGCGATCCGCGGGCCCCGAAGCCAGAGGCAGGGAGGCCAAGAGCGCCGGCTGGAAAGCCATTGCCGTTGTGGTTGTTGTGGTTGTTGAAAGTCATTTGAGCGAGACCACCAGTGTCAATGCTCGTGGAACAGGCGTGAAGTCCTGGAATGCGTGAAATGCTGGAGTCGTAAAGCGTAGAAACGGGCACAAACAGCCGCGGTGGACCGTTAAGTGTGTGAGGTTGGGTGGACTATGTGTCTCAGCGGCGCAGATTAGACGGGCACCTTCCAGAGAGACGTCGTTGTCCAGCACTCGAATTAGACCGCAAGGTCAAAGGACGCGGTGGTTCCGTAAGGTACAGATTACAAGATTACAAAGAAATATAGTTCTTTCGCGCGGCTTCTTGCAACAATGGAATCCAGCTCGCCGCAAATTGCCTCCGTCAGATGAGCTGAAGGAATGCTCTGTCTGGTGTATTTGCCCTTTGCTGGAGGTGGTTCGCAGTCGGAGGAAGGGTAAGGTAGTCCCAGAGCGCAGCAGATTCCAACACAGGCGTGGCAGAGAGGATCCCCAGAGCGCAGCGGCAAGCGGCAAACGGGCTGGACGCGCGGGTCTGATGCCCAATAGATGGACGGCGATGGAGATGAGGGTGTGTGGTGATGCTTCGTGTGTCGAGTTGCGTCTGGCGTTTGCGGTGCGGATGCAGCGGATTAGGACGACGGCTCTGCGGACGGGCGGCTTTCGACAGCGGCGGAAAGAAAAGTGCGGACGGAAGATGCAAGAGCAAGAGCAAGCGCGCGAGTGAACGCTGGGAGGGCGAGAGAGAGAGAGCGGGTGAGGGGGGAGAGAAGGAATGATAGAAGTCGGCGGTGTGTTGGTAGGCAGAAAACAGGAGAGGACTACTGGTGTGGACGAATAGCAGACGCCCGGGCAGGCTGGGCTACAGACCCTGCAAAAGTGCAACCTTGAACCTTTGGACTGCCGCTCCCAAAGCAGCTAGATCAATAGGTATCCATCACTCTGGTGGCTGCTTGGCTCAAATAATGTCTCTTCCTCTCGTACGGTACTTAATAATGATGCGGTCTGCTCCACATATTCGCAGGTCGGAGGCAGGTCGGTTTTGTGTGCCTTCCCCCCATCACCATCACTTCTAGTCGCAACGGGAAAGACAGTATCGTCGCTCCACGTTGCCCACGACTGTCCGCATGTCGATTGCGGCGCACACATTGGTTCGTGCTAACGAAGTGGCGCATCGGCTACCCAGCCTTCTTTGCTGCCACACTCAGATCACGGCGCTTACATCGGCGCACGCGATGCACGTTTCTATCGAATGCTGCAAGAAGGCGACCCTATCGCTGGCATACCACTCTTTCTGCACTGTATGCTGACTCGAATACTGTTTTTCGTGATTGTTTGAACAGGTCACACTGCTTTCATATCTACGAGCAGAAGATGCACGGAAAGTGTTGCAAATTGTCTACTCGGACGGACGTGACAATGCGTCAGCCACAGGATTTTCACTCCTCCTTCGCATCGAGGGATGATGAATCCGCCAACGCGGTAGAAGCGCGCGCACACGCTTTGACAGGTGTGGGCGTGCTCCCCAGCCGATTTACTGCCCCACAATGATCCAAACGCGAGTGGTACACCAATGCATCGCACCGAGCTTATCACTTCCAAATTCCAATGAGCACGACGTCTCACGGACCACGAGCAAGACTCTTTGCCTTCCCATTGTTCGTTTCAACTGCGGCACACCAAGAAAGATGGAACAATGATGGTCAGGTCAGCCTCAACACGGAGCTCTAGCTGTTCGTAAGTTTGCTGTGCACATCAAGAAACCTCTCAAGCACCAGTGCCGATGAGCCATAGGTACTTTTGAGCGTGGCGGTGCGTGATCATTCCTACACCTGCGTCACTGATGATTGCTCAGACATCCTTTATCCAGCTCGCTGGCACTACGCCTTTGCCTGCGCGGGACTCTACCTCCACCCATCCATCACCTTGATCAGGGGCTATTAGCACCATTTTCTCTCCTTCCTCCATGTCGGTCTCACCGGGTCCAGATCCCTGGTATGTATACGAAGCAATAACATGCTTCACCTTCTTGGCACCTCTTCTCGGTGCAACGGCAGGTCCTTGTTTCTTCTTCACACTCGGGGTGTCTGAGCCGGCAAGACTTGTGGTAGATGCCGAAGCAGCCATTGACACTGGTATACCCTCAAGTGATGCTCTGGATGAAGGTGCAGGCGCACTAAAGTCAGCGTAGCTGGAAGGCACAAGTCCCGCATCCGTCGCTGAAGATGCTGGACGCACTTTGATCCAACCGGAACCATCATCGGGCTCAACAAGGAAGACTGTCTCGCCCTCTGCTATTGTGAGTTCGCCCTCGCCATTGGCCTGGTAAGGATAAAGCATCTTGCCTCTCTGCTCATCCGGGGAGTCGCTGCTCGCAATGTACTGGGCAGGAGGAGGCGCCATCACACGAGGCCTTTGTCCTATCTTTGGTGCAGGGGCTGCCGGAGAGCCGTCGTCTACCGATCTGACGGTCATTCCCGATACGCTGCGATTGGCGCTTGCGGCATACCCAGAGCTGAGAGTGTTCATGGAACCAATGGTATCGCTTCGCTGCAGCGAAGGTCCGCCTCCACCGTTGGCATGTCCATTCGAAGACGGGCCGATGGGAGTCGATGCCTGGGCTTGAGCAGCAGCTTGCCGCGTCGCTTTAATGGCCTTCTTCTGCTCCTTGCTCAGCTCWCCAGGGCACTCTGCTGGAACCTTGAGCTCACACTTTGTATGGCAGGTGAATCCGCATTCGTCACAGCTCAATCCTTTGGCGTTCAGTCCCCATAGCCGGTCACCACAGAGGTCGCAGCTCGTGGGAATCTTGTAAGTCTGATTCTTGAAAGTGTGATTGCGTGCTCCAATAGCCACATCGCCCACTCCAGCAAGAATCGTGCTCACCTCCACCTCTGCGGTTATTCTTTTTCGCTCGGCCTCGTGCAATCTATCCTGGTGGACAAATTGAGCTCGAACCACCTCAACTTCGTCTCGTTTATCTTTGCCTTCTCGAATAGCTTGACGAACACGCTTCGCCCCTTCTACTTCTCGCCGCCGTGATTCACACTCGCGATTCAACTCGGCCAAGGACGACTTCGACTTTGTCAAGATGTTCATCAGAAACGTTTTGCTCGCTGTATCCGCAGCCATGACATCGTCGTCCAGCCATACTGGCGAGGGCTCGAAGGCAAAATCTGGAGGGTCCTGCCATTGCGAGGCATTGTGCCGTGCGAACATCATGCTGTCCAACACCGGATTGTTGCGTGGAATTTCTGCAGAGAGATGCTGTAGCAGCTTGATGGAACGATCTAGAGTCTGTGTTTCCATAGACGAGGCTGTTGACCATAGATGGTTGAGTGTGGACGTTCGAGTTTCTGACAAGGACTGAAGCGACTAAAGAAGATGGTCTCGTCAGCACAGATGGACGTTGAGAATTCTATGATGAGATTCAAGCCTTACATTTAACAGCTCGGGAACATATTCGTGGTAGTATCGCTCCTTTTGCTTGTTCGTAACGTTGATTGTGATCAGATACGTATTCTTCGCATTGTGCATCTCTCCCTGCTGCTGCTGGAACGCGCTCTGTGCCTTTTGCTTGCCATGGTCGAAGCTACTCTCTGTCTTCTTCCGTCGATTCTCCACCTCCTGACAGGCGGTATCGTATTTGCCTTTGATCTTCTTCAAATCGGCGTAAGTGCCGTCCCGCTCCTTCTCCAGCTTACTCGCGTATTCAACGTGCTGCTTGCGCAAGTCTTCATATTTCGCAGCCAGGGCTTTGAGAGGCTCTGCCACAGACGAGATCAGCTGGTTCGCAAAGCGATCCTGCTCGGCCGCACGACCTTCTAGGGTGGTGAGTTGGACTGTCCACGTGGTCATTGATGCACTCTCGAGTGAGCCCGGCGTGACGGTCGGAGTGTCGCCAACACTGAGGCTGCTGCTCTTTTTGGACTTTCGCTCAAAGTACTTCTTCGCTAAAGCGCTGAGTTTCTGGCTGTATTCCTTTTCGATGGCACTGCGCTCGCGGTAGAACTGTTGCATGTCATCCAGCCACGCAATACCGCCAGCTACCCAGGCATTGACTGGCTTKAAGCCATCTTTGAGCTCCACCCCAAACGACGGTGCCAGCTCCAATTCTGCCATGACTGTGGCGGGGGGGCTGTAATGAGTGAGGTTGCTCCTGCGTCGGACGCTTCGCCGCGTGGAATGCAGTGGAGTTCCAGTTCCAGTTCCACAGTTCCAAGGTTCCACTAGTGGGGTAGAACTACCAGGGTCCTCGCTCGAGCTTTGTTCATCATGTTCAATGCTTCATCCATCATCACATTGTGTGAACACGCGACAACCTTCAACACCACCACCACAGAGTCACGATCGCACCCGAGTGATACTTTGAGGTCTTTCATTATTCACACATTCTTTCCCAGCAGTCACGCCGCACACGCGCCTTGCCGACCAAACCATGTCGGACGCGAGCAAGCCCACCGCGGCCGAACCACAAATGGACAGCCTGTCGCTCTCCTCTGAGACGCCCGCAAAGACTGTCAACGGTACAGACCCCAGCGCCGCCGTATTTGCTCCACGCCCGAAGATCAACTGGGCCGACGAGGAAGAGACCGCCCCAAACACCGCACCTGACGGCACCACAGGCGCAAAAGCTGCAGACAACGGCTTGGAAAAGGCGCAGACTGATGGCGCCTCGACATGGATGCAGGGCTCCGTGGGTTTGGATGAGCCCGAGTTTGACGTCAATGTGAAGCTTGCCGATCTGCAAGCTAATCCAGACAACCCGCTGTTCTCGGCGAAGACATTCGAAGAGCTCAACCTGTGAGTGAAGCGAACACTCAACAATGGTATCCTCATCAATCTAACCGGTGCACAGCAAACCGGAGCTTTTGCAGGGTCTCCTCGTCCAGATGAATTACACTAAACCGTCCAAAATCCAAGAGCGTGCCCTCCCACTGCTGCTGATGAACCCGGCCCAGAATCTCATCGGACAGTCACAGTCAGGTACTGGCAAGACCGCTGCGTTTGTACTGAACATGCTACAGCGTGTCGACCTCTCCTCACAGAAGCCGCAAGCCATCGTGCTTGCTCCAACTCGCGAACTCGCAAAGCAGATCGCCGGTGTTGCACTGCAGATGGGCTCCATGCTTGAGGTCCAAGGCCTGAAGATCGCCGAGGCTGTTCCCAACCCATCGCAGAGAGGCCAGCAAGTTGAAGGTCAGATTGTTGTTGGCACCCCGGGTACCGTCATGGACATGCTGAGACGGCGTCTCATCGATCCTCGCAACGTCAACATCCTCACACTGGACGAGGCAGACAACATGTTGGACATGCAAGGCATGGGCGACCAGTGCAAGCGGATCAAGACGCAGCTGCCGAAATCCATTCAAATCGTTCTCTTTTCTGCCACCTTCTCTAAGCTAGTCCAAGGCTTTGCCGTCGAGTTCGCACCGAACGCCAACATGCTCTTCCTGGAGGTCGAGAAGCTCACCGTCAAGGGCATCAAGCAAATGTATCTCGACTGTCAGAATGACGAAGAGAAGTACTCGTCGCTCGTCAAATTCTACGGCCTCATGACAATCGCCTCGTCGATCATCTTCGTCAAGCGCCGCGACACTGCAGCAGAGATTGAACGCCGCATGACTACCGAGGGACACAAGGTGGTGTCACTCACTGGCGCACTGGAAGGCGAGGACAGGGATAAGGTCTTTGCTCGCTTCCGTTCCGGCGAAGCTAAAGTGCTCATCACCACAAACGTTCTGGCGCGCGGTATCGATGTGCAGACGGTGACCATGGTCATCAACTACGACATTCCAGAGACTGTCGACCACCAGCCGGATTTCGAGACTTATCTCCACCGTATCGGCCGGACTGGGCGTTTCGGTCGCACTGGCGCTGCCCTCAGCTTCGTGCATGATCGTAGAAGCTGGGAAGGCCTCATGGCCATCTGCAAGCACTTCGGCGTGGAGCCCACGAAGCTGGACACCAGTAATTGGGATGATGTTGAGAAGACGCTCAAGGCAATCATGAAGAACAGTCGCAACGCTGTCGATATGGACTAGGATGGCGGGCGGAGGTCCAATTTGTGGGTTTGAAGCGCTCCATCGAAAGGTGGAACGGAACGTATGGCGTACATGGCGTCAAACAAGCATAGCGAAGGCAGTGATACCCCATAGACGCAGAAGGTCTCAACGAGTGGTCGAGTGAAAATACAACAAATGATCGAATGGAAGTACAGAGCACTAAGTGAGGGCAAAGCGGCCTAAATGTCAAAAGTCAACCATCCTCAAGAACAAAGTGATTGTTCCCCGAAGATAGGTGCAGGGCCACACCATCGACGTAACTCCGATCGGGGAATGCTTGCCACCATTCGAATACTCCAAGTTCATCAGCGTTGGATGAGATTTGCAGCATGATCAACGCTTTGGTATGTGGTGATCGTGAAATGTCAAATGACTCGCGGGAGGAATCGAGGTCCATCTCTTTGTATACGGGCGGGGGGTGGTTGTTCTAGAATAAGGTACCTAAGGTAAGCTCGGCTTCCTCGCTTGAGCCGAGCCGCGTACTGTGCTCCGGGGCAAACTCCCTCTCGACGACCTCACCGCATCGGTTGCGTGCAATCGGCATGCCAGCAGGATGACCCCCGAACTGACGAAACACCTAGTCGACTAGGAGCGTCGCCATTGGGACATATTTTCAGGAGCCACACGTCACTTTGGTATCATGTTTGATACATGGGGTGTCGCATGATCCGCGATGGAGGACCACACGCGCAGCCACGGCGGTCTCGCAGGGGCAGCGGTGGCAACGTTATGGTCATGAAAACACAGTGGTTGCTGCAGCGGTGAAGAGAGCATGAGATCCAACGTAAAGAGATGATGGGAGGCCCGCCCGCGCCCGCGCTTTAGGGCATTCGTGGCTGTCTTACGAGGCCTTGCTCGCTCCATCCAAGAGGGTCGTAAGTATTGTGCGGCTACGTTACGTCGCAAGCTGCGGCGTGGAAGAGTGTTGCAGCCAATGTTGACCAACAAACCCAGAAATGAAGGAAGCCCTTGATCCTTCCCTGTTGAGTACGTGCATCAGGTTATTCTCTTCAATTTCCATTTGTTCTTTTCTCGGCTGCGACTCTCTGCCTCACTTACTTACTTAAACCCTCACTTCACCATCTCTTATCGAGTAAATGCCAAGGCGTCTTCCTACTTCATCCTGCGTCAAGTCACGTACCGTCAAACGAACCCCGTCATTGACAACGAAATCGACGTCAACTTCGCCATCATGCGTCTTGTCACCATCGAGGCCGGTGTGCTGCTCGCCTGCCTCTCATCCTGCATGGCACAGACCTCGACCGACTGCAACCCAACCAACGAGACCTGTAGCTCCGACGTGGGCCTCTCATCGTCGACCTACAGCGCAGACTTTACCAAGCCAGGCAACAATGCGTCTTGGACTGCCGCTGCCTATTCGGAAATCACATATGGTGACGAAGGCGCCGTCTTCACCATCTCCAAGGAAGGGTATGTTCCGACGGCACATACATTCAACGGACACGAGAGAAGTTGCTCGTGGAGATTGAGCCGCCGAATGGTTCTGCTCAATAGTCGCTGCTTCATCCGACCCGTTGCGTTTTGAAGCTGTGCTTTCAATCTTACCTCCGAGCTCTGCTAACAATGCCCATCTTAAGACAAGCTCCAACGATGGAAACCGACTTCTACTTCCTCTTCGGTAGGCAATTTCCAGTGCGGAACTTCAAGTCTGAACGGCACAGAACGTGCCTTCAGAGGCCTTTCCCAGCTCTTAATGTCTCAAATGTACGMTAAGCTGCATGCGTCTGTTCTAGGCAAGGTCGAAGTGACCATGAAAGCTGCACCAGGCACTGGTATCGTTTCCTCAATTGTGCTCGAGTCGGACGACCTGGATGAGATCGAGTAAGCAATTGAGGTGTGGGAGACATAGGCGGTTCCGGGCCTTCCCAGACTCCAAATATCCAAGACACGGGCTGACTTCCATACTTCGCTTTTAGTTGGGAGTACGAAGATGAATTACGAACCTTGATAGGTGCAGCATGACTTACAATACCCGTTAGGTTCCTCGGCGGCGACACAACGCAAGTTCAGTCAAACTTCTTCGTTCGTTCACCCCTGGTATTTGCATCTTATTAAAGCTAATTTTGAGACAGGGAAAAGGCAATACAACTTCGTGAGTGATGCCGAATGGTCCGAGAAGCACTGAGCGTCCTTCCGAGCCTCCTCATCCACCTCTATGGCTGAGATGATGCTAATCAAGTATCTGGATAGGTACGACAGAGCGCTTTATTCCGCTATCAAGGACCCACAGAATACGTGGCATACTTATACTATCGATTGGAACGAGGAGACGCTCAAATATCTCATCGGTGAGTACGTAAAGGCCATAAAACGGCCTGCTGCCGAGTCTTCGAGAGGCATACTGCGTTTGAGCACTCGGAGGAAGCCATTTCGTCCCTCGATATGCCCTGCCTATGCTAGAAATTGCTGACCCTCTCACCTTTCGACTGTAGACGGCTCTGAAATTCGTACGGTCAAATATTCCGAACCGTCGACGGTGTTYGGCAAAAACTACCCACAGACGCCAGTGAGTGAACGCCGCATTTGGAAGACCATGGCAACTGCGAGACTTCTTCGCTTGTTAACCCCCGGGCTACTCCCTATCGTCTGGCACGCCACTGATCATTGTGCTTTGCTCTCTAGATGCGACTCAAGCTGGGTAACTGGGCTGGGGGTGCGAAAGGCAACAGTCCCGGTACAATCGAGGTAGGTCGCTGGAGGACGAAAGTAGGCGTCTTGCAAGTATCTATCAAGATGCACTACGCCTTATTCCTCGCCAATATTGCTGAGAACATAGCTAATTCTTCCAGTGGGCCGGAGGTGAAGTAGATTTTGAAAAAGGTGAGCCACACAACAAATACTATCCTAATTCTCCATTCCAACATCAAAACACACTTACTGACATATCAGAAGGACCGTTCACCATGTATGTGAAGAGCGTGTCAATCTCCAACGCCAATCCCGCCTGTTCCTACTCGTACAAAGACAAGACGGGCGACTTTTCATCCATCGACATCGTTACAACTGGTAAGTGACCTAGCCGGTAATTCGCGACTGGCATGAGATTTCTTCTTGGGCTCTCTCGGTTCTTCACTGATCTTCCCGCCCTAGGTGACTCTTGCTCAGCAAATTCGACTTCGCCAGACACTACCGCAAACTCCACATCCACAGCTACACAAGCCCCGACATCATCTCATAGCGTGGCACATGTGGAGCAGACTGAAGCCGTCGTGGCGACTACCGTCACTGGGTCTGCTTATAGCACTAACAGGTATGTCGACCGACGAGATACATTGCCCCGAACTGGTACTGACATCGATTGCGCTTTTGCCAGTGCCTCTGCGTCTGCATTGAACGGTGGCATTGTCTCCACGACGGCTCTGCCAACTGGTGGGAGTACAACAGCCGGCGGGCCAGCATCCAGCTCCTCGTCCGAGAGCTTCACTGGCGACGCATCGTCCGTTCGCGCCGCTACCGTCGGTGCTGGCTTGGGTATGTTGGTGGGCCTCTGGGTGCTCTAGCTAGATCACTTTCTGGGTCGAGATCTGTGAGGTACACATGAGTGTAAACTCAGATTCCACGACCCAACACTTGTACCTGCCTCAGTACTGGGCCATGGGCATTGACGACTAGAGAAGTAAGGCAACTTGGTCGCATCTTGTTCAATACTCTCTACTTCATCTCTTCCTTGGCAATCGCTATGAGTTCAAGTTGCATCATCCAGGCGGATGATTAGAATATATGTTTCAGCAGAGCACTGCCGCCGCAGCCAAGACTTGCATGTGAWCATGGGAGTTATCACCGCGACATTTTCGATCTTCAATTGAGGTAGTTTGCTGAGCAGTGCGAGGGTCGGAGTTGGAACGTGGAAGTTCAGAGTCGCAGTGAATGAGAGCGGCGAAATATGTTGACCTTGTCACGCGCGCAAACAATCTATCATCTACCACCAACATCTCCGCTACCGTTTCGTCTCAGACGCATCTACAATCTCACCGTCCGCATTGCTACTAAGATAGCCCAGTCACATCATTCCCCTCAGTCGTTTCAACCTACACCTCACCGGCGACGAGCCGTCGCGGCGCTGCGTTCCAACCACCCTCTGCCACGGGAGAGAGGTACGCATACCATTGGACTTCGCGCAGGCCCACGTCACGCCCATTGAACGGGTAGTAAACGATGGGCGACCGACGTCTCGCGGAGAAGATGCTTCGGCGGACTCCTGATGCGCCCATGTCGCGCCGTAACGGGATTGACCTGCTCTTCATTATGCAGCGGTAGGTTAACCGAAGGGTGGACAGCAGAGAGCATCCCAAGGCACTCTGCCAGCTCCTCAACGCCCACGACACATGCTGACCTGCAAAATGTTCTCTCAGGCATGCTGTCTTCCTCATCAATCAAGACTCGGCTGACCACATCTCCGACATCATATTTGCGCAGCAGGCCATTGACGACGACACGGATCCGGTCAAGAAGTATGAGCTATTGCACGAGTTTCACTCGGGCTATGATCCGAGCCGTCGAAACCAGCCGCGCCCTGCTCCCAAGCTGCGGAAAGCGATGGCAGAGGCGAGGGTGAAGTGGGCCGAAATCCTGCGCGACGAGGATCTGGTCGACGTTCGAGTCGTCATTTTTCCATCCGAAGAGCGGGACTTCGAGCATATCTATCCTCCGGTAGATCTGGCTGTGAGTTCTTCTGCCCAGTGTAGCCATGCTTGCGATGTTCTATGTAGCTAATCGAATTGTAGGAGCATCCTTATGGGAACCAGGTGAGCTTGATGAGCGATGTTGCCTACTCGATGTACATCATACTAACGGAGTGGCCAGTTACAACGCTTCCAAGGTCTGAAAGAGCTGCTGGTAGAAGAGGTAGGTGCATTCATGATGCAAAGACACTCGCAGGATACTGACTAGAGCCGTCCAGGGTGGCGCAATGCCATATCGTCTCAAGCCACGGTCTAGGGATAACATCACCATGGAGGTGGATGTGGTCATCGCAAGAGAAGCACTCGAACGGATCGCAACGCCATATAGGCAGATGGTTCTCAATTTCCAACTCCACACGATCACGGCTCGTGCGCCACACTCAATCTCGGAACATCACCCTCTGGACACGGAGCATGTATTGGGAGACGGAGTCAGCGCTCATTTAAGCATGGAGAATCTGGCTCGCGTCCTCAGACAGCGTAGCTCCACCATCCAGAAGGCTGTTCGCACAGCACCAAAGCTGCCGTGGAACTTCCCCTTCAGAGCTGGATCCGGCCAATCACGCGATCAACCGAGATGGACTGGCGACCAAGGTCCGTTCTCGAAAGATCTCTTCGAGTTGGGAATCGAAAATGACTGGGTCAAGAAGGACCTCGAAGTCCGCACGGCTCAGATTGAGACCTGGGCGGCGATGAACAAAGCCCGCGAAGACGCACTGCAAACCAAACTCCCAGATCCAGAGTTCCGTCCATTGGATGGTCTTGCTCAATGCGACACCTATACTGCAGATTCAGATATGGCCTGGTACGAAGCGGAGCTAAGTGGCAACGTCATGGCTGATTACGCAGCCGCGCTGAGAGTGAAGGATCTGGAAGCGGCCAGATACCAGCAGGCGCTTGCGAACTTGACCGCTGTAAGACAGCAAGAGCCGCAGAATCTGGAGTTGTTGGAGTGAGTCGACATTCGAGTTGAGCGTAGATACGCCAGCTAACACGAAGTTTTAGGTTCTTCCACCAGATAGTGGACACGCATTCTTGCGTTCTGAAGCGCGCGGAGCAATTTTGCATCGCAATATCTCAAGGCTTTCCTCCCGCCACCTCCAAGCCCGAGATGGTGGAGCGGGAGCCACCATCACGTGAATCACAGGAACTGGGCGAAGTTAATCGCCCTATATCGGAAATTCAGACAAGCACAGGTGAGTTGCCAAAAGCATGAGTACTCTTCCTCCTGGGTCGATACTCATCTTTGGCTCTAATCGAGCGTAGAGACGCGCCGTTGGAAGGGACTAATGATATTTTGCTTTCAGGCCATGCGCCTGCGCAAGCAGAAGCAGAAGCTGGCACTCCTCCGGCCGTGTTCACGTTTGTCATGGCTGATCCAGGCGATACACCAATTCCAGAAGTCAGGGGAGGGCTGACAGGTCAGGGGCCCACGCTATGGCCATCAGGAAGACCGACTGGAGGTCCTCCAACCGGCACATCTCAAGCTCATATTGCTCCCCAAGACAATCATCAGCCGCTCTCGTCGAGACAGCCGTCGGATCCAACTTATGGGCGTCGTACTGCCACATATTCAAATCGTCCAGAAGACCAGGAGAGGGTGCCAAATACGCCCCGGGCTGCTATTGAGCAGGGCGAAGCAGTGCGTAAGTTTGTCAGAGAAGGATCGTCTAACCAGCCCGCTGTCTCGCTGCAGTCTCAGATCGACAAGCCTCAGAATCAAGGTAGCCAAGGGAGACGCCGCTCGATAAATCATGAGTTGACCTCATCACTCTATCATGCAAGCTCTGCGAAGGACCAGCGAAGTTGTCGGAGCGTCGACGAACGTCGATTAGCCGGCCTATGCATTGCATCAAGCCCGAGCCACGACAATCGATTAACAAAATCCATGCCATGTCCGCCCAATGTCTCCTCGGTGGCACCAAAGGATTTCAGCGCACGAGAAGGCATGTTTCGAGAACATCGGAACGATGCATTGCAAATGCTGAACCTCGCCGTCGCGAAGGATAATGATGTCAACCGAGGCAGCCCACAAGGTGCGTTTCCAATCCTCCGACATTTAATGCGCAGCATTACCAAGGCAATCAACCGCAACGGATAGAACCACACAACACGAGAATATTGTGGACAAGGTACGTAAGTTTTTGTTTCCTTCCGTCGCAAGATACCGCGCCGGTGGCAGAAAGCAGGCAGGCGCATCCATGATCGATCGAGAAGAGGGAGACGGAGAGTGTAATATCGGACGCGAACGTTTGGCATCGAACGGAGGGTGATCGAGTGCAAGGTGGGTTCTGAGATGAAGGAGGCTTCGTACATGCAGGAGACGCAGTTGCTTGCATGGATCTGAACGTTAGAGTGCTGCAACAATCCCAATGTATGTACATTCCTGCGTGGACAATCTGCAAGATCTGTCCATCTCGTGGGCATCTCCATTGAAATGCGGCCCAAGTCGCCGAATCGTCCACCAAGCGCCAGTGTGCCACTCTCGTTGGTTTCGCCATGAGTGCTACGCAGAAACGGTCTCGCGAGCCCGGAGAACCCCCTCCATGAGCAACGTGTGTCTTTATGCCCAACAGAACGACTAACGCATCTCCTTGAGGAAATTGGCCTCCTTGATCTTGCTGCGCCGATGATCCCGCATTGCCTTGGTCAACTCCTGCCGTGCCTCGCCAGCTTGCCTGTTCCCTGCGACTGTTCCATCTCCCTTTGGCAGATCAACGCTCTGTTCATATAACGGAATCTTTGGGGCCATCGAATCTGGATCCAGCAGCTGTTGCTTCCTCAAGGCCTTGGCCGCTAGCCGCCGCTGTTTCTTGGATTTCGCTGCAAATTCTGTCAGCACTGTGATTGAAAGTGTTCTTGAGGATGAACTACGCACAAAATAGGTCTCCCTCGGCATCCCCAGCACTACTCGAAGTTGCATCGCCTCGTTGATTCAATACGGTCCAAAGCCATGGAGGGTACTCGTGATCTTCGAGCGCCACGGGGTCTTGCTTATTCTTGAAGAAGTTCAGGCCCTTTAGCACAGTGCCCGCGGGCACGCTGGACTGCACCTTGACGGACTGCTTGCCGGACTCGGGATTTGGTAGGTCTGGCACGCCTTGGGCCGGCGTCAATGGTGTGCTAAAAGGCTGTGCAGCTGAAGTCGAAGTGGCGGCGGGCTTGCCATGCGGTCGTGGATTGGTTGCCTGGGTCGTCTGCGCCGTGACCGCCTGCGCTCGAGATGCTGATTGTTGCGAGAACTGGCGCGAACAGGTCTTGATGCTTGGAAGAGTTCGTTGGCGTGCCAGCAGGCGTTGGTGACATTGTCGACAAATCATGGTGCGGTTTGCGTGTGGATGTCAAACAAGGAGATCTCAGGGCGTCGTCTTGAAGTGCAGTCAATTCGTCTCGGGGGTCTCGCGCTCGCCGCAAAACGATGGACAGCACCGCATCGAAGCTTTTAAAGACCGAACGTGGTTGATTACATAAGTCGTAGCATTTTGTTCATCTCTGTCTAGCACAACTATGTGGTGAATGGTACATCATGCTTTAATTGGCCGTCCGCCTGGCCGCATCGTCCACAAAATCAAAAAGCAGCCGGCTGCCTGCGGGTATCAACGAGTGTTTCCTCAAGTGCAGTGCCGTTCGCCCTTGCGAGCGTGGTATCCTCCTGAACGCGCCATTTCAACATCATTTCATATGGAACACACCCACACATCCTTCATACCGCGTGAGTCTAGTGCTCCAACTTGGACGTCATCCCGTTCGTGAATCGTTCAACGAACAAGGCGTGGCAGACCCGTTTAGCCTTCGTCATCGTCGGTGTCAGTCTTCTTCTTCTTCGTGCCGTTCTTCATGCCACCGTTCATGTCACCTGCTTTCCGCTTAGCACTCCCGTTACCGTTCATCATCGCCGGAATGCCATCCTCACCTTCATGGGTCGGAGCGTCGCCGGTCTGATTGTCCATCGCTGCAACCTCCTCTGCAGTCAAGAATCTTCCACCTGGTCCTCGAGGTCTTCGCATAGCATGGTTGTGTCTTGATTCATGCAAGTACGGTTTCCTCCCCTTGGATGTCAACCTTAGAGCTTCTTCCAGCTTCTGCCGTGCCATGCGCCGCTTAAGAATTCGGTGAAACTGTTTTGCATTCACATACAATGGCGACTCTTCGTTCGCAGCTGATACTGGAACCTCTGGCGATTGTTGAGGAGGGCCTTGAGGTACTTGCGATGGCGGTCCTTGTTGCGACTGCGTGGGAGGCCGCGACGCGCCCATGGGTGGCTGAGAGGGAACCGCAGGGCTGTTAACCGAGTGGGACATCCTACGTTGTGCATGGTGCATCTGAGGCGTCATATTGCTCGCCATCGGTTGTTGTGCGGACGGAAGGCTCAATTGTGATGCCATGGTGCTTGGTACACTCATCTGATTCTGCTGTGCCGGCGATTGTGGACTCGGTCTCTGCATCGATCCATCGGATTTGAGATGGCCCAGTCGCGGCGATGTTTGCGACATTGATCCCGCCAACGATGGATCCGACATGCTGTATGCCGGATAGCCACTGGCAGCCGACATGGCAGCCTGTGATGCCGACGCGACCTGCGACGCGTAAGGCATGGGCATACCATATTGCTGGCCCATCTGCGGCGGGTTGTAGGCCATCTGGGGCATCATGTGGTGCTGCCCATAGTTGGATTGCTGTTGCGACTGCATTCCGGGACTCTGCGGGGGAGGTTGCGGTGGATAGTTGGGCGGAGCAAATGGATAACTGGAGTCCATCTTGACGTGGATCAAGCTTCGAGGAGCGGGCGCGGCGGCGATGGCGACAGCCTACAGGGTGTGAGCGGGCGCGTTTGTCGCACAAGGTCGTGGATGCGCCGCTTTCACTGGCTGCAAGCTGGAGGTAGTAGAGGAGCTAAATGAGGCAAATCAGCGTCGTGTATCAACGCGAGCGGCTGCATCGCCACGCAGCGCCAGCGCATCGCAGCGCAGCGCATCGCCCTTGTCCGGGCGCGGCAACTCTCCCGCCGTGCAGGCTGCAGTCACATCGCTCGCTAGACAGTTTAGTCGCGGCGTCCCCGCGCGGACGGACAGCGTTGCCATTACAGGGCGGATCGCGGCATTGCGTTGCGAGCATGGTGGTATGGGAAGCACGTACCTGCGTCTCATTCGTTGACGGAGATGGACGGACGGTGTGATGATTGGAAGGATGGAGGTCACCAGTAGCGAATGGAAGCATGCAAAGCTGGGCGCATCCGAGCTAGTTCTACCTCCAAGCAAAGCTCCACACCTAGCAGAGAACTAGAAAGCGGCATTCCCTTCACCGCCATCGACCATACATGTATACTGTACGCTCTGACAATGAAAACAATGGTCTTGTGGTCTCGCCGCTCCAGATAACTCATCAACAACATGTCGTGCTGTTACAAGTACGGGACATGCATGCAACGCCGCCATCGGGTCGTACGACATCATCTCCGACAACAATTTTCTTCGCTTGACCGCCTCGTGTGCGTCAGCACATGGTAACGGGAACATCAATGCGGCGCAGTGAGCATGTCGGGGAGGGCACTCTGAAACATGTCTGCCGTATCGCGGTTCTCGGTCCACGTTGAGGGCCGCACAAGCAGCACGCAAGGGTCAAGAGGAAGGCAAGTATCCAATACGTATGCGACCGTCTACATCCACCAAGATCAGTCGCGTTGAACAGTCAGACCAGCTCGAAGCTCAAGTCAAGGGCGTTGTTTCTTTCTTGCATGCTTCGGTCAAGCTCAATATGCTGAAAGAGTCAATACCTCGGATGGCTTTCCACATCAATCATGTTCAAAACCAGAGAGTGATGTATCCTACAATCCAGCTGAACATCGAAGCGTTACCCTCCGATCATGCTTGCCTACATGGTTTATATGCTCATCGGGTGGAACACGAAGTTTCAGCTAACTCCGATGGCAATATCGGTCAGATTGAATCCTCCGGTCGCCTTACAGATGCTCTGCAGTCTGCAGTAGTACTACGCTCGTAAGCACTAATTACAAAAGATAGGCAAGAGGCTTTGTACACCTCTCTTCATCATCTACCTCAGACTTACACAGCAGCGCTATGCGTCAAATAACAGCGCTTGCCCGACTGTGCCAGCGTCGACTGATCCGGCAGACATGCAGCAAGGCTTCGCCCTACGACATCAGCACGTACCTACTTGACAAGTCGCACATCACGTCTTAATACCGATGATGCTGTAATTCGACAAAGGGTACCCGTCTCTGATACAAGGAGTATAAGCACCAGATGTCATCTTGGATTCTGACCCATTGCTAGGCGGCAAACCAGAGACGTTTTCGAGTACCGAGGGGACGAAGCGCCTGGCCAAGATCTATGAGCCATACGATACTATACAACACATAAGTCAGTGAGCTGCATCGTGATTGTTCGTGATCTCAATCTAAACACATCTATTGCAATCTACTGGTAAAGCTTCCGAACGCTGGAACGCCACGACCAAAGGCATTTACAAGGTGTTACTCGCAGATTGGAAGCTCTCGTAAGAATGCGAGGCGATCGCAAGGAGAGTAGGCCAATAGAAGGACACTTCCGTTCAATTTACTGGAATGTTCGACACGACCTGCGGTTCGGATCAACCGTAGACACTTCACAGGATGTCTCGGCGCTTCCCGTGTGCAGTATATAGGGTGTACAGCTGTTGCATACGCCGATGGATATTTCTATAAGAAGAATCATGAAGGGCTTCCAAAGATCCTGGCGACGATGCAAGGGATGAGTAAGGCTTCCGTCCGCCGGCGTTTACAACGCTGATTGGTCGTTTGAGGGTATGTATCAGCGTGAGTCTCCTCGCGGACGTGGGTTGCACGAAGCATGTAACCCTTGGCATCAGGCTCCGCGTAGGACCGGCGGGAAAAGCCCCGACAAGTAGCTGGCAGACGTGAGAGCAGAGCAAGCGGTATGCTTTCAGTCGGCAGTAGTAGACAGTCTACCATCCATCCATTCCTGGGTCACAATCCTGTTGTTCATCCTTCTACCTTCTTCACTCCGTCATCATCGGTGAGGAGGGTCGCAGCGTTGAAGTCATCAGACGTTGGAAGCTGTACGTGCACGTCCGCCGCAACGGCCATTTGCATCTCCACTGTCTTTGCTTTGACGTCCAGGACGTGACCACCAGCTGTGCGGTCTTTAGTGATGAAATGCAGATGCTCGCCCGCCACACCGAACCCCTGCCAGTTCCTACACATAGACCTATCAGCAGATGAAGATGATTCTACGTGGAAGACACTCACTTTGGTGTTCTGAATCCGATGATTGTACCCTCCGTCTTTTCGTACTCCTCGACGGATTGCTTCTCCCCAAGCTCTGAAAGTGGCTGCCCTTCATATCTACTCGCACAATCAGTACATGTCTTCGAGTGCGAGACCGGATTGCAACGTACTCCTGCCCTCTGACAGTTCGGCACTTGACGTAATCAAAGTGACCATCGATGCGATATGTCATGAACAAATTTGCAGCATGATCGTTGAAAGACCTTAGTGCCTCGTCCACGTCGTTTTTGCTGCGAAATTCCACTTTACGGGTCTGCTGAGGCACAAATTGAGTGCTAACGGCGAATGGTATCTGATCACTCTCGTCTGCTTTTCGTGTCTTTCCTCCGGGAAGCAGCTGATACACTACGCCGTCCAGGAACAGAAGTTCGCCATTCATCCGAGCGAAAGTACCAAGCCCTTGATTGCCCTTTGAAGAAAGCTTCGAGACCGATATTCCAGTCTCGCAGACTCCGTCCATCAGGGCATTGAGCAGCGAGTACTGGTAGATGTGATTCTGCTCCATGGTAGCGAGCCTTCGATTGAAGAGGTCCGCTCGAGGATGAATGTTGCCGTCGATCAACTGTTGCGGTGTTGTTTTCTCTCGGGGGTCTGAGGCAAGACTCACGTCAGCTTGTCGTTCGTGGAGGTTCACTTCACACTCCAACGTCATCGAGGTCCATGCCGGCCCATGCCGCCTGATCTCATTTACAGCCACCGCAAATTCTTACATACGATGAGAGCTTTGAACAGCAGAAAACTTGGGATACTTGTTACGTCGTCTCGCTACGTCGCCTTGCAGTATTATCGTCCTCTACCCGCTTGAGCTATCCTACACTAAGAACTGACGTACCGTCATTGGCAGATTTTCTCTTCTACACACTTACGACTCGTGCATATGCTACAACTGTCGATCATTGGGCCACTCTGTCGAGCCTGACCTCGGACGTGTCTGATCAAGTTCTTTCCTGTCCTGATCTTCCCGGGTCAGCTGCTGCATAGCCTCTCGGGGGAGACGCGTGGCGACGCTTACCAACGACAACTTCCCCTCTTGCGTGGCACATCCGTACTACATTTCCGCCAGCGCGTTGGTCCCTGTCATCGCTGAAGGATATTCTTGTTTCTTGAGAAATATTCTGCATGCAATCTCAACAGTGTTTCAGCGGGGATAATAGAAGTGTGAAGCATGGCTATGCGCCGTTGAGTCTGGGCGAACATAATGATTGGCATATCTCGGGTCCAATTGCTGCACAACGGGTACTCCACCTGCTTTAGGGAGCTGCTGGACAGCAGCCGGTGCGCCGTGGACAGGCTGGGGTGTGCCATGAGCAGAGTTGACGTAGATGACGCGCTGCTGCTGTTGGGTACCGTAGCCAGGAGGTAAGTCAATGGGCTGGTAGATTGGCGCTCGTGACTGGACTGGGGCTTGGTACTGTCTGCCGTTCTGCTGCGGGTGGGGAACGTATTGAATAGGTGCAACTGAGGCATTGACAAACCCGGGCCGGCGGTCTTCCACGGACCACACTGACTGCCGCGATATGTGTCCATCACGTGGCGATGTCAGGTCGATCGTGCCGCCAGCCATAGCTTTATCCAAGGCGTGATGGCCATGCTGGGCCGCTGCGGGAGAGTGCCGTAGATGGGACTTGGATCGGTCATGCCGCTGATCGATGTGTTCGATGGAGGACACGACTCTCTCCGGATGTTGAGAAGCATTCCCATTGCGAGTGTGAGGACGCGATATCGGCTGATAGGCGTATGGAGCACTCTGCGGTATTGAGGGTGGGCCATAGCGCTGGCTATCATGATTCTGCTGGGCAGGCTGTCTTTGATACAGACGGCCATCGATAACGACGTTCCCATCTCCTGGAGGGACAGTGATCCTAACCACGTCACTTTCCTCGACATTAGCTACAGAACTCATCGTGTGACAATTTGGGCAACTTACCGCTGGTCACCTGCTGTAGGAGCATTGCGCATCTGCTGTCGTGCAGCGTCGATCTTTTGATGAACCTCATTATCTCGTTGCTGGTAGTAGCGCAGAGTGCGGGGCAACGGCCTATACTTTTGCATGAACATTCTCGAGTTCTCGTCGTGGCTCTCGGCTCCAATATCGTCCAGCGCGACGGGTTTGTGGCTTATCTCGATGCTGGTGTCACTTGCATTGCCTTCATCGAGCTCTGTCGAGCCCTCGTCGTCTGCTTCGCTGAGTATATCATCATCGTCATCGATGACAATGGTCTCGCGCACAATCTCCTCAAGCTCATCGTCATTACCCTCATCGACCTCACCTCGCCACTCAATCAACTTCTTCAGACACACGGGCTCTACGAGGGCGCGAGCGTCCTTCCATTCAAACGCGCGAAGTAATCGATCGTAGTCGGTATACTCATGACGAATGCGAGCCAATACAGCAAGCTGAACACGGCGAGGGAGGTCAATCTCCATGTTGGTCCCTATACGGTCGGCGCCCTTCTCCCAGGCGTGGCGCAGGACCTGAGTAAGATCTCGCTCTGGCATCTTGGGGAATAATTCCTTGACGGCTGCCATGACCTGGAGGTCCGTCTCCTTTTCGACGTCAAAGTGAAGTCCGAACTTGGCCAAGGCTTGGGCCATCTTGCTCTGTTCGCGTTGCTCCTCGAGCTGGGACTCCTTGACAAAGCCTTTGCGTGTCACGACATATCCCAATGCTTGACAAGCTTCCTCGACAACCTCGGCGCGAAAATGGTAGCCAACGCGATGAATGTGATGCGAAACCTTGTCTGGGTCCACGGCAGCCTTACTGACTGGAGTTGCCTGTGACGCATATGTTAGTATTGAAACGCACCAATCCATCGGGAGCCTGGATGGCGGTGCACTCTGTTGGTTCCATCTGGGATGAGATCAGGAAAGAGCCAGAGTCGCGCTGGAACCTACGTTGACGACGTGAACGGTCAAGCCTTTCTGTCTGGAAATTTCCTTGCATCGATCTGCAAGGTCAGGCGTGCCAACGGGCAGGRATTGAAAGCCACTGGGTGCGGTCGTATATGAGGTCTGCGGCAGTGATCAATTGTGGGCTCGGCCATCACGATCATGAAGGGAAGCGACCTACGTTGAGGGTAAGTTTGCGCTTCTTTGCGAGAATTCGACTCTGCTCTGTTTTGTAGGGCTTCTCCCGCTTTTTGGCGATGGTGCGAGCAACACTGGAAGCTCGCGAGGCGGCCGCTCGCACGGAACCTCCCTTGTGAGTGGTCATGATGATGAACAGACAGACAGGTAGAATGTTAGTACAAAAAGAGAAGAAAATTCCGCCAACGCCACGCCTGACAGAAATAACAGTCGGAAAGCAAAGACGCAGGCGTTCTTCGACAACGCGCGTATGTCTGTAGTCCGGTTGAGTTGGAGTATGGATGATCGCGAGTCCTGATAGCTGCCGGAGTGGCAAGTCACAGTCCACAGTAGACAGGCAGCGCCCGTGAATACTCCTTCCTGAATGACGAGATTGGATGCTCTCAGAATCTACACCAGCCCATGGTTGGGCGAACGCAACAGCTGAATGGTCACAAGCTAGATGCCTGCGATGTGACGCAGTGGTCTACACCGACGATGCGGCGTGGAATGGTCCGGATGTGTAGTGTGTGGAAGAAGTAAGAGGAGGAGAAGCTGCAGCAGGGCTTTTGTACCTCAGATCTGTGAGATTGCCATCGGCGGAACTTGCCGCACTTGCGAACTCGCTGAGCAACATCACATCACCGGCTCCGCTCTCAGACAACAACGCATCCCTCCTGCTGGCGCCACCACGATGTCGGCTCTTCTCCGATCACGACTCCTCACAGCGCCACGCGCTCGCATGCAAATCATCCCAAACCTCACCGCCCGCGCACCACAAAGGCTCCTTTCCTCCACGGCAGTACGAACGGCCGGTGACCATGCACACGAGGATCACTACGATCCCCCAGGCGGCTGGCTCTTTGGTGTGAAGCCCGGCGAGAAGTACGAGAACGAGGGCTGGGAGAATGTGTGGTTCTGTGAGTGAATACAAGAGCAAATGGGTCACAGGCGTTTCATGAAGCAGAATTTGGGACAATATGCCTACCCTCTATGCTTCCATTGATTCTCTTGAGCGTCGCTAACCTGTTGTTTTCTTGACAAAGATGGCTTCTGTGGAACTATGCTGTTCGGTGTTGTGCGTAAGCCCAATTGTGGACGGGATGAGCGAGTCTCGTGACCGTCCCCACGCTTCCCAGTCTGCAAGACCTTTTCTGACTTGAATACCTCGCCTTTAGGTTGGCTACTGCTACAAGCCCGATACAAGGTATGCAAAAGCAATTCGATGGCATTCGCCGGTATACAGGAAGACATGACTGACAGCTTCACAGTATACAGACCTGGGCTCTTGAAGAAGCTCGTCGGAGATTGGAGATTGGTGAGTAAATGCCGAGCAACGGGCGACAGATACAGCACGGCATTGTTCGAGATGACGTGCTAGTCACTCACTGCATCTTATCCTTGGCTTTTGAGGCTCTGCTAACCTTTTTGAAGAGGGCATTCTGCCAGACCCCGAGCAGCGCTCATGATACACGGCTGGGAGGAGCGTTCTGCAGTACGATAGCGGGTGAATTTGCTGTTGTAGATACGGCTGCTATGGAATTTTACATTTGCCTTTTCAGAGCTCCCCGTGTCCAGCTTCGACTGCTCGCTGATKTCAATTCAAGCAATGCCCTTGCATATGTACTTTCATGCAGAACGCTCCGTCTCAAGCTCGAGATTTGCGCCGTTTGATGTGAAATCTCCAAGCAAAGTTAAAGCGATGGATGTGTATACATATTTCTCCACCGCCTGGTGGCAGCAATTTAGTTTGACTGCTCGATAGTTCTTGGGCTGAAAAATCCAGTTCTTCCAAAACTTTTACCAGAGAGATGATGCGTGTTCCTACAATTGGAGGTGGATGAGAAAACAACGGAGGATTCGTGAAGCACGTTGGTCAACACAGTAACAATTAATCTAATCAAACAATACATAACTCAATGTTCCTTCCGTTCATCGTCCTCCACAGCAATCTGTCACATGTACAATGCGGTCTTTCCACCGACCGAGTACTCCATCAGGACGCTCACAAGTGTAACGCCCCATGCTTCGAAAAGCAGACAGCAACCATTTCGCTCCTCATCCGTCCCCGAAAATGCCCTCACCTCAAATGGCATCCCTGTTGATCAAACGATGTATGCGGTCAGTGTAGGTTTTGTGTTTGCAGTCGAAGCTTGACAACAAAAAGCTTTCGCTCGCGTTGTCTTGACTTTCGTAATCCTGAAGTGCGTGCAGGATAAGACACTGTATTGACAATGTGTTTGAGATTGTCGCGTGCGTTCGCGAATCGATCGTAGGTCCTTACAAGGCGTAAGGGTTCAGTGACCTGATGGTCAAGCATCTGCATACTGGTCAGCCATTGCACATACACTGCATGAGCAAGCACTTACGGTGGGCTCTTGGTCAAATCCGTCCTCAACAACACGGGCACTCTGGTCATCTCCTTGACGTCCTGAATGTAGTGTCCATTCTCTTCGCGCAGCGTGAACAGATCAAGGTACTTATCCTTGTTGCTCAGCTTGGCCTCCGGTGCAGTGCTATTGTTGAGCACACGTGAGTCCGACTTGGAACGCTGAGGTGCCAAGCCGTTCCTGGCTGGCGATGGTGGCCCGCTCTGGGTAACGCGTTCGCTGTTCAGAGCGACGCCGGCGGTATTGTCAGTAGCCTCTGAGGCGTTATCATCATCGTCGTCGAAGAGAGCGTCGACATCCTGTGCATCGATGGACCCGGTGTTCATCGCCTTGCGGTCAGCTTCCTGTGCCTCTCTCTGCTTAGCGACCGTCTCGCGCGCAACGTAGCTGTTGGTGGGACGGTGACTCTTGGCCTGTGGACGCTCATCGTCTGGAACAAATGCGGATGAAGGCACGCCCTTCTCCCAGTACAGCTCCAGAAGCCGCTGATTCTTGTCGAATTCGGCCTTCTTTAGAGGCAGCTGGTCACAGTGCACGCGCTTCTCAAAACCGTACTCTGGAATCAAAATATCGAACGCGGATTCGTAGACGCAGACCACGATGCCGACAGAGATGAGATCACCACCTTGCTGCTCGCTCAGTCGGTTCATCAGACGGCAGGATTCGATGTGTACGCTCTGCTCTTGAGCGGCGTGCGCAGAGTCTTTCTTTGTGTTGCACGTCTCCGCCGTCTTATTGAGTGACTCGATGTCTTCGTTGAACTCGATGGCGCCCTCAGAGAGGACAGCCTCCAATTGGCGATGGACAATGATGTCGGCGTAGCGACGCGAAGGGTTCGTAAAGTGCGTGTACAATGGCATGTTCAAGGCGTAGTGCTCCAAGCCTGGGTCTGGCAGCTTGCCAGGCAAGACGTACTTCGCGCGACCCATGGCCTTGACTACCAAAGTCTCCATTCCCTTGCGAACGTCTGCATCTTCGATGCGGAACAGGCTGTTTTGAAGCGAAGCCGAGCTTGAAATGTCCATGTCGTAACCGATGTTAGACATGCGCTCTGCAAAGGTCTGCATTCGTCGTGGGTTAGGCGGCGCCTGTCTGCGAAGGAGTGCGCGATCCTGGAACTGCGCGTAGATTTTCTCAGCGATGACAGCGTTGGTTTTGTGGCTCAACTCCTCGATCATCTCATGAGCAGGGCTCGAGTCAAAGATGTTCTGCTCGACAGGGACGTTCTCGTCGTCGAGCTGGTAGAGGAGGCGCAGGGAAGGAATCTCGTCCTCTTCGCTGCTGTAACGAGCACGACGGAGCTTCTGTGCAATTGAGTGAAGCATGAGGATCTGTCGAGAGCGATCCTCTCCAAGAGACGATTCCTTCGAGCCGTTGATAACGGCGTCGACCTCGTCATATGAAAGCTTGCCGGAGCTTTTGATGACTGCCTTGCCGACCCACGTGTCATCATCGAGAACGCGGCCAGTAGCGGCGTCCGCCTTGAAGACCACGGAGACGGTGTAACGTTCTTCGCCCGGGTTGAGGCAGCAGACGTCGTTCGAAAGCTTTGGTGGAAGCATGTTGACGGTTCTATTCATCAGGTACACTCCTGTGCCACGCTTCTTGGCCTCACGGTCCACGAGGGAGTTGGCCTTGACGAAATGTGCAACATCGGTAACGTGGATGCCAATCTCGACATGGCCATCACCCAGATCCTTGAAGTGAATGGCATCGTCCAATTCCTTGCTACCGTTGGGATCAATAGTGAAGGTCTTATCATCGCGGAAGTCTCGGCGACCCTCCAAACCCGACTCTCCATCCTTGGCAACAGACCAGTCTTCGTAGCCAACGTTCTTGATGACAGCGTCTGAAAAGTCGTCTGGGCCGAAGTTATTGTCACGCAGCAACGCATCGGTCTCCACCTTAAGGTCACCGGCCTCGCCAAGCTGCTCAACCAAGGTTCCAAAAGGATGTAAGCTGGTGATCGGCCAGCGCTTGATGCAAGCCACGAAAATCTTGTTGGCGTAGTCTTGATGCCGGTCGACAAAGTCCTTGGGGGCCTGCTCGGTTGGAATGGCGATGAGCGGCACACGCTTGTCGGTAGGCTTGAACCAGACGATCTTCGGGCGATCCTGCTGGCGATCCTGGTGTCGAGCATGACCTCCTTCACGAGCCTGACGCTCAGCTTCTTGCTTTTCCTTGGTGGCTTGGCTGCTGGGACGGAGCAGTCCGAGAGATCCAGAGAACATCTGACCCGCGACACGCTCAATGACAGCCACGATATGCCCCGCGTAGAGCGGCTTCTGCTCATCGTTGATCTCGTCTTCCTCCATCAGCAGCAGGCTTTGGCCCTCGACTTCGACGTCATCGTTCTTCTTCTGGGTGGGGCGCTGCTTCAAGCTGCCACGGCGTCGGAGGCCGCCATCTTGAGCGGCAGAAGCGCTCTCAGGCTGAGTTGTTGCGTCGTTGACTGCAGTCATGTTGCCACTACGCTGGTCAGAAACATCCTTGCGCTTCTTCTTTTCTTCCTTTTCGCGTTTCTGTCCCCACACTTCGTCAACGTCAAGCAGCTCCACGGCAACAAAATCGCCTTCCAACGCGCGGTTGCGGTCCTTGCTGCCACAAATGAAGATGTCGGCGTCGAGATCAGTCGTGGTAACATAGGCATCGCTTCGATTCTTCTTGTTGACGCGAAGGATTCCAGCAACCAGTTGGCCATCGCCAAGCAGGGCGGGGAGAGTTGCCTGTGGCAGATAAGGGGTGAAAAGCGTCTTTCGCTGCTGCTGTTGCTGGTGCATGCCAATCTGAGGGCCGTTGTGCTGTCCGGTGAGCTGGGCAAGGCTCGGGGCTTGAATACCAGCTTGTTGATAAGCCTGTAGCTGGGCGAGCTGCAGCGCGTTGAGCTGCTGACCGCCAAACATACCTGGCTGCTGAACGAGGACCTGACCTTGCGGAAGCTGGACCAGTTGTGGCTGCGGCTGGTATCCGCCAAAACTTTGCATTGAGCTAATTGACTGATTCGCCATCGAGTTCCGCTGACGGTGCCCAGGCTGAAATGGCTGCGCGCTAGCGTGCTGGTTCATGTGGAAGTTTCCCATGTTGTTGCTCTGTGGTTCAGTGGACTGCTGGTTCGGGTTGGGGTTCCGCCAGTTGCTATCAAAGTTGCGAGACCCCGTCCGGCCATGACCCTGACTGCCGCGTCGGTTCAGATCGGAAGTGTTGGTATGAGAGCCACCATCGGTAGTAGCTTGTGGAGGRGGGAATTGGAAGCCAGTTGGACCACCACGGCTGATTTGCGCCATACCACGGCCACTGCCGACAGCCATGCTCTGGCTTCGACCGTGTCCGCGGCCGCCGATGCCTCCACGTAGGGCACTGGCGGGAGATTGTCCCGCTTCGCCATTGCCAGGACTCTCAGCACGGTTGTCTGTCGAAGTTGACGCTCCGCTTGCACCAGGAATGGGAAATTGGAAACCGCTAGTCTTCCGCTTTGCCTCTGCCGCCTCAGCAGCCTTTTTGGCTTCGGGCAGCGCAAGTGAGTGCCGACGTGCGTGTCCACCACCTGCTGCACCGCCACCCCTGCCACGAGGAGCGCTGTTCTCGTTTCGATTTTRGCCAAAACTACCGAAGTCTCCAAATCCTGCTCCAGCGGCACCGGATGAGGGAGCTGGAGGCGGGCCCATGTTGCCCATTCCCATGTTAGGCATTGCAGATTGATTACGGCGATGCGTAGGRGACTGTCCCATGCCACCCGCCATGGGTATTCCTAAATGCTGCTGGCCAATCTGCTGCTGTTGCGGGAATTGGAACGAAGCTGGGTTGCTAGGCGATACGTTAAGATTCTGCATCTGGCCTTGGAGTTGCTGGAATTGGTTGGGTAGCTGTTGCTGTTGTGGTATCATGCCCATGTTGACATATTGTTGGTGAGTGGCAGCAATCTGCTGCTGTTGCTGCTGAAGCATCTCGATCTGCTGGGCCAAAGCCAGCTGTTCCACTACAACGGCGTCAGCGCGGCACATGGAGAGGAGACAACACACAAAGTCGGAGTGGACAGGAGGACATACTCATCAGCGGTGTCATCTCAGATGGACTGCGACGGTGGGCAATGTGCAGACGACGGCCGGCAGGTCCCTGGGGACCTGTTTGCTGGCCCTGTTGATCCATTGTAGCCTACGGACCGGGCGAGTATGTGACCTTGTACAGTGGTGTAACAGCTGATGCTTTGCGTGAAGCCTGCCGCGATGAGGTGCCGAGTCGAGACGTCTCGATTGTGTAGCTTGATTGCCGGTGACGTATGCTGAGCTGATGTTGGTGCGCAGAGTGGACAAGTATGAGGCTCAGTACTTTATGTGATCACAGTGTTGTTGTGTAGAGCGTGTTGGTATTGTCGTCGTTGTTGTTGTTGGAGACCTGCCTTGTTGGTCGATATGGAAGGTTATGTATGGTACTTGCTGTCGCTGGAAAGCGGAGGAGCAGCCTAAGGAGAGGAAAGGCAGACCGTCGTCGTCGCTCGGAAAGGAAAGACCGTTGCAAACAGAGAAGGTGAGGCCCAGGTGGGTGGTGGGATGAAATGTCGAAGAGTGAGAGATGGGTGATGATGAAAGAGGAGGTGATGGTCAAGGCTCGTAATTACGTCGCTCGCTTTGTTCGTCCTCCGTTCACCCAAATGCGAGCGCCCGAAAAATGCATCTTGTTGCTACAAAATTGTTAAGCAAATCCGACCTCTCCACGCAATCAACTACAGCCATCGCGACTGACAACGAGGGGATTCCAACATTGAAGCGTCCGCCACTCTCTCACAGCGGTGCAACGCACATGGCGCGCCTCAGGCATCAATCATCATCATCATCGCGTGGCCCACTAGCTTAGCTTAGCTCACTTTTCGTCGCGTCCAACCCCGGAAGGTCCGTCGACCATGGGAGCAGGTGAAGCTTTCGTTCAACATTCCACCTTTCTCTTCCTCTGGCTCGTCGGGACGTCAGCGCACCAGCATGGGCCGCCAATCGTCTTCTCCCGATGCTCGCGACTGAGCAGACTGTGAATAACATCTTCCAGCCCTCCCTCGTTGCATGAACTTCGACATGAGTTCACCACACTCACGGATGCGGGCGAGTCCCTCGCAGTCGCAATCGCGGCCTTCAACCAGAAGTGGAAAGCTTTCACGAGAATACAGCCCATCTTGTGCACAATTGCCACAGGTCATTACAGAATTTGCTCAACTACTGGTTGACAACGACAATCGCTTCAATGAGAAGCTGGACGCGGCCTCTCAGCAGCAAAAGATGCTCCACGTGCAGTCGCTGACGGAATCGCTGAGGAAGCACGATGCGGTGCGGGAAGCTGCTCAATTCGAGTTGCAAGCTGAGCAGGTGCGGCGAGACCAGGAGCAGATTCGCAAGCTTGCAGAAGCCAGGGAGAAGCTCGCAACAGAGCAGAGGGCACAGTTGAAGAGGCTGGAGGAGGAGCGTAGGAAAGACGACGAGCGTAAGGAACGAGAAGCACAGTTGCAGCGCGAGCGAAATGAACTGGCTCGACGTCAACAGGAAGATGCAGAGCAGAAGGCGCGCGAAACAGCGGCACAGGAGAAGGTGATCGAAGATGAGAAGCAGAGAGTTAGGCAGGCCGAGGCGGATGCACAGGCGCAGCAAGTCAAGCAGCAGCAAGAGCAGCAGGAAGCCAAAATACGACAGCAACAGATTCCAGTGCCTCCTCAGGGACCGTCTCAACCCACGGCGCCTCTCCAACCCCTGGCCGGAAGCAGCTCTGGAACAGACTCGACTCAGCTAGCCGCGTTGCAGTCCAGTCTCGACCAGCGTGCACGAGAGCATCAGGTGTACTTGGCAATGAAGCAAGAACTTAAAAAGTCTGTTGCAAGGCTGGACACTGCGAAGCAGMAGGACCCGTGGCTCAAGCAACACTTGGGAGACAGCTGCCGAAGGAGGATCAGGACGCTGATGGGTCAAATTAACAAGCGGGACAAATCGGAAAACACCAGAGTGGTATGTAGTCTACGGCGAGTTGCAATTGCAGTTTCAGGCTAACAGACATTGCAGATCAAGGAGATTCAAGCAATTCTGGACGATGCGAAAACCAGATATCCAACCGAGACAGTGGACATATCCCCATTCTTTCTAAACGGCAATCCGGAACCCAACCAGTCGCCGCAGTTTCCCTTGCTACTCTTCGATCTGCTCAATCACTTCGCCAAGGCTGTCATCAATCAGATTGCCACAGAGGCGGCCGTCGACCGCGCGGCTGCAGAACCTATAGGCATCGTGACGGCGACCATTTTTGCCAATCCCAGTTATTCTTTCCACGGCCATTCCCTCATTACCATTCTATGGGCCAGATACCACCAGCGATGCCCCGTCTTGTTCGGCGTTTGGGGAGACGAGCGGACTGMACCTGGCCGTCGAACGATGGGATGGAAGGGAAACACCGAACGGCAGCACCAGGATTTGACGAAAGGTCTGGCCTCTGGTTTCGCAGCCATTACGCTGCGCGACTTCTCGCGGAACTCCAAGGCGAATCCTGCCCCAAATCGCCTGTTTTGGGAGGCTGTAGCGCGGATCCTCAATGTAGATGCAGCGAATCGCCTTCCTACGCACTACATCGCTCTCGAGTCGTTGCTAGATCCGACGTTCGTTCCACGCTTCATCGCGCTCTATGGACAAGCTGCGATCGCAGTATTGAAGCTTGCTACTGGAAGCTTTGCTCACKTCCCGGCTGACCGCCTAGCAGTTCTGCCGTATGCAAAGCGCATGGAGACATTGAAGACAAAATTGGGAATAGAGTTGAACATCTGGCTATAGAAAGGCCATGATCTTCAGATCGATTATTCAGGACTGTCTACAAACAAGCGCAGCGGCAATCCGCTCCGGCCAAGCTATTCCAGTAAGCACCCGGACGAGGGAAATCCGCTGTATGGTGTCAAAAGCATGTTCTCGGGTGCTAGGCAAACCAGTACTTTGGATCAGCCTCCGACGTCGAGCCATTTCTCTGCTGGTCAATATGGCAGAACAGCCGATGCCTACCCTCCACTGTCGAACAGTACAAGCAGGCATTCGCTTCCTGCAAAGCCTGGTTTTGGAACAGGTGCAAACCAGACCCCGCTTGGCTCGGCTGACTCGAGATTCAACTTCAAGGGAGCCAGCACCACAACATCGAATCGAGCAGTGCCGCATTCCACCTTGACGGCAGGCAATGTCGCCAGCGGGTACTATGGCAGCTACACTGCGCCTAGTGGATACTATGCTCCGAGTTCATATAGTGGAGGWCTGCAGGGGAATTGGTACCGGTAGAGTGCGTATGTCGTGACGAGCCGTGATCGAGGTCTCCGTATAGAAAGTCCAAAAAAAATCAACCCCCAAAGCCAAAGCCTCTACACTCCTCATCTTCTCTCAAAGCACCTCGCACGTCATCTTCACTCACACCAAGTCTGACCCTTCCCACTCGATCTCCGTGTCTACTCTCCACCCCTACGATCCCCGCTTCAGCCAGCTCCTGAGCAGCAGCACCAAAGCCTTGCACCCGCGCAGCCTTTTCGATGATCTTCCTGGTAGGTGCTGGAGGTCGCCCTCGTTTTGAAGGCGTACTCACCACCGCAGTGCTTCCCAATTCGTCGTCCGCCAGTAAATTGTCCTCCGCTGGAGGTGTGAGCAGGTACGTTGCAACATTTCTGTTGTGCACCTAATCGAAGATCAAAGTGTCAGCAATGTCCTTATAGATTGTGTGTATGCATCAAGATCCTTGTATGCGTTCTCGATGTGATGATCGCTTGCTGTATATGCAAAGCCCTCTCCGTTTGCATGGTCTTCCGACAACCCACGGATGTTGCCTGCCGGCACTAGTGTACTCACCATATTTCCCATCTTCAGCGCCTCATCTACAACATCTGCGAGCGTTGACTCCGTGATTCCCGTTCGGCGGAGCCTTGCCAGTAATGCGCCAAGGAAGATTTTGCTCGCTAGGGGAAGGGATCGTAAATGGGCTGCCAGGGGTGTCGAGGTAGCTTCATTAATGGCACGCTTGATCGTGGCTATGGTTACGACACCTTTGCTCTGCACGTTCACTGTTGCTATTGCCTGTTTCTGTCTAGCTGGAGTCTTGCTAGGTGTGCTGGGCACACCATTCTCCTTGTCCGTCCCGTTGACACTCTCCTGCTCGGCAATCTCGACAGCCCGACGGCACACGTCAAGGGCTCTGCGCGCRTCTCCTGATACAGCGGCCACTTTTCGACTTGCGAACTGGATCGCGTCTGCCTCGACAATGACGTTACTGCCCACACCTTCGAGACGGGATTGGATGATTGTCATGAGCTGCGTGTGGGTGTAACCTGGAAAAGTGATTCTCGTCAGGCCCAATCTGCTGGAGATCTTGTTGGACAGTGTGCGTTCTGGCAGATCCATCGTGTTCGCGACCGCGAGGACGATGAGCCGCGAGTGGCGTAGCTGCGGCCAATTGAAGAAATTGTACATCACTCCTTGATTTCTCGTGACAAGCTGGTCAAGCTCGTCCATCAAGACTACACAAGGAACTCGCCGTGGGCTAGGCGTAGTAAACTCGCGCTCAAGAAGCTCAAGAGCATGCGCTGAACTCACTCGATCGCCTTTGAGGGCTTCCCAAAGAAGTGAATAGGATTGGTGAGGATCTGTGACCTTCATCCCATTGATTTCGAGAAAATAGAAGTCGTCCAACTGTTCTTCTGCTACGGCTGCTTGCAAACTGGCCACCACTTCGCGTACCGTTGCCGTCTTTCCAGTCCCTGGCGTACCAGAAATGTAGATGCAAGCGCCTGTGCCGGCGGTGATAGCTGCTTCCAGGTGGGAATGAACTGTGTCAAACTCGGTCTCTCGACACGGCAAGGCGTGGGGAACTGCAGAGACGTGGAGCGTTGACCGAGCTATCTGGTACGGCGATGCTTTTTGTGCTGGGGAGAGTATCCTTGTGCCGAGAGGAGTGAACTCTAGCGGTTTCTTGGTGACGATCTTCCGTCCTGATGGGGTAAGAAACTTGCGCGGTGTGAGCTGCTTCGCCTTGGATGGTGTTGGAGTAGCTGATGCCAGCTTGCGTCGCTTTCTGGGCGTCTCGGGTCCATCAAATTCGTCTTCGTCTACGACGAAGTCGTCTAAAGACTTCTCCTTCCTGGTGGGTTTCCTCCGACGGGTCTTGATTGTCTGAGACTCGATGAGCTCTACCAGACTGTCCATGTCGTCTTTTCCCTGATAGACGTCTTCCCAAACGAAGGGATCGGTGTATGTGGCGGTCCGGGGATTGACTCCTCTCCGGCAAAGAAATGTCTTGCCACAATGTTTCGAAGCCGATGAAATCTTGCCGGTGGGGTATAGCCGATTGAATTCACCCTCAGAGAGCACCTGTGCCTTCCCGTTGATCGTGGAAAGAGCATTGTCGTCCGAGTTGGCGGTCATGTACAGCTCCAGGGGTAGACAGTCGGTACGCTTGTTCTTACTTCTAATCTCTTTGTCGCCCGCAAACCACAGCATCGTAGCCTGCTTCTCGGCGACCATCTCGCCATCATCGTCCTCGGTCTCGCCGTCGAAGAAGCCGTACAACATAGCAACCCAAGCTTCGTTCTTAGATGGCGCCTGCAGAAGCACAATATCACCCAGGTAGCAGTCAAACGATCCCATCCGCGCGCCTGCAATGGTCTGACTCTTGCCGCTTCCCTCGTAGATCCATTCCCACGGGTGATCTTCCAGTCCCAGCTCATCGTCCGAGTTATCTCGCTGAACTCCACCGCCCGATAAAATGTGTCGAGCCTGCTCGGCCTTGGTCCGCTTTCTCCGTGGCGTCATTGCGAGTGCTGGGAAGGAGGCGTATGTGGTGCTGGGCTCTCGTTTGGAATTCGGGTCGATACCAGTAGGTAGCTCAGAAGATTAGCTACCTTAACTTAGACTTCGTTTCGAGGGAGACGCGACGCGATGAATTCTCCGATGTCGCTCGATCTCCAATGTGTCCAATGGAACCTCACCTCTTCTGTCGCCCACAGCTCTCTTTTCTCCTCACCTTGGTCGTCTTAAAATCGACAGAAGAACGCGAGTAGCCAAGTCGGGAATGGAACATTTGCTACATTGGTCATTGCTTCGCTGTCCAGGTTAAATGGCACTGGCAACATAGCTCAGCAAATGACGCGTGTGGAAATGGCATCTCGGGTTCGGGCAATCAAGATATGGAGTTCAGAGGACATCGGGGATAAGGTATGAGCGTGGAAAATGCAGCTGTTATGGCGGCTTATCGCTGTCAAATTGAGAGGTGCTGGACAATGTGCAGGTGAAGCTTCATGCTACATGGTCACGAAATGTGCTCTCCAATGCTCCATACAWCCACTGGCTTTGGATGTCATGGGAGCCTCTTCATTGGCAGTGCCGCTCGTGCCTGATAGTGAGGGCAGTACGGCGGGACTGTTTCATGAGGTGACAGTCGAGTGGAAAGGAGGACTTGGTGACATGTCAATCAATCGACGACATGGCGGAGCAAATTCACGGTTGGTAGATTTGGGAATGCCCTCTTGAGGCAGCCGTCGTCGTTGGATTTCACGGGACTCGTCATAAGCAAAGTCGCTCTGAATCAATGAGTAGAGCTGGACGGCGGTAAAGACGGCATGAAGACAGTCGACTCAGCGTGAGTGCACGACTGCACCTCAGACGGCGGTTTGTCCAGCACTCTCATTATCAGAAGTTCTAGAAATACCCTCTCCATGCACTCGTCACATTCGGTGGTTGTCGCAATCTCCTCACTGGCAGAATTGCTTGTCGTCAAGGAAAAGATTTGAGCGATCTGTGTTTGAGGATCTCGTCATCGCTGCTGCCACAAACAGCCATTCCCAACTTTTCTCTCCTCACTCTCGCTCCCACTCTTAACACCAACAACTGCGCAATGGAAGAGGAGTATGAGCGCACAAACGCTCGCCAGTGGGACGAGTCTCTGCAGAACGACACAACCTCCCGCGCGACCCATGCGGCTCAGCAGCAACCCCAACAGCATCCGCCTGCGCCACGAGTGCCATCGCAGTCCCTGCAGTCTTCACGACCGCAGCTGCAGCACGCTCGCGATGGATATCAGCGCGACGGTCCACACCGCCCACGTCATCCCCAGACGAACAGCGGATGGCAAGGCGCGCATCCCGAGAAGAAACGCAGTTGCCGTGTCCCTATTCCCAGCGATGAAAACGACCATGTCCGTGCGATGGCCAAACTCGCTGGTCAGACACCGCAGTTGCGTGCCGATGCGGAAAAGAGACATCGGAAGCAATTGCAGCGGCAGATATATCGCCTGATGCCTCCTTCCACTCAGTCCTTCGAGTCAGTCAATTGACCCTCATTTTGAGTTGCAAAACTGACATGTCCAAGATCCATCGGTACATTTCGCTGGCCGACCAACGAATGCCGTCCGGATGAGGTCCTCGGTGCTAATCTCGAAGCTCTGGATCCAATCCGCATGAGTACAGAGTGTTACATTACGTCGTCGCGGGACGGCTCCGCCTTCCAGGTCCTAGGGAGCATGACAGGGGTGCAAAAAGCCCTGATGTCCCTGAGGCATACATGTTTTCAACTTGCTTCGCGCAACATTCCCCCGATCCGAAAGTGTGTGTCTCACTGGCGCACCAAGGAACCATGCCTATACGTGCATCTGGGTATGGAGTATTCCAATCCAGAGCCCGGAGTTGCTGCCAGCAGATCACCTCGTTGCGATGGGTTCATGTCCGATGTGACTGATCTTGAGGCGACCAAGATCCGCGAGAATTGCTGCATTGAGGCTATAAAGGCCACAATTGCCGACTCGTTGCGCAAGATCCACTATCTTTGCGCTCACATCCAGTTCCGCATTCGGCTTGGCACGTTTACCCTAGTCTCGTGGAAGGGTCTCGGCGAGAACGAAATGTGGGATCTTTCTGAGTACGAGGAAATGACAGCTATGCCTCAGTTTCGAGGAAGAGTCACCGAAGAGTATGTTGCCCGACTCTGTTGTCATCGACAATCGTTGACAATGACTGCAGACTTGGTGACACCGCAACGGAGAATGATGCGCTTTCTAACCTCCAGAAGGGAGAGAAGGTGCTCTTACCTCATGATCCTATGAAGAGTGGTCTCTGCGAGGTGAGACCAACTTACTCTGCGGACTTTGTGTTCAAAGACGAAGCTGGTAACCTGCAGCTGACCATGTCGTGGTCGCGAAATGAGGACCTTGAAGGTGGCGGTTTCCAGCTCGTGCCGAATGGAGAGAACTGGACTCGTCTGGATCGTGACACGGGAAAGGCTACGGACATGGTCGACCTGATTATGACAGATCTACATACCGGCTCTGCTTGGGACTTCGAGATCAAGACATCACACGATGTGCCTCCTGATCGTGTTCCTCCCGAGCTCCGGAAATTCGCAAAGGGGGTCAAGATCACCGTTCCGCCAGCAGACGACCTTCCCTGCATTGAGTTAACTCACAGCATCGGTCCCATCTATATGAGACGGAGCGCCGTGTATCTCTACAACATCAAAAGTACCGATTACACAGTCGAGCTCTTACATTTCCAAGTCAAAGAGAGGGCTTTGTCAGATCCATCAAACTCGGATTCCACATTCAAGTTGCGCCAACCGCGCTGGAGCCTAAGTGTGTACCGTACGGATTGGGACAATCAATTTGCGCAGAATGAGCGTCTCAAAGTGAGCGATAAGGCGACTTGGAACGACGATTTCGAGGTGTGGTTTCCCCAGGAGGCTTCTTTCGACCAGGCGGGAAGCGAGGCTGGGTTTAATCAACTGCTGCAGAGACTCGGAGAGGTCGAGAAGGTTGTCAAAGGATGGGCTGATGATGGAGAGGAACAATACGATTGAGGAGGCTGCTGCCGAGCGTGATGCTGAACGAGGACATGGCAATAGAGCTGACATGATCTGAGTTGCGATTGGCATTGCTACTTGATCGCTAACAAACTTTGCGCTTGTTGATGTCCAGCAAAGACGACGACTCCTATCGTCAGACAAGTGTGAAATATAGCTTGAAACATAGCTTGACACGGCTGATTTCCACATTGCTCAATACCAGAACCAGACATTGATGGATTGGTAATCTAAACATGCATACTCAAAACTTCTGTCTCCCTAACGTAGGCTGCCACTGCAAAGGATGGCTCTCTTCGGTTGCATTCTCATCTTGCCGCCATACCTTGATCGTCTTGTCCGCTTCGCCAGTAATCAAGCGGAGTCCAGTGTTATCGAAAGTGCTCGTCATGATCCCTGCTTCAGCATCTAAGGATCCAGGCTGCGCTATGCTGTCTTCATACTGAAACTTGTGGCCGGTCTTCCAATCCCAGAAACCCACACTTCCATTGTCGCCTCCACTGAAGAGAACGTTGTCTTCGTTCACCGACAAAGTGTTGATGACTGAGTTGTGGCCTTCAAAGTTCATCATGAAATCTCCCTTGGGGCAGAGCCATTGTTTGATCTGCCCAGGGGACGCTGATGCAAAAGTAAACTCTGTTGGATGCGTTACCAGAGAACGTACGCCCTTCTTGTGATGGGTCAGGACACCCATGGTCTTTCCGGCCGCAAGATCATACATTCGGACCGTGCTATCCAGACTGCTAGAGATGACTTGTGGGTCCGTAGCTTGCGTTACGATGCTGCTCACGGTCTGCTTGTGCCCACTGAGAACGTGGATGTTGGACCTTGTTCGCATGTCCCAGACTCTGACTACACCATCTCTACCACCCGTACACAGCACATCCAGTGTGGGGTGTAGACTCATGGTGTACACGCCAGACAGATGCCCGTGGTAGTGGCGAATGACCTTGTTTGTCTCCAGATCCCAGCATTTGACCATTTTGTCTTCGCCGCAAGAGAAAAGATATGGGTGACGAGGGCTGACAGCAAGGCCTCGCACCGCGGAAATATGGCCAGTCAAAGTAAGTTTGAGAGTGCCGGTCGCGAGATCCCAGATCTTGATTGTTCGATCACCAGCTCCAGAGGCGAACCATTGGTTACCAGGCTCCATGGCGAGAGCACGTACCCACCCAAGGTGGCCGGAGATAACACGGAAGAGCTTCCAGGGAGGATGCCACTGCGGTTTCTGCTGTCTTACGGTATCGCGTCGCACCATGCTGGAAGAAGGTGTGTTGCGCTGTGGTGTCGGTCCATTCGCGTTTGGAGGAAGTTTTGCATTGGCGGTTCCATTGATCCGCGTGAGAGCTGTGGACGACCCATTTACTGCCGCTTGTTGTCTCGAAGCAGACGCATCCTCGATCATCTTGGCCATTTGAGGGTCGCTCGCCTGCTCATCACTCTTGGGCTTCCTTCTCCGCGCCGCCAGTCCTGCTGCTGCATTTGCCTGCTTCTGTGCCAGAGCTGCTGGAAGCTCCTTAACGTCTGCATATTCCAATCGTATTCGTGCTGCAACACTGGCCTTCTGTGCGCGCTCGTGTGGTGAAGCGATGTCAGGTGCTGCTGCAGGCTGTGGTGCTTTCTCCAACGCGTAGACATGGCCGAGATCCGCGGCGAATATTTCGTGCGTGCGCTTCGCCGACCTTTTCACGGCCTTTACTGCGCGCTGTGTGACTTCGGCGGGAATTTCCATTGTCGCAGGCTCCGAGGCGATGAGGTCCTCCGCCATGATGGTGGCTACAATCAAATTCCAGGTGATGGTGTCTCTTGGTACGTCGGGCGAGACCACAATGTCATTCGGAGCTCACGTACTGCTGGATTGGTGGATGAAAGTGATTGTTCAGCCTTAGATTGAAAGTTAAACGGTGAAGTCGCGAATGCGGAGAAAAGTCGGAGGTGGTGAGGCGACTTTCCACGATTTCCACGAGACATCTCTTGTTCACATTCGCTCATCTGGAAGCGCCGCAATGCACTATCTCCATCCACGCTCACGGACGACGGGAACACTCTTCACCACTACTCTTGCCATATCCTTCTTGGTTGTTGCTTTGCCACATCTTCTACCATGTCCCGTTGACCGGAGACAGTTGGCGGACAGCTACGAGACTCCCGATGGCAAGATTCTTCGGCGGAAGAGGAAAGATTTCAATGCTGTTGTTCAGGACGGTAACACCACATATGAAGCAGAGAACAGAGATACGGACCAAATCGGTTTATCATCAGAAGCATCGCTGGCACGCGAATGCCCAATTCCCAAGCCGAGCGGCATTGTCGGCCGAGTGATGGGATTTCAGCATGAAGAACGACCAAAAGCAGCAGAGGTCATCATCTTGAAGAGTCTCGATGGGAGACGGGTAAAACAAGGGAAGCAAGAGAGTGAAGATGGACCTTGAAGCCGGACTGCAAGATGGTGGCAAAATCATGTTGAGCCAGATGGACGCCGATGGAAGAAGCCGTCGACATAAGGGGACAAAGGGTGTCGAACAAATCGAAGATGTCCGCCCTACCTGCTGCAGCCAAATTTGTTGTCCTTCACACCCCAACGACAACACGGTTCAGAAGGGTCATTCGGGACATCAAGACCTCTCTGTAAGGCTGCTTGCAGTGGTGACTGTGTCTACCCCCCACGAGCATGGTCGCCAATTCGCTCTGAAGAGAGCTACCGTGCTTCAGTCTTCGCGTCACGTGGGGCCTCGCCGCATTCGCATGGCTTGTGTGGCCTCGGGCAGTACAGCTTGCCAAGGATCTCGGTCACTTTGGCCAATATCAATTTGGTTCGATGAGCGAAGAGCCGGAAAATTCACGTGTGAGGCYCAAACCCCTAGGTGGGATGAAGATGATCAACACGTTGTTGGTGTCTCCAAGGTCAAGGTTTTGGCGATGCTCAGTCATACGTTTGCGTCCTTCTCCCTCGATGAGGGCCTACTTGCGAATGTCAGCGTTCAGTCAGGTACCATCGATTTATCGTAGGAGGTACTGAGATATCGACGAGACTACCCGGACCTTTCAGTCGTCAGGAGTGCGAATGGGCTCGTTGTGTTGAAACAACAACAACAACATTTCAAATAGAGCGAATCGGCCTGGTAGACACTCTTGGAGGCCGCACTCCACAAGACAGGGGCTTGCTGGCATTCTCGCGTCCTCTCCGGCAGTAGAACGTTGTTTAGTAATGCAGAGAGATGGAGACTTGTGTTGGCAGGACCGCTCGCGCTTGATCGAAGCGGAACTCTAGATATAGAAGATTTCCATGGAATACAATGCGTTATGCAGTCCTCTTTTTAAACTACAGTGTCGAGATTCGGGAGTAGAGCGTCTCGGAGCTTCGGAGTGGATTGTGCATAATGGACTTCAGCTTCGCAATGTTCTTCTAATCCACCCAAGACCGATGTGGAAGTGATTTCGCTTGAATTTGCTCCACTTTGATGCGTCTGAACGTGCTGTAAAGGACATTTCGATATAGTATGCGCTCGGACAGAGTGGCCTTCTGTTCACGTAACTCGAGCTCCCTCGCTCTCTAGCTTCGTTATTGGTCAACGAGCCTCTTGAGTCCAACAGAGAGTCGATGTTCCGAAGGGATGATATGTTTTATTTTTGGGGCGGCAATTGACGGTGGTTCTACGCTATTCGTTACACACACTCGTGTATCTGTGACCTTCCCGCGGTGATGCGTTCTTTGACACCCAAGCAATGCAGAACCATAACACGTCGCTTCCCTGAGATGTTCGTAATCCACATGAAAGCATCTGCACATCATGACAGTGCTACCACCACTCGTGTCCGACACCACACACGTGAGAGGCGAGAGCCAGGGTCAATAGCATAGTCGAGAACTCTCTTGACATTCAATTGGCTGCCGAGATTCAACAGCGCGACACTACCCCAACCCTGACCCTGCTAGAATTAGGTATGAAGGGCCCGATTCATTACAGAAGCAGGGTCCTACTGTAGTAGGGCCTAGGTAACTAGTTGCAAACGTGTTTTTAGACGACTAACATATATCGTACCGAACATGAAGAATTCCAAAAGATGTTGACGAACGCGTAAGTGAAGTGGACTGTGGTGATGTCGTCRGGTCTTGGTTCATTAGTAAGCGTTGAACTCTAAGTTTCGGTTGGTACTTTCCCCACTGCGAATGATCAACACCTCACATTTGTTACCTCGACCTGAACATCAACCAGCAGCACGCTCGCCACGACTGTAGGCTCCACTGGAGCGCATTAACCAAAGCAGTATGGACGACGAAGCAGTACTGCGAGCCAGAATCGCTGCGCTCGCTGGTCAAATCGACGAGCGCAAACATATCGCTGCCCAACCACATGCCTATCAAGGCCCGCCTCACTTCCAATCCACGCGAGGTCATCACCGCTGGGCTCCATATGCGCGCGGCGGCCGCGCAGGCCTCCACAAACCGCACAAGAATCGGACGCTCGTCATCGCGGGTGCTCAAAACAACACGATTGCGAGTCCATGTGGCGATACGATCACCACACGTCCTCCTGTCGCGCCTTCGCCTGCAGAAGATACATTCATCAGCACGCGCGGCGCGAAGGCGAACAAGCTAATGACCAAGCATATCTTTGAGCGTGAACAAAAGCAGCGGCAACACTTCCAGGAAGCACAATCTGAGATTAAGCGTCCCAAGTTGGGTCGTGGCCCATCTGATGATGCCCACGTAACCAAGCCTGCGACACAGCACCGCGAGCTTGAAATCGAGGGCATTCGATTTCAGCTCAAAGACGACGGAAGCAAGCTTATTCGGATTCCCGGTCAGTCTCCATCGTATTGCAACGGCAGCGCCGAACTAAACCCCACAGACTCGGCCACTATTGGAAAGGACACACCCAAAAGGGCCAAGGTTGCAGATGTTAAATTTCTGCGCACCAAGAACGGCAATCTCATCCGCGTAACAGCTCGACAAGCCGATCACAGGTACTTCCACAGAACATTTGCTTTTGTAGACGCTCAGGACTCATCCCTCCACCTTACAGATCCAAGACGCGCATGCCGAAGGCGCAATGCGAGAACTTTACGAAATACGGTACCCTTCCATCCATCCTACCTCGAACTGGCCATGCTAGAGCGACGACCTGCGAAGTTCCAATCGCGCGATGCACGCCGGTAAGCAGACTCCAATGCATACTAACGTGTAGCACAGGTACCTGTACGTTCGGACCCTCATGCAAGTTCTCCCACAACCCGACCAAGGTTGCCATCTGCAAGGACTTCATGCGCAACGGGACTTGCCAAGCCAGAAAGACATGCGACCTGTCCCATGAATTGACGTATCATCGCGTRCCGGCGTGCACTCATTTCCTTCGTGGCAACTGCACCAACAATGCATGCCGCTATCCCCATGTCAACGTGTCCCCTACTGCTCGTGTTTGCCGTGCTTTCGCCACACTCGGTTACTGCGCCAAAGGCCCAGACTGTGACAATCGTCATGYATTCGAGTGCCCAGACTATGCCAATCACGGTCGCTGTGCCGCCCTTGAGAAAAACTCCTGCTCGCTGCAGCATATCGACCGCGCTGGTGCATTGCGTAAGGCCGAAAAACGACAAGGCAAGACAGTCCCCGAAGACGATTCGGACATGTCTAGCGACGAGGAAGAAGGACGAGAAAAGGGCTACAAGCAAGCGGCGTACGACAGCGAGTCTGATGTCGATACAGACATTGAGATGGAGTCGGGCGGCTTTGAGCAGCAAGATTTCATGGCACTCTCATAGTGCAGTTCCTCTGTGTGCAGCACTTTGACCGTGTTCTTTTCAGCACGATACCCTGGCGATGGAGAAAAGGAGTGGTTTGGCTTGGCGATAACTAGATAACTGWAATGAAACTTGCCTGTTGAATGAAATGTCTCGTCTCGGCGTCTAGGAGCGCAATGCGCAGCCCAAAGGAGTATACGTCAGCAAGGCTCTCGGTTGTTCCAGTCGAGAGCGAATATGGAGGATTTCCATTCAATATTTGCTGGATTCTAAATTCTATTTTGTTGCGTGAAGAAGGTGGTGTTCAAGGTCGCTTTAAACAACGGCAGTAAGGTACTGTAGTAGAAAGAAGTGTTGCGATTGGCGCAGTCAAGTGGGCGGAGCGGCCTTCCCCTCCTTCAACAACCAGCGCTGAATGATCAGCACGGCGCTCTTTACTCACACCTAATAAAGAGGATCAATGCTGGGCATCGTAGGAGGTGCAACCAGCTCCTGACCTCGAACATCGACACTGGTAAGGGTCTCTCTCAACACCACACCTCACTTGCCTCTTGCTCTTCATTGCGATTACGACAACGATACCCTGCCGCTGTAGCGATAACGATATCAGCAAAATGCCTAGCCTCAAGGACCTGTTGAAGAAGAAAKAGAAGCTTGAGACGCAGGAATCGCAACCGCAGACTGCACTCACTGTCCCAGAATTCACTTTTATACGATCAACGACGTCCGATTTTGAGACGATCCTCACCATCGGCAACGAGCAAAAGAGCAGCAAGTCAAAGCAGTCGGGCGAACACAAACGGACGCTGGGATTCCGCAGCTCGTCACACTCGGGTAACAGCAAGGACTCATCAGCGACATTGACGGCACCGATAGCCCAGACGGAAGCAGAAAGCAGCACACAAAAGCTTCCTGTACGGCCAAAGAGCGAGCGGCGGCTCTCCGATGTGCTTCACCTGACACATCGGAGCAGATCGCGGTCAACCGCTGCAGAGGCAAGCTCGAATCTCCCCACAGACCTGCCTGATGCGCCAGATTCCGCCGGGCCAGATAATGATGAAGCGAAAGAACAACGAGAAGCGCTATGGGAGAAGCGAGCTACTATGCTTGCCATGAACAGTCCACTGCGCGACGGCCGCATCGTCTCCGAAGCGAGCCAAGGACAAGGACAAACAGTTAGCAAGAGTAGACCTCCTAGTGTATCCATTTCAGATGCCAACGGCGATGTCAACATCCAAGAGGCAATCCGGCTCCATGAAGCAGGTGATCTTGCGAGATCAACAGACATGTTTGAGCAACTCGCCAATCCTGAAGGCGCCAATAATGCTCTTGCACAGGTGCTCTACGGTCTCGCTCTAAGACATGGTAAGCGGCGTGAACCGAAAGAAGGCAGGACATGACATGGGCAGATGTGTCCATGGCCGTCAATCTTTCACGACATCGCTAATATGTTCCTCAAACTTATCAGGTTGGGGTACAACCATAGAGCCCCAAAGAGCGATTCACTTTCTCTCGCTTGCCGCCTCCAACTCGGCTTCCGTTGAGGAGCAGGCTCTGGCATCAGGCGTCAAGAAGGGAGGCGCAGCCAAAGGAGAGCTAACATTGGCGATATTTGAGCTCGCCAATTGTTTCCGCTACGGTTGGGGCGTGAAGAAGGACGCGGTAGCAGCCCGACAGTACTACGAGACGGCTGCCAACTTGGGAGATACTGACGCGATGGATCAGGCGGCTGAGTGCTATCTTGAAGGATTTGGAGGCGCAAAAGACAAGGTACGATCTCCCTCCCATCCTCCACGTGAGCGAGGTCACCATGCATCCTGCTAGGCAGCTTTCGATCGCCCCGAATGTTGGGCATTCATGCACGTCAGACTTTCTCGACGCTGACTGAATGTTGGCACTAGTTCAAAGCGGCACAGTATCTTCGACTTGCGGAGCAGAAAGGCGCCAAACGGGTGGGCGAAAGCTGGTAAGTTCCTATTCCTTGAGCACATCCGCCAAAAGGAGTCATTCGCCGTGGCCAAAGGTCCCGTGATTGATTGATCGCCTGAGACTGTGGTCCGCAGAGCTCGCCTGCGAATGGTGCATACAACTTTCACATGCTTTAAACAGTGGGCGATAACAGCATCGCCCCAGCTGACATGACCGATTGACAGGATATGGAAAGACAAGTACGATCCTCCGAAGTAGTGACATGACACTGCTTGTGTCACCTGTTGATAGTGCTGGAAGGATGAGAAGATACCAGGCAGACGAGATGAGTTTGACGAAATTTAATGTTTGATGCATACATGTAGGATTACAATGTGGACCAAGAATTACTCTCGGTAGTATCGGGAAAGGTGATTTCCTTGAAACACTTCAGCACATCGTCCGCTCTGATCATCTCCGCAAGTATGTCATAGGTCCGTCCCTGAACCAAAGGCCATCGCACAAGGATCAATCACTCGAATGCAATATGTAAAGCTTAGACATCCATCACTGCTACACTCTCGCTGTAGTTCGTAAGCTTGAAGTAGATGTCCCAGAGAAGAAAGAGAAAGTCGAAAGTCTGGTGGCGGGCTAGGTCGTCTGTGTTGTGACGGTAGTAGGAAGTCGTGAGCCGCAACAAGTCGTAAGTGGTAGTAAGATCATGAGTAGTAAGTAGGTATCGTAAATTGTATGTATCTCGTGTTCATCAGGTCGTGAGTGGTGATTGGTGGTCGTGGAGGTCATGTCTCATTCTTGTAAGTAAAGTCGTGACTGGATCGTTTGTCTTGATGAYGTTGTTGCCGTGCTTCGATGGCGTTATGATCGCGAACGATCTCTTTGAACTGCCGGATGACGTCGGCTGRTATCTGTTCCCAAAGTAGGCTGCGGGTGTAGACTTCCGCCTTGACGCTGTGTGTCTGGTGTTCTTCCAGGCTGGCTAGAGCCTCGGCAAGAGGCCGTCGCTGTCCAGCGGTGTCTTCGTTTTGACATGAACTTGGCGACTGCTCGTAGGATGGAAAGTCTGCGTTTGTCATCGACATGTATTGAGCTGGTGTCAGAGAGAACGCTTGGTCCATCTCCTGTTGCTTGGTGGACGCAGTGATGCTGCGATGGACGCGCTCCAATCTGCCCGGCCTAGGACTTCGCTGAACAGCCGCTGAAGGTAGCGGTCGCCCAGCACTGCTGACAGTCGGGCGATCAGACCCGGCTGCTGAGGTCGAATCAAACCCTGAAAGTAGGTCGTTGAGGATTGTCGGAGCTGCAGCACGAACATTGGCCGGCATATTGGGTAGGACAGCAGGCTGTGAGTTGGCCGGCTTAGACGCAACAAACGCTCCACACAGTAACAGCATGAACAGCAAGCCCTGAGCAATTGGTGGATCGTTTCTCGTCTCTGTGAGGTCTTTTGGCCGGGCCTGAACCGCAAGAGCCGTTGCCAATTTCTTGTCCTGAACGGATGAAGGCTTGACTGGTTCTGGCTGATTGTGGAAGACGTCGCCTTGGGGTGGAAAGAAGTCGCTCACACCCCAATCGTCTTGCTGCCAGTCCTGTCCCCCGACGCCCATATGGAGGGCTTCCATACCAGGATACAAATCGGCGTAGGCGCTACTGGACTGCGCCGACATTGGGGGTGCTGGTCCAGCTTCCAGCTGTTCTCGTAGACTATCTCGCTGCCTGCGCAGCTTGGAAGTCTCCTCAGTGTGTGCTCTGACAAGCTCCTGCCTTTCGTCACGCATGGTCTCGATCACGCGCAGAGATTCCTGCAGGCGTTGGTGTATGGTTTGCTGTTCCCGCGAGCGATGCTCGCGTTCTCGATTGAGATCGTTGACCTGTGACTCGAGAGATGCTATCTTTTGCGCATAGCTCTTCTCCTTTACCTCGAGCTCCTCAGTGTGCTTTTTCTTTCGTTGTCGTGAAGCGAGGCTAATATCGAGTCAGCGTCGAACGGACGGTATTCCGCAATCACGAGTACCTACGCAGCTTCCCGGTTCCGCAGTAAACGCTTCTGCTGTTTTAGCTCTTTCAAAGTCTCATCGTCGGTGGCCTGCTCAATGAGATCCTCGATGTTCTGGATGTTACGTTCTTGGGGAATGTCGATGCGGCCGTTCTTCTTGCGAATGCCGTCCCTCCGTTGAAGATCACTTATGCCGTGCTGCGGGCTGTTCGGCCGCATGCGTTTGTGCGAGGGCCTGCTCTCCATTTCTCGCTCCGCCATTCCCATCCAGTCCTGATGGGAGTGCGGGGACATTGGGGTCTGAAGTTGCGATGCCGGGATGAAGTGCTGCGGCATAGCGTGCGGCGGCGGCTGCTGTGCGAAGCTTCCGTGCGCACCATCTGATCGTTGAGAAATGAAATGGGATCCGTCAAAGTGTGGCGGTGGCATGAAACCACCTCCAGCGGTCGGAGTTTCATTCCCAGAGCCGCCTTCAAACGTCCAGGAAGAAAGATGGTGGTGATTGGCATATGGTGCGACATGAGGGTTTGACTGCCTCAAGAAGACGCTACCGTCTTCCTGGTATGAACTCGGTGCTCCTGTAGACGATGGATCTGGGTTCAGACCGTTGGTGAATGAATGATCCCATGTCTGTGAATCGGCCGGGGAAAGTACGCCATTGCTGTTAGCAAACGAGTCTTTCCGGAACGCATCGTGCGGGCTCTGCATCATGTCGGGATCCAAGACGGAGTGGTCCAACAGTGCTGAGCTGTCCGTGTCGATGAACGTTGTCTGTTTGTTGTCCAGCGCAGAGTCCGCCTGCGATTGCGGATAGCCGTATCTGGCATCTGCGTATGCCATGTTTGAGTTACTTGTATGCAAGTACCGATGGAATAGCGTCGACGAGCGGTGAAGACGGCTGTTCCCGTCACTTCTGCAAGCTCACGGGAACCCAGCACATGCCACGCTGCGCCAGCGTGACTGACTCTGTTACGTCCCAGTTGGGATGATGGGAAGAAGGGGATGATGAAAGCGAAGGACAAGGATCGACGGAAATGCGTGGTAGCGGGAAGAATAGTAAGAATGCGGAGGCTTTTGAGCGACAATCAATGCTGGAAGAAGAATAGAGAGTGGCAAGATAGCAGGGACAGGCTTGTTAAGATAGAAGTCGGGCCCAGCCTAGAGAAGAGAGGAGCGCGCGAGTGGGGAAGAGGGAAAGCTGCGGGACGACAGTAGGTGTGGAGGAACACGCGAAGCAGAAAAAACGGATCTCATTCGGTGCCCAGTTGAGCCTGAGGGATCGGGTTGCGCTGCATTAGACTCGACGGTGTGATAGGCTGTCGACGACGGCTGCGGGATCTTGCAGCAACAAGCTCGTTTGGCTCGGCAGGCTCGGTTTGCTGCAAGAGACTTTCACCTTGCGACCCCGGCGCCGCTTGGGATGTTCACCTGTGTTTGGAGCGCTGCTGCCGAAGCGATCGCTCCGTAGTTCATGCCATGATCATGAGGCTGTCTGTGAGTGTGGGTGGGCATGGTGCCTCATGCCGCCGATKGAGATCGCAGCACAAGACGGCCGTGTTTCAGATGCCTCGTGACGCCGCGCACATGGGAAGATTGTTTCTGAGAGGCAGATCACCGCTGTCCATCATCGTGGATTGATCCTGGCCGAGCAAGAACAATGTGATTTTGAAACTTGACAGAAGATTGACAACGGCCACGGTAGCCCGCTCCAACCTAGAATTCCCGGCCGATCGATGGTAACGGTCAAGGGAGGCTCGGAACGTACGCGGGAGTACCTCCTACCAGAGTTTGCGGTCGAGCCCAACGGCGACGGCTTGGGCTCACAGGGCGACATCATTGTATTTAGAAAAGCCTCGATATCCTTCTCAATGCAAGATGACTACTGGCATTGGTCTCACATGCTGCAGCTTCGCTTTGACAGCCGCACCCGCCGCGAGGCCGGCGCGGGCTCATTCGCTTACGACGACGGCAGAAGGGGAAAGCAGAAAATAGCTGGGTGATGACTGCCCGGACGCGTGCTGCTTGCTGGGATGGCGCCGCGACTGGGACGCGAAGACGAATGAGCGGTATGTGTAGTTCACCGCTGTGCCAATGGGCACGCAACGGCGACGAGGCCCGAAACTTGCTTGCATGCCATCACCCAACGCCTTGGTCTTTCAACGAAAGCTCGCCGCTCCGGACCGCTAGAGGACGAAACAATGCTTGCTCTTCAGCCTGGCGCGAGCAGCCGGCGAACACATCCTGCCGCACCTCTGCTCTCCGGATTGATGAAGAGTGCTGGGACCGTGTGCCGCCGCGAGTCAGTTCACCGACGAATTAATTCCCGTCGATCAGATCAGAGCGATGCCATGCAAAAGCGCGAAGAAGATTGCCACATCCCGCCTCCCGTGCGCACTCAGTGGGAATTGCCAACATGACTGTGTTGTTTGGGTGCTCTCAACAGGTTTGCTCCATTCACTTGCGATTACCGACAATCAAGCCCAAACAAAACAGGCCGCTGTTGGGAGCAAATGCGTGCTTTGGTACTACCGGACGCAATATCTACAGGACAATCCATCGCACCGGGAGAACGCTCTGCAGCATTCAGGCAGGTGCCAGCTGCCAGCCCGATCGGGTGCAGCCAGTTTGCAGCAAGCGTCACATGCGAGCATGCAAGCATGGTAATAATGCAAGCTCATCACTGGGCGGCCAAGCGGGCACTCTTTTGCGACATTACTTCCGTAGGGTCACGAGAAGATCACAACATGCGCTTCAGCCGAGGCCAAGCTGCAGAACAGGTGCTTGCTTCTTGTCCTGATGGTGGGGTGCCTAGTTGACGGACGGGCGCTTCGCGAGCTGTACGCGCTGCACGTTGCTCGGCACATCGAAGAGCCTCACTCGGGACAACAACAAYTGTGTCTTGACGCCCAAGATGACCTCACCACTCAACGCTTCGCTGCCAAAACGTTCGGATTCTGGCCATCATCACACGGACGAGGGAGCTCCTTCAAGTGCTTCAGTAAGCGGCTCCGGCCGCGGCACCAAACAGGAAACTTGATTCCGTTCCATTCTTAGGCTCCACGCGCAGCTCTAGGTCGCCTCTAACGAACGGTAGATGGACTGTAGTCGTCTTCGAAGCGGCAGGATGTCGGACTTTATCCTAATGGTTGGATCGTAGTCACTCCCCGAGACGCTGCGATCCACTTTACTGTACTGAAAGCTTGGAAGAACCTCTCATGACGGACCAACGTTCTGTCTGGCATTTAGTCGTAAGAGTTGCGGCTTGTATCAATGGTCTCGAGCATCTGGTATCTCTATGGCACGAACAGGAAATCGAGCTTCCAGTCTGCTCCCGATTATAGCCATCGTATCGCCTCTCTGTTGAGCAACATCTTGTCAATTATCTATTTCCCCGACCTGATATGTCCGCAGATGGGCTCCAACAACAATACGATTGTGGCTAGCACGAACCACTCGCGACGTGCAATCTGCCCCAAGCCGCCACTATCGACAACGATTGACAAGATCTGCTTGTGGACGGAAATGGCGAACTGGTGCGTCATTATCACACCGCCTGGGTGGGAGCGCGGCTTCGTCGGCGACCAGCCGGTTCAATCAGTCTGCACAGCAAGTGTTCGCAACGGTGCGACATCCTATTGGAGTACTACGTTGGCATCTGGCCTATTTTTCTCGACTAGTCCAGCCCTTGCGTACGCCCCTGTATCGAGACATGGTATGCATACATCTGCCCAAATCGTCATACAGACTACTGTGTCTGGAGGCCGAATGGATCCTTACACGTCCAACTGTCCGCCTTGTTCGGGTCACTTAATCCGTCATACTTTGCAATTCGAGGGTACGGGCAGAGTGGTCTCTGCCGGAACACTTCGTCATGAAGCGTATCGTTGGTCCACGTTGTTGCGATAATGCGTTCGGGAGCCCTGTTGGTCTCCGTCCATTGCATCAGAGCAAGCATAGCATCGTGGTCAGCGTCTCTGAATCCCGGGACGCCACTGGTTGCAGTTCCTAGCTGCGCTGCCTGATTGCCACCCGCAAAGTACCAGGGCGCCTTGACCGCCGCTGGAGTTCCTTGACAGTGATTCATGCCGGGGACGAGAAAGAACCGATACCATGAGTCGAGCTCCAAGCCCTGGGTGCCAAGGGTCTTGTAGACCTGCTTGTAGTAGTATTCGGAAGACCCTGTCGGGATGAGACCATCCGCCTGTCCATGGTACTGGAGGAGCTTGCCACCTCGTGTACGGAATGGGCTAATGTCGAAGTTGTCTGCCGTTGCGTTGCCAGGCTGTACTGCATCTGCCAGCTCGACAATATCATACGAAAATTTGTAAAAGTCCCAGTCAAGGATGCCGAGGAAGTATCGAACATAGTCGACGCCGAGACCATTCGGTTGGGAACTCCCAAGTAGGGCATCCCACTGCGCTTCACTTCCGATCTCGAGGCGGGGAAAGACAAACGTCTACATTGACGTCAGCGATCGAACGCGATCCGACCGCTCTCCGGTCGAGGTCACGAAACGCCCTCCGGCGGCTGAGCTCAGAGGCATTGAGAGGGAGAGATAGTGAAACATGACTATTTGACGTACCTGGTTTGTTTCAACGTAGGCCGAATGGATCATTTGTAAAGTGTCAAGTTGTGGTGCTGTCAGACAACCCTGAGCAGTCTGGTTCACAACGCCAGGTGGACAAAGCAAAGCCTCTGCGAAGAAATCGCAGGTTTTTGGACTGGAGATGATGTTGTCTACCACTCCATCCGCCGGGTCGCACTGGCGAAGTACCTCTGCTGCTATTGCAGGAAACAATGCGGACGGTATGTGACTAGACGTAGTGTTCGGCAGGTTGTACAACGCAACCTTATTGGTCCACTACAGATGGCGATGTTAGCGATTTGACCAGCACGTACATTCACTTGCAAGACCGCTAACGCCGCATTCACTTACAGGCTGTAGGTGACTGGTCCACCACGCAGGTGCACCAGCTAGCACACCATCAAAGTCTTCAGGATACATCTCAACCTCCTTCAAACCCTGACGTCCGCCGGTGGAGCAGCCGCTGAAATAGTTGTACTTGGGTTTGCAGTTGTAGTARATCTCGGTGATCTCTTTTGCAAGTACGGTTGAGCCATGCACTAAAAGCGAAGGGGAAGAGGGTCAGCTCCAGGAACTGAGTAGCTCAAGGGACGTTTTCGAAATGCCATGCATGCCTCTCGCCCTTCAGTCCAAATCACTTACTGGCTCTGTACCCCCAATCAGCCACCTTTTCAGGTGCTTGATAGGCCCAAGAACCATCGCTAGAAACGGAGTTGTGGCCCGTGTCCGTCGACATCGTGGCAAAGCCATATCCAACTCCGGCAGCCTGTGCGAGGACACAAATCAGCATTGAAGAGTGAACCTTCAGCGGGTAGATATGCGTACCATGGCGATCCAATTCACGCCTCCAGCGAACCCGCCATTGCCGACTGCCAGAAAGCGTGAATTCCAGTCGTCCGGCAAGAACAGGCCAAATTCATAGGCAGATGTGGAGCTGGAGGTGACATTGATATGAACGACACACAGGGCCCGAAGTTGTGTTGGCGAGACTGGATAAGCAATGTTCGATGCGGGCACCTGGAATGTCGAGTTGTCCGGCAATAAAGATGCTGATATGACTGTAGCATTTGAAGGAAGCAGTGTTTGAAACGCGGATGTCGTGCACTCGAGAGCGAATGTCATGGGAAATAGCAGCGGCAGAATCTTCGCTGCAATGGCAGTCTTCATTGCCAGAACTGCTTTAACAAAAGCTATGCGAGATTATGAAAAAGACGACGGCCCGAGAGGCAAGAAGAATAACAAGAAAGTGAAGTGCAACGAGCCCAGCGAGAATCTTTGTCAACTTCGGATGTATCGCATCGTGGTTCCGTGCGGTGGTGGCTCACGCGCGGGGTGTTGGAACACATTCATCACCTTCAATTCCGCCAAAATCTGCCTCTGTTCATTGCCGAGAGCACCTTTTGATCCCTGACTTCCACGATTCTCGGCTCATGTTACACCGACTGTAGCTGAGACTCCAACCACAAGCCAGCTGGGGCAACGACACATTTCTTGCTCGAGTATTCAGTCCATGGTATTCCGCGTATCTGGTACAAGCCAAGGATGTTCCTGCAGCAGAATGCACCAGCGCGTCCTGCAGCGTCTGTGGAACTGTGTACCTGCGTCCTCACAATGTTCTTGAATTTCCGTAGGACTGGGTTGCATGTCCGTGCGGCAGTGCATGAAATAGTCGCAGAGAGYGTCGTAAAACCGTTTCGCCGCCCTCTATCGATGGCAATGATATTAAATATGCGGCGATATGTAGGATGACGACCAGTTCGCCTCAGAATGGATTTGTATTAGAGCTTCGCCTTGAGAGGCTTTTCAGGTTGCTGGCTCTCCAAATCCTGTACGGCAATGGCAACAACAACTGCAATATCGTCCGGTTTACCACCCTGCCACCCCTCCTGTGGGTAGTGCTGCTTCACCTCTTTCGCAAAAGGGCCATTGCGTTTTCTATCCAAGCCGGCCATCTTGGCTTCCCGCATCACAGCTGCTGCTAGCAGCCCTGGAAGATAAGATTCCTGGGTCGCATTCTCAACCGTGCGTGGTAACGAACGAATCAAGGTGCTGTTGACCATGGTCTCGGCCCCGTTGTCCGACGTAGACCAGTAGCCACCTTCCTCCATTACACGCGTGACGATGGCCAACGTGTCTTGAGCAGACAAATTGTCCCAGACGCCGTCAGTCGCAAACATCACAATGTCACCATGCCTGAGCTGATGCGTGAATACATCAGCCTGCGCGGGTGTCTCGCTGTAATGTGTTGCGCCTCCAAAAATGGCGTACTGGGCCTGGGTTTTGGCAGGAACCTTGGATAGCTGATATGGCGTGTTGAAAGCGTGTGTCTGAACTACAGATCGATGGGCAACTTTGCCAGGCGCAAAGACCAGATAGCCAGAGTCTCCCAGATTTGCGGTTTCAAGAGATCCCTCAGCATTGGCTACACCCAGGCTGGCCGTGCAGCCGCCAGCGGCGATACGCGGATTGGCCATGACTGCCTCATAGGCAGTCTGCAGCAGCGGCTGTGGCTTTAGTAGATTGCCCTCATCAATTCCCTCGTGAATGTTGGCGGTGCCCGCCATGAGGCCACACAGCGCCTGGCTGTATACCGACGGATCGACGCCCTGATCCTGCCATCCGCCCACACCGTCTGCCAAACCGAACGCCACGTGATGCGGGCTGCCGCCGATGGTTGTCGCGAAGAAGGCATCCTCGCCCGAATCGCGCTTCACGGAGCGCAGATAGGGCGGCGACGGCGAGGCCTGGGTGGAGGCATAGATCCAGAAATCGCGCTCGAGCTTTGGCGCGCGCGGTGGAGCGGTCTTGGGGGACGCGGCAGCGGCGAGGCGGTAGGTGAACTGGCCGGCTGGAGATGCAGATGATGCATAGGACCGCAGCAGGGCGGGGGACGAACGAGCTGTCGATGTTACTTTCAACGCCTGTTTCATGAGCACGGAGGAGGCGGACATTGCAGCTCGCGAGAGAGGATGTAACAAACGACCAGGCCTGTCAGCAGCAWCTCATTGCACGCCGGGAGGTGATGGAAGGATCCCGATGACAAGGTAGTTGGTGTTGTAGGGAAGAGTTGAATCAGTTTGGTGGCATTGGGTTGGAAGGTTACAAGGTACCCGTCGATCTCCATCGTGGTCAAAGTTAAATCATAATTCATATACACAGCTTCGCCCGCCTCACATCAACTACGTTATTTTCATCGCCTTGCACCCACACACTCACCWTGTCCGTCCACCCCTCGCGGCAGGCCTATGTGGCCGACGAGAACGAGGTAAGCAAAGCGCGCATCGCATCAGAGAGTCCGATATTCACAAAAACTGCCAGGCCCGACCCAGAACTGACGGTGACTTCGTGGCAGGCTGACGGCAGCATCTCGCTTGACAACATCCGTAAGTATCGTGAGGCGGAAATTGGACAAGWCTTGGCTCTCATTCTAATCACTCATTCAGCCACCGATACCAACTACCAGCTTCCATCCGCCAACGGTGGTCCTTCCCAGCGTGCTTCGGTTGTGCTCGATGAGTTTGCACGAAAACGAAGGGCGGCGGCGCTGGCCGTACCTACCGATGACCAGCGTGTACGGGCGGTATTGCGAGCGCGTGGAGAGCCCATAACACTGTTTGGCGAGAAAAAGGACGACCGACGAGAGCGCTTGCGAGGGCTGCTGCTGGCGGACCAGGATGATGGCGGAAGTGGTGATGAATCAATGGCAGATGCGGATGAAGATGCCGCAGATGGTCCCGAGGGCGAGTTCTACACCGAGGGAAACCAGGACCTCCTCGCCGCGAGACGAGACATGGCCAAATTCTCACTGCCCCGCGCTGCCCAGCGACTGGCGTATCAAAAAATCGAGAGCAAAATCCCAGTACCCACACACGTCCGGCACCGAAAGGCTGTCAAGGAGAAGCTGGCCGGCGTGGAGCTATTCGGGAGTCAAATCGCGAGCGAGCGGGCAGTCAGCATAGTGCGGTTCTCACCGAATGGCGAGCTGGTGGCATGCGGCGATTGGGCAGGAAGCGTGAAGCTACTGGATGTGCCAAATCTGGACACGAAAGCGGTACTTCGTGGGCACAAGGGTGTCGTGGGAGGCATATCCTGGGTTCCCACTGCCACATTGCCGTCTTCGACAGTCGCGCCAGAGCACGTCAATCTGGCATCTTCGGCACAAGACGGCGAAATCCACCTCTGGTCTCTCACCCAGGACACTCCAGTTGCCTCCCTCAGCGGTCATAGTGGTCGCGTGTGCAGAACGGAATTTCACCCATCGGGACGCTATCTTGCCAGTGCTAGCTACGACTTTACGTGGCGGCTGTGGGACGTGAATACCACCACTGAGCTTTTACTACAGGAAGGTCACAGCAAGGAAGTCTATGCTGTTAGCTTCAACGAAGATGGTAGCCTCATCGCAACCGCCGGTTTGGATTCAATCGGGCGTATATGGGACATGCGCACTGRACGGACCGCCATGCTACTGGAAAGTCACATCGCTCCGATTCATGCCGTAGATTGGAGCTCTGACGGAACACGAGTAATGACGGGTAGTGCCGATGGATTTGCGAAATGCTGGGATCTGCGCGCTGTGAAAGAAACAGCCAGCATCGGCGCACATGTCRGCGGCGTTTCTGATCTCAGGTGGTTCAAGGGCACCGACGGACCGCTCTCCGGCAAGTTACCTCAGGGTGATATCAAGATGAGCAATGGCGATTCGGAGCACGGATCACAAGAAGAGATGCAACCAAAGACGAGTGGTACCTTTATCGTTTCCAGCGGTTTCGACAAAGCAGTCAACATCTTTTCAGCGGATGATTGGGCGCTGTGCAAGTCTCTTACTGGCCATGATGGCACGGTTCTGTCGGTCGATGCCACTGCGGACTCGAAATGGATTGCGTCTTGTGGCCGCGACCGGACCGTCAAACTCTGGGCGAGAGACGACATGGACGGAATCTAAGCTCCAAGATCTAGGTATATAAACTCAAAGGCAGCAATGTCCGCTGCTACCAGTCGAAGTCTCTTGGATCAACGCTGCTGCTGTGCCGCTATCTCACGATAGCTTCCTCTGGCAGATGACTATGCTCGAATCCTCGACACCGGAAAGCCATCCAAGTAACGTACAGCGACATCCTCTGGCCACAGAAAACATCACAGCTTCCCTTTTTCATGTTGCACATAGTGCGGTGCGTCTGCCATGTACTTTTGGTGCTCACAGGTGGCAAGCAGGACCCCGTCAACTTCCCTTTTCATCACTCCGCGGACAACAGCCAACCGGCGCCCAATCTGAATTACCTCCGCCTCGATCAGACAAGCCTCTCCCTCGATAGGTGGTCTCAAATACGTGACCGACAATCCCCGGCTGACGCCCAAAGACGCCCACCCCTCCATATTACAAGCGATAATTGCAAGGGACGTGGTCATATCAAAGAACGTTGCGATGGCGCCTCCGTGGGTCGTGAGCCTTGATGAGCCTTCCGGCTGATTGGTATATGATGTTGGGACATTGAATGCAAAGGTTGCTTGCGCTAAGATGCCCTTGCCTTTGTCTTGAACAACTGCCGATCGAGTTGTCACGGACTTGCAGAACGCTCTGTCGAAGTTGGATTTCGAGATGTTGTTGGCGTGGTATTCCAAAAATGTCTGCATGTACTCGCGAGCGTCTGCATTTGTGAGGGACTCCATGGTCCTCTTGTGCAGCTGGCAGCTGATCGTAAGAACGAGTGGGGCACCGCGATTTGTGGTGTAGTGGCCGTAATCAGTAAGCGAGTCCAACTCTCTTGGTCCTCGACGTAGTCCCAGGTGAGACGATGCTGTCTGGGCTCTTGAAAGAGTGTCTGGGATTGGAAGGCGACAAACGCAGTCGAGGAAATCATCGAGGATTGGCTCTCGCAAGCCAGTCCTTAAAGGTGCCGAGGTGCAGTAATTTGTCTGCTTTCTGGAGCCGAAATGGAGGCAAATTAGCTCGATTGAGAGACTCGGMGCATTTCAAATTCCATCGCCTGATGATACATCCGTATTATCAATAAAAGTATTGAGCTTTCTCCTCTTCACGTACCTTCTCGCAACTTTCGTTCGTCTATAAAAGTACGTCCGTTGGTTTGATGAAGCTCTTCTTGTCACTTTTGATCAGCATCACAGCAATTCTCATAGCCGTCTACCAGCAAGCGCCCTTGGTCCAATACATGCGAGGCATCCTACGAACTTCGACCATCAACAACTTGTCAAAAACTTTGTCATTGAACGCTAGCCGGACTACTTCCTCGATGGCGTCTTCAACTTTCGTTGGGCTTCCTGTCATCCCGCCTGAGGATCCTTCACTCAATGCTGTCTCGCCAAAACCTCGCGGAATTCAAAAGATCATCGAAGCTCGTCAGCAGGCCGAAGGGGCGGGAGCCACAGTACGTCGATCAATTGGAACGCCCAAACTGAAGAACTTCACCCCGTTCTTAATGCTTGATCATTTCGCTATCGCACCTGGCGCTGGATTCCCGGATCACCCACATCGTGGACAAGAGACGATTACGTATCTCATCGATGGAGCTGTCGATCATGAAGACTTCGCAGGTAAGTCTTGATGCCTTGGAAATTCTCGTAAACCCGAGCTTATACTGATCAATCAACCAGGCAACCGTGGGACGATAGAGAGWGGAGATCTACAGTTCATGACAGCTGGACGTGGCATTGTCCATGCTGAAATGCCACATGACGATGGCCATGGCAGCACTAACGTGGGAATGCAACTTTGGGTCGACCTACCGAAACATCTGAAAACCTGCGAGCCCCGTTACCGCGACCTCAAAGCCAAAGAAATCCCCGTTGCCACGGCGGACGACGGCAAGGTCACAATCAAAGTGATCAGTGGCCGCAGCCAGGGCGTTGATAGTCTTCAAGAACTAGCCTACACTCCAGTATGGCTGTTGGACGTCACCATTCAACCGGGTGGTCGTCTTGTTCAGTCGCTGCCAGCCGCCTGGAACAGCTTTGCCTACTCACTGGAAGGCAACGTAACATGGGAAACGGGCGCTACGAAGCAAGTGGTACCACAATACCACCTCACAGTATTCGCGCAAGCCGGAGATCAGGTCATCGTTACAGCACCATCAGATGCCGAGGCACCATCGAGGGTCATTCTTGTAGCTGGCCTGCCCCTGGATCAACCGATTGTGCAGTACGGTCCATTTGTGCTCAATGACGCAAGTGAAGTGCGCAAGGCTCTGATGGACTATTCGACTTTTAGCAATGGATTCGAGAGAGCGAACGGATGGGAGTCTGAAATCGGCAAGACTATGGTTTAGGCGGTTGCAAACCGTTGATTGTACAGTATGTGATTTGGGCGTGGAAGGCATTTGATTTGATTCACGAGTACATGAGCGTAAAAGAAAGAGATGCCAATATTGACCTTTGAATCATCTGTTCGTTCCCCTCTTCCTAAGTAACAGAGAAGGTAGGTGTTCGAATCTGCCATTCCTTTCACCCTTACAAACAGAGCGGGGATTCAGCTACAGCAAGTTTCATCCTAAGCAAGCCAAAGATGAGAGAAAGGAAAACGCTCGTTTCTGTTGGTTTCGGTCCGACGCAACTAAATTTCTACCTTACGCTCGTTTTCAACTTGACGAACGAGCACCGCGCTATGAGGAACAAATCTAGAGTGACAACAGAGGCTTACTTGTGGGAAGGCGATCCGACCAGCTTGCTACAAGCTCGGCCTGCTCTCATGGAAATCTCCATGAACTTTGCTAATGCCCTGAAATATCGAGAAGTATGAAATGACATGACCTATAACCTACGGCACGAAGGAGTTTAATTCCATGCCATCACCTGCCAGTCGCGAGAAGCACCCAGGGTTGAGCAATAAGATCATTCACTTCGTAACCTCATTCATAATTGCATTTTCACAGGTGCTTCGCTATTTATCCCACGCTATCTTCAATGAGGTGCCCCGCCAGGTCCTTGACATGTGAATAGTCTATTCGGACGTCCACCAAGCTCAGCCCCTTGTGAGCCAAAGCAAGTTCCATGACCTCCTCGATCTGWGAGGAGTCACTAATTCTGAAACCCTTCCCGCCGAAAGCTTCGGCGTACTTGACGAAATCGATGCCTCCAAGACTGATACCTGAGGATCTTCCGTATTTCATCTCCTCCTGGAATTCAACCATGTTGTATGCCTCATCATTCCAGATGAAGTGTGTAATGTTACAACCTTGCTGTACTGCTGTGCTCAACTCCTGGCTGGAGAACATGAAACCTCCATCCCCGCTGATCGAAACGACTTTTTCCGAGCAAGGCGGATCCTGTGTAAGTGACGCTGCAATAGCCCATGGCATACCAACGCCCAAAGTCTGTTGGCCATTGGAGCATAAAAGTTTCCGCGGTTCGTATGCGAAGAAGTACCGCATGAAGTAGATGTAGCACGTGCCAACGTCGCATGTGACAGTGGTGTGCTCCGGCACACGCTTTTGAAGGGCCGCGATGAATTGCAGAGGATGAACTAAGCCCGCGCTCGTGGTGTTTTGAAGATCGTGCTGCCAGGCACGAAGCTCTTTGGTCAGTCCTCGGCAGAATTCGTCTTTTGAGGGATCTGTGACGTTCTTGATTTGCTCCGACAAAGCGAGAATGTTCTCCTTGACGGAGCCCAGTAGCTCAATATCAGGATGGTAGTAAGTTCCGTAGTCACAGCTGGTGTAGTCGACATGAACAATGTTCAGATTGCCATGGGGATTCCATGAGGATGCGTCGTACTGGAATATGTGTTAGCCGCGATCTACGGGAAGTGAATTTATGAGCGATGAAATAAAGCTTCCGCCTATTTCACGGAGGACCAAGGCAATGAGAGGCTGGTTGCACCGTTGGAACAGGTAGTGCTGTGAGAAAGTGCATGACCAGTCTTCCGGACTGAACAGATCTTACCTCTGTGGGATCGTATCCTAGTGCAATGATGCAGTCTGATTTTGCTAGAATTCGATCGCCTGTCTGGTTGCGGAACAAGCCTACTCTGCCAAAGAATACCTCGTCGGCGAGCTCTTTGGGCACAGCACCAGCTGCCTGGAAAGTTTCCACGACTAGTCAGAACGATTAGGGAGTATCATGGCATTAAGTGTGAATTTGAGTACTCACCCGCGATCTTGTGCTTTCGTAAAAACGTGCGGACTGCGCCCACAACTAATTTGCTGCTCGCTCTCTGTCCAAGAAATAGCACGGGCCGCTTGGCATTGTCTATCATTGAAGCGACCTTCTGGATGTCGGCCGTGGGAGAGCTGCCGTAAAGTGGAGCCTTGAAAGCCTGCGATGGAAAAGCCGTGATCTTTGACTTGGCAGCAGCAACGTCCATCGGGAGGGATATGACAGCACTTCCCTTAGGGTTGCCATTGGCCGTTCGAAAGGCCGCGAGAATGACTTCAGCAGCTTGATCTTCCACATCGACGTTGGTGGCCGACTTTGACGTGGGACGGAGAATGTCGAGGGCTTTCATCGATTGATGGGTGTGCTTGGTGCTCAACAGTCTTGGTACAGAGCCTACGATGGCGACAACAGGATCTCCCTCGGTGGTGGCAGTGACCAGTCCGGTGGTGAGATTTCCCGCACCGGGTCCTGAGGTCGCAATACACACGCCAGCAGTCCCGGTGATTCTGCCCACCGCTGCGGCCATGAAAGCAGCATTTTGTTCATGACGGCAGATGACTTGGCATGATTGTCAGTGTGTGACCGGGCGAAGCATTGAAACGGGCATTGCGTGCAACTCACCCAACTTGATCTCGGGATGATCGCTCAGTGTGTCGAAGATGGCGTCTACCTTTGCGCCCGGAATGCCAAACACAACCTGCATGGATAATCTCACGAGTCAGCGGATGTGTGCTTCTCGGAAATGGTCCGTGCTCTGTGGAAGCTGGCTCTCACCTTGACGCCGGCATTGTAGATGCTCTCAACAATGATCTGGGCAACTTGTTGCTCTGCCATGGTTGATGTGATGGCAGAAGGTGCCGCTGAAGAAGAGAAACGAAGGATTTTACAGCAAGTGAACTTGTTGCAATGTTTCTCAACATATGTCGAGCTTGTTTCCGTGCGAGTCTGGGGAACGCGATACGTCATATTATGTAAAGCAAGCTAGTGATGATAGCAAGGGCCATTGAAATTTACTTCGTAAAGGCATCTGCGATTCAAAAAATGTTCCAAGTAAACGGGATCGACGGACTACGGCAATCTCYCGACAAACCCTCGCCATTGTTCAGAAACTGGGACGCCGGCGTATGAGTCTGGCCCCATAATACATAGATCTGCGGGACAAGATGAGTTTATTCACCGAGCCCATCGCAGCTGTTCTACTGTGCCACGACTTGTCTGGTCAGCCTACCACAGCCAGTACGTGTAGAAATGAGAGTGTAGGTATGTGTTGGTAATTACGTTCATCTGGTTCTAATCCCAGCTGTTTCCTCTTACTACAAATCGTGGCCCTACTCATCTCTCCCTGCTGCCGGCTCATCCTTCTGCCAATTGCGAATATAAGACTCATTTACATCACGATCATCCGATAGGTAAAACCGCGCAGCCTCCGCCCCATCAAACACCCCATTAGCATCTATGAACTTGTCTTTACTTCCATAGTAGATCGGAAAGGCCTCGTCAGGCTCTCCAGTCTCTCCTAAAGCACAAACAAAGGACCAGGCGTGCTCTGGTTTGATACGCCATTCATACCAGGTTTTGGAGTGAAGAGGGAGAATGCCAAACTTTCCAAAGTGCAGAGCATTCTCCTCTCCGAAGCGCTTATTGTAATGCAAGAGTAACAGAGTTCCGTCTTGAGCACTGCGTGCATCGGCGATGCCTTTGAAGTTGTGGTTGATATTGTCGCACGGGCTTCCCTTCTCCAGAATCTATTCCTGGCAATCCCGAACGGACGCACCGATGAATTCGGTTTGAAAATCCTCGGTTCCAGTGAGCCCTCCTTTTCGAAGTTCTGCCATCCTGTTGTTGACTACAAGGTCGCGACTCTTAACAACAGTGAAGACTTTTGGGCCGTCCCCTTCCATCTCGATGTTCGAGGCCATGCGAGTGAACTATGGATGTTTGTCGGTCATTTCGATATTACTACCACTTCACAATAGATCCACTCGACGTACCGGTTTGGCCTCCTCAGCAATGCAGAATAGCAATCTTGCAGTCATCGTGTCACCTTGGTACTCTGACTTTTTGGGCTTGAGCTAGGTGGAAGCACTTCATTTTGGAGTTTATTGATGATGGAAAGGAAGAGGAAGTGAAGGAAGAAGGGCGAAAGCAGTACACATATAAACATGTATCCACCAACAAATACGTGGGATGACGTCGCGGGAGGATCGCCAAGAATCAGATGAAACCATGTGCGAGAACGCAGATGTATTCTTGCGCCAATTGCCCCCCCCAGCAACTATCTCGTCCGGATTCCCGTCTGAACGAGTGACTCGAAATCATCCTGCTGACCAGAATTCGTAAATCGGCCACTTTCATTGACACGACTCGGCATTTAGCAATGGTTGCCAAGGTCAGACAAGCAAAGCTGAGGGCAAGTGCCTTTGAGTTTGATGTTGTAGATCTTGCCAGAAATGAAGAGTACTAGAGATGGTTGTTGTCTGAGCCAGTTCTTGAGAGGATGCTTGCGAGACATACATGTATGTTGATGGCTGTAGAGAAAGGCCTACCTCAGTTCACCCACGGCTCATGCTCATGTTCCTTCGACTCTGAAGGGAAGGACTTTAGGAGCCCACTGTCTATCTCGAAAGGATGTCCAGCGTCCCAAAGATCACCATGCATCGTAATCGGGCATGCGACTCTCGTTGGCAAGTCAGATAGTTAATCTAGGAGTTAAATTCATATAACTTACAGATGGGGAAGACGAAGTACTGGATCTTATATTCAGCGCTATTCACTCTGAGGCGCTTTGTAAGAGACCTAGAATAACCGTACCTTCCTTCCTTAGACGCACCTACGCTCGTATTTTACGCGAGATTTCCAATTAGATACAAGCTAATTTCGGAATTACGGAGCGCCTGTTCGGAGGTAGAGCGCATTCGCCGTTTGACATCATCTCATCCATTTCCAAAGCGATCCGACAAGAAGTAATCGATTTCCTCTTATGGCCCAACCGGCTCCAGCGAGTTCGCTGAAGCGAAAGTTCAATGATGAGCGATCCGGCCCAAGCACAGAGGAAATCGAGAAGATATCTCGTTCAGCAGCCATATATGATCGAGAGTCCAAATTCTACGCCATATACTCTCCCACCATCAAACCCAAAGATCTTCAAGCTCTCGACGAAATTACTACTGCGTCACACAAAGTTGTTGGCTTTAGGAGGGAGAGTAATCAGCAAAGTATCAACAAAGCGAAACTCTTCGTCACAGGTTCCGACGATGATGGCGAGAAGTATGCTGGGAAGAAGATTGAAAAGGCGCTCGAGGCTGCGGATGTGATCGGTTCTTGTGTCGTTGCTCGCTGGTATGGTGGTGTCATGCTCRGACCGGTTCGATTTGAGCATATTGAGAATTGCGCCAAGGAAGCTATCAGTCGCTATCGAGAGCAGGAGGCAGAGAGGCAGTCGAAGAAGAGAAGACTGGAAGAGGAGCAGCTGGAGCACTCCAAGCTGTCAAAAAGCCTCAAGGAGCGAGATGAAAGCATCGTCGTCCTGAGGACTCTTGCTGATCGCAAAGAAAAGGCGGCAAAGGGAGTTTCCACGGAAGAAGATGGGGCCAAGGCCTCAGATAGCGTACCAGAGGGTGAGAAGGCCCAAGCCCCGGCGAAGACGGAAATCGACTACACTGTGATGCCACTGCAGCGGCTGCGGGGTCTAGCAAAGGCACGAGACGCTACGCTGTCTTTCCTACTTGCACGGATTGACAAAGCTGAGACGGCCTCCGGTGGATTGGGTGTGGAAGAGCCACCGTGAGGTGGCCAGTAAATCAGTCATGCAAGACTCAAGTGAGTATAATTTACAGTCCACCGGAATTTTGACGCAGCCATTCACGAACTTGAGGCTCTTCGTGTCTCTGTAGACGCCAACAGCACTGAGCTACGAGCGTCTTGGTACTAGACCATGAAATCCAGTTCCATTGGTGAGAGGGCCACGTGAATCAAAATGAACAGGTGAGCCTGTGCATGTCTTTCACTTTATCGTATTGATCATGTCTGTCGTTCTGCCCTCTCTACACCATGCGCATCTAAATACGAGTCCCTGTTTGGCAGCCCTTTATCGCCAATGTGGTTGAGCACGCCAGCCTGCCCGTCCAATGCAAGTTCTTCATCCCTCGAGCTACTGGAATGTCCATCTCCAATATCCTGGCGACTGACGTTATCATCTTGCTTGGACGTCATCGTGGAGAACTTGGACCGAGCCCGAATCGCAGGGCCGTATCTTGGGAAAGCGGTAGTCAGCAAATAGCTCATGCAGCTCTAACATGGTAATGACATACCTGTGAAAGAGAAACGGAATGGGCACCAGCAGGATGCCTATGCCCGCAATCAAGCTTCCAGCCCCTCCTACACCGAGTGCTGCGAACCTAGCGGAGTCAGTATCTACCTAAGGTACTGACACACTTCACAATGTTTGTCTTACATCTGCTGAGTGAATAGCGGCGCAATCGCTCCGAACAGGCTGCGACAGACGGTATTCGCTGCTACTGCACTGGCTGCATATTCGTTGCTAGATCAAGGAGATGAATATTAGCGTGAGTCACGCGAACTGTATCAAGTTACGAAGTAAACTCACTATACATCCATCAGATAATTCAAGTAACCCTGCTTACGCATTGTCAGCACAATCCTAGAATCCGATCTATCTGGACGTGTACAGGTCCCTGAAACGTCCCGATATACCCTCTACAGGAGGCGAGCACCACACTGAGTAGGATATAATCGCCAACTCACGCCAACTTACCACGAACATGAGTACGGTGCTGGTGGCTAGAAAGGTTCCAGCGACTGTCGGGACCGCCCAATGGATAGAGTCGTAATTGGCACTCCATGCGAACCAGACTGCCATGGTGTCAGTGGCGTATATTCTGATTAGGCAGGATGCCAGACCTCGAACTTACACATGGTGATTGGGAACAAGACACTGCCAACCATAGCTAAAGGTAAACGCTCCTCCGGCGTCCGCTCGATCCCAGCAAGCATTCGCTTTCGACCCAGAGTGGATTCGTAGAAGACAAGAGCACCGGCGATACCCGCTCCTACTAGCTGGCCAATCAGGGGTAGAGCTCCGAGTCCAGCATTCCATCCCCGTCGCTGTTGGAAGACGATGGGGTAGATGGTGAACAGCATGTAGATAAGAGCGTATATGACTGATAGATAGATGGCGACCAGGAACGAGATAGGGTCGAGCAGGATGATGAACTAAATAAGCGTGTTGGCCTGTTGTAAATCGTAAAGGGACTGATGGCAAGTCTCAGGCAGTGCATTGAGGGCTGCTCACAGCTGGGTTGGACGTTGTCCAAGATCCCCACAGAAAAGAAAAGAATGGGGACTGAATAGAGAGCCTTCTTACCGGACGAGTCAAGGCCACGCGAAAGACACTGGAGAGGGTCTGATTCGATGCCTCGATAGGTGACTGGACATTCTCGTACCCCGGCACCTTTGCCTTGCGGATTCGTCTTGCTTTGTTGGTGAGGACTCTTGACGGCAAGGTCTCTGGAAGAGTGAACATTATGGGAATGGTGCCCTGCTCTACCATTAGAAGAATCTTAGCAATCGGCTTGGAGACCCACCGCGGCGAAAAAGATCAGGACGAAGAACGACCATTGCCAGGATTTCGTCACCTCCAGAAAGCCAGATACTACAGGACCCAGACTTTCGCGAGAAAGATCAGCAAACTGCTGTTACTGGCCTGATTTGCTCGAATACTCACGCTGGTCCGGCAGTGGTCATTATTGCAAATAGAACTCCAGCATTACCTCTCTCGATAGKCGGCCATAAGTCAGGCAAAAGACCAGGAACCACGCCTGTTGTACAAATCAGTAATGTCTGAGGACTTCCGCCGAGGAAGATGCTTACTGAGGGCACAGCTTGCCATAGTGCCTGTGAGGAAGCGCCCAATCAGCAGAGCGGCAAACGTTGGAGCAAATGCACACCTATGCGAAGGAAGGTAGATGTCAGTGCATTCTCAACATGGAAGCTCCACACCACGGCAACGTACAGGAAGTTGAAAGCGAAGTAACCGAAGAAGGCGATGTAGAAAAGGTATCGACGACCATCTTAGCTCTGGTCAGCACCCGTTCTCAATCAAGCCATGGAGATAGATATATACGATACAGTATTCTGAAAGCGGAGCCCAGAAGAGCGGACCAAAGCAATACCCAAGCAAGAACAACGTCGTGACCAGATTGGAGACCAGTATTGACACTCCAAAGTGCCCCGAGATGCTTCTTATACAACCGGTGGGAGAACTCGACGCAAAAGTCGCATTGGTTACCAAGATGATCGCGGCCACGGTGATGTACCTCCAAAACGTCAGCTGCTWCAGAATGCGCGTGGCTCTACTTGTAGGGTTGAAATACCATCTTCGAACGGAGCTCCACTTTGCAACGATCAGTCCATCAATAACAGTATTCATTCGTACAGAACAGTGATGAGAATACGAACATTCTTCGGATTCTCAATATCGTTTGGACTAAAGTCGACATGCCCATCCTCATTCAAAGTTACAACGCCATCGATTGCAAGTTTTGCTGAACGGTACGGCTTCGCTGTGGGACGTGAAAGAGTCTGCTCGAGCTTCTCCCCGAACGGCATGACTGTTGCAGCAGCGGTGGGGGAAGCGAATGTAAGGTAGGCAACAGCAGAAGAAACGAGCAAAAAACAGAAAACTACAAAGTCAAACCCATCGATTACCTACCTACCTGTGCCGCTGCACACGCAGTCCACGGGCTGCGAGGTGCCGTCCACGAACATTGGACGCCCAAGCCGGCATAGCGGCGCGAACCAGTGCTTTGGAATTCCAAGTGAGGAGGAGGTACCCGAGGGAATTCTCAAACTCTGTTGCAGCATAGTCTACATGACTGCCGGCGGAGGGCGTATAGTGCAAGACGCACGGGGTTGGATGATCAGTAAACAGATACCTATTGTTTGCTCAACCCCTCTATTCGGTGCTCGTCACAATATGCGCATGTAATGGTCGGGTTGCCGGGCTCGTCAAATCACGAGATGCCCGTTCTCGCCGGCGTAAGGAAGGTGCCTGTTTGCGCTCATCGGAACACACGCTCCCTTGGCTCTCTGCTTCCTAAAGTCGTGGGTTGATGGCAAGATGGCAAGTCGATGTTGTTCTACAGCTTGGTAGTCTTCATCATCAAGTGAAGTCGTTTTGATTGGCTTCCGGCTTTGACATCCCTACAACCCTATCTATCGTCCACAGTCTATCGCTGACTCGGTCAACTCGGTGTCGCCCGGACAAGTCTCCGCTCATGCTGTCCTACCAAATTAACAGATACCGAATGATTGCAAGATACCAAAGAGATCGCAGACCTCATTGCTGCCAGGGGCGACCTTCGCCATACAAGACGCACTTACTTCAAAGAGAGCACTACGCGAGAGGCTTTGTCATTCTGGAAACTGTCAGGGATCCAGTCGTTCCGCTTCATGCACGAACTTCCACGTTGTGATCCGAATCGTTATCATAAAAGTCATACCATCCATCTTAGGGCCTAATGACCTCGACAAACAGAGCCCGCATTGCTTTCAAAAAGGGTCCCAACTCCTTGGTCTCGTTCAGTGCGTCCTGCGCAGTATCAACCTCATCTCTGTTCAACCGCGGTTTGGTGCTTGCGACCTCATATTCCCTCCCGCCAATCTTGAGCTCGAACCAGCATTCCCTCKCTGCGTCCCGCTCGTCGATACAGACAAAGATGAACTTCAGGCAATCGTCGATTCCCGTGCCCTCCATCCGCATCCCCAGACACGTCTCCCAGAAGCGCAACTCGGGCACGTTATGTCTCGCCTGCGCGTCGAGTGATCGCTGATGGGCGGCTTGGGCTTCCCGACGTTGCCGGATGGCTGCCTGTGTTGACGCAATCTCTGTCTTCAGCTGTTCGCGTCGCGAAATGTGCTCCTCCTTCTGTGCGGTGAGAGAACGGATGGCTTCGTGCATCTCGTCCGTCTCCTGCGCCTCTTTTGCAACGGTATGGGCATGATTGGACGATTTCGACTCCAACTCGGAGATGGCTTGTTTGCGGTGTCGTTGTTGATCTGACGACATGTCAATTCCTCCTCTCTCTCACCGTATGGATCCAATCATACCCTCTAGGTCCGCGACTGTCATGCGAAATGCATTACGCTCTTCCAATACGCGCTTGCGACCGCGCTCAATGAAATCGTCAAAGCGCACGGTGAACTGGGCCATGCGCTCGCGCAAGTCGTTGAAATTGAAGTCGACGACGGGCAGCGTGTCCGCCATGGATGGCGCGTCTGCGGCAACAGCGTACGCCGTCGCACCGCCGGAATGCGACATTCCAAAGCGACTGGGAGTCATACTAGCCGCCATACTGTTGGTAGAATGGTTTGTGGAGGTGATTGCGGGTAAATGTTGATTGATGAGTGTCGTTGCTAAGGTACCTCACCCACCTCTCGAATCTTTGTTTTGGTGGGTAAACAGCGCTAAATAATTTAACCTTACTCGATCACCGGAGCTGGCTCCTCCGATTAAGGTACCTTAGTTCTAATCTCGACTAAACTTTTTGCAATCCGTCTTTCTTTTACTTCATCTCAGACACGACTTTGATTTCCTTCGCCAACCCGCAAGCTCCATAGAAAAACCTCCCGGCATCTCTTGAAATACGACTATGACGAGACTGGAGCGTGCATTTGCAATTCGAACCGCCCATATCCAGCCGAATGGCTGACAGGGCTCGATGCGACCTGCCGTACGGGCATTTTGGTCGCGGCATCTATTCCTCAGAAGACCACGCCTGGCACTTTGAGCGGACTTTGACGGTACCCTCCACTACCCAGCTTTTGGGAGAATCCAAGGTCTTATCACAACCCTCGAATGTTCCTCTGGATGCGCATCGAGGAGGACCTCCATCTAAAAGGCACCGAGAACAAATCAAAAGCATAGCGGGTGTAGATCCCCGCTTTCAACCTGCATCTGGTATCATCGCGCCGCTGCTCCGAGTATCTGAAGCAGTCCAGGATGCAGTTCATTGCTATGACCCTCTCAGAGGCTGCCTAATAGCCTCCGGAGATATCCAGTCCTTCAGCCGCAACAGATCTGTCCCAGTGGTAGCATATGTCACTGGAGGCTCGGGTTGCGACCTCTCTATTTCGCAAGTTCAGAAGCAGAAACGGGGATGGGATGACAATCGACGGTCCTGGCTTGAAGTCCCTACCCTGCAGGGAGAGCAAGCAAATTGGTCCAGCCATGGAGGCCCGATACACCAAGTTCGCTTCGCGTCAAACGCTCGATCTGGCCCGGGTCTTCTGGCTGCACGTCAACTCACCAGGACGACCATCATACGTGCAGTCCAAGTCAAAAGACCCTCCGAAGAGGTGCACGGGGCAAGCATAATACCCGCCTCACTATTCAACGTCAGCATGGAACAGACCGGTGGAAATTCACACATTGATGTATCTTTCAATCCGTGGTTCTCGCAGCAAGTTGCCCTGATAGATGTCGCTGGGATGTGGACGGTTCTCGAATTCTCGACCCGTAATATGGCTCATGTGTCGCGCACATGGTCCAGTATGGCCCAGAAGTCAGCGGGTGAAAGAAGGTCCTCGATCCATGATGGTTGGGCTCGTATCGCTTGGGTGCTCAATACTGAGAGTCTCGCTGTATGCACGCGACAGTCCTTGACGTTGTTCAACATCGTCAACGATTCTCCAACTCTGATTGAGGAAGTCGAGTTGGGCTTATATGGCCCCGTGCCGTGGATTCTCGATTTCTTGGTTTTCCCCAACCGTGAAGATCACTTTTGCGTGCTAACGTCGACCCATGTCTTGGTGTATAAAGTGGCCGACAGTACTACCTTGAAGAAGATCACTGCCAGCATGAGATTCAGAATCAGGCACTACAAGAACCCCGAAGATCTCAGCTTGCGTCTCACTACGTGGAAAGAAGACGAAGAAGGAGGTATGTTAATGGATTAATTCTTTGATGTGCCGAAAAATACTGATTGGCTCTAGGCACGGGTATTCTGGTGTATTCCACCCTCCCTGGACTGACGTCTACCTATCGATTGAACCTTTCCGAACCCTACCATTCGGTGAATACAGACTACATAGATTTCCAGTCACTATGGGCGCCCAATGGCGCTAACAAGCCCGGGTCCGGCGTGAGCATCGACATTAGACGCTTCGACATGGCGCACAAGCCTACGATGAATGTCTGGGAGCGCCCGTTCAAAGCCGCGCGGTTCTCCTCTGCGCTGCTGGTCAGTGAAGACTTGGGTGCATGTCAAACTTTACTCTGTACCGGAAACGATGAAGCAATTCCACCTCTTATATGGGAAGCGAAGCTGCCGATCTCAAGCTTCAAATTGAGCCATCGACATTTCGTTGCTGAAGACTTGTCCCCGGAATTCGATGATCCAGCACAGCGGCGTATTGAGCCGTCGGCTCGTCGCTCGAGATATATGAAGATACCCGATTCATTGGGCGGCCGAACGATCGACCTAGAACAAGTCACAAACTTGCTACAGTCACCCGTTCGTGGCACAGAGACTTTGGAAGACGTGCTAGCACTCATAAAGTCCGAGCTAGCGCGGTCGGATCTAGACTCCATCACGCCCATGCGCACGCTGTACAGCTTCGCTGAGACTGAGTTGGAGATTGGCAACACTGACGACTGCTCAGAGGCATTAGATCAACTGTCACAACCCCTCGAAGATCAAATGATGGCATTACCAGGCCAGCCTCTGGATATGGGCGAGAAGAGTCAACGGTTGATGCTGGCCTCGATTGAAGTACCGTCGTCACTCGGTTTGGAACATCTACGTCTTGACGCCAGCCTCTCGTCAGTGTACGATCGCACTCTTGCTGCATGGATCACGCCGCTCTCAGAGAACATACCAGGAAGAGTTCGTATTGCCAGAGCAAAGCTATGTGGTGTCGTCGCCGCACAGCTGCTTCTTGCAAGTCGATCACTGCAAATTCAGGATCCTCCAGATTCCCAACCATCCCAAGAGCAAACGCAGACTCAGACACAATCTCAAGATCCCTACCATGGTGGCATGCCATCATCTAGTCAGCTATTTCACGGACATGGTAGCTTTGCGCTGAGCCAGCTGAATTCGAGTCAGACATTCCCTTCTTCAGCCCTCCCAACACCTTCGCAAACCCCTTCCATCACGACCGCATCCAGCCACCCTTCAGCATATGCTGCACCCGAGCTACATCGCCTCAGCAAGTACACCGCATTCAGCCAAACAGCGCCGCCCGCTCTTCCTCGTTCCCTCAACAATGTCCTATCTCACTGGAAAGTTGGCGAAGACATCAAAAATTACGATTGGATGTCAACCTCGCGAACTCTGGCGCAACAAGACGAAGAAGCCGACGATGACATGACCGAAGCGGATAGAAGAAGAGCGCAGAGAAGGGCAGAGAAACATATGCGACGCCAGCGGAGAGAAGCGGCTGCGAGTCAAGCTCAGCTGATTGCTAGTAGCCAAGCCCCTGAGATTTACAGTGCCAGTCAGCCTACAATGTCGAGGGTTGAGAGTCAGCCGAGCGGTATGCTGGCTAGCAGTCAATTCACTGGCCGAGGACCGGGGACAGCAGCAACAAGTCAGGTGGAAGCAGGGCGGTTTGGAGGAAAACTTGCAGCAACGGCTGGGAAGAAGAGGAGGAGACAAGGATTCTAAGCAGCATAGAACGCCTCTTTGCATTGTACGGTATTCTTGATAAAGGGGCAATTTTGCTACGATTTTGCTGGGATCGATTCGCTGTCAACGCATGAGCGCCATGATAATGGAGAGGACCGTGTGAATCTGGAAACCGTCCGCCGCAAGGAGACGCTATATTCCAATCGGCAATCGCAAAACTTCAATTATCTGGTACTAAAAACAAGAATGGGTATCCTTCAGCGGTAACACGCTACACTTCCACCTCTTCCTCTCTCAAAAGCACCACGGACGTCTGTTACTCACTACTGACTTGGCTTTCTGATTCTACCAGCTCTCGCCTTGCCCCCCGTAACTCGCACAATCGAGCGATGGAATGCTTATTCCATAACCCTCAGTGTGGCCTTCTCTGTCACCGGGTTGAATTTCGACTTTGATGGTGATGTCGAGACCGTATTGGCCGGCCAGCTTGGTCTTGACGATACCTTGCGCTGCTGGATGCTGGGTACCACAGCCCACCTCGCCCTTGTGAAGAGGGTTTCGCGAGTTCTTTGGGATCTCAAAGTTGGTGTTGTTGCCAGTATCTGAAATTCCGTTGGAAATACCATTTAGGCCACTCGCTTGGATCTCACCATTGGCGCCATTCACGTTGCCATTTGCGTGTTCCTCCAGATAAGAGTGCGACTCGGCGATGATCGCATAGTTGCGGCTAGGCATTGTGGCATGGTTGGTTGCCGCAGTCTTGGGCTTCACGCCCTCTTGCCCCTCACCAGGATTCTTGTCGAACATCTCCAATAAAGTCTCGTCGGTGTCATGATCAAGGTGGTGAATTTTATTGCGCTTGGCAAGCAAGTTCGCCACGGCTTGCGGTGGAGGCTTGTTGGTGATGGCGGAACTGATGATGTTGGGCATGTAACGCCAATCTCTCTCGGCCGGAATCTTGAGATGAGGTGCGGAGTAGAACCTCCCGAGTGCTGAAAGGTGCACATCGCCACCCAAAATCGAGATGCGAACGCTGTGTTTCTTCGCCAACTCCTKTAAGCGTAGAATCAACGCTTTGCGCTCCTTCTTGTGCTGGTGAGCAGTGTAATGATCGTCCAAATCATCCAGAAGATCGACACCCCCGTCAAACTGGTTAAAGAGGCCCCCACCAATGCCGAAACGCTTGTTCAGTAGTCTACGTAGGTTAGAATCGATACCGACTTCATGATGATCTTCACTCACTTGATTGGTCCGATCAAAGGGGAAGTCAGGAGGTTCTCGAGCCATTGAAGTCTAGGATAGGCGATTGGAACTCCCAGTAGAAGAACAAGATGCTTGATCGCTCCGTTTGATCTCGCCAGCTCATCGCTAGTTCGTCGGAATATCAAGTCATATGTATCAGGGTAGTTGACCTGGTGTCTTGTCCGCTCTGTGCGGGCGTCGATGCCGAGAAATCCGATGCGCTTGCCGAGCTGGCAGTAAATGTTGCGGCTACGCTCCTCGACATATGGTCCGGGACTGTTTCCAATGATGAAGCTAGGGTCCTCTGGTTGACACGATTAGCTGGTCTGCCTAGATGCTGAACAAGCTGCGCCGGCTTGAGTCTATGGTACGAACCTGTCTTTGGCACCATGACATAGGTGTCCCTCAACTGGACTGAATCCGGYTCTGTTGTTTTACCGGACGTGTGGGTAGTCTGGGGAGCATCTGTAGTGTATGTGGATGGTGGCGGTGGAATGTGGTGCTGGAACAGGAGGTAGTACTTGTGCGCAACACCTCCAATCCCTCTGAAGACACTACTCTAAAATCGATCGTCAGTATTGTTTCTTCCATACCGCTTCAACGAGCAACTTACTCGCATAAAATGATCTGTATCTAGCAGCGGCGGGTAGAAGGGTTAGCGGTGTTTTTATTAGATGATTTCCGACGTGGGCCATGGCGTGGGTAGCTCGAGGAACATCTTCAACCTATCCTGCACGCCTTCTGACCTTCCATTTACTTACAGGATCCGAAACCGTCGATGATGTCGTGGTCGTCCCAAATGTTCAACTGAGGAATCTGTGCATTGGCCGTCTTGAATGGCTCCTGTCCATACCAGCGGGCGTAGTTGTTGAAGTAGTATTCGTCACACTTGGATCGCATGTCTTCGTTGAAGGGAAACTCTCGACGTTTCTTCGGATTGGCAATGTCCGTCCATGGCTATGGGCGATCAATTCTGTGTGCTAGTGGCACGTCGAAATTCGATGAACATACCTTGAGTGGACCATCGACACGAACGCCGTCATTGTAGATCTGATCGCCACCTCCAATCATTACGTGGAAGGGCTTTTGCTCGTGAACCCGAAGAACGTCGTTCCACAAGGCTGGTCCAGCCCACGCATCAACGTCGGTTCCCACGCTGAAGCCATTGCAAGAGTGAAACATGATTCGCATGCTCTCATGCTTGGATGGCACAACGAATTGCTTCAGAGTCTCCAAGGGCTGCTTCTCCACGGTTCGCAGCTTCTGGATGGAATACTGCCAGGCCGTCTCCTGGTCCAGAAACGGCAAATCGATTTCATATCTCCAAAAGCCCTTTTTCGGGTCTTCGAACAGTCTCTGTGCAGGAAATGCTCGCTCTTGCTGACCGGTCTGTCCGTTGCTCGTGGCGCCGGCCCCAACCGATCCAACACATCGCAGCGTCAACGCGCCTGGCCTGGATCCTGGGGTGGTGACGATCAACACACTGCCGTGCCATTGGGGATTATCCGAGTGCTCATTGCTCATGCGCTTGTAGTTGAGGAGGGGCCCACAGAGCACGTCGACATCGTCCGTGGTGCTGATGATCTGAGGGCCATTTCCAATGCCTTCACCTTGTTGAGCGCTGGCCTGAGTCGCGGGTGGAGCTGGGTGGCGACCGTCGTGGGAGAGATGGGCGCGCTCCCGGAATGAGTCCATCGCGCGGCCTGCGAACCCATGGTGGTGGTGGTTCGTACTGCCACTGCCATCTACTACCGTTGCCATGTTGCGATTCGAGATGGGCGTACGACGTGAGAGAGGGGCGCGTCGCTGCGGGTATAGAGAGATGGTCGAGGAGAGAGGCAAAGCAAACGCAGGGAGAAACAAGGCACGGGAGTACTGAAACCTCTCGACCTCTCAGCTGGGAGATCAATACAATGTGGCAGGGCAGGCAGGCACGAACTTCCTGAGCCAAGACAACAGCACGGGTGAAAGGCTAATAGAGCTGCAGCTAATCGTAAGCGCAATTGAGATCCTCTTGGAGCCGCTTTGCTTGCTTGATGAGTGTGCCAGATCAGTTCTACAAAGTCGTTGTGGTATGTTACAAAAGTCCTAGCTGCTACGATAAGATATGCYTCGTGCCCGTTGTGTGAATCTTGTCCGTACCTAGAGGTAGGTAATCATGGTCCTCGTGGTCAGAACCTAAAAGCTTTCCAGTTCTGTGCCCTGCAAACGATGTCATCATCGACGAACCTTTCAATCAAGCTTCTGTCGGCCCGGCTGATTTGCGCCAAGGTCCAGCCTTCTGCGATCGCGGCTACGGCGTCTTCTACATGATATGCAAAAGTTGACTGCAGTGTTGGGGCGCCTTGCACTCAATCATCCGTCAGGGAATCGCTCATATTCCTCCACATTGACACCAGTAAGATCAACCAAAACATACGCCTTGACGCCGGCGTCGTCACCGCCCAGATCTTCTGCCAACTTGGCCTTCTTGTGGGTGATGTGTTTCGACTTGGCCGACTCCTTGGACCATATTCCGCGCCGCAAAGTCTTCTTCTTCCGCCGTGCCTCAGCCGTTTCTTCTCTCTCCAACTTCTTACGCGCTGCGTTGCTTTCCTTCGTTCTCTTGTCCTGCTCAGCAAGTTCCTGCTTGAAGAGACGTCTCGACTTGGGACGCAGCATGCGAGAAGATGTCTTTGAGCGTCGACGACCCACTTCAGTGGTGTGAGGATCGCCAGTATCAGGAGTTTCTTTCTCCTCCGAATTATCCTCAATGTCATCATCCTCAAAACGCGACTCCCGGGACGTCAACTCCATAGATCGGCTGTGGTTCTCTTTGGGCGATATCTTGTAACGCTTCTGAGGGCAGGGTGTTTGCCGTTCATCAATCGTGGCACTGGGAGGCTCGGCGGCCTTTGAAGCTTGAACGACGTCAGCTAGGTGTATACCTGTCAAGCATCTTTACTTACGGTGGTTTTTGGAGCCTGAGTAGCTGCCATCAAAGAAACGCTTGTAGTCGCTGGATTTTCTGAAGCTCTCGTTGCCAGCTTCATCGCTGTCCGACTCCGACTCACACGCCTCGGGGAATTGATCAGACTCTTCCTCCTCATTACGTGTGCCATACAAGTCCTCATAGTAGGTCTCTCTCGACTTGCTCTTTGGGTTTGCGAATTGCTTGAAGAAGCCACTGCCTTGAGTGCCCGATTTTGATGAAGACCCCATCTTGATGGGTAGAAGAGCTTGTTCTGAAAGCCGGAGGTTGATGTGTTGTTATGAAGCTGGCATAGAAGAGCAAGTGAAGCTGATAAGTGCTCAAGCGTTTGGTGTGAAGACTATCTCCATTCACCGCAACGAGTGTCACGAGATGACTGATGCCTGGAGCTGTTCGTTGACTGACACATGCGTTCGCCCTTTYATCTCTGTATGAATGGCAAGAGGATGGCATCCATTCAGTTAGACCAACATAGACTGTTCAGATCGTGGAGCCATTCACGAAAGCGTCCCGCAAGTACCTGACAGCTGAGGTTACGATGCGTGTAAGGTGATATCTCATTTCGCTTGTATCTCATTTCGCTTGTATTTCATTCACTTCTATCCAGCCTACATCTTCGGCCTGCCGCTGCTCTTGCTCAAAGCACCCCGATCCTGATCTGTTGGCTCAGTGTCCGACTTCTCAGCCTTCAGGCTTACTGGATCTCCAAGCGCCGTAGGATTGGCTTCTACCATCTGCTTCAACGTCTTCTTAGGTTGCTCTTTTGACTGCCCCTTGACAGGGCGGTCTTGGTCTGTTGGCTCCTAGAAACTATCAGAGCGGAACCGAAATCTTTACGCGCAATGACGGCTTACTGTGTTCGACGTCTCTGCCTTGAGGGACACTGGGTCACCAAGCTGGGTGGGATTCTGTTGGGCAATCTCTTTGAGAGATTTCTTGTCCTGCATCGTACTTGCATTAGTGGGCAACACAACTCATTCGCTTCTTGAGACGTACTGAAGGAGCCATGATTTCGATTGTTCAACGCTGTTGGTAATGCAACAGAGGTGACATGTTGACTTGCCCTACGACTGGTACCGATTATGATTCCACCGGTAATCGCGAGAACATGCCTCGGTCGCTGGCCCATTCCTCGAATCTACTTTCCATGACAAGTCGATGACGATCTAGATCTCGGCTAGATTAGGTTCATCGCGTGCCAGATAAGGTTCATCACATGCAACGCTTTGTTAAACTGACATGTGAGATCTACAAAGTCCAAACTCGCTCGGTGGCTTTCCCAGCAACCGGTGGTTTTGAAGAGTACAACCTGGAAAACAGAACATTCTGCGAGCTAAAGGATTTGGAGATTGAGATTAGTTACCCTCGKCGAGTATTCCAGGTGAGCTCCCGCCACGCAGTTTTTCCATTCATCTTTGTCCGAAGCTGTCTCGCAAGCGGTGATATTTCTTCACATCCTTCACAGAACCTTTCACGCGCCCCATTGCGTGAACAAAATCCACCAACTCAATGCGCAAGACGCCCCTTTTGATTGCGTGTAAAGTTGCCTCACGCAACAAAGCGCCAACATCCGCCCCTRAGTATCCGTCACATCTCGATACAAGATCTCTGATCTCCGCTGTGAAATCGCATGGCTTTGCGCCTACGAGGGCCTTCAATATGTCAACTCGTTCCTCTGGACCGGGGAGGTCGACAAAAAGGGTGGTTCCGAGTCTTCCAGGGCGTAGCATTGCTTCATCGATCATATCCGGCCTGTTTGTTGCGGCAATGACGTAGATGCCAGTTMTCACGCTCAGGCCGTCCAATTCGGTGAGAAGGGTGTTCACCACACGTGAGCTGGCTTCAGAGGCGGACTCGTCCCTCTTAGGTACCAGAGCGTCCAGTTCATCGAAGAAGATGACACAGGGAATGCTTGATCGTGCGCGTTGGAAAACCTTGCGAACGGCAGCTTCAGACTCTCCCACGAACTTGTTAAGCAGCTCCGGGCCTTTGATGGAGATGAAGTTGGCTTTGCTCTCCGCCGCCGCCGCTTTGGCAAGTAGCGTCTTGCCGCAACCTGGTGGGCCCCAAAGCAGTACACCCGATGGAGTATCCATGCCGAAATGCTCGTAAAGGCCAGGATTCGCGATGGGATTGATGATAGCTGCCTCGAGCTCTGCACGGACTGACTCGAGAGCACCGATGTCCTTCCAAGAGACGTCTGGAATGGTGGTGAAGCCTTCTCGTTTCGATGACGGAGTGATGAGAGGCAGGACCGAGGTGAAGTCCTCCATAGCGAGTGTGATGGCTTCGAAGCCCGAAGGCCGAGGAAGTTCACGATGCTGTATGCGCGCGAGAAGCCTTCTGGCTGAGAGAACTTCTGGCTGGAGGCCTTCAGAGTCCGTCAATTGCAGTCCAAATTCAATCACTTGCATCTCCAAGGCACGCTGAAGGCGCTTCATTTGATGTGCGGCGGCCTTGCCCACCAAATCGTGCAGATCCGCACCGACAAAACCGCCAGTCATCTTAGCAAGTCTCGCGAAATCGACATCCCCATTGACTCTCATCTCCCTCGTCTGCGTTTCGAGAATGCGCTGTCTGGCAGGCTCATTCGGCACGTTGATACTGATCTCAGTACCGAATCTTCCACCTCGTCTGAGAGCAGGATCTAGACTGTCCGGGCGGTTTGTCGCGGCCAGAACGATGACCGGCTTGGAGGAGCTTTGCAGGTCGTCCATGCTGACCAAAAGCTGCGCTACAATTCGCTTCTCCATTTGGCTCTGACTTGTGTCTCGTTTCGGTGCGATGGCATCTATCTCATCAACGAATAACAAGCAGGGAGCGTTCTTCTTTGCTTCATCGAATTTTTCTCGGACAGCCTTTTCCGACTCTCCACTCATGCCGGAGACGATGGAGGGGCCTAGGATTTCGATGAACGGGACACCGAGCTCAGCAGCGTAGGCGCGACAAAGCATAGTCTTGCCGCAACCTGGTGGTCCATGTAGTAATATGCCCTTTGGCATGGGGAACTTTGCTTCTTGAAATTCCTCGTGAAATCCGATGGGCATGATGATCCGCTCGTTCATTTGTGCGATGATATCGCCCATTCCTCCAACGTCTTTCAGGGAAATGTCCATTGGCGGTGAGATGCTCATCTTTTCCTCGGGAGCCCGCTTCTGCCGCTTCGAGACGGGTTCTCCGTTGATTTTGCGCCGCCTGCTTGTTTCATCGTCTTGATTTGCAGGGCGAGAGCTCAAATTCGCTCTCAGACTCTTATTCATCAGCTCTGCCACAGGATCAGGTTGCAGGTCGTCAATAGCAGCCTCCTCGTCAAATTCGTCGTCTCCGATCCCCAGGTGTTCTAGGACACGCTCGATAGACGCCTGTATGGTTTTTTTCTGCTGTCTTTTCAGAGACGAATTCGACTTTTGAAATGCGATGTAAATATTCGGGATATCGGCAGGAACTCCATTCGAGATAAATTTTTGAGTGGCCACTAGAACTTCTTGATCCAATGCACTAGAAAGCCGCATATTCGCTTGGTGTTGTGGTGGTGAGTGCTYGAGGTCTTGTAAAATTTTGTGGGGTCGGGCTTTTTTCCGTGTCGCTCTCGCGGTTGACAGACGAATTTAATGTGCGAGCGGCCTCTTCGACCTATTTATCAAGGACATCGAGTACGGGAGGTCCGGAAGTGAGTGACTCACACGATTCCAGAAAATCAATCTTGACCTGCCGGTTCTCTTCTCAGTGTCTGGAAGTGGTTGATCCAACTACCGAAATCTGATGTCTGGCAAGCTTGACCTTACGTAGTTCTACCCAAGGTATGTGAAGTCGCTGCGACGTTCTTACGGTAGCATTCTCCAACAAKGGTCATCTCGTCGGCCTCTTGTAGCTTCCAAGCACTCGATTCAGGTTTCAAATACCAATGGAACTGATTCGGATCAACATTTAAAGGACGACATAACTAGATGATGCGACACATTCATCTCGCATGGACGAGCTGCCCCACATCGTTCACGTGGAATCGGCGCTCGGTCCGCAGTGACGTGCGATCGTGCCCGATGCACAACTTACACAACATCAACACGACCATGGGCAATTCTTCGAGCTCTCACAAAGTGTCCGCGCAAGACAGGTCCGAGAGATGGTTCCCCTGCCATATACGTCGTACTGAACCAAGCCAGGGCTATTCTCGACCTCAAGAATCAACGCGACAAGCTTCACCAATACCAGAAACGTATCTCGCTCATCACATCGCGTGAGACAGAAATCGCGCGAGAATGTCTTCGAAACGGGCATAAAGAGAAGGCGCTTTTGGCATTAAGGAGGAAGAAGTATCAAGAGTCGCTATTATCCAAAACGGATCAACAGCTGGCACAGTTGCAAGCGCTCACGAGCGATGTGGAGTTTGCGCTGGTGCAGAAAGATGTACTTTTTGGATTAYAACAGGGCACGCAAGTGTTGAAGGAGATACACAAGGAGATGGGAGGGCTGGAAAAAGTGGAGATGATATTGAGTGAGAGCGAAGAGGCGAGAGCTTATCAGCAGGTGAGAGGACTTGCAGTGTTGTTGATAACGACGGCAAGACTGACAAAGCGGTACAGGAAATCAACGATATGCTTAGTGGGAAGATGTCAAATGAGGACGAGGATGAGGTCGAAGATGAACTGGRGGCTTTGGAGCGAGAGGCGAGAGGCGTGGAGAATCTGCCTGATGCGCCTTCTGTCACGAGGGACGAGCTTCCTGATGCTCCAAAGTTGAATCCGAAAGAAAGAATGCAGGCGCGACGGCAAGCTGCACGAGATGCCGCAGAGCCCATGGCTGCATAAAGCACGATGCATGAAACGGAGTTGATTGTTGGAGCATGATTGGCATTTGGATGGCATTTTGGCGACGGCGTTGGAATACCCGGACACCCCTCATACATGTACACAGCGTCTCATTATCAATACATTGGAGGTGCTTGCCAAAGGAAGTTTGAACTTACATTCATCTGTCACTTTCAACAAGCCAAGGTACATATGTACATCATTTCCCCGCCTCCACTTTGACAACACTTCACCCCACCATGTCGCACTGTCACAACGAACATGGCCATCATGGCCACGACCATTCCGAAGGCGCCGCCCACGATMACAGCGACGATCTCACGCCGGCTCTGCAGAACCAGATCTACGAGCAAATTGACTTTGATGCGGTGAACACGCTCAACGAAGCCGAATCTCGCGCAGGCCAAAAAGTACTGCAGAAGACATGGACCGACCGACTCAACGTCCAGCCCGAGCTGGTCAGCGATGCCGATGAACAATTGCTCATACACATCCCGTTCACCGCGCAGATCCGGCTGCATAGCATTCTCATTCGCACATCCACTACAGACTCCGCACCGATGAATGTCAAAGTGTACGTGAACCGAGAAGGATTGGATTTCAGCACCGCCGCCGATCTACCACCGACACAGACGCTGGAGTTGGCGCAGTCAAATGATGTGCAGGAGGTGCCCGTCAAGAGGGCGCTGTTCAACACGGTGCGTTCGTTGGATCTCTTCTTCGAGGATAATTGGGGTCAGGGTGCCGAGGATGAGACTCGCATCAGCTATTTGGGCTTCAAGGGAGAGTGGCTGAAGCTCAATCGTGCTCCCGTCAATGTCATCTACGAGGCTGCGGCAAATCCCAAGGATCACAAGACCAGTGTCGGTGAGAAGATGGGCGCTCAGATTGGCGGAGCATGAGGATATGATGACACGACGAGGGAAGGATTGCGTCCAGCAGATTGCTATGAAAAAATAGCCTGAACGATAATTTCCTCTTGAATGTACACTAGTGGATATGTGAAAGTTGAAAGTCTCACAACACGAGCCATGCACAATGTGTGCCAGACCACCCATAGCAAAGTCCAGACTTGGTCGACGTGGACGAGAGTGACGAGAAGCAACCACAATCTTGCAAGCTAAGAAACACTCGAAGTCAACGCAAGCAGATCATCGAGCAATCCACGCGGCTCATCAAAGAGGTCCAGAGCGAGGAACTCGCGAGCAATGTCTTCCGCCATGGTGTACTCTTGCAGCTCACCCTCCGGCAGCTCGGCGCATATCTCAACCAGATCCTCTCCTCTGGCAGCAAGCAAAATAAGGTCATCAGCCCGATTCACTACCTGTCTGTCGATTCCATTCATTGCTGCACAGCTTGTGCCGAAGCTAGATGTGCTACGTTCAGGGCGATAGTTGTAGAGGTAGGTAATCTGATCGTCGACATTTTCAGAGCTCTCGTCAAGTCTGACTTCCATATGAGCAAATCCCAGAGCAGGCCGGGGCGGAAGGAACCCAGATTCGWAAATTTCGTGAAAATGAGTGGCGCCTAGGACTTTGGGACAGTCGGCGCCACGGGACAAGAGGTGTTCGTATACTCCAGCTGCCAGTCCGGCACCGTCGTACGACTCAGTTCCCTTGCCGAACTCATCAATGATGAGGAGACTACGACGAGTGGCGAGACTCAGTGCCATGGAGATTTGCTGGAGATCGATCATGAAGGCACTTTGAATGCGCGAAACGCTTTCCCTCGTTGCGATTCTGGTCAGAATCTTGTCGGTCAATCCAATCCTGGCTCTCTCACACGGCACAAAACTGCCGGCATGCGCCATATAAACTATCATTGCAACCTAGATAGTGTCAGTGAGGCTGGGGATGCTTGACCGTTTCGACTAAAGATGTTGTACCTGCTTCAGATAGACACTCTTCCCTGAGTAATTGGGACCGGTGAGCAAGATCATGCTTGGGGCAAGGCGCGCTGGAACGCTCCGATCATTCTGCATTGCTCGGTTGTAAGATCCATGTGCATCGTGTACTGGCGTATCATTTGGCTGACCGTCGCTAGCCACGTCGCCTGGGCCCCCCATGAGGCGGGTGTCGTTCGGTACATAACTTGGAACAGTAAGCTCCTGCAATGGATGACGCCCGCCCTTGATCTCAATGATGTTGTCCTCGGTCATATGAGGCCGGACTAGGTGGTATTGCTGAGCTCCACGGACCAGAGCAACGAAGCTGTCCAGCTCTCCGCACATATCGGACGTTGTGTCGAGAACATCTTGATACTCAAGCACGCGTTGGCCCAACTCCTGAATGATTTCAATCTCCATATCCAGTATACGGCCATGAATATCGCCAAATTCCTGATCCATCTCCATCATGTTGGAGTTCTTGAAGTACGAATGAGATTCGGTGGTGAACATCTGCTCCCACGGATCGTCTTGAGGACCGGTATAGCTGGTCGACAACGTCCCCTCATCATGCTCAATGGAGATCAGGAAGCCAATCTGCGGAAATGATATCACATTCACCGTAGAGACGAACTGGTTGGGGACCTGTTGGGCGATGTGAGTTGCGACTTCTGACAGCATATCCTCAATGCCCGCGTAAGTGCGCCTGGCCTCATCGAGATCTTGATTAAGCCCTGTGACTACCATAGTGCGCTTCGCAACCTTGGACTCGTCGAAATTCACCACGTCGGCGATCGACCGTCCAACTTCAGCGAGTAGGCGGCTATCGAATTGCTCGGCGAATTTGACACAAATTGACAGTCTTTCGGCGCCGTGAATCTCTGCTAGAGCATCTTTGATTTGCAGAGCCGAGAAGACGAACTGCCGCAAACTGTACCAAACCGACGTTGAAATTCCCTTGTCTCTGTTCAGACCACTACTGATCCCTTTTCGAAGAGAGATTGTAGCAAGCCGAATGTTCCGGACATTCGACAGGGAGGCAGTCAAACGATCGAGGAGAGCTGAATTTTCGGGCTTTCCAAGTACAGTCAAAGTATCGAGGCGTTGAGTTATCACGTTGAGGTTGGTGCTGGGCCGCAGAAAATACTGTCGCAGCAAGTGTCTTCCCTGCGGAGTCTTTGCTAGAGGATGAAACAAACCATATACCGAAAGTCCTTCTTTTGAGCCTCCAGAGTTGTTCTTGTTGCCTGATGGACCTTGCTGCTGTGCGTTGGGATGGGCCTCCGTCGACATGATCTGTAATGATAAGAGGGCGTCTGCGTTGATGAACATTGAATCTCTCAAGCTGAACATCTCAACCGTGCTGATTCGAAACAAGTTTTCAGATTCATGATCGCCAGGAAGATATGTCGTCGAGCGTCTCCTCTGGATGTATGAGAGAACGGCGCCAGCACATCCTACAGTCGACCTGCTTTCGAGGTTGATCCATCCTGACAAGCGTAACAGCTGTGCTTGTCGACCGGTCGAGCCCCCTTCCTGGTCTTCAAGGTTATCGTCATGCGTGAGAACATCACCAGGAACAACATAAGTAACAGCAGGCCCGCCATGCTGACCGATCCGCAGACCGACAAGCTTGTTCCTGGCAGAGTCATAGCTGAACTCTGCACCCGCACGGCACTCCAAAAGGTAGGGCAATCTGGTCTGATCACTGCGGCCGTCAACCGAGACTTGCGGATTCCGGATCTCAGGATCCAAATGCTCAATTGCTTCCTCACTGCATTTGGTGCTTGTCAGGATGACGGTCGGATCGATGAACAACTTGAGTGCGTCAACGATATCGGCTCCTCCAAGCTGGGCGTCTTCCATGAAATGAAGTGTCTCGGTCCTGGCAACATAGTACGCACAGCCAACGGTGCCGCGATCGGACACATTGACCGCCATAATTATCTCATGATGCGACTCCAAATCGTCGTCGTCGCGGCCATCAAGACGGTCACGCCGCGATTCAGGTGCAGTCACACTTCTTTCATCGTGAGAATTTTCAACGAATGTACGGCTGGACGCCACCGACGCGGGCGAATGGTTCGAGGGAGTTCGCGGAGAGCGAACCCTACGGCGACCACTGCCCGCAAGAGATTCGACGGAACCTCTACGTGAAGGCGCATGCCGGCGAGGCAAGGCGGACTGTTGTGAGCTTGAACGCGTACTAGATGGTACAATCGGGCCAGCGCGGCTGCGTCCCAAGTGAGACGAAGTCTTCGTTGCTTTGCTGTGGCGTCTCTTGAACGATGGATTGAAAGCCATTGGGAGCCAATCGAGTAGTCGGTTGGGAAGACGCAGGTATTGAAGAATAGGAAGCAGGTGGGAAGGTGAGGTCCAAGATCATGTAGATCGAAGAGGGAAGGCACGATGCCGATTCGAACCAATACCTTCCTATTGACGGACGACTTTCATCGCCTGCTTTCAAGTATCTCTGACCCAAGCAGCAAACTCCTTCCGCCTCCCTCTGATGTCCAAAAATCCCGACCGCTCTTCCACAGCCGCAAAAGGATTACCACCACCGACTCCGACACCTTGAATCTCTCTCGCTTCTTTACTGCGCTCCAACCGTCCAGCCCACACATTCCATTGTATCGGCTTGAGGCTCTGACTTCCAAGCACAACCCCTACGCAGAGAAGCAGGACGGAGAAGACCGTTTCTAGAATTATGTCGAGCGGTATGTTGATCTTGGGATCTAGTATTGACGGCAGTATTGTGCTAGGCGGAGGTGGAGTGGAAGCATTTGGCAACAGCGAGTGTTCGTAAGAGCTGTACACGCTGCGCCGGGTTAGCTCAAATTCCGAAAATCGGGAAGGAGAGGTCGGTCGCACGCGTGAGAAAGAAACACAAGACCCATCAAGTTGATGGCATTCGTGGTGGCTCCCATTGTTGCGCTCATAGAAGTCGGTGTTGGGATGTACGAAGTCAAGCTTGCAGCACTCCCGGACTCTGGCAGTCGCTACCTCCCTTTAGGGTAAGGTAATCAATCTCTTGGCATAAATTCATGAGACATTTCACGCTGGCGCAGGACAAGGGAAGAGGTACTGCCCGCTGTTGATCGAAACTTTTGGTATATCTAAGGTAATGCTTCATTCGTTWCACTCGTGATGCACATGAAGCCTCGCAGCTGTTGACTGCCTCCTCGCCATTTTTGACTCGCATGGTCGCTTACAACTTCTGCATGGCGACAACGTCAGTGGACTGGACGTAGTCGTCAAACTCCTGGATGGTCTCCTGGAGCTCATCGGTCGAGACCTTGTCGTCCTCAACGACCAGGTTGATCTGGAGTTTCTTGATGCCGAATCCGACAGCAACGAGCTGAGAGCCACCCCAAACGAGGCCTTCCTGCTCGATACCGCGCACAGACGCCTCGAGCGCCYTCATGTCGGTCTCGTCGTCTGCGGAGAGCACGTTAGTACAGGACACAAGCAATGGCTCGACAGACACATACCCCATGGCTTGACATCGAGTGTGACGATAGACTTCGCAGCTGGCTTGACCTTGCCCTCCTTCTTCTTTCTGTACTCCTCCAATCGCTCCTCGCGGATGCGAACAGCCTCAGCATCCTCCTCCTCGTCATCGGAGCCGAAAAGGTCGACCTCATCATCGTCCTCCTCCTCCGCGGCCGGGGCCTTGGCTGGGTTCACTGGCAACTCCTGTGACTCGGGCCCGTATGCAGTAGCGGCCTTGCTTGGGTCACCTGGGAGCGAAGAGAACTCTGGCTCGAAGGTGGCGGTGTGCTTGTACCATCTAGCGGCGTGTGGGTACTTTGCGGCGTCTGGGGCAGACTTCAGGGCCTGGAAGACCTTGACATCACCCTGAGTTGGGCCGTAGCTAATAGCTGATTAGCATCTACCTCACCAGGTGTAGTTCCAAAAGTGATTGTGCAATGAAATGACAGATCAGTGGTGCGCAAAACGCGTTTGGTGATAATCGTATAGCAGGGTCTTAAGCTGCCTCATCAACACGGACCAATTGTTCCTCATCATAATGTCGGTCGGCGGCAGTGTGGGAGGGAAGGAGCGATTGTGATAATGAGGAAGAGTCAACGCACCCAACAATGTATGAGCGAGTCTTGACCCAGTTGTCAAGGAGAGCGGTCGCTCCGTCGCTGACGAAATCGAGGAAACCCATTGTGCTTCTGTATTGTGTGATGTGTGCGTTGGGGAGGTGAGTGAGGTTGGTAGTAGTGGGCAGTGTAGATGTTTCCTCTCCGAAGAAAACGGAGGGGAGTCTTGAACACAAAAACCTTAGTCACCGTCAAAGCTTTGGCATTGGGCAGCGGCGTGGGCAGCAGTGCCACTACTTTCTTTGCCTCCTACTGGAAGCATCGAGACTGTTCTCTTACAACATTCAACGAAGTGTCGAGTATATCAAGGGCTGACATTTCTCGTTCCTCGAGGCAATGCATTAAAACTAGCGTCACGGTTGGTCCTACATCTCTCACCAGCAGCTGCATTCTCCCCATGCTTTCTTTGCCTGGAAGAAGCGCGGTCAGGCGCATTGCATCTGTTCGCCATGCGCCTCCTAGAACACGAGCCGCCACACATCTCAATTGGACAACTAGAGCACCCGCAACACTAATCGTAAGCTCTACGAATTTCCGCCGTGAATATGCAAGAGGGGCCCCTCAGCCCCCAGGAGGAACTCATCGAATGAACCTTGGAGGAGAGCCTGAGAAGCCGGCGCTAGAGCAGTACGGCGTGGATCTGACTGCAAAAGCACTCGCAGGCAAGCTTGATCCAGTCATCGGACGAGACCAGGAGATTCATCGAACCATTCAAATCCTGAGCAGGAGGACGAAAAACAATCCTGTGCTCATTGGTTCCGCCGGGACAGGTAAGTAAGTACGGAAAGAAGGAGAGCATACTTCTTTCAATGCGGCCGGGCGGTATTCGACATTTGACAAGCAGGAATGTCTCTGTCGCCATGCTCTTCATTGCTGGGACTTCGAATCTCGAGTTCCAGCGCTGCACCGGCTTGCAATGTTTACCTAGGTAAGAGCATGCTGACATCTGAGTCGTCTTAGGCAAGACTGCGATCCTGGAGGGTTTGGCCCAACGAATTATCAAAGGCGACGTTCCGGAGTCCATCAAGGAAAAGCGTGTTATCAGCCTGGATCTCGGATCACTCATCGCTGGAGCGAAGTTTAGAGGGGATTTCGAGGAGCGACTGAAGAAAGTTCTGAAGGAAGTCGAAGATGCAAAAGGCGGCGTCATCCTCTTCGTTGACGAGCTGCACACCTTGCTCGGACTCGGCAAAGCAGAAGGCAGTATCGATGCCAGCAATCTGCTAAAACCAGCACTATCTCGCGGAGAACTGCAGCTGTGTGGCGCTACAACTCTAACCGAATACCGCCAAGTTGAGAAAGACGCAGCGTTGGCGAGGCGTTTCCAGCCGATCCAGGTCGGTGAGCCTACAGTTCAAGATACAATTTCGATCCTTCGAGGCATCAAGGAGCGCTATGAACTTCATCATGGCGGCATTCGCATCACCGAGTAGGGAAACCAATTTTTGAGACTTGATATCTATAATACGGCGAAGCTAACTATAACTAGTGGAGCATTGGTCGCAGCGGCTGTATACAGTAATCGCTACATAACCGACCGGTTCTTGCCAGACAAGGCAATAGATCTGGTCGATGAGGCTGCTAGCGCCCTACGATTACAGCAAGAGAGCAAGCCCGATGCCATCCGAGAGCTGGAACGCTCTATTATGACGATACAGATCGAGCTAGAGTCTCTCCGCAAAGAGACGGACATCGCGAGCAAGGAGCGGCGAGAGCAGCTCGAGCGGAATCTGACGTTGAAGCAAGATGAGCTTGGGGCACTGACGGAAGCTTGGGAGAAGGAGCGTGCCGAGCTTGAAGAARTCAAGCAAGGAAAGGAGGCCCTTGAACAGGCGCGGATCGATCTCGACCAGGCCCAGCGGGAGGGCAATTTTGCTCGAGCCAGTGAACTCCGCTATGCTCGTATTCCGGAACTGCAGGCAAAGTTGAATGAGGGCGCAGATGGAAGCTCCATTGCTGGCTCCACCAAGGACGCCCTCGTGAAAGATGCGGTTGGGCCAGACGAAATCTCGGCGGTAGTTGCGAGGATGACCGGCATTCCGGTCAGCAAGCTCATGGCAGGGGAACTTGAGAAGTTGGTGCATATTGAGGACACACTCCGCCAGTCTGTAAGAGGACAGGATGATGCACTCCACGCCGTCGCCAATGCAGTGCGTCTTTCCAGGGCAGGCCTGAGTGGAGATCAAAGACCTCTTGCGAGTTTCATGTTCTTGGGACCAACAGGCGTTGGCAAAACAGAGCTGTGCAAGCGCCTAGCTGGCTTTCTCTTCAGCACTGAGACAGCTCTTATCCGCTTCGACATGAGTGAATACCAAGAAAAGCACACGGTATCCAGACTCATCGGCGCGCCAGCTGGATATGTTGGATATGAAGATGCAGGTCAACTCACCGAGGCGGTACGAAGGAAGCCATACGCTGTGCTGCTATTTGATGAGTTCGAGAAAGCGCATCGCGACATCTCTACGCTTCTCCTCCAAGTCCTTGACGAGGGTTTCTTGACAGACGCTCAAGGAAGGAAGGTCGACTTCCGCAACACCATGATTGTGTTCACATCCAATCTTGGAGCTGACGTGTTGATGGCGGAGGGTAGCGTAGACTCCAATTCCGCGATTTCGCAAGAGGCTACGAATCAAGTGATGGATGTTGTAACATCCTCATTCGCGCCAGGTGAGTGAGAAACAATGTTTAGGGTGATTTATGACACTAACAGCCTTCGCTTCACAGAGTTCATCAACCGCATCGACGAATTCATCGTATTCAAGAGACTATCCAAAGATGCCTTGCGTGACATTGTCGACATTCGGCTGCGTGAGTTACAAGGACGCCTGGACGATCGACGCATCTCGCTGGACGTAGGAGATGATGTCAAGATGTGGCTATGCGACAAAGGATACGATCCACGCTATGGCGCTCGACCTCTCAATCGACTCATTCAGAAAGAAATAAGCAATAGTCTTGCGAACACAATCATCAGGGGCACGGTAAAGAGCGGCGACAAAGCCAGAGTTGTAATCAAGGACGGGGGTGAGCATTTGGAAGTTGTGCCTTCTTGAGTTAAGCAGTCTCGCGTTGTACTATAGTGTATTTGTAGATGGATGATATGCATAGACAGGGATAGCACTCGACCTGTAAGATATTCGTATGTATGGGGGGACACAATCTACCCTCAACTTTTCTTCAGACGTCAAAGCGTTTCACGCCACTGTAATAATACATAAGCTGCAGTTACTCACCTTTGAGTTCTCGACTTCGATACATGCAGCGGAGGTACAAAGCTTAGATGGCTGCATGGGTGTCTACCGCAGGTATGCATAATAATCAGGCACGTCGGGTGAAGATACGTACTTACACTCCCCGCCGGCACACGGCACTCTCTTGGCCGGCTGATCGTCACAAGGTGGATGCAGATCTACGTAGWCCCGATGGCCTTGTGGGTTCCCTAGGAGGATGGACTGGAAAGTACAACCGGTTTGAACAGGTGGGCTCGGCCAACAATCCCATTCCTCTATCAAACGTCGGATGGGGTACATCATCGCGGCTGTACAAAGTCGTTCATTGATGATTGTTGACGTGAGACTAAGCGCGAGGCACTTTCACAAGCCAAATCCAGAAAAGTACGGCTCGGCTCCACGGGGCGCCGCAAGTCGGATGCGGACGAAGCAGAATCCCGCATTCTGTTCCATTGCATAAGGTAGACGGAATGATGTTGCTAAAACAAGACACGTGAGAGCAGGTCACGCTCCTTGTAGAATTTGCTCACGTATTGCGTGAAGAAAAAAAGTGCGCGAGAGCCTGCTGCATGCTAGCCGGCTGCTACCTGGTAACGATGACGTTGGAATGGCTTTGGTGTAAGTAGTACCTCCAGTCTTTATCAAAGTCCATCCGACGCCTTCCGAGCTCTCAATCGACACAATTTTCTGCTGACCCGCCCAAACATCTTTGGTCTGTGTCTGCGTGCTGGTCTGCACCCTCCGACGGCAGCCATGTCTTCACTGAAAAAGGCGCTCACTTCGCTCAAGCCACGGTCCGCGTCCAACTCCAATGCAAACAGCGATACAGAGAGCCACAAGGATAGGGAGAAGGACAAGGAGAGCACAACCAGCACCGAAAAGCCCCCCCGCGCCAGCACCGGTCTGTCCTCACTGATCGGAAGGCATTCGACGGACAGGCATTCGACGGATTCCAACCGTCGCTCGCTGGATGTTGGCTCGCCCTCGCGGCCCTCCAAGGACCACCCACGCATTTCCCAAAGTCCGCTCGGCTTCCTACGCCGCAAGGTACGTGGTGGATCCGATGACTCGCACTCATCCACCGAGGACCTGCCCCTCAATCGCGATGGCGATCCCATGAGCCGCAACCAGCAGCGCAAGCACGACCGTCAAGCCGAAAAGGAGCGCCATCGGCAGGATGCGGAAGCTCGCTTGGAGGCCGACCGCAAGCGCAAGGAGGAGATGGAACGCCGGGCGGCCGAAGAGGAGACCGAGGAGCAGCGTTCCAAGTATGGTGTGTTGCCCATCAACTACTATGCGGGCCAGCAGAAGCATGAGGATCGCGTCGACATTCGCACTCTGAAGCCGGAGCAGGTTGGCCAGATGGTGTGCTTCCGAGCCCGTCTGCACAACCTGCGGAAGCTCAGTGCACATCTCATGTTCATCGAGCTGAGGCAGCAGACAGCCACCATCCAAGGTATTCTCCACGAGCATGGCAGTGTCTCCCAGCACTTTGTCTACTGGGCAGAGCATCTCCATGTGGAGTCGGTGGTTGTCATAAAGGGCGTTATACAGGAACCCAAGTCGAAGCAGGGCGAGATTATCGGAGTGTCTATCCACAACTTGGAGATTCACATACACGAGATGCACGTCGAGGCTCAGCCCAACGAGCCATTGGCGTTCACCGTGCACGAAGCCGAGGTGACAAAGGCTGAGACTGAGGTCGAGGGTGATGGTCGGCACCGCGTCTCCGACAGAGCCCGACAGCACAACCGCATTATTGATCTGCGGACCACTGCCTCGCAGGGAATCTTCCGCATTCAGTCTGGCGTATGCCAGGCATTCCGCTCCCATTTGCATTCGAAGGGATTCATCGAGATCCACACTCCAAAACTGCAAGGAGCCGCCTCTGAATCTGGAGCCAGTGTCTTCAAGGTCGACTACTTCGGTCGCCCTGCTTTCCTCGCCCAGTCACCACAATTGGGCAAACAGATGTGCATAGCTGCAGACTTCCCTCGCGTATTCGAGATTGGCCCGGTATTCCGAGCCGAGAACAGCAACACCCACAGACATTTGACTGAATTCACGGGTCTGGATTTGGAAATGGCGATTGACGAGCATTATCACGAAGTGCTTCGGGTCCTTGACAGCACATTCAAGGCCATCTTTACGCATGTGTACGAGAACTATAAGGACGAGATCGAGGTGGTCAAGCGGCAGTTTCCTCACGAAGATCTGGTCTGGCTGGAGGAGACCCCAATCATTCCGTTTGCTGAGGGAATTCGAATGCTGAATGAGTCCGGCTATCGGGACGAGCAAGGGAAAGAACTACCCGAAGATGAGGATATGGGAACTCGCGACGAAATCGCTCTTGGTGCAGTCATCAAGGAGAAGTACAAGACCGACTACTACGTGCTTGACAAGTTCCCTGCATCTGCACGACCCTTTTACGCAATGCCCGATCCCAACAACCCGAACCTCACGAATTCGTTCGATATCTTCTTACGTGGGCAGGAGATTCTGTCGGGTGGCCAGCGTATCCACGACGCTGCCATGCTCGAGGCAAAGATGGAGAAGCTGAAAATGAACCCTAAAGATCTTGAAGACTACATGACCGGCTTTGAATGGGGTGCTCCTCCCCATGGAGGCGGTGGTATCGGCATGGAGCGGATTCTCATGCTTCTGCTGAAGCTTGGCGACATTCGGAATGCCACGCTCTTTGCGCGTGACCCAAAATCGCTGCCATACAGGCCACCTGTGAAGCAGCTGCGACACCCAGAGGCGAGCACCATGCACCCACCCTGGGCGGGACAGGACCGCGTCGCTGCGCATATGGACTATCAGCCACTCGAGCAACTCATCGCAAACTACGGCGATGCGTCCAACACCTCGTGGTTGGAGCCCAAATTCGAAATCTGGCGCGACCCTAACACTGGCGCAGCTATTGGTTTCGTACCGCACGAAGGTTTCGCCATCACGATTGGCGATCCTCTCTGTCACATAAGCCAGTACACCAAGACCATGGGCGGCTACCTACGTTACATCAAGAAAGAGCGAAAGCTTAAGCCCTTGTGGTTGCTATGTGGGTCCGCAGCAGAGGAGGTGCTTGCCAACAAGTTCGACTGGCGGACATTATCCGTTGCTGCAGAACAGCGTCTGGATCCGTCAAACAACCCCGCTGCTCGCGACTCAGAGATCCAGCGAAAGGTTCGCCATGCGGAGAAGGAGGGAGTCAAGGCTCACGACATTCCACTCGGACACAAGATCCCCGACGATATCAAGGAGAAGGTCGACAGGCGGATTGAGGATTGGCTGCAGAACCGGAAGGGAAAGCAGGTCCACTTAACAGACGTTCACCCTTGGCAAGACACTGCACACAGGCAGTATCACTACACAACCAGCAAGGATGGCCAAATCTGCGGTCTTGTTATTCTGGCACAGCTCTCACCAGAGCACGGATGGCAAGTCAAGTTTGCGCTTGACTTTCCAGGTGCGCCGTCGGGCTCCATCGAGTTGCTCGTACTTCATTCGTTGAAGGCGGCCGCTGCGACTGGCGCCACGTCAGTCACATTCGGTGGTGGTGCTTCTTCTAGGCTCACCCCAGGCCACAACCTGAAGGGTGCCAGAGTYAAGGTGTTGGCCAAAGCGTACCATGCCATTGCCACCGAGCTCAAGTTGACGAACAAGAGCGAGTTCAGGGAGAAGTTGGGCGCTCAGGATGATCCGATTTTTGGTAAGCAATTCCGAATGGATGGTGAAAATATAGTGAATACTGACTGCCCGGCAAAGTATGTTACCCCCCTCGCGGTCTTGGACCAGGCGGCGTCCGCGCCATTCTGAGCTTTTTCGAGGACGACGATGACGACAAAAATAAGGTCTAGAAGACCGTGAAGACGAGTGTAGCCGTAGTGCGACTTTCCAGCGTCTCAGCATATGCTCAACATGTTTGGGAGAGCAAATTACAGCCCAGAGCTTTGGCAACGATTTCACGACGGAAGCGAGGAATCAAACTCACGGGCCGGCGCAACACAACGACCGCGTGAGAGAGCAGGCGAGAGCTGGACTTGAAGACCGATTCTTACAACCAGCTTAGATAACCCTAATACCCATCGTTTGTTCCTCGTCTACACAGTTCCTTCACGACAGAKCAAAGCAATCCACAATTTTCGTTCCCATTCGACTCCTTCATTCTGTGCTGTGCACCAGGCTAGGAGGCAGATCAATAATTTAGCTCGGTGGTCTCTCCTTTGTCAGCATCCAAGTCCTCGTAGCTGCGTAGGCTGCGTCCGGCAACAGCCTCGCTGGGTCCCGGTCGCCCATCGCTCATCGAAGGCAAACGACCTCTGCCGCCGCCGTTACGCTGATATGGTCCCGGCATGCGGTATGCACCACCACCGTTGGTCGCGAAATTTCGTCCATTACTGCGCATGGGTCCCACGCCTCCGCCCATGGCCGGGTTTCCGGCCCACACGCCAGGCATGGGCTGTCCGGGGTTGAACATTGCAGGCATCGCACCTGCCGAGGTCATTCCGGCGCCCATGGGATAGCCCATTTGAAACTGCTGATGAAGCTGGAAACCACGAGGGGTTCCGGATGGTGCGTGGTTGTTGAGCGGGAAGTGGCCGTTGCTATTCGCATCACTACGGCTTGGAGCAATGTGAGCCGGATCCAGGACGTAAGTGTTGACAAGCTCCACTTCGGCCCTGATCCGCTCGTTCCAGTCCGCATGACGCTTCTCAACGTGCTTGCGCCAGAAGTCTGTACCTTTGAACAGCTTGGTGCATTCCGGGATCTTGCAGCGGAACTTGTGCACATCCTCTTGGAGCACATACTGCAGGGTAACGGATTAGTTGCGGGACAATACACAATACAGCGGCAGATCTGACCTTGAGGAGCTCCTTCTCAACACCTTCATCCACCGGAGTACCGCCCAGCTTGCGAAGATTGACATTGTCAGGCTCCAAGATCTGCAAGATCTTCTCTTCGAACGTCTTGACCCAGTTATAAGCACGCTGAAGCTGTAGCGTCGTCTTGGTGTTCGGTCTCATTAGAGACTTCTTCTCCTCGACGGGGCTTTCGGGCTTCTCTTCGTCTTCGTTGCCTTCGTTTTCGATTTTCACGTCGACGCCTTTGCCCCTCAACAGAGGAAAGGGCTCACCGGTAGCACTCGCTCGTGCAGTCTCTTTAGCGGCAGAGGTCAGGCTCGCCCGTGGTCGGCGCAAATGACCACCAGGACACTTGCGCTGCAGCTCATGCACCGAGTCGGACTCGAAAACACAGAAGAAACAGAAATTGTAGACTCTGCGGAGGTACTCCACCAGCAGATCGAGTTTCTTCTTCTTGATGAGAAGCTCTTCATCGTCCATCTCGTCTTCATCAATCATGCCCTCGTCCTCCTCTTCTCCCTCCTCGACATCAAAGTCAATTGTGTCTGGATCCTTCTCGGGTTTGGACGGTGCCACAGGCTGCAGCATTCCTCTTTCAGTCAACTCGTGAACACGCTCCTCGATTTTGGCCACGCCAAAGTATTCATCGCCCAACTCGTTGTCAAGTCTGCGAACGAGACGTGTTGCCAACTCTAGATCACGAGCGACGCGCTCAGAAGCAGAGAACAAGTCCCACAAGGCCTTTTTCCTTGGCCCCTCTGGGGGCCGGTGGACGCCACAATGCACTGTGAAGTTGCCACGCTCGGGATCTTCGATGGTCTTGCCGTTGATCTTCTCAAGCGCCTTATCACTGGAGCTCTGAGGTCTCAACGCGGTGTCGGTTTTCATGGCCTCTCCACCATCACCATCATCGTCACGGGGAACAACGTGCTCCTCAGACTCAGCTGTCTGCTCGGGTCCCGGGTTTAGAATGATCCAGCCCATGCGGTGACACTTTTTGAGAGGGTTGGGATCCGACAGGGATAAATGTCTGAACCCCCCCTCATCCTCGCCCAGGTGTTCTTTCGCAAAAGTTTCAAACTTCTCGCGCGTGACCGTAGGGGCAATGGTCTTGATAAGTAACGTGGGCTGGGCCGATGCAGGATCACGCAAGTCACCACCCTTTGCGGGAAGCAAGTCGCCGACTCCCAAAACCTCTGCTGCTGCCGACGTCTCGCCTTCCTCGCGCTCGACTATACCTCCCAGGCCGTTTGATTCGGACTTGTAAATACCCTCCAAAGTGAATTCGTCGAAGACGCCGGAACTCAGATCGTGCTCCCACTGCGCAAACAAGCCCTTGCRGTAGTTCATCAACTTCGCTCGAAACGGATTTCGAACTTCGGGCACATAGCGCTCACGGAACCAGTCCTCGGTCTTGTGCAGCCGCACGAATGTCTGAGCTTGAGATTTCTGTAAATTCTCCTTATATTGATCATAAGCCGCCTGGATCTTGGGTCTCTCAGCATCACGCTCTTCCTTGGACTCGCGTTCACCTCTCAGTCTTGGCGGCGGGCGGCCACTTCGCACGCGCTCCTTGTCTTCCTTGATGAGCTGCTCAGTCCTCCACCATTCGGCGAACCAAGTAAAGCCAACCTGAAAGTCCAGCTTCATCGGATCTGGGAGAGGGTTGGCAATGATGGCCGACGGCTCGGGACCCGGAATGTATCTGTCGATGGGTTGAGGAGAGGAGCGTCGGCGAGGATGGGGATGGGGCTCATCACGGCGCGGTGCATACGTGTAATCATCGCGGCCAACGCGATCGGGCTGGTACCTGTCGATCTGTGCGGGCGAGCGCGAGCGTSTGCGGTCTCGGTCGGGCGCGCGGCGGCGGTCTGTCACAGTCAGCGACGGCGCGTCGAACAAGTTGGGTGGGCGGAGCGCACCTGGTGAACGTCGACGGTCACGGTAGGGGTCAGCGGAGCGGTAGTCGTCACGCTCCCGAGGCGTCTCTCGGGGCGAACGAGCATGGCTATATCCTTCGTAGTCGTCCATGTCGAATGAGCAATGCTGAGAGATGCGRTCGGATGCGTCGATGGGTTTAAGGCGGCTCCATCAAGCACAGCGAGCTCCTGCAGGTGCTCGTAGTTTCGCGGGCGTGCTGGCGGTGGGCAAGACTGTGGGCCATGGTTATGTTAGACTTGTATACGCTGGTAGATCTTTGCGAGGAAGGAGGAGAAGGAGGGAGGGCGGAGCWGTAGTAGTAGTCGGAGGTGTGGTGGTGAGGTGCTAGAGGTACATATATGGTACAAAGCGGCGGCTCAGGGAGCATCGCCAGGAAGCAGAACAGAGCAAGCAGGGAGCACGGCAGCAACGCGGTGCAAGGAGAATGAGCGAGCGCGGTGGGAAACGTACAAAGAGGCAGACAATGCAGCGTGTTGTGCAGTGCGATGAAGACGAAGAGCGTCGTGATCGGTGGAGACGCATAGCTCCCTAGGTTCCACTTCTGGTTAGTTCGAGATTGGAGCCAGTCAGGACCCCGTCAACTGGGGAAGATCCCACCCGACGCAATCACATCTCCGGATGAACTGCGTACAACTTTGCGAGGCAGCATGTTGCACTGATAACGATGAGATGCCGGAAACATCGAGAGCCTTGCAAGCCTCCAATATCAAATACTCGGTGCGAGAAGAAATTTATACAATCGATACGGCATCTTGCAGACTCGTTCGGCTCTGGTGCGTGACGATTCAGAAGTTTTGCAACGTAGACATTGGCACCGACGCCCAGCTGTACACGGTATGGGCATAGACACGGCTAATGGGTCGCCCTATTGAGTTGCAAGTACGACGATATACTATTGAGCTGTTAGAGGTATTGCCTCAGGCTCCTATGTGACTAATAATAAGCTTTCCAATCGCGTCAAATGCAGCCAGAGCAACTTCGACCCACAAGTTTGACTTCACTCTCCAACAACACTGTCCACAATGACGACTTACATACCTTCTTTGACGCTGCCAGCGTTCATCTTTGAGCAGCCAGCGGCCTCTATCTTGTTGCCGGTTGCTGTCGGATCGGCGATCGGCTACTCAATCAGCCCAAAGAAAACTCAAGCCAGCTACAATGCGATGCGTCAGCCACCATTTCACCCGCCGGGATGGGTATTTGGGCCCGCCTGGACTTTTCTGTATGGAGCAATGGGCTACGGTCAGTACAGCATATGTTCTGTCTGAGATCGTTGATTGATGTCCGCATTTTAGGCGCATACCGCGCGTGGACTGTCGGAATGGCCAGCTTCGATCCGGATAAGATTGCACTTACGAGGCACGCTGCCACAGTCTATACCATACAGCTCCTCCTCAACTGGGCATGGACTCCACTGTGGTTCAAATGGAAGAAGCCTATCCTTGCCTCGATTGACATTGTCGCCTTGACGGGCTTGACTGCCTACTTGACGAGTGTATGGGCAAAGATCGATGAACGTGCTGCTTGGACCCTCGCCCCTTACCTTGCATGGCTCACTTTCGCCAACTACCTATGTCATGGTGCTGGCTATTTGAACGGTTGGGATTTTTCGGATCAGAAGGTCAAACCAGCATAGAGCTTCACTCAGGGACCAAGAGATGTGGACGCWGGTACTACCCTCTATTCTGGACGGACTATGAATGGCTTGTGGCGTTCCCAGCCAGGTTTCCGTGGGCCACAGAATCCTTCTAATTAAAGAGTTGATTTCTCTCTCAATGGCTTACATGTGAACAATCCGCCATGGCTTACCATTTGAGTAAGTGAAATGACAATCGCGAGACGTTGGCAGATATTATGCCACGATTCCTGCGCGTGGCCTCACTGACGATGCACGAGACCACGTTGTGTTTCGGAGGTGAAGCCCGTTCTTCGTTGCACTCTGCGAAGCATTGAGCACCGAGAGGGTCCCTCGGCCCTGTCATCTGTAGACGCGTCCTTTGACCTGCTGGAGGTATCTCCGGCAGTTCGACAGTCTGCAGGAACTGCTATACCTGCAACACTGTCCACCTGGGTCGCACAGACGTCGGATCTCTCGGTCGTTACAGAGTTCAGACGGATGTGTCGGCTCTTGTACGACCATGCTAAGTGGCAAGTACTGCAGTCTCGACATGCCATCTTGATGAACACGCGCAGCATGACGACTACCATATTTCATGGAACTTGAGGCCGCTGAGGGGAGATACCTCCAGCCAATAGACTGGCCGTAAAAAGTGGAGAACACAACGAGTTCAGCCAGGCAAACATCTCCAAGGTGGCACGACAGCGCCGTAGTGGGGACTGTGCGAGGTACATTGTACAGATGCGAACTCACCGGTTGCGGGCGTCATGTAGCCTCATTCTGCCGCTGTCGCCCTCAGCCTTGTGCATATGAAGGCGGCATCATGCGGTCTGCTCTCGCGCTTCTTTCCCTTAGACCCCATATCGATGAGTGTGTCTATTGTTGCTACTGTATCACGATTCAGCCATCAGGTGCTACGCGAATCTTCTCTCGGTCGAGGCTCCATCTATGACACCCAAGAGGGTAAAGGCACGAACCAAAACAGAAGGACTGCTCGTGCTTATTGCTCGGGGTTCCCCTAAACGACTTGCAAGTGTCCAGAGCTTTGGCAAAGCAGATCCACATCTCAATCGGCCACTATCTACGGCCACATTCTGGTGGAGACGATCTGGTGCGCGAGCTCACGTCGGAAGCGCAGCTGCCTGTCTGATTGACTTGGCTGATCGTGAATATCAGATCCTTCATCTAATGGATCCATTCGCCACAAACTACTTTAATGTGAGTGCCGTCTAGTTGGCAGAGAGACTGTCTTCTAATGATTCCGCGCAGGAGTATGCTGCCTATGACAATGGCATGGGTACTGGTACTGGCACCGTGAACAGCGACAGAAGTGGACCAAGCTTTCCTGGATTCACCATACCACCACAATCTTATTATAATGCACACAGAGCCTCTGATCCAGGCTACTTTGCCCGTCCAAGTCTTCCTGCAGAAGATTCTCTGGACCTCTCACGCTTTGATCTTCTCGCCCGAAGCGCGGTGAACACGTTGCAGGTGCAAGATGTTATCAAGCCTGCACATAACACGCCATGGGTTGGACCACAACAACACCGCGTTAGGCGCGAATCTTATCGCCGTCCAACTCTTCTTCGTAGCCCGTATGCGAAGTCCGAACCCTTGCTGAGGCACGACGTCTACTCTGATGCTGCGGACTCTGCATACACTTCTCAGTGGCCTGGGATGCAATCAGCCACAAATCACTACAACATGAACATGCATGAATTGGAGCAGGACTACCAACCATTGCCAGAGGTATTATCTCCTACTGGTGGTGCAGAAAATCAGAGCACCGTCTCGGATGGGCGTCTGATCAACGGTGCGAAAGCGAGGAAATGCAAAAGACCATTGACACAATGTCTACAGTGCGGCCGCCAGCCGCGGAACTTGTCTGACTCCAAGTGCGTTTTACAATTTCCTATGCTTGATAGGCCAATGCTAACCGCGTTGTAGGAAGCACGCACTCACACACACGAAGCCTTATCGGTGTACCGAGCAGGACTGCACCCGCAAAGATGGTTTCGCCACTGAAAATGACCTGCAACGACACCGTAAGAGTGTACACAACCTCCTCCCAACAGTCGGATCACCAGCTGGATACATCTGTGCCGCCTGCATACCAGAGGCCGATGCCCCGTCCAAGTTCTGGCCACGCAGGGATAATTTCAAGGCGCACATCAAGCGCAAGCATCCTCATCACCATGAGAGCACTCTCATCGAGGCGTAAGCTCACCATTTCTCGTTTGAGGAGTTATGCTTACAGTACGCAGCTCAAGAAGAAGGCTTCGACCTGGGGACGACCGATCAACGCAGCTTGATTCCAAATCCGTTAGGGACGACATGCACTCTGCCCAGAGTTCACAAGCTGGCCGGAACGAGAACACGTACGATTTGATCAAAACCCCTGGACTGAGCGCCGAATCGTCCTTTCAGTCGGAATCTGGCGGGGTCTTTGGACCCGAGTCTGGCCTTGCCATGTCGAACGAACAACCACTCGTCGGCATGCAGGGTCACACAGTTGACCAGTACGGCAACATGTCAATGCTTCCAATTGGCTACCGTGGACCGAAAGTGGAGGATTACATCAACGAAGCAGCTGAAGCCAACTATCATGGCAACCAGCCCAACAGGTTACTGACCATCTTGTCAGAAGCTGCAAACAACCTGGACTACAGTGCCAATCCCTTCTGCGTTTCGGAAACTAAGCAGCCACGAAGACATGCCCCAGATTATGGACAGCCAGACCTGAACTATAAGGAACCCGCATCATATCCTTGCCAGCACCCTGATTGCAWCAAGGTCTCGACCCATGAGTACGGTTTCCCGCACGGCCACCGAGTTTCCTCAGCATCATGACATGACGTGGCACGCCACCGCCTACAAGGCTGATCTAGTGGTTGAAGTGATATACTGAGACGCTGGGTGAAGCACTTTTGGCATTTTGCTATGAGTTAGAGTAGAGCTGAGACAGGTTGAGCACCACTTGCAGTGTTCAGGCGGCATAAAATGTTTTCTGCCGTCGCCAGGTTTCCTTCGCGGTACTAATGTCGTCGTTCAGGAAATATGTCTGGAGGGCAAGTTGCGAACTTGGGAGATCACGATACGTTTTAATTCTAGCCGCCGTTGAGCGCGATTTTTACCTCGTCGCTGGTGTACGAGAAGGTCGAAAGCGGATTGTCAAGTAGATAGCATTGGTAGCAAAAGTGTCTGGTGATTGAATGCGTCCGTACCCCTGTAGGCCTCACATACCCTGATATCAACAGCACTCCAGCTGGTGCATTGCACTGCGCACATGCCTTTGGCACAGAGATAAACTTGAATGTGTGTCCCTTTATTGAATGAGAAATGCATGTACATGTGTATAGCTCCTATTCACATGCACAGACTCATGCTCATGCTGTGCATCGGACCTTTATGCAAGAGTGTGACGTACCGTGCACGGGCCGCTTTCACATGCCGACGTGACCTCGTGCGAGAGCCGCGGCAGTCGGGACGAAAGCGTGGTATGCAAAGAGATGGGCATGAGACAGTTCACTGCACTAATCTTCTGGCCGCTCCCGTCGTTCACTAGAAGYCTGCAAGCTCAGCAAATCAATGAGCGCAGTGTGCAGATAACAGCATCAAGACCGCCAGCATGAGCACCGTCAAGGCGTTGCAGGTAAGGAAGGCTTCAAGACACCGAAACTCGAAGCAAGGCGCAGAAGAGCTTACCAGCGTGACTACTGCAGGACTCCCTCGAGAAGATCATCCTCGATCCCAAGTACAAGGCGCCTCTGACGCTCGTCAAAGCCATCCGCAATGGTGCCGTATACGGAGCCAAAGTGCGATTCCCGCACGCCCTGGTCATGATCTTCCTATTCCGTTCGGGCACAATACGAGAAAAGACACGACTGGTCTTCAACGCGACGCGACAGCACGCCAGCAACCTCGCCCGGTTCGCATTGCTATACAAAGGCAGCATGATGGCGTTGCGCAATACGAATGGAGGCAAGGAGACTGGTGCCCACCATTTCCTYGCTGGTCTATTCGGCGGATACTGGGTTTTTGGACAATCAGCCAACAGTGTCAATCAGCAGATTGTCATTTACATTTTCGCCCGCGTGCTGCTTGCACTTGCGAAATTGGCCATTCAACCACCCGGAGACAATAGCCTTGTGGGAAGCCACTATGGTGGACATGGCGGAATTGGCATCTTGAAGCTCACGCCTGAGCAAGTTGCCATGGTGCAGAAATACAGCTGGCCTGCATTCGCTAGCTTGAGCTGGGCCAGTGTCATGTGGCTCTTCGAGAGCTATCCCGAGACACTGCAAAACAGTCTGCGAAGCAGCATGTACTACATGTAAGTGCCGACTTTCTTTCCATCTGCTTTGCAAAAGAGCTGGAGCAACATTCCCTCTACTGACCCAGGGCTGACCCATGCACCAAAGATATAAAAACTGCGAATCGTGGGACGGGGCTCGGACCCTTATCCTCCACAACAAGTGAATGGGAAAGAACGAGGCATACGAATTGCATGGATAGCATTGTGAAAGATGAAAGACATAGCGCTGGCGTTGGCAATCTTTGAGCGTGTACATACGTTTTTACGAAGTTTCACGGTACCAGATCAAACCAGCCACTGACACGAATTCCAGCTTTGCAAATGCGGATTACTGGCACAGCTTTGACAGCTTCTTCCAAAGCTCCTCCCAGCCAACTCTTCCGGGTATGCCTGGTCGTTTGGAATGAGCAGGCGGTTGTGGGGCTGATTTAGTGGAGTTTGGGGGGGGAGCTTGATAGAACATCTTTAGACATTGCAAAGTCCTTCCATCCTTGTTCCCAATGGTTCCTCAGGCACCAAGATGGATTCGTGAGATCAGAGCTACCACTTTCCAATGAATCCCTTTTTCCCGGACGTCTTGCCGGTCACCTCAGCGCCGGGAAAGTGTTCAGCGGTGTGAGCACTCGGCGGTTTGACAGCCGGACCCCAACCAGCTTCATTCCACTGATCTGCACTGTTGCCACCTACCTTGGTAGAGTGTCTAGACGCTGGTGGATTGGTATTCGCGCGCCGGCTTGACTCCTTCGGCCAACTGTTGTCCACGTTGGTGCCTCCTCCATGTCCCCGACCGGCAGTACCACTGGGTTGTTTGGCTCCAGACTGGCTAACAGAGTCAGACGGATGAACCGTCTTGTTAGAATCCCAAGCATCATTCACCTGGGACTTTGACTGCGACACTCTGTGACTGGATGACCCCTTCACACTTGCAGCCTTCTCGTTTGTAGCGCCCCAATCATCATGCTTGCCGGTCGCAGCCTTCGACGGTGCTTTCGACTGAGCAGCGATGCTCGTTCTCTTCATCAGCTCCTCAACGAGCTCGTCCTTTGATTTACCCAGCAATGAATGCTTCTTCGCCTCCACCCTAGCCTCGCGGATCTCGGTGTCGGAGATTTTCTGTTTCAGAATGGCTTCCAGAGCCGCCTTGCTCCTGTACTTGAAAGTGAAGACGGCGTATGGCTTCGACATTGTGTCAAGGTATTCCGGTCGGTACAGCTTGTGGGCATAGTTCGCGCCTCTGCCCGCATGCACGGCTTGGGTGATACCCTTGTCTGCCTTGCCACCTGGCAACGCAGGCAATGGCAAAGCAGGGTACTCATAAACCTCGCGCGGCTGCACCTTTGGCTTGACTGTTACCGGCTTCGAGGTCCATTCGCTCCAGTAGGGCTTGATCACAGGCTTCGGCTGCGGATCACCGAGGGTATAATAGTCCGACCTGGCACCATCGTTCGCGGGTCCGGTGCGATGAGTGGGAGCCTGTGAGGTGCGCCCATGTCGGCTGCCATCTCGTGGCTTCCTGCCAGCATCACCGCCCCAACCCTGATCAGCTTTTCCGCTCTTAGCCTTGGGGGTTTCAGCATTATCCCAGGCAGGAGCCGTTCTCCCGTCTTCCTTTTTCTTCTTTTTGGCTGCCTCCTCTATGTTTCCCCAACCGTCATTGCCTGCCTTGTTGTCGTCAGTGTCGTCCCATGCTCCCGGCATCTTGTCGCTAGTAGTAGTCTGTCCAGAAGTCGACTTGCCCTTGGAGTCCTTACCGTTGTCGTTGCCCCACCCTGAGTCCTCCTTGACGGGCACGGGGTCTGGCTGAGCCCATTCCGTTGTAGACTTTTCCTTTTTTCTGTCCTTCGAGCCACCCCAGGAAGCTTTTGAACCCTCCTTCTTGCTCGGGCTGGAGTCCTCCCAGACTTGACGAAGCCCCTGAACATGGGGCTTCTCACCAGCGGTACCTTCACCAACTTGCTCGAAACCCCATCCGGCGTCAGGATCTTCCTTTGCTCCAGCGAGAGATGGCGGGGCTTCCGGTCTTCCCTCCTCATCATATCCTTGAGGCGGCTCGACCTCAAACGCTGGTGGCGGATAAAGTTCCATGTCATAGAGAAGGTCAGAGGCCCGTCTCCATGTTTCCCGATCCATATCGTCCATGGTCTGCTTCACAATTCCATACAGGTGTCCCAGATCTTTCATAATCTCCACAATCTCTCCGTACTTGCGGTGTGAGGCCTTGATTATCTCGAGATAGATCACTCTGCGATTGCTGTACCTCTTAGCATCCTCCTTGAGAGCAGCGTACTTATCAACTTCGAAATTAAAGCGATGCACTTCTTGCTTTATCAGCTGGCCTGCCTCTTCCACAAATGCAAGTCCACTGCCCTTCTGCTCGGGCTGCGCGTGTTGCTCGGGAGTATCCTCCGGTTGGGCAGAATGCTCGGAGGTTTGCTGAGACCGCGGGGCGGTCCGTTGTGTATGCTGATGCCTGTGTTCAACATTMTGCTTTCGACTCCGTGAAAAATCATATGTTGACTTTGTATGCTCTACCGTGTCTCTCCGGGGAGGCTTGCGGCGTCGCGCATTGAAGTCATATCCGGGTGAGGTCTGGGGCACAAAGACTTTTGGCTTCTCTGTAGGCTCATCTTGTGACCACACTGACTCCTGGTAGCTGAATCCACCTCCAACCGTGTAGGTCTCTGGACGATAGCGATCGGCAGARAACGAGCCGGCATAACGGCTGTCAGCCTGCTCGCGTTGATCGACAAATGGATCCTGGTCGTTGGAGTAACGGTACTGTCCCGAAGAGGTGTCCCACTTGTGACCAGGTAGATGCTCTTGGCCGACAATGTTCCTCGGCCTGTATTGTTTGTAGTATCCTGGTTCATCGCCGGCGCCGTCGAAGATGTCCATCATGCCACCAAGGAGACTCTTGTTTGAAGACTTGACGGTGGAGGGCGCACGTGTCGGGGTCACACGCACTGAGGGTGCGCGCACCGAGGGTGCACGCGCCGACGGGGCCCGCACGGCGTAGGATGGATTCCTCGAGACAGTCGCCTGAGCTGGGTCCGTGGAGAGTTCCTTACCGCCACCATCCTTGCAGCGTAGAATCACCACCTCGATGGTACCCACATTGTCCTTGAAGTTCTTCAAGTTTGGCGCCTTGTCGGCGATACCTACATTTGTCAGTGAAGCACAAGTCGGCACGCGATGGTTGACTTACCGGTTCCGAGTGGCGTGAAGGTCCAATCCCGGGCAATGAAGGTGCCATCTGATGTCTTCTCCTCTTTCTGCCGCAACTTGAGGTCGATCTGATACTCGTCCGTACTCACGCCGTCCTCGGGCAACCGCAGGCGCAGGCGATTTCTGTTGCATTGATATTCTCCGTCCATGAACACATACGCCGAAAGCCCTGGTGCGATGTAGCCTTCGGACGTGATGTGCACGTGGAATGGGATCTCGCTGTCCGGTGCGACAATGTACGCCTCCACGGCGCCATCTGTGATCTTGTGGCCATATTCCTTGAGCCGAGTGTTGCCTGGGCCCAGCTCGATGGCACAGGTTATCTGTTTGAGTGTAGGCATGAATGTTGCGGTGCGCGGCTCATGGGGAATGTGGTTGTTGATGATGACACCGAATTGTGGAAGGTGTTGTTTTCGACTGCTGCAGAAAGTTGTTATGGGGATGAGGTCAGAGGAAGCAACAACATCAAAAAACATGGGATTCCGTCTAGGTTGACGAGAGCAARGAAGAATTTGATGCTTAAGTTGAGCGCGTAGTCTACCTTTTTGGACGGTCATCGTGCGAAAAACGATTGCTCTTCAAGCACCGATTCACTCCTTAAGAGAGTTGAAAAAGCATGGCGGGTTGCAGGAAGCTCTAGATTTGAGCCGCAGTCGAGCTGTAGGGAAGGGAGCACACTGTGTAGAGAGGCGGTACTGCACTTGGAATTCTAGTGCAGAGCGTACAGCGAGGCGACCAGAGAAGCTCACCAATGCACGAGGAGTCGGAAGTTGTAGCTTCCAGGCGCATGAGCACGTCATTGCGACGACCGCCCTCATCAATCACCTGTAGCGAGGCGGAGTGAGATGAGGTGAGGTTAAAAGGAGACCGGTAAAGTATGTGCCTTGGTGGAACTTTGGAGCCATTCTTTGCCGAAGACAATATCGAGCTACTCCCGGAGTATCTCCTTGCCTCGATTCATCCGCATCACATGTGTTTCCGCTAACATGCTTGGGCCTGGGCAGACTCGATGGTATTCAAGCGAACTCACGAAGCCTCTCGCAGGCATCTTGTAGGTCTCTGCTACTGCCAGTCATGACAACAGCACAAACGCCGCTTTCTTTGACATGTCCTTGGCATGGCATCAGGAAAAGCTGAAGCTACGTTAGGTTACATGCCTCTACCCTGCCTGCCAGATCGATGTGTCATGAAACATTCTCTTCGCTGTCCCTCCCCATCACCTTCAACCCATGACCTAGGCTCCTCCTACCAATTGGTTTCCCTCCGCACCGCTTGGACCACCGCAGCAACTGACTTTCCGAAACGACTGACAGGACCGCTTTTGGTTGAGGACGACGGCCGCAGGTGACACTTGTGACACTCGAGATGCAGCGAAGCGCGACGCTCTCGCACTCGATCGTGCATGGCGAAGAGTCGGATGATAGCGAAGATGAGCTGGACGCCGGCTCGTTGGGCAGCGAGGAGGAAATGGTCGAGCACGAATCGTCGGGTCTGATGCGCAGAGCATCCAAGGACCTGGACGCGAGCAAAGAGGCTGTCGAGCTGGCAGAGTCCGCGGCGGAAGAGCCAGAGCCGCAGGGAATGCTGCCTCGAGACAAGCAACGCCGCACCACACACTACAACTACACGCTGGAGAAACAAATGTCGCATGTTGAAGCTAAACAATTCTTCCAGCAACAGCGCCAAAGCACCATGGACGACCAGACCCTCATCGCAAGCCCCATGAACACTAGCCCGGTGATGAGAGCTAGGACTTTTTCCTCGCAAGTTGCCGGCGATGCGCAAGTCGGTCGGACGGGCAGCCTACGGAGCAAGCAGAGCGCTCCCAGCTTTAAAGACTCAGGTTTCAGGTCTGCATTGCCCGTTGGCTTGAGTGATCCCAACAAGCATCCGGACAGTTCCACAATACAGTCACCCAGTATCGGTCGATTCGAAGGCTACAATGGCATCAGCGCCCTCCCTGCCCACGCCCGGGAAGATCTTCTGGCAGACAAACGAGCCCAATCGCACTCGGCCCATCCGGATCTGCCGCACGAGTCTAAGCCACTTCTCGAACAGGAGGGTGTCCACGGTGCCGGCGCAGGTGTTGGTATTGATTCAGCCCGCGACTCAACCGTGACGACTGAGTTGCACGCCATCTACTCCAACGTTCAAAAGATTCTCGATTTACGTCACAAGTACATGCGTCTGTCGCTGCAGGGCCCAGCTGATAATCCTCGTGACGATCCGGGATGGGGAATCTACCCTCCACCCCCTAACCCAGTGTGGCATGAGAACAAGGAGCGCAAGAATGCGGTTGGTGATGACAGTCCCACTGAAAAGACTCCTTCCTCTTCCCAGACGCTGCCTAAGAAACCACAACGCAAGATGGGTCAGGACATCGGGGAGGACTTTGACTACGAAGAGTGCTTCCCTCTGCCCGAGGCTTCCGAAATGACTTTCCAGCTTGATGAGGGCGGCGTGTATCAGGTCTACGAGACATCGACCTCCGCTGAGCTAGGCGAGCCCATCTTGCACATTCCAGACATCCGAGAGTACTACATGGATCTCGATTGTATTCTCGGAATCAGTTCCGATGGCCCCAGTAAATCGTTTGCGTACCGCCGACTGCAGTATCTGGAAGGCAAGTTCAATTTGTACGTCCTCCTGAACGAATATCAGGAGATTGCGGACACCAAAGCAGTACCTCATCGTGACTTTTACAATGTACGAAAAGTCGACACTCACGTACACCATTCAGCGTGTATGAATCAAAAGCATTTGCTCCGCTTCATCAAAAGCAAAATGAAGAAGTCGCCCGATGAGGTGGTTCTGTTCCGAGACGGCAAGAATCTCACGTTGAAGGAAGTCTTCGAAAGTATCAACTTGACAGCGTACGATCTCAGCATCGACACGCTAGACATGCACGCACACACGGACTCCTTTCATCGCTTCGACAAATTCAACCTCAAGTACAACCCAGTCGGCGAAAGTAGATTGCGAACCATCTTCTTGAAAACGGACAACGACATCAAAGGACGCTACTTGGCAGAGATAACTAAGGAAGTCATCGCTGATCTTGAAAGTAGTAAGTACCAAATGGTGGAGTGGCGTATCAGCATCTATGGACGTAGTCTGGATGAATGGGACAAGCTTGCTGCTTGGGTTGTTGACAACAAGCTCTATTCGCCAAATGTGCGATGGCTCATACAGGTACCCCGACTGTTCGATGTCTACAAAGCGTCTGGTCTGATGGAGAGCTATGATGAAGTTGTCAAGAACGTTTTCCAGCCACTTTTTGAGGTCACGCAGGACCCTAGCAGCCACCCCAAGCTCCACATCTTCTTGCAAAGAGTCATTGGCTTTGATTCTGTAGACGACGAGAGCAAGAGTGAACGTCGCATCTACCGCAAGTTTCCTCTGCCAAAGGATTGGAATACCAAGCAAAATCCACCCTACAGCTACTGGATCTACTATCTCTTCGCCAACATTGCCTCACTCAATGTCTGGCGTAAACAGCGAGGCTTCAACACTTTCGTGCTGCGTCCACATTGCGGTGAAGCGGGTGATACGGATCACTTGGCTGCTGCCGTTCTGTGCTGCCACAGCATCAGCCACGGCCTCCTTCTACGCAAAGTACCTCTGCTGCAATACATTTTCTACCTGGAGCAGATTGGTGTGGCCATGAGTCCGCTGAGTAACWACGCTCTGTTCCTCGCCTACGAACGCAATCCATTCTTGCAATACTTTCGCCGCGGACTCAACGTCAGCTTGTCTACTGACGATCCACTCCAATTTGCCTTCACAAAAGAGCCATTGATTGAGGAGTATGCTGTCGCGGCGCAAATCTACAAACTATCGGCTGTCGACATGTGCGAGCTGGCTAAGCAGTCTGTCATTCAATCCGGCTTTGAGCATGTCATGAAACAGAGGTGGTTGGGCAACAACTATCACCACCCTGGCGTGGCGGGCAATGACATGGCCAAGGTCAATGTCCCCAACATCCGAGAGGCATTCCGCCACGAAACGTGGTTGCAGGAATTGGCCATGATTGATCGTTATACCAATGCACCTGGGCAAGGCCGTCTGAGTATTGGCAATCTCGATAGTGGTGGCCAGCGTACATCCACCTCGATGGTCCCCGCTAGCCCAACCGCCAGCATGCAAACACACCCCTCCGCCACCAATCCGCTGAGTGTTGACACGAGCAACCATCGTGTCGCTTCAGGTCAGCCCGCAGCCGTCATCACGCCACGCGGATATCATGCCAACGTGCAGGCAGCACGCATGCCGGGCACATCCTCCCAAGCAGATTCGGCTCAAGGTCAGCATGATGGCAATGCGCTACATTTGTCTCGTGTGCACACTCTACGGGACCCAGCGCGTGCTTCTCCCCTTGTTGCAAATTCGTCGACGGGCCACGATACCAGCTTTTCCGAGTTGCCAGCCGCGGCTTTTGGTGACAGCACGCTTGGGTCAGAGCCGAAGCTGTTTCCAGGCTTGATGAGCAATCGCAGACGGAAGTCCTCGATAGTGAAGATGACTGACGATGACGCTATGCTTCAGAGCACTGGAAGTCTGTCCCGATCTGTGGGTGAGGATGGGCTGATAATGGAGAGGAAGAATACGATCGAGGAGGCTGCTGCCGAGAGTGATGCTGAATGAAGATGATTCGGTCATGATTGATATGTTCAGAACGGTACCTCTGATAGAGAGCTTGACAGATGGCAAGTAGATTGAAAAGTAGCAATGGCGGACATTCGCGTGCATATTTATGCRGTATCGTTTTGAAACTGTTGCCGAATGACAAACTCAAGTTCCTCCGTACATTGCCGCATATACTAGGGGTACTTTTCTGCCTCACAATTGAATCCTCACTACGGCGCAGAGGGCGTTCTGTTGTTGTACAGGATGGTTATATACAAAGTTTCGCTCAGCAGAAGGGTATCCTCCTCCACAATGCTTTTCTGAACTGCGGAAAGTCCATTCCTCTAGTCCGCGCATAGACAGACCTAGAAGTCCTTCATATTGGTGCTCTATCAGTGCCGCGCCGCCGCCAACTCATTTCATGTTTTTCATCCCTCGGCAAATCGCAAAATTACGGGTTCTCCTTCTAAAAGTTAGCGATGCCTGGGATATTCTCGATGCGGGCAGAGCCATAGCGCAGCTCGAGAGACCCTGTATGCCATCTGTTCTTCAGCATCTTACCTTGGCCACCTTCTCGAAATACTTCTCGAGATCGAACTTGGGGTCTTCGGGGTTCGTTATTACTGGGAGAAAGGGTACTGTCAGCTTTCCTACTTGTAAATTCACGTCCGTTCCTCGTTGTGGAAAGCTCTGCAAGGCAATCTTCTCTCGTCCTAATATTTGTTCCGTCCCCGCCTCCTCGTCCACCCATTTCTTTGGGGATCTGACTTACTGCCGTCACCCTTGCTAGGCGAGTTCTTCTCGGCGAACTTGGCCTTGGCCTCGGATATGAGCTTTGATTTCTGTTCGTATTCGTGCTGGGATGCAGCTAGCTTGTCCTTTGCGTGGATGGCTTGCTGGTGTGTGAAGCCGTAGAAGACACCGAAGACCAAAGCTCCCCATCGGACGACCTACGAGGTGGCTGTGTTAGTATTGCGTGTGGTGGTCACGGTCAATGGCTGCTGCTGCCGCTGCGACGGGTCGACGGGCAGGGATAGACGAACATTAACACCGGTGCTGGCCATCGCGGTGGTGTGTGGAGGGAATTGATGATGCGACGTGTGGTTTGCGGTCGGCTGGGCGAGAGTCGTGGTGTGGTGTGGACAATGCTCGGGTGGAGTGGAGCGGTGATAGGAAGTTGAAGATGCGATTGAGATGCCAGGGCAGACCAGGTTCGGATGGAAGCTACCGTCTTTGGATCTACAGGCACAACTAACTTCACATTCGTTAATGCCTCCCTCTCCCTTTACAAACAATCCTCCACTCTCCACCCGCCATGTCTACACATCAGGATCGCCAGGCGGATCTGGCTGCCAAACGTGCGAAACTTGCACAGTTGAAAGCTCGCAATCGAGAGCTTGCCAACAACAGACACAGCATCAATGGCCAGATAGCAGCGCAGTCGCCGTCACGCAGCAGTAGAGGCATTGAAGACGTCGAAGAGCTGATAGCATCGCTCGACTTGCCATCATCGCGGAATACCGACTCGCCACAGCCGCCGGCCAATACGAGCACTCCTCCACGACAACAGCAACAGCAACAGCAACAGCAACAGCAAGGTGCAGGCGGTTTAACCCAGCATTTGAGTCTCACGGGCCTCACGACAGTCTACGAGATTCCCGTCGAAGCGAAGCCCGAAGTGATTAGCTATAGCAAGGGCGTGCAGACAACGGACCAGGCTGCGGGTGATTCGGATGAGGGTGAAGGTGCCGCTGGGCGTAGTCCCTCACGGCGGAGGCGCAGGCTAAGCCAGCGCGAGCAGCAGCTAGAAGATGAGGAGGAGATTCGGCAACGCTTGCGTCAGGAAATTGAGGAAGAACTACGACAATTACAGCTACATGAAATCGCCGACCCCAACCCAGACACTCTGCGCTTCCCGGCCCGCGCCCTGGCACCAGAAGAGCTCAATGCAGTCACCAACAGTAATGATTTTCTGGATTTTGTGGAGCGCAGCAGCAAGGTCATTGAGCGTGCTCTGGACGAGGAGTACGATGTGCTGGCCGATTATGCCCTGCACTCGCGGGAAGCTGAGGACGAGGATGAATACGTGGGCCGACGAGGCCGGCGCGTGAAAGAAGTGGCCCAGTTTGATCTGCACGACTCCATGGGCAAGAAACGAATGATCAGTGACATCGATTTCAGCCCCAAATTTCCCGAGCTGTTGTGTACCTCCTATACCAAGTCCCAGTCCTCACCGCACACGCCGCCTGGTCTGCTGAATGTTTGGAATATGCATCTCAAGGGACGGCCCGAGTACTCTTTACACGCCACTTCCGACCTGCTTTCTTGTCTCTTTCATCCACATCATCCCTCGCTCATACTTGGCGGAACTTACAGCGGTCAGCTCTGTCTGTGGGACACACGCGCTCGAAATCAACGCACAGGCGAGCCCGTCCAGARGACTCCGCTCACAGGCGGGCGCACTGGTCACGCACATCCAATCTACAGTCTATCTGTAGTTGGCACCCAGAACGCCAGTTCGGTGGTATCTGTGAGCACAGACGGCGTAGTTTGCGCATGGAGCACCGACATCCTCACTCAACCTCAAGAGTACCTCGAGCTACACGCTCCGAATCCATCCGCCTACAAAACAGACGACGTTGCTCCCACATGCATATCCTTCCCTGCCAGTGATCCCACCTACTTTCTTACCGGCACCGAGCAAGGCGGCATCTTTCCGGTTCATCGCTACGATCGCGCTGGTGCAAAGTCAGGCGTCGACGTTCGTACCAGCTACCGCGGACACGATGCACCTGTCACGGGGATAGATTTCCATCCGGCTCGTGGCAAGGTTGACCTGGGAGACCTCTTCGTAAGCTGCGGTCTCGACTGGACCGTCAAGGTCTGGCGAGCACGCCCTCCGAGCTCCACAGCAAGCACGATATCTGGCCATGCCGAAGTCGTCAAGCCTTTACTAGAAATTCAACGAGAAGACAGTGTGTACGACGTTAAATGGAGTCCCACGAAACCTGGTATTTTCGGGTGCGTGGATGGCGGTGGACGGTTCGRCATCTATGATATCAATGCTTCTTCCGAAGTGCCCGTGGGAGGTGCGCGACCAAGCCATGTCGAGAAAGACATCTACTCCTTGAAAAGTCTCAATAAACTGGCCTGGGAGAAGAACCAAGGACGGCATGTCGCTGTGGGTGGTTTGGATGGGGTTACAACGGTCTTCGAGGTTGGCAGTGAGTTGGGCGGAGTGGACACCAAGAATGAGGCTTGGGTTGGGGCCAAAGTCAAGAAGTGGGTTGGAAAGCAGAGCTTCCAAGGTTGAAACTTGCTTCGCATTGATGGTGTGCATTTTGCCATTTGTTGTTTTCGCGGTAGATACCCAATCATCAAGCGCCAGGCGAGGGAGCAGAAGGGAGCATTTACGATTCCCCTCACAACTCAGCTTTGCTGTGGCATTACGTCAACGGGCAGGACTTCTTTGCTTACTTCACCTGTTACGGTTCCCTTGAGCTGTTCATCGAGATCCTTCTTCTATTCAGGGATTGACTGCTCATCATGCTCCGCCTCAAAAGCTCTAACCATAGAGCGTAGTAGCGGCTCTCAGTTCCTTGGGATCGTGTTCCACGGTCCCGTTCAGCTCCTTGCCTTGGAAAACAGCCTGCATCAAGAGCTCCAATCTTCGCACCGCCTCATCTCCGATTTGATAGTGCACAACCAACCTTCCACCCCATACCCTCACACCAGCCTTCTGCCCAAGCTCGATGAACTTCTCCACACTGACATTCGCAGCTTCAAGATCGAACCAAACCATGTTTGTCTCGGTTGCATTGGTCAGCTTGCCTCCATAGCCTTGCCAAAGCTCCGCAATCTGCTTGGCACGTTCATGACAAGCAACTAGCTTGCCTCCCAGGAAGGTATCCTCCACGGCGACCCGCGCAGCAGAAGTTATGACGCCCGCCATACGGATCCCTCCCCCAATGGACTTCCTCACCCAGCGCGACTTCTCACGGAAGGCTTGCGTGCCGACTATCACACTTCCAATGGGAGCTCCCAAGCCCTTGGAAAAGCAAAGAGAGATGCTATCAAAGCACGCACAGTAGTCTTTGAGCGACCCAGAACCGGCTGCTACGGCCTCCCATATCCGTGCTCCATCCAGATGCATGATTAAGCCCCTCTCCCGTGCCCAAGCTGAGATTCTCTGGCATTCTGCGAGGGGTACAATCACTCCAGCGATAGTGTTCTCCAGACTTATGAGTTTGGTCGGGCAGCCATGAATGTCGTCTCTCAGATCGGCGACTTTCTTTACGTCTTCGAGTGTTATGTATTTGCCGTTGCTTGCTGTCGCGGGTTTCACCATGGCGCCGCAGAGGGATGCTACTCCGCCGGCTTCCCAGTCAAACTGCAAGGTTGAGATTAGTCTTTCATCATTAGTATGGGACGGGCTCAGCTTACAATGTGGCTTTTGCCATCTGCAACAATGCTATGTGGGGGCCCTTGAAGGTGGGAACGGATAGCGACCTGGTTGCCTGCAATACAAGTCAGCAAAACTGTTTTCGAGATACGGCACAGAACAGAAGACAGGCATTAATCTGGCCTTCTGGGTTGTATTGCTTCGGGAACCAAACATAACCATGCAATCGACTTACCCATGGTGCCGCTCATGACCAGAAGACCAGCCTCCTTTCCCGTGAGCTCAGCAAGGAATGACTCCAGGTTCGTGGTGGTCGGATCTTCCTGCATTACATCGTCGAGAAGAGTCGTCGCTGAGATTGCCTCGAGCATACGGGTTGTGGGTGTTGTGATGGTATCGCCTGTCCTATCAATCAACAACTTGTTTCCAATTGCCACATGATATGGGAATACATACTACGGAAATCGAATGCTGATTGCCCGGGCGTCGACCAATTATTGACAGCAACTCCCGAGCCATTGGTGGCATGATTCGCTTCGGCCTTGATACGCTCCGTGTTCATTGCCACAGGCATGCTGCTGTTGTTGCGTGAAGGAACGTGGGCTAGGAAATGCAAGGATGTATTATTGAAAAGAAGCCGGTTCGTACTTATTCTGGGTACCAACCGGGACCTCGAAAGCATCGGATGTTGTTGTTTTTCACGCCCTTTTTTTTTTTTGACAAAAGGGCGTAGGTTCCAATGGCAAAAGTCTTGAGGATGCGGCGAAGTTTCGAGCTTGAACCGTTGCGAACCGGAGTGAGGTTGGAGTGAAATCCCGACTTTACTTTTGAGCACCGGCCCGGTGGCAGTCCTAGCCTAAACTAAATTCAAAATAGGCGCGTACCTCCATTACTCTTCCTCTGCTGAAGTTCACATCAACCTCTTTGATGACATAACTATAGTCCTCATCAAGAAAGAACATCAAGGACTGGCAGGCACACTCGCAGCTTTTTCCGCGAGACGCAGAGATCAGATCGGTCCCTTTGCATGATGTCCGGACTGCACCCCTTGTCTCGTGTGTCAAGACGTCAAGATGACCGCTACATYCCATTTCATTCGACATGACTGTCTGTCGTGCGAGTGGTAGGGACAGGGACAGAGACAGGACAGGTCAGTCTGACATCACATCCCAGGAAGCTCGTTATATGAAATCCACAGTTCTGCTGTTGAAGGTCTCTGCGGCAAAAAAGGTCAATGTTTTCTTGCTTGAGAGCCTCCCGTACATTTCCCATTCAACTTCTTTCAAATCATTCCCTCTACTCTTCACGGCGCAAAATGTCTTCTATTGTTGACGCAGCTCGCTCGACAATCTCGCAGAATCTGGGTGGAGCAATCGCCCAAGCTGCCGCGCCGCCGGGGACGAAATTCACCTTGGACGATGTGCCTGACCAGACCGGCAAGGTAGCGGTGGTCACAGGTGGAAGTGCTGGTATATGCCACCGCGGGTTCTTCTCGAGGCACGATCGCTAATACACGTCAAAAGGCATTGGCTATGGAGCTACCCATACCCTCCTCACCAAAAATATATCGAAGATCTTCATTCTGTCAAACTCGCAAGAGGTTGTTGATAAAGCAAAGGCGGCCGTGCAAGAGGAACTCGGGGAGGAAAAGGCTTCGAGAACATCGTGGATCATGTGTGATTTGGGAGACTGGAACAAGATCGCGGCCGCTGCAAAGGAGATCACCAACGCTACAGACCGCCTGGATATTCTGATCAACAATGCCGGACGCGGCATCATGACATACGAGTTGAATGATTACGGGGTGGAAAGACACATGGCAGTCAACACGTTCGGCCATGCGATATTGACATCACACCTCCTCGACTTGCTCAAGTCAACGGCAAACAGTGGCAACGTTGTGAGAATCACAAATCAATCTTCCAACCTTCACGAACAATCGCCTAGCGATACAAAATTCGCGAGCTTGGACGAACTCAACACAGATCTTGGCGCAGCACTGGGTCCTGCACTCCATTATGGCCGCTCTAAATTGGCGGTCATCCTCTATAGCAGATGGCTTGCACGACACCTAAGCAAGGACTACCCAAGGATATTGGCGAATGCAACACACCCTGGTGTTGTGGACACAGACATGAGTCAAAATGACATTCACGAGCCATATCCACTCGCTGGCTACGGCATGAGCGTCTTGGCGAAGCCTTTTAAGAAGAACCAATTTGACGGCGCGCTCTCGACATTGGTAAGCATAGCCCGCCCTATCAATGCATTGTTTCAGTGCTGACATCTTTGCCTAGTATGCTGCCACTGTTACGCACAAGTCTGGCGAGTACATCTGCCCTCCAGCAGCCCCAKAGCCAGGCAGCGAGCTCTCACGAAACGACGAGCTGGGAGAGCAATTGATGAGGTTGACCAGTGAGGTTGTAGCCGCGAAGACGAACAGTCAACCTTTGAGTTATTACTAGAAGAAGCATATTGTCGGCAAAGTTGATGCATGTTCCATGCAGTAACTAATTCTTCCTCGGTCATTTCAAAGCAAAAGACAGACCAGGGTGTCTGAAATGGCCAGTATATTGTGCAACTGGACTCGAAATGCCGACTAAACTCCAGCATAAGCCCCACTCTCTCACCTCCTCACCGCAAAGCTTGACCCACATGACGCCCACATTCGACAACTCAGACATCATATCGGTGGAAAATGTTGATTAAATCTTGGTGAGAGAAGAGAAACCACGTCCAGAATCAATATCAAAGTGTATCGACTTCGTTTCGCAGAGGTTTTAGGTCAAAGTATCAGCAATGATGGCGAATGACACAACGCAAGGCTCAAATGTACCTGCAGCCGTTCAGACGAGCTTCTTGATCGTAGGAGCAGGTCCTGCAGGTGCTTCACTTGCCAGCTTCCTGGCATCATATGGCCTGACTGGCATTGTTATTTCCGCCGCTTCAGGAACAGCCAAAGAACCTCGTGCTCACATCACGAATGCCGCTGCGCTTGAATGTCTGAGAGATATCGGTCTCGAAGACGAAGCAAAGAGAAACGCCACTCCTGGAGACTGTCAGTGTAACATCCCAAGTCTTTGATGTTTTGTTTTTTTCTCTCGATTGGCTTACCTGTATTACAGGCATGCAGCATACCCGTTGGTGCCACGACATAGCTGGAGAAGAATATGCTCGGATTTACAGTTGGGGTAATCAACCTGACAGAAAAGGTGACTATGTACGTGCCTGACACAATATCATTCCATTATCGAGGCATATATCAACCATGCTCATCAAAATTCCAGGATGCCGCATCACCTTGCCGTCACGTCGATTTGCCACAGACACTCCTCGAGCCAATCCTAGTTCGACACGCTCTGGCAAATAAGTGGACCGTACGTTTCGATACCTCCTTGATCGAATTCAAGAGAGATTCGCCCACTGGTATCATCACGTCCACTTTAAAAGACAATCTCACCGGGCAATGCTATACCATTGAATCAAAGTACTTGATCGGCTGCGATGGCGCCCGGAGCCAAATCATGAAGCAGCTGGATATGCCATTGCTGAAAAAGCCGGGCCAAGGTCTTGCTATTAACGTTCTTGCTGAGGTGGACTTGACCAAGTATTTGAAGACTCGAGTGGGAAATCTTCATTATATCGTTACGCCGGAGATGGAGCATCCACCTTGGGGTTGGGCGTGCGTTTTGAGGATGGTGAAACCATGTAAGGCAACCAACCACTGATCGAAGATTTGAACACTTGCTGATGTTTTCCATGTTCCTATTCAGGGCATGAGTTCATGTTCATCATACTCCCTGAACCAGGATTTGAAGACCTCCGAGTACGCCCAAGCAACGAGGAATACTTGAAACGCCTGCGAGAGTTTGTTGGTGACGACTCTATTGACATTAAAATCAAAGCACGCGAAAGCACTCTCTCCTTTCGACCAGCAGAGTTTCTGACGAATCGCAGGACGTTTCCAAGTGGTACATTAATGAGATTGTGGCCGAGAGATATTCGGATGGTAACGTGTACTGCCTCGGAGATGCTGTACATCGTCATCCTCCGTTCAATGGGCTTGGTGGGTCTTTCTACTTTTGAAAAAGACAAGGCGCAAGGCTGATGAATGATCCAGGGAGCAACACTTGCGTGCAAGATGCCTTCAACCTAGCGTGGAAGCTTGTGAGCTCCTCCATACGTTCTCTCATTTTCATGAAATACTAACACTGGCCTCAGGCTTATGTAGAGCGCGGCCAAGCCGACCCGACTTTGCTGGATTCATTCTCCGCCGAACGTCAACCCATTGGAGCCGGTGTGATCGCGCGAGCAAACCAAGGTCTTCGCGAGTAAGTGTATAGCAAGATAGGAAACGGTTCCTTTCAAAGCCTCCACAGTCTGTCAACCGTCAGATCTTGGACCATGCTGATACTGTTATTCTCATGATTAGCCATGGACCAGTCTGGTCAGCGCTCGGTGCTCTCTCCAAGGACGTCGAGCAGCGCAAACGCGAGCACGCCGAGCTTTCAGCCCCGACGGAAGCAGGCAAGGCGCGAAGAAAGCGTTTGAACGWGGCCATTGCATACTGTGCGCACGAATTTGGTGGCATTGGGATTGAAATGGGTCAGCGATACGAATCAAGCGCCGTATACAAGAAAGACGAAGCGCTGCCTCAGAGAGCTCCACCAGAGGATCCTGTTCTGTACCATGACATTACTACATATCCTGGCTCAAGACTGCCACATGCATGGTACGCCTCAAAAAAATAAACAGTACAGCCCCTATCTTCGGGGATTGCGCTAATTTGGGTCTTTTCCCCAGGCTTAATAAGAGATGTCCTGAACAACCGATTAGCACAATCGATTTGGCTGGGCATGGTGCTTTCTGTCTGTAAGTCGAGACAATGTCGGAGGGCTTTCAGCTCCGACTCTGGCTAGTCTATGTCACGTCATCTCCATGCAGCGCTGACTCTTTTGTCTTTGAATCCAGGCTCACGGGCGTCGGAGGCCAGTCTTGGAAGGACGCAGCCGCCGAGACAAGTCGAAGTCTGGGTATCACCATCAACTCATACAGCATTGGGTGGAAGCAAGATTGGTAAATCATCATTTCTGGCAAATCAAGACAGTCTTCCACATTCACTGACCATTTTTTTGCAGGGAGGACGTGTATGGGGATTGGGAGAGACGGAGAGAGATTGAAGAGGACGGCTGCGTCTTGGTTCGTCCAGATCGAACGGTTTGTTGGAGAAGCATGACCATGCGCGAAGATTGCCAGGCAGCTCTCCTGCGAGTACTCGGTTCGGTACTTGGGCGGGCAAACTGATTGGCCATGGAGGCTGTATTGGAGAAGCAGTAGAGAACCTCTGACTATCAATATGCCTGGATCCAACCCTTCCAGATCAGTTGAGACATCGATACACCAAATAATACTCGAATGGCAAGAACGACCCAAAAAGGGGGCAGAATGAGTGAATGACAAAAAAAATACAAAAAAGATATCAAGGCCATTACCTTCTACAAGCATTGTCGCAAGTTGATGACTGCTTCAGAAAGGGCAAAAAGATGGAGCTGTAAGCTTGGGAATCTAACCCAACTCAACCGCAATTGATACCAGTGATTGGTGTTTTTGCATCAGCCGTGAATCGAACTGTAATCATTATTAGATTTAAATCTTGACCACAGGATCGTTACGAAGCAACATACCACGGGGCTAGCCGACTCAGCCTATGGCAACGGCTAATTTTACCACTAAACCACTGAAGCTCGTAATGGGATGGTCGTTGCAACTTTCACAACGTATATGATGATTTCAAATTCCAGCATTGGGCCAGCGTCTTGGCATCGTTCACCCCACTACCGTAGAGGAGATAGTGGCGGTGGAAGAGACCGAGATCGATCCCGCTCCCCGAGCAGGCATCGTTCATCCTACTACCGCAAAGGAGACGATGGCGGTGGAAGAGGCCAAGATCGAGCCCGCTC